AGTTCAATGTCTTTATATCTGAGCTCATCACCAAAAGGTCCATCTCCCGTTTGCAACGCAGCACAAGGCTTCCCCATGGCCGAATCAGAAGCTGGACAAGAGCAAGTCTGCGATGTAAGACCATCTTAGAGCTCCGGAGCTCCCCTAAGGCTCGTTGCCGCCGGCGCTCTCCGACGAGACGAGGCCGAATAGCCTTGCGGGAGACGGAGACGGGGTTCAGCGATAACGGCCACGGTGCTTGCTACATACACATCCTGGGAGGCTAATACGCTCCATTTTTGCTGTGAGAAACCGCAAGTTCTTTGTAGCGGCCGGACTGCTCTACTCGAGGCACTGGAGGACGAAGCATAGGTGATGGTACTCTCTAATCCTGCTACCTGACTATACGAAAAGCAGGTTCTAGCTAGAGAACTAGAACGGTCTCCCGAGGTACCTAGGTACTTGTAGGCGTGTCATCTGAGTTGATAAATTACCTATAGCAGCCCCGTCATGGCCATCCTTACTTATATTAACGTTACAATGCGGAGTACGTACAGTACAGTAGGTACCTTAGGTAGTATTAGTATGTACTACCAACTTCATACCATGCTTAAGATGTACCTGTACCTGTACCTGTACCTATACCTAAGCACCCATACCCAAGTAGCATCTATTTGCCCTATTGTACTTCGTCCTTCGTAGTCTGTATGTAGTGGTCGGGACGCGTTGGAGCTGCGGCGTGATGCGTGCCTTACGAAGTACCCCCGTACCGTGCTCCGTGTTAGGTCCATATCGAGTCCTCCAGAGCAACAACACCAGCAGCTCAGAGCGACGCCAATATCCCCTCTCCCTTGACACCGCACCGCATTGAACGCCATTCAAATCGCATGCGCTGCCGTATATTCGGTTGCAGTTGTGAGCATAGATATAGTGCATAGTACTGGCTGGTACTGCCACTGCTACCGCACAGCACAGCAACTCGGAACCTTACATGGCCGAGGCCATACCTACAATACAGCCTCCAACCGCGCCGTGCAGCCTCCTGAGCCCAACATAGGTACCTACACACACGAAAGTAACAGTACACTTACGCACCCCGCAAGACCCCCTTCCCCCCCCCCAAAAGGCTTCCAGATGCCCTCGACGTCCATCCGCTAGATAACGACACACATGCCACCTCCACACGAAGCTCCATGACCATCTCCCGTCGATGGGCAGATACAGATGGTTGGACCACCGGGCATTCTGAGCTCGTCCGCGACGCCGACTCAGAAGTCGGTCTACAGCCAACATTCTTCGTCGCATGGGTCGAACAATACAATTACTAAGGCCAATTCCGATCGCGATGGCCTACAGCCCTCTGCCGCTGGCAATGGCCTTCGAGCGCTGTCCAGCTCGAACGCATCCTTCGCGCCCCGCGGCTCCTCACTGAATCCGTCGCCCGCTGCGCCAGGGAGCTTCAGCTCCAACCTGCGGAGCCAGATGGCCCCATCCCGAACAGGGTCGAATCAAGACGTCACCTACACTATGGCGAACTTGGAGAGGTTGGATGAGGACGATAGTCTACTGCCTCTGCAGGCCATTTCCACATTGCGGGAATCGCTGAACCGAGAAATGAAAATCAAGGAGGGGAGCGAGAACATGCTGGAGGCGTTGAATACCAAGAAAGCAAAGCAAACCAAGGAACAGCGCCAGAGGGTGGAGGCAGAGCTGAACTCCTCCAATCAAAAAATCAAGGAATTAAAGAATCAGATCTCCGAGCTACAGCGACCCAGGCTACCTAGCACCCCAACCAAGTCACGTATCGATGCCTTGTTTCAGAGCAATGGTCTGCGGTCTCCTCCCAGTGCAGCAAAAAGCATCGAGTCCGATTTTGACGAGCCGACGGAATCACCTACCTACACATTGGCTGAGATATTGCAAGCGCTCGAGATTGAGGGGCTTACTCCAGACTACTATGTTGGACACGCAAATAACCTTGTTGAGCTTTTTAAAAGGTACCCAAAGCTGAAATATGACTTGGTCTGGTCCGTATTCGGTTTGCGGATGCAGGTTATGCTGGTGAGCCAGAGTAGGGAAGTCGTAGCGGCTGGTTACCGGATGATAAGATATGCGATATCAGATTCCAACTCCCTACAGAAGATTCGAGGACTGAATACGGACTATTTAGTGGTGCTGTAAGCTAAACCCCTGTTGCCCAACTGTCCTTTATTTTCGTGTCATGCTAAGTCTTGCTCAGTTCGCTCGTCAAAAAGTCAAATGCCGACGTTGAAAGAGAACAAGCGCTCAAATTCGTACGTGCATTTTTGGACGTGAAAGATGGGGTCCATGAGGTATCCAGAGCCGTCGTGAGAACCATCGCGGCAGTTGCCGAGCATTTGGAGGACAGACTAAGAGCTATCTGTATAGAGACGTTGGCTGAAATCATGGTTCGGGATCCAAGCCTGCTCGTCGCTTCTGGGGGTCTTAGGGCCCTAGCAGATGCACTTGGCGAAGGAACCTATGAGGCCTCAGAAAGTCTTACAGCTGCGTTTCTCTTCTTATTAGATTCGCCGCGGCGAAGGAAGTATCTCCGGTCTGGCTATGAGCTGGAGGTTCTGTTCACACCCTTCACTGACTCTTTATTTGCACATGAGAGGATCCTCAAGCAAAACTCGAGGTCTATAGCATATGCTTTGAGATCTTGGCCGGGTCTCATGACTCTTTCCATGTATAACTTCAGGGCTGTGCGATCTCTAATCTCCAGCCTGATGCTACCGAATCCCACAATTCGCGAGACTATTATCGATCTTCTCTACTCCTTGCTCCGTATAAAATCGCCGTTTTGGGCCACCTCCTTTCTGGCGGGAAGGCGGCTAACGACCTATGGACGAGTTGCGACTCTGAAGACAACAGGGTCCAAGCCAGCACCGGAGGAAGAAAGTTACGACAAAGGATTTGTTGATCATTATACGGCGCTACTACTCGCGGTTTTGATAACATCGGACATGTTACCTGGGCTCCTACAGGTGACTCGAGAAGCCGATAATTCCACGTTAAAGCGGAAGACTACTTTACTCATTGGGGAAGTTCTGAAACTCGCTAGCAGATTATTGCCCTCCACTTGGAGCAGCGATTTGCAGCTCCTTCCAGAATTATTTGCTGCTGCTTCACAGTTTGGGAGTGAGGAACGATTTGATGCGACAGGAACTGTGTATCAAATTAGCAGCGTGAGTCGAACGCTCTATAGATCGGCCCCCAACGGCATAGGAACTCTAGCCAATGCTGGTAACAACAGTAATGATAATTTGGCCGGCTTAGAGGATACGCCGAAGAGCCATCCCAATACCACGCTTGATGAGACCACTTTCCGCCAACTATTGGTTGAAACACAAGTGCTTTCAAGTACAAACCCAGCGAAGTGGAATTGGGATATTATTCTGAAGATCATCGAGGGCCCTCTGTTGAACGGCAAACGTCTTGACGAAGCTATCAAAGCTTCCAAGTTCGTCAAGCGAATCATGAGCTTCTACCGACCGTTCAAATACAAATTTGGCGAAATCAGAAATACCCGGATCAATCAAAAATACGTCAAAGTCGGCTGCGCTCTTATACACACGCTTTTGCAAACTTCCGAAGGAGTGAAGTACCTCGCGGACAACAAGCTGCTCAGGCAAATCGCTGAATGTCTCGCTCAGTGTGATCCGGTAAGTCTAATTTACAATGGCCTATATCGTTCGATGCTAACCCTGCTCTAGACCAGTGGCTTGACAGCTCAATCCCCGGTGTTCTCCAAAGAACGACTTGCGGAAACTTTATGCTCAGGATACTTTGCCATGCTTGGTACCATGAGTGGCGATGTTAGGGGTCTGCAGCTGCTTGATCGCTGGCGCATGATTAACATGATGTACCACATCATAGAGCTGAAGCAAAGGCCCGACCTTATTAAGCTGTTATTATCGAATTTTGACTATAGCCTGCAGGGCCATCCGAGAGTCCTTCTTTCGAAGGCTCTTACAGCGGGATCCAAGGAGATCCGTATTCATGCTACGAACGTTTTGAGGAGGTATGCGCGAGGAACTAGATTTAATGGCGCAGCTACCCAAGGCGTTGGCGATTCGAAATGGGCTATCCAACTCCTCGTTACACAACTGTACGACCCTGAGGTGGAAGTCTCCGCTACTGCCATTAAAATTCTGGAGGAGGCATGCAATCGGAAGAACTATCTAGAGTATATTGTCGAGTGTCGTCCTGCTCTCGATCATTTAGGAGAAATTGGCGCACCCTTACTTTTACGATTTCTTTCCACCTCTATCGGATATCACTATCTTGACGGCTTGGATTATATCAGCAACGAGATGGATGACTGGTTCCTTGGACGCAATGATGCCTACGTTGGGGTGATTGAGGCAAGTTTGGCACGCGCGTTCGCAGAGATGCCAGATGACCACCCACACCGTCTGAGTGTATACGAAGAAAGCTTCGAGATGGATACCGATAATGACCCTCATGTACCGCCGCACTTTTATAGGGAGTTGACGAGAACCAAGGAAGGCTGCAAGCTGTTGCGGGATAAGGGCCACTTTGACGAGTTCGCATCCACAATTCGCGATTACGGGATGCTTTCGGACGATGCAGAGCTGATTCTCAAAGTCAAAGGATGTTTGTGGGCAGTCGGTAATGTTGGATCGATGGCACTTGGCGCGCCGTTTCTAGACGAATCCGATGTCGTTGAAAACATCGTCAAGATTGCCGAATCACATGAGATCATGAGTCTTCGTGGGACGGCCTTCTTTGTGCTTGGACTCATCTCTCGAAGTGTTCATGGACTTGAGATTCTTTCGGAATATGGATGGGATAGCAATACGACAATAATGGGCGATTCCCTTGGGCTATGCATTCCACAGGACTTGAACAAGCTCTTCTCCTACGAACCCTGGGTGCATGCCAAGGTTTCCGACATATTCATGAAGGGAGACCAGCGAATTGCTATCACAGCAGCCAAGACGGACGATGATCCCGTGAACAAACGCATTCTAGAACTCATTACCGACCTAGGCAACACGGTGCTCCAGAAACGCGCCATGGCAGAGCTGAGTCAAATCAAACTGAAAAAGACGCCAAATTTTAAACAGTCCGCTCTCTTCAAGAAAGTCATGACACTATTGGAGGCCCACCACTTCCGCCTCACGGTGCGCCGCTTTGTTATTGAGCTTTTCGATCGCAATGTTCTTAGACGGATTGTCTTCGAAGAGGATAGTGACAATGAAGGTATGGACAGTGATGATAACAGTGAAAGTGAAGTCAGGACAGAACGTCAGCGGAGCTTGAGCGACGTACCCCGCTCTAGAGCTTGAGTTGTGACGTTTGAAAGTTGACTCCTTGGTGACACGACGATGCAGCGGTTCGGCGGTGCTAGGGATATATAACATATTATTATGATTAAGGCCGGAGGCGTATTTACATTTACTAGGCATAAGAGGGGCAGGGCGAGAGTTTTACTTTCGGCAGGCGTTCCTACGTAGAGCGATTCTGCTTTCTGTACAAACAAATACGGCTAGGCGTTAGGATTAGCGAGCGTGAACAAGCTTGAATAAATGGAAGGGCTAAGTTTAACCCTGCTCTTTGAATTGTAGTGCAGCGAGGAGAATCAAAAGTGTTTGAGACTTTATTAGACTTATTTGTAGGTCCGTTTCTGTTTACTAGCGACCTCCTAAACCCCCAAATATAGCTCCTATTGTGACCTCGCGTAAAAGTATTATGTAAGGTAATTGATTATTTCCTGAGATCCCATGTCTTGTTTTGTGTATTAATATTTAGAAGTCCTTGCAAGGTGAAGTTGCTATAATTTTATAACTAGAGTTACTTGGACTATGCAACTTCTATATTGCCACTACTTCCTCGTTAACATTCCCAAGGTTCTACTTAGCAGCAGACCCTTAGCTAATGTCATCTAAACGGCTCGTTCTTTTTGGCTGCCAACATTGCCTATCCGTTTAACAGCTGCCCATTATAGTTGAGACTTGAGCATAATAGGTAGCCAAATTCCGTGAATCTCCTATTAGCCGACCTTTATTCCTGGTGCCCTGAGCCATTGTGCGTTGTTACAGGCTTGACTGTCATTACAGTTTTAGCATAGGTCAAGATTAATCACCGCAGAAAGATAGCATGGTGTAGGCAGCAGCAATGTGATAAAAGGTGAGAGATGCTTGTGGAAATATTTGGCTCGTTGGATAAGGTTTCTCTGGCCTTAAAGCTCCTCGAAACGCTATCAATATTTGATGGAGACATCGCCGCATCGAAGAGGCACTGGATATCAAGTTAAATCAAGTGACAAGCTACTTCGTTATGCCGCCACTTGATGGCCTGCTATTTTCACACTCCGGGCTTGATGACGGCCGCAGTCTGATATGGGCTTCGATACAGCTCAATAAGAAAATAACGAAGCATCTATTCCCTTCTGAAGTCTGCATAGTCCTCGCTATGCTACACCTTTGCTCACCGAGCCTCTGTACAACCTACACTTGAGGTTATCTCAATTGGCCACCTTGAAGCGGGTCGAATAAGCGCGTCCAATTTCTCATAGAAGATAATTGGAGTTGACAATCCTCTAGTTCGAGGTTCAACGTAAATTGAAAGAAAACCAACGGTGGGATTTGATGAGTGCAATTGAACCAGCTCAACTCCATGATATACAATACAACCTAACCAATGGCCCATCGATGTCAGGCTTTGTTTCCGTATAATACACATGCATGTCCCATATATGCCTTGCTTCCTATAAATCCTATAATCCAACCTCCTGCTTCCCGACAGCCTTCGTCGCCTTCTCCTGCTGCGGCCACTCGGCAATCATCTTCTTGCCGTTAAAGCTCACAATATTCTTCTTATACGGATGCGCCTCCCCCTCAAAAGCCTTCAGTCTCGCAAGTCTATCATCCCTCAGTCTATTCTTCGGTAGCATCCCGCTGACAGCCTTCCTCAGCACCTCAGCACCACCTAGCTTCGCCATTAACCCGTCCATACTGATTTGTTTCAAGCTGCCAGGTCGCGTGTTATGGCGATAGTATAATTTCTGCCAGCGCTTTTTGCCGGTGGTGTGGAGGGCGTTGCAGTTTGTTACCACGACGTAGTCACCGCAGTCTGTGGATGGGTCCCAGATAGGTTTGTGTTTTCCCATCAGGAGGATTGCGATTCGGGACGCGAGACGCCCGAGGGGTGGGGGTGTGACTTCGGTGGAATTGGTAGCGGGGATGGGTCGGATGGTGCTGAGAGCGTGATGGGGGGTGGATGCTGAGACGTGGTGCCAGGTACGGGAGTAGGCCAGTTTTGTCTAGGGAGAAGCGTGTTAGAAAGCGGTATTAGCAGACATTGTCCGGGGCGATGATATACCAGGCCATTAGTCTGTGACATCTTCGCTGCTGCTGGCCCTGAGGCCGGTTGGGATGCTGCGTGGTGCTGGATCGAGGATTGGGCCTTTGCGGATGTTGGATGTAGTGATATGATACTTTTGATGCCCGTGCCAAGCCCTTTTTTCCTTGAGTGGTACACAGCGACGGCACGTGATATATAGCTTGGTAGCGACAGCTCCGTTCCACGAGTATTTCAAAGCACCCCACTACTACCCGACCTCCGCTTCGGTACATATTCCGAGGTTGTGGTCATCCCATCATGAAGATAATAAAATAATATTGTACCATACTACACGACAGTCCTTCCCACGTTTTGGCTTATAATAGGGCGATCGTAGCAAAGTACGTTGAGCTTACTTCGCACCGTAGTCATAATGGCTATCACCACCCCGTTCCAGGTAAGTTCGTTCTTCTCCCGCAATCCCGGCGTTCTGTTGTGGGAGTCTAGTCACGTGTATTTCCATCGACTCTGATAATGTTCTAGACTCTCTTTGCGGTGCCCATGACCTGCGAGAGTTGTATAAATGATGTCTCTGGGTCATTATACAAAATTGGTGGTATTCAAAAGGTCGAAGCAAATTTGAAGGATCAACTCGTAACCGTCGAAGGAACAGGTTCGTCCCGTTGCAACCCGGGGGTAGGGGAGAGTGACCATGAAACATGGGATGAGGCTGATCTACGATTATAGCACCACCTTCGGTAATTGTGGCCGCTATTCAAGCCACTGGGAGAGATCCCATTTTAAGAGGCACAGGATCGTCAGACAGTGAGTTGTATGGAGAATTCTAGATCTAAGGACACCTGCTTAATTGTACTTCACCAAGGTGCTGCAGTCTGCATTCTTGAGACACATGCCACGACGGTATCAGACAAAGTTCGGGGGCTTGCGCGAATGGTCCAGGTCGCTCCTAACTTGACCTTGATTGATCTTACGATTCGTGGGCTGGCGCCAGGTAGATATTGGGCCACAATTAGGGAGACGGGCAATATCGTCCAAGGAGCTGTATCAACTGGTGGCATCTGGGCTGATCCCAAGGAAGGTGCCCTCCGACCTCGAGGCATCCTGGGGACGGTGCAGGTTGGTACGGATGGGGTTGGCAGTGTGTTTATTGACAAGCCGATTCAGATATGGGAGATGATTGGAAGGGGAATGGTGGTGTCAAAGCAGCATGAAGGCGAGGGCAAATTTGAGAAGAACGACGAGGATACACTTGTTGGTGTGATTGCGCGGAGTGCGGGGGTTTGGGACAATGACAAGACCGTCTGCTCCTGCTCAGGAAAGACGTTATGGGAGGAGAGGAAGGATGAGGTGAGCAGAGGGATGCTCTGATGATATACGAAAGTATCGGACGATATATGGGCTGCCAAGAGCATGTGGTGGGCTGATCAATGGCCGGCTGAATTGCATGGACTTTGGACTACTTCGTGCGGAGTAAGAGATGGATTTCGGAAGGAGAGACACATGAAGACACCAGGCATTCATTTGCATCAGATCTAACAATAGTCCCGTCAAAACATCAAGCTTTCATGCGCGTGGACTACGTTCCGGTCCCCTCCCGCGCCGTCTGTGCCATGAGCTGGCGGCGTAGAAGGGCTGGCAAAGGTGGGAACTTTGAAGACGAGGTGAGATAAGATGAGATGAGATCGTGGATTCCAAACATGAGGCCTGCTTAGCTCCGTTTCTATGTGTTCTGTTTGTGACGGCGGCCTTGTAAAATGGCGGCGCTGGTGCAACTTGGGGTTCAACTCGACCGGGCATCCTGTATTGTTGCACACTCCCGGAGATGGGGGTTCTGTGGCCGTCCAGTAGTAGTTCTGAGGAACGGGAGATTTCCGCTGGGGGCATTCATGCTGATTCCCTGAAATGGGGATCAAACGGCAGTTGAGGCGTAAGCGGGTTTCGGGGCAACCTTTGATACTGTTGCCAAGAGATCTGGACAGCACGTTGACACCGATCGATATCGGGTTCGGGACTACAGGGCCAGTAAGTACATGGCTATTCTATTATATTCTCTTATGCCTAGGGCTCCTTCTCGGAACCGCGGATGTGGGCGGGCTGGGGAGGGTATTGATCGGGTTGTTCGTTGTCGGGAGCCGGGCAAGTGAAGTAAGTAAGGACAGGTACTGTACAGTACGTAGTACTAGGAAGCGATATGTGGTACGGAGTGGTGATGGTGATGGTGATGGTGGTACGAGTACCGGCAGTGGTGCAGCATAGGCATAGATAGGTACGAGTACAGCACAGTACTACTACTGTATCTACGCACACGCACTGGAGAGGTGGTTGCGCTGGTGCCAGGTGGTGGTGATGCTGGTTCCTGCTCCTCAGTGCCGGAGCCGAGTCCGATCTAGCCCCCCTTCTTGGTGCTGTAAGGAGTAAAGATTTCATCTGCTCAATCACATATTCCTCGTACTATTACTATTCCGGAACGACGCCCCCCTAGAGAAGAAAGAAAGAACGAATATGTGTCTTGGAGTCTTGGTCCAGGCGGAGACCGAGATCCCTTTCGGATTCCCACCCCGTTGGCCGCCGCGATCAGGCCAAACCTGGCTCGTTCCGCCCTGCAACACGCCGCGTGCCAGAAGCGCTGGGCCCAGCGAACCAGATGGGCCGGAGGAAGCGCTCACGAAACACCAGCGAAGCCGATAAGACCAGAGAGCATCGAGTCGACCACCATCGCCATTCATTGATCATTGATCAGCATCGATTGATGTTGCCCAGCGGCGTGGACCAGCCCACGCGGCATGCATCATCCCCCATGTGGTCGGCTGGGTTGGGGCTCCACCAGCGCTGCCCGATGGGCGATGGGGATTGGGATGGGGATGGGGATCAGACTCGATCATGGATGAGAGAATGCGAATGCGACTCGGGGCGATGCTTGCTGGGTCGCCGGCACTGCAGCGACGGAGATCTTCAGGAGAACAGGCTCCCGGGACAGGCTTCTCTAAATCTTTGCCTAGGTCCTAGGTCCTAGGTCCTAGGTCCTAGGCCCTACCTGTAGGCTCGGGGCCGCTGGCTCGTCCATACTCCAATAATTCAAGCGTCCGTGAAGCGGGAGACGGGAGGACAACAATAGCCAGAGTTCCGTACTGCACGCCGTCCAGTTTACGCCGTATCACCGTACCAAATAGAGATGGAGATGGAGATGTGATGTGATGTGATGTGATGTGATATGATGTACGAAGGTCGAAGTACTGGGTGCTAATTTTCTGCATCGTGGGCCTTGGCTATCACGGTCATGATCGCAGTGGTCGTCCCCGGCAACTCTGGTGGTGTCTTGTCTGATGTTGGTGGTGGTAGGACGAAGTACTCAGTCGTCTATCAGTCTATACGGCATAGGCCTAGGCCTACTACTCGTACTACTGTATTATAGGGCACCTAAGGTAGGCAGGCATAGGGCATACTTATTAGTGGTCCGCACAGGCTTCGTGCGTATAGCTGGTAGGCCGCTGAAGAGACCGCCCAAGTTCCAACAACCAGCAACCAGCCATCCAGCCATCCAGCCATCCAGCCATCCAGCCATCCAGCCAAGGCCGAGTAACGAAGAAGAGTAAGTAATAATAGTAGTAACCGCCGGCGCTATCTGCTTTGGACGAAGTAAGTACAGTACTCGTATACTTCGTAGTGCTTTTCACGCGGTATTCTCCCTCCCCCGGCCTGCCAACCTGCCAAACCCCCCGGCCGCATGAACCAAGCCCTTCCACCCGCAACTCTGCTTGGACCTTGGGACATATCCTCGAAACCAGATGCACACAATCGTCCGTTTGTCCAGTCCGCCCATGGCGATTCGGCCACAACTCCTGTTACGCGCTGGGCGCACCAGAGAGACCCACCACCACTGTCACCACCGCCGCCGCCTCTCCGCTGCTTGTGCTGCTGCTGCTGCTGTTGCGTACCACCGCTCTCCTCTCGCTCCCTCTCCGCTTCCCAACTACTGCACATCCACATCCACATCCACACCTTTTCCCCAACCCCCAGTCCTTTACATTCTGTCACTCCTTCGCCACACATCTTCAATAATCTTTTACAGCCTTTGCTCATTCCTGTCTTTTACCTGCTCCCGTACTTTGGCGCCTTATTCCAATCACCCCATCCAAACCTGGTTGTGCCAGTCCAGTCGGCACAGTATATACACGAGGCGCCCGCCCCCCCCCCACTACCACTACCACTACCACTACCACTACCACCACCACTCCGTCTACGACGATACTACAGCGACAACCCCAAATTAATCAAATTGCGGCAGCCGGCACCGCTACACCACTTCCACCCATCGATCGCTCTATTCGCTATAAGACCAGACCAGGAGGAGAAAGGCTTTGGGAAGAAGGATTGGCATATTCGGCAGAGAGGCCCCCTCGGAGAACTTCATCACGGAGCCAACAACAAATACACTACACGTAGCGACGAGGCATTCGGGTACGGCGCAGCTTCCATATTGCGTCGCCAAACCACCATTACCTGCTGGTCGCTTTGTGAGCGACCGGCTTCTCAACAGGCCGTCATCGAGTTGGAGGAGGAAATCGGTGCTGGGCGTTGATCATGTCTCTGAAACAGGTGGGCGACAAACCAACACGGAGCCTTGGCGGGTGATGATGGCTCGATGCTTACTCTTGAATAGGAAATCGAGACTTGGGTGAAGGCGCTCGCTTTTTATGATGAAAATCAATTCGACGAGGCGCTGAAGGAGTTCGATGTCATCTCGGACACCTCCAAAATTCTCTTCAATTGCGGTGTGATCCATGCGACGCTTGGCGAGCATGAGAAGGCGGTTCGTCCCTTCATTCTGGATACCTTTTTCTTTAAAATAAAAATTTAGTTCCGGGCCTAATTATGTCTAGGTCGAGTGCTATCAGCGGGCCGTACGGCTGGACCAATACTTAGCCGTTGCGTACTTCCAGCAAGGAGTGTCAAATTTCTTGGTCGGCGACTTTGAGGAGGCCTTGGCAAATTTTAACGATACACTGTTGTATCTTAGGGGAAATAACATGATCGACTATGCTCAGCTTGGTCTTATTTTCAAGCTCTATTCTTGCGAGGTGCTTTTCAACCGTGGATTATGCTATATATACCTCCAGCAGAAGGAGGCGGGGATGCAGGATTTTGCTTTTGCTGTCAAGGAGAAGGTGGTCGAAGATCATAATGTCATTGATGACGCTATCCGGGAGGAGGCAGAGGTACGGTATTCGAGCCACGAAAGTCCGAAACTGGCTAATAGTCATAGGGCTACACTGTTTTTTCGATCCCCGTTGGCGTTGTTTACCGGCCGAATCAGGCAAAAGTAAAGAACTTGAAGACGAAGGATTACCTAGGTAAAGCGCGTGTGGTCGCTGCTTCGGACCGAGCGAATGCCTTCACGGGCTTCGCCGGGGCTGAAATGAAAAGGGTACATTCAACCTCCTGCTCCAAATCCAAACCCCATTGCTAACTTTATTAGGCGCTACAAGTTGAAGTTAAGGACGACCGACCTGCTGAAACCATATCTTACGCCGCCTCGAATCTTGTAAAGCCTGGGCTTCAGAGTAAAAGGCAACAGTCGGAACCCCCCCTCAACCGTAACGTCTTTCCACCAACCCCACCACCCGAGTCCGAGAAGTCCAGCACTTCGAGCTCTAGTCAGATGAGCCGCGGAGCTTCCGTCCGAAATGGCCCTAAGCCAATGCCCGCGAAGCTTGACATGGACAAGGCCCGGCCCCGCGAACGATACGAGGTTCGTGATGATGGTAGATCACCTCCCGGCCCCCAGCAAAGAATCGGAACTTCGCGAACAGCTTCCGAACCAAGAGGACCACCAGCAAGACAGTATTCATCAAGAGAGAGCCAATCATCCCGCCCACAGCAACAACAACAACGGAGGAGACGAGACGAGGAGGAGGATGACGAATACCCTGGCGAACTTTACGACATGTACTCTAGCGCTCGCAGCAGCCGAGGGCCCGGAAGGTCAAGGCAACAACCCAAATACATTGAGGAAGAGGATGAATATGCAAGCGATTATGATGACGGATCTTTTGACGAAGGTGAATTTGAGATGGTTTCTGCTCGGCCTCCTCCCTCACGAACACGTGCTCCCTCGAGCACGGGCCGTGGTCAGTCTAGACGGCCCGAACTTCGCAAGATTCGGGTGAAGGTTCACGCTGATGATGTGCGATATGTCATGATTGGAGCCGCCATAGAATTCCCGGACCTAGTAGACAAGATAAGGGAGAAATTCGGCATTCGCAAGCGTTTCAAGATCAAGGTCCGGGATGAAGATGTTCCCAACGGAGACATGATTACCTTGGGAGATCAGGATGATTTGGACATGGTCATTATGGGTGTCAAATCGGAAGCAAAGAAGGAGCGGTTAGAGATGGGGAAGATGGAAGTAAGTATTTCTGCATATGTGGTGTCGGCACTCCTGCTAACATGTCTTCTAGCTTTGGGTACAAGAGCTTTGATTTGACGACCTTGACGATATTTTCATTGGCGAGCCCTTCTAGACTCTATCTGCATACAATATACCAGCGAGCGATCTACGCATATCTAGAACGGGGTTGGAGTTTCTGTTTTTGTTTTCGTATATATAATTAGCAGTATGCGTCTGCGACGTCAACTTATGTGCTGCGCTATATCTACCTAGCTGGCGAAGATAATATACAGAGAGTATTCCGGATGAGCGGAGGCTGTAGCTTTATGATCACATTTCATCTATAACTCGACCCCTTCCCCTATCCTACGGTTCCCCCCCACCTAACTAGGGATCATTTATCTGCGGCCCCTCTGATTAATATCCCTGACTCCTACTCATTTATGCATTTCCTATTCAGTTCCCATTTGTACTATCCCCCCAGCCTCCTCCTCTACCCATAGGCATGCTCCTCATCTCGGCCAGCGACCAATACTTCCTCATATTCTCCGCCCCGAGCGCTACAACCTCGTCATCCAAATGTCTCAGCAGCACGTCGGCCCAGAACACCACCTTCTCCTTCATAACCGGCAACTCCAACTCCGTCTCCCCAAGTCTTACCTCGGCCAAGTAGCCCTGAAGCACTTCCATACCATCATGAATCCGGCGATGCTGCTCCAACAGCTCAGCGGTGTCGTGCTCGGGTTTGAAATCCGGCATCCTCGCTGCGAGGAGCGGAAAGACGTGCTGCTCCTCGATGGAATGGTGCATGGAGAGTTGGTGGCAGAAGTTCATAGTGAGGCTGAGGAAGTCCTCTTCGTCCATGTTTGAGGGGAGCTGGTTGTTGGTGCAGGCTGTATAGATGGTTTGCCATGTTCGGCGGAAAAGGCCGTGCTGTTTAAGGGACAAGGTGCCAGGTTAATAAAAGCTTGGGAATTTTCTATAGAGGAGAAAATCTAGTGGAATCTTGATGAGACTTTCGGTATATTGATACGTGGGCAAGGAGAAAGATGATTGTTTCATGCTCTGATAGCCAGTGCTCCCAGAAAAGTCTCTTAATAGAACAGGCAAAGGATATCTTATAATGAGTGACACATGGCCACTGTTCTAGTGACAGGTTTTCTGGCTGGCAATGAGTCCATAGAGAAACGGGAGAGCTTGGTTCTCGGTTGATAACCAGCACGATATATGATGGCAGTAAATAAATAGATATATAAAAGCTTTTAGCACTACTTACGACATGAGCCATATTCTCCGCTATTCCGTTATACGACCTGAATTCCGCCGCGCTGAGCTTTGGAAGGATTTCCCCATCCGGTTCCTTCTCGTCCGTTGCTGGTGGAGCCTTCACACTTTCATTTTTGCTTGAGGCTATAGCTCCATCCACCTGACCCGTCATCACGTTGGCGCTTTGTCGAGGATGGTGACTTTGCCGCAGTGCGCGCGAGGGTTGCTTATTGGTGAAAACGGCTCCGCATCTGGGTAGTAGTTGTACAGAACTAGTATGCTGAATTCGAGGGCGGCTTTTGATACTTGTATGGATTAACCTTGCTCGAGTAGCAATATTGCGGGGAAGCATGGCCGGCCGTATTTTAAGGCACCAGAAGACAAAAAGTTTATATGATTATTTATTGCGTATAGACTTCCACAAGACAGGCGTAGAAGAGCTCCCCCTCTGTTAACTTATGATTTTCTCCACAGGAACTCGGGATGTCCGGAGCAAAACACCAGGACGCCACAGCCCGGGGACCACGGAAAGGAGTTGGGCCGGGGCCATAGAACGGAACTCGCTCCGTAGTATATCACTAAAACCAAGACAGCGCACGTGATGGTGTACCTAGCTACGATATGGTAAAAGTTGCTAACGTTAATGTTGTGTGCGCTGGCCGCGGCCGCTTTACTACTTGACGCATTATAGGGGCATGTTCGGCGAATATACGGCGAGGCTAATACTGCTTGCCACAACCTGCACAAAGATGAGAATACCTGGGTAGAAGTTGCGTGATCGGTGCTACGGACGGAAGTGCTTCCTTTATTTCCCCTCAATGGACCTGCAAGCCAAAAGCTTATACGGAGTAAGCATCCTTTTTCGTGAGTAGGGAAACTATTAACGCACATGCGCATCGCTACACTTCCACATAGTTGCTAGTACCTATGCTCCTAAACCTCATACGAGTGAGTATCCCAAGCCATTTAATTCCAAGAAACCAAATTAGAGATGGATGGGAACAAGGCCCAGCCGCCCATTCCGCAACAACCAAGTCCAAATTGTAACCCCGAGACCAACGTTAAAGAAATCAAAGACTAAGGCGCCACCAAAGGTAATACTATGATAATGCCATGCATTCTCAGGAGTCATCCAATCCGGGTAACTGTAATAGCCTTGATTATAGTTAACTCACCATCAAAGGAGTGCAATAATAGTAGACAACTGACCAGCGATTCCAGTAATCCGACCGGAAATCGGAATACCCCAACATATGATAACTTACAATGTTATCAAGTCGGGCGGATGGACTCGCCACTGCAGAAAAAAGGCATTCTGCGGAGCAGAGAAACTCAGTACGTAGAGCTCAATGGATATTACATGAGCAGGAGTATTCCATCACCAGGTTCTAGTAGGGTAGAAAGCAGACTACCGTCGGGCCAGCCAGAGACCACCAGAAGGACTGGTGGGCCATTCCTGGTGTAATAATACCATCCAATGGCTTAAACATCCAGCTCGGCCGATGACGATGAAGTAGCCGGACAACACAAAGGTCACACAGTTGAATGTAACGTGCAGTCATCATGAAAAAATAGCTCCTCGCCTCTCTCCATCCGCCACCGATTTGTCGCCTCTAACATCCCCGGCAACCCTTTAAACAACCACCTCCATTTCCTCAGAAACCCTTCCGACATCTCCCACCCCGTGATGTCCCAGGGCGGCGACCACGCAATAATGCCGCGTCGCTCGACCTCGTCGTCGGGAAAGCCCTCGTACAGCCCGCCGATACAGTCGGCCCACAGCTCGTCCTCGTCGAAGGTGCCGGCGGCCCGGATCAGGCGGTCTCGTCCCTCGGGACACGGGAACATGTCGATCCAGTCGCCGTGCGGCACCGTTTGTTGAAGGGTGGTGGGCAGGAGCGTTGAAGGGAGTAGTTCGGGCTTGGTAGGGTAGGGGATGACGTGGATAACCTCCTCATCACAGTCGAGCGGCGTGACGAGGATGCCCGAGATTAGAGTGCGGTTGACGGCCAGGGCGCGGAGGGCGTTGAATTGGAGGAGTGTGATGAGGTGGTCTGGACAGAGGGGGAAGACAATGTTAAACTGCTCTTTTCTAGGTTTATCTAGCAGCAAGGGATTTCTCGCATTGTATAGTTGCTTGATACGGGATGCCGGGACGATGGAGACGGATTGCTGCTCAATGTCCCAGCATTCCACCAGCGCTTCTGATTTGATCAGTGTCCCGGTCGCGGCACTGGATACTTCGACTTTCTTTGCTAGGGCTTTGCGTTTTCCTACTGGACTGTTAGTTTCGATAATTGGGTACCCCTTGATCGGACTGGTCCTGACTCCTGATTTGGACGAAAGAGAAAACAAGGCCCTACTTACGGTATGCCCTTGTGTTGAGTCTAGTCTGTGCCCGTCTACGTGCTGCGGCATCCTTGGTCCCAGTCCAGTCGTCTTCCCTGCTTATCGCCTGTACGCAGTGAGCAAGTCACGTCGTCTTGGTGATTGAAGGCGGCCTAGTGCGTACCTCGGCCAATTGTAGCATCGACGCGAGTCGGATGCGTGGTGCTGTTGAATTTGCAGGCTGATGTGTGCTAATCATGATGCTGGGGACGTTGGAATTGCGGTGAAATTGGTGATGAATGAACCATGACGAGGCTGACACCCGGGAACGGAGGAATTGATATACGAGTGCCTACTACTCCGTAAGAACGTGTTCCGCTAATACAGTATCTAACTTGGGACCAGGTCTAGCGTCATGCAACCTGCTCACATTATGGACCAGGATCACGAGCTCCAGCATCGTACACCCCTTGATTGACAAGCACAGCGTTATGGTTTACCTGAGGGTGGCTGATTTGGACAGTGGCTAGAGATTCGGTAGTGAGCCCCACGCTTCATGCAGCTGGCTCACTCACTCACTTAGTCCATCTCTTCAATGTGTCCATGTCGAATGTGACGTGATTGGTCCAAGGGTCATGCAGCTTGCTCACGATATCTGATACTGGGAATAACATCCAAGATCCAGGTATCTCGGACATTGTTCAACAAGAGCAATATAAAGATCGTAGTAATCCCTTAATTTCGACGTGTCTTTTCGTATCATCAAAAACATATTCGAGTAGAACTCAATCCAAGACATTGAATTATCTGTTTCTTCGTATTACACCTTCATATATTGACTCAAGTACTCGTTTTGAATATGACTTTCCATCCCGACACTCTCCCCGATCTCAAGGGCAAAATATTCATAGTCACCGGTGGGAATTCCGGCATGTGAGTCTCCCCTCTCCCCTCTCCCCTCTCCCCTCTCACCACGAAGCCCGAATCGCTGATCTCACCAAACACACACAGAGGCTACTCCACCGTAGCCCACCTAGCAGAACACGGCGCCCACGTTTACATGTGCGCCCGATCCCCAGGGAAGGGCACAGCAGCCATCGCCAACATCAAGAAAATCCACCCCTCGGCCGCCATCGACCTCCTGCAAATGGACCTCATGGACCTCACCAGCGTCGTCGCGGCCGCCAAGCACTTCCTCGCCCTCGAAACTGCCCTGCACGGCCTGGTCAACAACGCCGGCATCATGGCGACGCCCTTCGAGATGACCAAAGACGGCCACGAGGCCCAGTGGCAGACCAACTACCTCGCGCACTGGGTTTTGACGGGGCACCTGCTTCCTCTGATGCTGCGGACCGCCACGACGCTTCCTCCCGGCAGCGTGCGCATCGTCAACCTCACATCGTCGGGCCACTTGGGCGCACCCAAGGGCGGCATCAACTTCAAGGACCTGTCGCTGAAGGATAGCGGCCCGTGGGCGCGGTACGGGCAGAGCAAGCTGGCCAACATTCTGCACACCAAGACCCTGCACAAGGCGTACGGCCCCGGCTCTCCCAGCGCGCGGAGCCGGGCGGGCGAGATCTGGGTTTCGTCCGTGCATCCCGGGCTCGTGGAGACGAACCTCGCCACGGCGGTGGGGGAGTCGGGGTCGGGCATCACGAGCGTTCTCGCGGTCTTACGCATGTGTGGGTTGTTATGGCCTGCCGATAAGGGGTCGTGGACCAGTTTGTTCTGTGCAGCGAGTCGGGAGATGAAGGCGGAGCAGAGCGGCACGTACCTTGAAATTTTTGGGCGGTTTGGGGAGCCGTGTTGGCAGAGCGGTGCGGCGAAGGATGAAAAGCTTGCAGAGAGGTTGGAGGAGTGGACTGAAAAGGAAATGATGAAGGAAGGGTGGGTTCGGTAATAGCGTCAACTGGTCTGGTTTTGGTCTTTTTCGATTATTATATTAATAGATTTAGATTTATTGTTTTATATTATTATATAACGTGGATGGATATGTACTATACTGTATAGCGAGCGGGCCACGACGCCGAGCTAGCCACTTTAACCTGCCAACGCGTTTATCCAACCTTTTTCTTAATTTTCTCAACAACTAATCATAGCAAAGTTATACAACCAAGTAGACTTAAACTTAGCCCTCCAAGCCCTCGAAAAAAACCTGAAACTTAGTATCCGACAAGCAGCGTGGACGTACTGTACAAAGTCCCCCGAAGTACTCTCCAGACGCGTAAAACAGCATACCTTCCCGACGCGATATCATGCCTAATTTAAAGATTCTTACAGAATTAGAAGAAGAGGTTGTTGTTAAGTACATAATCGGCTTAGATACGTGGGGATTTCCCCCCCTATCGGCTCCTAGCTCCTGTTATAGCGGAGGAGGGCCATACCGGCCCATACGAGTATGAGTCTAAGTAGCGAGGTGCATCTTTGTGATACAGCTCGCCATATGAGCTACAACAGTCACACATAAGATATGCAAAACAGCTTTGAACCTTTTTGCATACGATGTCTGTCAAATGGTAAGCTAGACTTCCGCCTCGCAGCTGATACAACTTTGCTTTTGACCATGGAACACACGGAGCCAACTTTTGCTAATTCCTCTCCAATGACTCAACAACTCCCCATGGGAGCAGAGCTAGGCAGATCGACAAGTGTGTATTACACTTCGCTGTTTATGAGGATCCGAATTTATAGAATGGACTATGAGTATTAAACCGGTCAAGCTACTTAATATATGACCTATAACTCTCAAGCTATATTCCTCGATTTTCCCTTCTACGTGGTCCGGATTCGCTTCCAGACTTTGTTGAAAGTTGCGAACCTGCAGCTATGCTTTTCCTTGTCTAGTGTAGTGGCTTTAATTTCCCCGAGCTGAGTAAGAATGTATGATATCCTACCGATTCACCGTTGGTTTTAGCCGAGCTGCTATGGATTCGAATGCAGATATTCACCGAGAAGACCACCAAATATAAAAGTATTGCACATGCTATTATTTCTGCTTATGCTCACTGAACAAATAGATTGACTATGTACAGATATAGAGTTGAATTTTAGAATACTCCTGATATTCCTCTACCTAGTAGATGATCTTCCATTATCATCAGGTATACCTTCATTATCCCCAGGGCCTGTGTAGGTTCCGCTGCGTTTTGTTGCATGACGAGTTCGGCCTTTAAGGATATTCCCCTTGTTGATGGCTTCAGTATCATCGTCCTCTACGTATCCATTGTCAGTGTAGTGGCTAAGGGCAAGTGAGGGCAATGCCTACGAAGTCTCGCAGAAGAATTTGGTTTGTTTCTTTCACGAGGGTGGTCAACCTCCGTTTCGTCCTTTATAATGGGAACTGGCTCGCCTCCTTGCCTCGGGTTCACGTAGTCATTATTGGTAGTGACATTGCCTTGGAGGAGCTCTTCGGTCGGAATGTCTTGTGAAGGAGTATATGCCTTATTGGGTTTATTAGACATGATGATTCTAGGTGAAAAATAAGTTTCTTTAGCGGTTGGGTATGAGATTGTACAACTGGGAATATATTCTAGAATGTTTGTAGGTTTGTTGTGTTGGCACTCGTTGGGTCTGGAGATGGGAAGATCTAGGTGGTATAAATGGGGGCGCAAGGTGATATCGTAAGTGCGTGACGGAGTATGGTCTGTGTATTCGCCATCTACTCAAGATGATGTAACAGCTAATTGAAGTAGAGAGTGCAGATACGCCTTAATATGACTCGATAGGTGGTCCGAATTTAAGATCAAATGGCCTCGCTATCAGAGACTTGAGTCACTTCACCAACCATTTGGTTCTATTCCACTCTGGCTCTCAAAATCCTCACCATTTCTTTTGCAAGTATTAGCGAACCCTCCCAATATTTTCTCAGAAGCTCTACTATGAGTGACATCAGAGATTTAGGGTAGGCTTCAAATCCGGAGTAGTCGGGGCTGTATCTTGGTGCCTCGAGACTCCCTTCCGGTATTTTCGAAAGTATTCTAAAACTCTATACCTGTGCAGGGAGGAGGACTTATTAATAGCGCATATCCGAATGTTATCATTTGTATTTGCCTGCTCATCTCGTTCTATGTTGCTTTTAGACATTCTTCTTCATAGCGAGATGCGATTCATTCCGTCTGTATTTCGGTTATATCATACTACTAGAGTCATGCAAAAGTGTATTTGCTGCCGGTATCGAGGAATGTTTCAGCAGAGTTATCGGGAACATACGGAACAAGTGACGCAAATTCGTCCATATATTGCAGCATCAGAGTAATGTTTGCTTTTTACCAAGAAGCGTGGTAATAGTTTCCGTAAGGGGTGACGTTTGGTCGAACCAGAACGAATTACAAAGGCTGTGATGACGGCCTTAAGCAAGCAATGTTTCACTTATAGCTGTTGATAAGACTAGTTAATAGTGTTACTGTGACATCAGGCTCAAATCGAGAGCATAAATACTCCCCTACTTCCTCGAGTATGATTCTTACCTCTTCAGATCACGTTGAAATATTACCCAAAGCTCCTTGGCGAACGTTAAACACTAGCCCATATCTCTTATATCCTACCGAACACTGTACGCTAGTTACACACATCATGGCTCCAACCAAGAACCAAAACCCCGGCAACTTCGCCAATAGGCCCCATGATGAAGTAGAAGGAATAGCTCGCAAGGGCGGTCAACACAGTCACTCGGGTGGCTTTGCTCACATGGACCCAGACAAACAGGTCAGTCGCATGTTAAGCCGTACGTAAGTTGGAGTGCTGGATATAGTGCTGACGTTTCTATTTTCTATAGAGAGAAATCGCTTCAGAAGGTGGAAGAGCCTCTAGCGGAAAGTTCACGCCTGGCAGTCAGAAAGCGAGAGAGGCGGGAGCCAAGGGAGGGGCTTCGGGGAGAAGTCATTACGAGGAGTAAAATTGTGGACTGATGTATGATGAAATGAAATGAAATTGTTAGTTGTGTATGATTATGAAGGTGTATGTCAAACGTTATTTGTAAGAAATGAGAACAAATGGCTCAGATAAAAACCTCAAATCTGTATGAATATTAATATGATCCTCCCCGAGCTGTGTTATACTCATAGGGGATATCGAACCCTCTGTATTGATTAGGGTAGGGTATATATTTGACAGTAGCTTAACTATGCGTATAATACGAGGAATTGGCCATCATAACCCGATCGCTGATTCCTATAACTTATACAACACGTTGATTTAGGTATACGAAGATTTATCTTTATTTTGTGTTGTCTAAATCATAGAACGGGGCTAGATCCGACCCGTGTAATATCTGTATGATTAAAAGTCATACTATTATTATGCTTTGGGGCATAACCTTTTTACTATATATACTCTCCTGCAATTTGGTTTATATGTTCCTAGTATCAGTTGATGGCGTCAGTCCTGCTCAACCGGAACTTGGGGGGTGCGTCCGATTTACGAGGCTATGACATAACGCAATATTTAGGACTTCGCGAGGTGGAGGCCTCTGTTGACTGGGAACGCGCAGTTGGGGGGATAATGCCTTGCCGAGATTGTATATACCACTTGTTAAAGAGCACCTCTATGTATAAAATAACCTCTGCGGCATTTCAAACTTGTCTTCGTCCCTCGCAACAGGTCTCATATCTCTCAGACACATTATCTCAAGGGCCCATTCAGCGATGGGCGGCTCAGTAATTTCAGTTGCCATCAAACTGGAATCCCCAACTTGTATCCCTTAATTTATATAAAAGCATGTCAAGGATTTAACAAAATACCTACGATGATTTGCAAGGTATATTTAGAGGTGAACACATAAAAACCTGGTTAGGGGTCACACCTCCTACCCCTGGGAGGTAGGTACGGATGAAGAGCTAGGATATACAAACCTTAGTCACATGACTATATCCCGCTTGACTGCCCTACAGAGGTATATAGATCATAATAAGCGATTATGGTGCTAAGGAAGACAAAGGCGGCCACTTGGCTAAGTGGTTCGGGTCAAATTATCTTCTGGAGAGGATCGATAGGGCCGAAATCGACAAAACACGACAATAAAAGAAATCGATAAAAAGCGACAAGAGATGTAGGCAATCGACGGGGCTGAATTCTTTTGCTTGCAGGGTATATAATAATATTCTTGCCTCTTTTTCCTGACTTCCTCTTTTCCCTTTATAACAGATATCGAGATACTTCAGTTTCTTCACGTGGCCAACCCGAGTATTGTGGGTTGCGATTTGGTGAGTGAGGCCACCGCCTACCTAGGCGAATTGGCTACTGCCTGTGTACCTGATCAGCCTCTGTTTCTGTGTTCTGTAGGGGTGATTGATTGCATTTGCCATATATTGGGATTGCGACGCGTACAATACTGCTACCCGTGTCCCTAATCTGATTTTGTCCTTCCTATTGTCTTTACCTTTCACTATCCACCATTACACCGCCCTTAATATTCACTTATAGGTAGCTGGAAAACAACCTGTGTTTATATAGAACGCATTATAGTAGAATACGAAGTAATTAAAGCCGAAAACTTCCGGAGTAGGAGGTGAAGCGAGTACCTACGTAGTAAAGTCCAGTTTGCTACCCCCGTATCGATCCAGCTTTACTAATATAGCCTTTTATTCGGCTCACTTTGGTTTTCTTTCTTTCTTTATACTCGAGTAATTGCATCATAACATGAATTCAATTGTACCGGCAGCAAAATAAAACGAATCTAGATTCAACTCCGTACCTATAGGTACCTTGGCAGGCAACACAACACTTCTTAATCCCGGGCAAGCACGTGGTATGCTAAAATCGCAACCGAGCAAAAGGGGGGAAGGGGGGGAATAGATACGTACTTCGTACTCGTACCAAACCCCATAAGGAAGAATTCGCGTTCGCTACGGAGCACGGCCGCTATGATAAACCTAAAAGTGACCTCACCACCCAACCTCATCTCTATGCACACTTCGTACACACTCAACAAGAGCGCACAATGCAATGGACACGCATCATTGATATAGTCGGTAGCCAGCAGTTTCACTGGCGGCTGCGGCATATGAGACAGTAAGCACCTGACCCCCCGTTGCTCAGTGGGAGTTGGCATATGGGAGCAGAGGCAAATATTCTACTCTGCGGTAGGTAAGTGGCACGGAATTGGAATGGAGATAGGGATAGTGGTGGGCAATGGAGCCATGCCCATATTACGTCACATCCTTATCTCTGTTCTGGTGATTCTCAATTCGTACTTTATCCAATGACGTAGCTTAGTGGCCATTTCAGACCCGGTTTATTTGCTTCAAGATTTTAATTTCTAGAGGTGTTTGCCAGAGCCCTATCAATTTATTGTTCCACTTCGAGATTTAGACAATACACCATCTCCAAACGCATCTCCATTCCCGTTCCTATCACTGCTCACTACTCATTTTTCACTACTCACCACTATCTACTCACCGTCGCAATGCCGCGCAAAGTCTATCTCACCGCAATCGACCGCCAACCTAGCATCGCGACCGTTGAACTGCCCCTCTCCAACCCAAATTTCTCCAAAGAAATAAACCTAGAGGTTGGGGGTAGTATATTTGTATCCTAAGTGCAAGGGCCTAAACAAGCTGGGCCGATGTAGCACGAAACTGGCGAGGAGAAGATGGCCTTTGGTATTCCAAAGCAGACGGGCGCTGATGGTATCGCACCACATGAATGAAGGCAGCAACTCTTATACTTCAAGGCTTACGCCTTACGATTTAAAGGCGAGCTGGAGGATAGGAAGATAAGGCTAAGTGGCAGTTAAAGTTGTGTTATTGGGGAAATAACAAACAGTTCCTTGTAGCTTTAGCAACGTGGGACTTTCAAGTGGCGATGCAATGGTCGTTCCTAGAGTTGCTGAAAAGGTTTCTGGTGTTATAATTGCTGGGGATGTTGATGGACGTGGAGGGAGTCCTGGGTGTGGCCTGAAAGGAGCTATCGATGCCTCTTCTACTATTATCGATGGTGGAATTCAGGCTCCAAGTGGTGCCCCACTCGGTCCCACAGTTTCCAACCTTCTTTTATCAATTCACATTGAATTTGGTCCGCCGGTTCCGAGAATTTTATGACTCGATTTTTGGTGGTTGAATCGTATTCCTTTTTCAAGAGCTAGAACGGTTGTTGCACAGGAACAGTATACCTCGTCACTGTCTCTAGGTTTCCCTGCAAACCATTTTCCCTAACGTGTTCCTAATCCGAGTAGTCCATCCTTTATTATCGTCGCTGTTCGACTGTGGGCTAATGATATAAAGGCAAGTGCCTCAAGCATCGATACATTGCTTATAGATAACATAGCTGCCGGTTCATTTGTTTTCTTCGAAGTACCACGCTGTACCTGACTGGTGATACGACGAGGAGGAAACCCGAGAGTGATCGCATTTAAAAATCTTTGATGTCTATGTGGATCACTACCGGGGCTTCGTCATATTTGAACTTTGCTGTAAGAGCCACCTATCCGCTCCGATGCTACGCTACGCAAGTGCAGTATTGATCCTGACGACATCGAAGCACTATCAACGCTGTTGCCATAATCACCTTATTCACGGCAACTACGGAAAACTAATCTTATATAACGCAAATGAAGTCCCACGGTGTGTATAATACCAACTTGCACCCTCAATGCCGCAGAGTTATAGGCGTTGTTCTCCCTAACCTAGTTTATTTCTGAGATTCTATTTTGGCCATTGATAGGACATTGCTAGTAGCATCATGTTGCTCAACATCAGGTATCTCGCCTTCTTTGGGGTGGCGGTCGCGATTCCAGACGAGAGGGTAAGGCAAGCTTCTGCGAGTTCGAGCCGTTCGAGTTCCATCAGCAGTATTCTCAGCTCCTTTTCAAGCGCGTCGTCGTCTTCAGCATCGGCGTCAGCGTCGGCTTCGACGTCGACGTCAACTACATCAAATTCAACAGCATCAAATCCTCAAGGAGCAATCAACACGACCATCCTAGCACCAAGCATTTCTCATCTGCCACCTGGCCCGAATGCAACCTCGTACCCGTCTGATGGGAAACTTCACGCCCCTGAACCAGCACCATATACCCCAGCAGGCGGCCTGGGCACGAATGGCAGTGAGCCGGTCTATGTTCCACAGTCGGATTTTGACTTCGAGTCATTGGTGAGTATTTGAGAAGCCCTTAGCTCACCATATGTCGCTAATATTATTCCCTTCAGGCGCTAGTCCTTTATCAAGAATACATAGAGCTGGATCTCTTCCGCAGTGCGTTGAAACGATTTAGCGTCCAGGAATTCGAGGCGGAGGGAATAAACTCAGAGTATCGTGAACTCATACGGTTCATGAGTGATCAGGAAGTTGGCCATGCCACGATGGTCGCAAATATACTAGGGCCCAAGGCTCCCCAGCCCTGTAATTACAGTTATCCATTCACCACTGTCGGCAGCTTCATCGATTACAGCCAGAAAAGCACTCGATATGGAGAGTCAGGTGTTCTTGGCTTCCTCGCTCACTTGAACTCTCGACCAGCAGCAAGTCTACTATCGCAGTCCATCACGACGGAATCCCGACAACAGGCCATATTCCGTCAATTCAAGGGTTTATTCCCGATGCCTATTTACTTCGTCCCTGGAATCCCGCAATCCTGGCACTGGACTCTCTTGGCCCCAAGCATCTCCAGCTGCCCCTCCAACCAAACACGACTAATTTGGCAAAATTTCCCCGCCCTTACGATCGGCAACAATCCAAACAGCAGCAATAGCGGTGGAGTGTTCAATACGCCTGCTATCTCACATAACCTCAGCAACCCCTTGACTTATCCAGGACGTGAAGTCCAGCTCTCCTGGGAACTTCCGGGGAAACCAGTGGGACCTGACAAGTCCTACATTACCAACACGACTGCTGGTGCGCCTAAATTTGTTGCTTGGGTGTCGTCATTGAATGTGACTTACTCGCCGTTGAAAACGATCAACAATACTTCCGGAACGACGATCCAGCCCAACACAACAACTTTAGGCGGCGCTCCTGCTATTAATGGCACGATGTTCATCGCGGTTACGGATACAGATCTAGTTGTTACGCCGTTCAATCTCAGTATGATCAATCCACATGTAGTTGCTGGGCCGGCATTGTACCAAGCTGGATGAATTGAACTGGGAAAAGCATGGGAATCCAACCGATATGACCGGAGCACGAGGATATCTCTGTATAGATAGCCTCTCTTGGAGTGTATATAGAATCAAATTAATTCACTTAATACAGCTATTTAATGAAAATTGCAACGCGTTTCTTCGCTAGCAGGCTTTGGTATGTGCTATACCACCTAGAAGCTAAAATAACCCCCCAAAGCCACATAGTTTCGAGAACCTTCCCCTGATCCTCGGCTGAATATCGGAAAATTGCCCTGTCCCATTTCTAAGAAAAAAGAGAGCAGCTATAGGAACATGCCATTTGAACCTAGCATTCAATTGATATATAAAAACTGTAACCTATAGATAGTATCATATATTGAAGTATTCAAATTATTTGCTACAGCTATGATAATATGATAAAAGACTAACGTCTTGAGTCGGTATTTAATCTAGGCCATAATGCCATCGACAACACGTTTGACCAGGAAAGCTAATATCCTTTCTCGAATATATCAAAATATATGGATAACTTGCTTTTCTAGTTTTCCTAAATTTAGCTAATTTTTTTATTCTGATATACCATCGCCTTGATACTGTTTGTGCACCTCTACTAGTTAGTGCATGTAGTTATTAAATGTCCCTTCACATCGAGTAGGACTTATTCTATCTAGGCGGCATGACGTCGCATGAGTGTTAATATTAGACAACGAAGATATAATTTGAACCAAGTTCGCCATAGGCAACAAACTATAAGATGTGGCTCTTAAATTACATTCATAGGCTTGTTGATTACACTCTTAGTTTCGTAAAATTAGTACATAGCCGAGAGATCACATGGTAGACTCTCGATCGCAAAACCGGCTAGTACAAATGAGGGAAATAGCTGGCGTGGAAGAAGTTAAAGCTCTTGTTACTCTTTAACCCATTTATAGAATGTATCGACAATACATAATTATTGCGCTTGTGGAATCATGAAAAGATAGTTGAAGTGGGTAGGCCGCAGAAAGACCGTTGAACCTTAGTCATCGGCCACTCAAGTTTATATGAACGTCTGGCTCTTCAGACGTATTTAACTCTTGCGCTTATTATCTCAGGGTTCATATTTCGCAGCAAATTCAATTGACTCCACAAAGTTTACTCGCCCTCACAAGTTCACCACCATGTCTTCAACGAAGCTCGACTTCGAAATGACGCCCGAGCTCGAAGAGATCCTCCAACGCGAACTTCGAGAACCCGGTCGCTCTCTGCTACACCCCTCCCTGAAACCCAATACACAACTATATGGCTTCAAGATGTAATCTGGATAAGTGCTTGATAAACTCTAAAGAGAGAAGACTCCTCAGAAGGAGAGCTCCAGGATTACTCTAAATACATGTAATGAATAAAGAGCCTGCAGAGCTATGCAGGTTTCCGAGCAATAAACAAGCAATCAACGGGAGGAACGGTGATTCCAGAGTCTACTAGAACCAACTTTTCAGGGTGGTTTATGATGCGGAAATGAAACTTCCTGAGCCTGATGATAAGAAAGCGATTCTAGCATGGCTTGGGATTAATGAGAGCGTTCCTGAGAGCGTGTTAAAAGATTACGAAGAACGTCTTGCCGGCGATGTTCCCGAGCTATATGGACTAGTGTTGTATCAATTATAGATACCAGAAGCAACCTTGGTTAATCAATTTGTTATGATATTTCTTCTCGGAATTGGCTAGGAATGGGACCTGAATGAAGCCGAAGATTTCGGTATGTAACATTCTTATCCAGCGTCTGATCGAATCGCCACTTGTTAATTTATATTGAATCCAAAGAAGGATATGTGAATTCGGTATTTGGTATAGGCTTAAGGCCCGAATTTGCATTACTATGTGGAATGCATCCGGAGAAAGGATGTACAGTGGAAGAGCGGGAACGATGGCATAATCACGCTATCGCACCATGTCGAGGATTTGTTCAAAGAATACGCTTCTGTGCTGATGCAATTGTGGAGGGATAGAGCAGAGAATAGATAAGTGGGAGTGGATTACGTTTGGTGGAGGGAATGGGGGCGTCCGGATTCATATCAATTTATTGCCTATACAGTCCGCCACTCACTTTCACTTACGGAGTAATAAGGTAATGAGAAGACTTGCGAGATGCTTACGTTCAAAGCCCACCCCCAATAAAAGCCGAGAAAGTAAGAAAAACGTTGTGCCGTCAGTTACCCGAATGAGTTGAAAAGACGTCCTCGTTCGGCTATAATGTTCCTACTACCGACAGGAAAGGGTGTGAGAAATGATGCTATGACTTCAGAGACTTTCTTCGAGAATAAAACCATGCAAAACCCCGATCGAGCCATGAATAGGGGTACTTGATTCTCTTCGGCTTAGCAATATCGCTCTCGAGGGAGCAGATGGCAAACTTTATCTCGAGGCCGATATTTTTGGAGGCCTTATGCCGTACCACGCGGAGAACGGGGGTCAGCGGAAATGCTTTCACCGAATCGGCGTGGAACTCAGGAACCTATCTAAATGGGCTTGGCCGTCCTCGCTCTAGGAAAACGCATCCACTTCTAGGAGAAATCTTTTGGCTGAAGCAACACGGTAGGGATGCATCTTAACCATCCGGTTCATTATTATATATCCTCAACTTCAAATTTTACAAGTAAGGAACACTTTGTCTCCCTCCCCTTCAAGTCCAGCATGCGGATGAAATTCCACCCAGGCGCCACATACATGATCCTTACTGCGGCAACCGCAAAGATTGGATTGCTGGCAAAGCTATCATCGCTTTTGATCAGCATACGAAGGAACACCAGCTCGTTGTCCTCATATTCCCATTCCAGCGTCTCGTTCCAGACCGGATCTGTTGGCGGTGGGTTCTCGCCTTTGTGCAGGAAGCCAAGCTTGTGGTGCTTGTAGGGCACCGTTTTGCGTTTGGGTGGATTATTCTCCAAGTCATCTGCATGAACGAGCGTGCAGGTGACATACGGCTTGATGTCGTCTGCTTCGCGGCCTTCTGGGAGTGGTACGTCTGATGCTCCAGCGACGTGGAAACGCAGCTTCTTCCTCTTGCCCGTGTTAAGCTTCCCGTCGCCACCAGCGCGGAGGGCCGCAGGCTTTAGCACGTATCCATCTGAGCCACTGAATAGCGCCTCGTTAAGCTGCACACTGGCACCGAAAGATTGCCAGTTGAGTGCGCATATCTGGGCTCCGACACCCCAGAAGGGGACCGGTTTGAGGTTTTTGGACGAGATGCGGGTGCCCTTGGGATACACGCGCATGAGATGCTGCGCATTGTGGCGAGCAATCTTTTCGCTCTCAACCGGCATGTGGGATGCCAACCCGGACTCCGAAATGTTTATGAGATGATGGTGGGGGCCGTTTTCGAGCTCACCTTGAACAAACCATGAGCTGTTGCTAGGCTTCACTGACTGGGCGTAGATGCCTAAGTCGGCGAGTTCCGACACGATGCCGGCGGGAGCGGCAGCTTTCTTCTTTTCGTTGTAAGCTTGGTGGGCTTGCTTTTCTTCTTCGTCCTCGTCGCTGGAGCTAGTATCGATCTCGTTGGGAAGGTGGTACTCAACAATGACACAAACTTTAGATCCGAGCTCTTCGAGGCTCACATGGTCGTCGGTACCCTGCTGCTCTTGGTGGCCTTTTTGTCTAACGGCTTGACTTAGGAGACGGTCGCCCAAGACCTCCTTCATGATTTGAACAAGACGCAGCTGCCCGTGAGCGCTACAGTGATTTTCAAGGGACAAAAGAATGGGTGCTGCTCGGTAGGCTTGTTCATTGATCGACTCGGCTGCCTCCTGGTCAACGACATCGCGGATGGTCTCGCAAACTGAGCGGAAGGTGATATGGGATACGAGTGTGTACCCGTGCGTGACCTTGGGCTCCTCATTATTCTCGTCGTCGTCCCAAGCGTCAATTTCAACGCAACGCGAGCCCGTTTTGAGCGCGGTCTCATAAGCATCGGCTGAAGAGCTCCCATAAAGCTGATGGGCGATCAAGTAAGTGTTATGGCTCGAGCTGATGAAGTAGTCGGGCAGTGGGTGTGACCTGTCTGTAACGGACGATGGGACATTGATATGTGGCTTGTCAAGGAGAGCCCGTACTGCTTCAGTCGGCTGATCGAAGCTGTCTAGGCCCGCGTTTTCCGTGGATAGGATTTTCTCATGGACGAGGAATGACTTTAGGGCCTGACTGACTCTGAGTTGATTCTTGGTGATGGCAGTTTGGCGAGCACCGTGGCCGCCTCCTGCGACGGTGGTGGAGTCGATCTCCCCTCCTACGTCGTCGTCATCGTCTTCTCGTTTCGACTTTGAGAAATGGTTTAATTTGGCTAGGCGTGAAGAAAGCATCGAAGGCAACCGTACGGGGTCGGACTCAAATTCTGAGAGTATTGGCACAGTATGGTCTAGCCCAGATGAATTGTATACGATGAGAGGTGCTCTTCGCTCGACTAAGACTCAGCTTTGGAGGGGTTTGTTGGCGGGGTAGTGCTGTGGCCTTGGAACCTTGGCGCGCTGGAAACAGACCGCACTGCAAAAGCAAGTTGTACCCGAAAGCCAAACGGACTGAGAGACCAGAACCCTAGGCTTGGTGCAGATCTGCACTGCCGCAGTTCAGGAAACGGAAGTGGCATTTGGTGGGGTCGTCCTTCGCCCGTGACTAAACCAGTATTCGAACTTGCACCGCTGTACTGGACTGGACTGCCGAACAGCACCGTAGAATAGAGCTATTCGCGCCGCTACTAAGTTAAGAAAAGTACTACATAGTATATTCCCCTTACTTAGTATAACTTTACTATTAGGAACACTATACCCTATTTTATATAAATAGTAGAACTCCTAAAAAAAGCTATAGAATATTATCAGGAGCGTATCACGGGGAGCGTGGAGCGCTATTCTATTGGGGCTCGGCTCTGGTCCGGGCTGAGTCCGACCATAGTCCAGGCCACACAACCCTTTGTCACGAATGCAAATAGGAGTGCCTTAATTAAAGAATTATCTCTCTATTCGACTCTAATCATAACTACGAAGATATTAAACTAAAGAGAGAAGAAGAGAGAGTACGACTTTTCTAGGGGTATATATCCCCCCATGTGGATCACGTGGCAGAGGCACGTGACAGTCCACTTGTTCGGTCAGTATAAGTGAGCGCACGTGTCAGGCGTCGCTCCAGAACCGTCCAGTATGTAAAGTTTGAAGAAGACAGTGCTAGAATAAGTGGTCTAAAAAGGGCTTGCGCCAAAATCGATAACTTTGTCTCCCGTTTTAAGGATATATCAAATTTACCTCGTAGGTTCCTTTCGCCTTAATACAGACTCTCTGTACCCTTTCCGCCTTTAACAGTCTCCCTCTATCCCTCCCCCGGGCAGAATTATCAAGCAGCAGACTGTAGAATAGAATCAAACCGCAATCATCCCAAACTTACCGGGCCATTAGTCCCGATAATAGACGAAGAAATAAAATGGCCACTATCTTAAGTTACCCAGGGGATGATGGGCATCCATTTTCTGCTCCCTGAAAAGGCTCCTTATAAAGCAGGAAAGAGAACAGAGAAGCAGTTGTCAAGGTTTTGTGTTCTTGCAGTCGGCTAGGGTCGTGCCGCCTTAGTCATTGGGTACGCGAGCTTGAGTAGTGCGAGATTTTGGCAAGTCGGCTGTAGAAAGCAGCGGCCAAACCTCAAAGTAGTAACCAATTTGCCGTCTAGTCTTTAAATAGAGTAAGTTAAGGCTAAATAACCTAGTTTGGATCTACATCGGCTCCGGCAAGAACTTTTATAAGTTTGAAAGGGGAGCGAGAACAGATACTATTATAATGTTTTAATAGGTTTAAAGAGGTAGCTATATTCTAGATAATAGGCATTAGTAAGATTTAGATTTAGACAATATGGAAACTATAACCGATTTGCGAGGGAGCTAAAAGAGGATTCCCTGAGTATAATCCAGCTAACTCATCAGCGTACTCAGGACTCACCAAAGTCCATTTCCGTCTTTCAACCTGAGCAGCCGCTACTCTAACCTGAGCTGACTCCTGTCAAGATTCGGCGCAGATTATACGGGTAGTTGTTTACTTTCGTCTCTACTCATGCCTGGTGCGGGGAACTGGCAAGGATGTTACATAAGTGGGCATGCTTACATGCTTACATGTCTAGGGAGGAGCTCGGCGTCTTTCTCGGTCGATACATCTAATCTTTCCCTGTTACATCTACCTAGGTACCAAGGTAGGTAAGATCTGTTCCTTTTATGTACCTTATGATATTTCGTTTTCGATAGGCAAGGCTGTGAGTACTGCTACGGCCTAAATTGCCGAAAAAATATGCTGCCGAGTGGCACTGAGATCAAAACTAATATTAGAATACGTCCTTCCTTCCTTCATCGCATGTTTCTGATACTGCCTATTATAATTATTTCTGTTCATTGAGCATACAATCGCCAAAATATTGGTCAATTCATCATGCTGCCATGGTCTCCCCATCCCTCACTCCTCGCACTGTCCCTTTTCGCATCATCCCAAGCCTCAATTCTCTCATTCGACTACATAATAATCGGCGGAGGTACTAGTGGCCTCGTCGTTGCAAGTCGGCTTTCAGAAGTCTCTCACATCAATGTTGCAGTAATTGAAGCAGGCGATTCTGTATTCAGCAATCCCAACGTAACGGATTTGAACAAATTCACGGCAGCTTTGGGGACGGAGATTGACTGGCAGTATGAGTCTACAGAACAGAAGTATGCAGGTCGGGGAAAAATTGCCTATCACGGAGGGAAAGCATTGGGTGGGACGAGTACGATTAATGGCATGACCTATATTCGGGCTGAAAAGGCGCAGATCGATTCTTGGGGGATAATTGGGAATAGGGGTTGGAACTGGGAGAGTCTATTGCCGTATTATGAGAAAAGTGAACAGTTTGTTGTTCCTACAGTCGCGCAGACAGAGGCGGGGGCATCCTACGTTCCTAGTGACCATGGAGAGAAAGGACTATTGAAGGTGGGGTATTCTTATGGGTTGCTAAATGGTTCTTTTGTGGACGAAGTGGAGGCTTCATGGAGCACATTGGGTATTTCTCATAATCCTGACTCTAATGGAGGTCATGTGCGTGGATTCACAGTCTGGCAAAGCACTCTTGATCGGGAAGCCAATGTTCGAGAGGATGCCGCGAGAGCATATTACTATCCTTTTCAGAGTCGACCGAATCTTCACGTGTTCCTGAAGACTACCGCCAACAAAATCATCTGGAAGGACTCGACAGAGATTATCGCAGACGGTGTTGAAATCACTTCTGCAAACGGAACAGTTAGCATGCTGAAAGCTAAGAAAGAAGTCATTGTTTCTGCAGGGTCACTCAGATCCCCAGCCATCCTTGAGCTTTCAGGTATTGGAAATCCAGGGTAAGCTGGAACCCCCCCTGAAACCTCAGTACTAACTCTCCTAGGATCCTAAGCAAATACGGAATACCGCTCAAAGTCCCCCTCCCTGGCGTTGGAGAGAATCTCCAAGACCAACCCAATACCGCCATCACTCTCCAAGCCCAGAGAGCATTCAACGGAACCATGGCATACGCAACATTTGGTTCCCTTGCCGACATCCGGATTAATCTCCCATCATCATCGAGCCTCAAATTGTGGGCAAGCACCGTATCCGCCGCAATCAACAGCTCCCTTCCCGCTACCTCCCTCTACCAACTCTTCCAAATTCAATACGCCCTTTTATCCCGTGGTGTACCAGATGCTGAAACAATCATTGGCACCACGATGAATTTCGGCTTGGGACCAAGTGGAGTTGTTGGCTCAGCGTTTTGGTTACTGATGCCTTTCTCGAGAGGAAGTGTTCATATCGCCTCCACAGACCCGAAGTTGTATCCGGATATCAACCCGAATTTCTTTCTGGTTGATTTTGATCTCGAAGTCCAAATTGCGATCGCAAAATGGACGAGGGAGTTTTGGGATACGGACCATATGCGGGGTATGGTTACCGAGTTGAGTCCTGGGTTTGAGGCCCTTCCGAGAAATGCCACAGATGAGGAGTGGGGTGACTGGGTTAAGGGTTCTTGTGAGTTTTCATTCATTCTTAATTTTGGTTCGGCTTGAAAGGATGTTGATATTGATGAGTAGTTTCTTCGAATTCCCACCCGCTGGGAACGGCGAGTATGATGTCTAGAGAACTAGGCGGGGTAGTGGACAGTAGGTTGAAAGTTTATGGCACGAAAAATATCAGGGTTGTAGATGCGAGTGTAATGCCTTTTCAAGTCAGTGGGCATTTAACGAGTACACTGTATGCTATGGCAGAGAAGGCGGCGGATTTGATAAAGGAAGATTTATTAAATGTGAAGCTCTGAGTTGCTAAGCCGCGCTTGTTGACATTGGCGAAAGAAAGACATGGCTGAACATTGTTAGGTATATACGCGTGGGTCAACGAATTCATGCTAGGACGCATGGGCGAACAATGGTAGTGTCGGTTTGAAAGTTGCCGTGATTAAGATGGCTAATATCTATAATCCGTATATCAACCTGCTACATTCGGCAGTTGGAACTCAACTCAACGCACGGTTGGCTTACTGAATGCCAACTAGAGAATATTCTTGTCTAAAAGTTTTACTTGAATTGCTAATAGGGGTATTACTATAATAGAGGTTCTATTAGTACTTTATAGTAAGGCTAATCCTCCTGTAAACGTTAATTTAACAACTATAGTAGTAGAACGTACTATGAAAAGTTTCCTGTAATAGATATAATATATTTGCGTCCTAGGCGTGTTATATAGCAGTTACTACTTAACAAGTTCTTAATAGCTATAGATAGATTATATTGCAAATCGGTTTACTAGTATTAAGTAGAAGCTAGGGTTAAAAATCCGGGCGCTTAGTATTGTTATGCCGGCCTTCTCCTACTAGCTTAGAGGATTGCACCGGCTGCTAAATTCTATCAGACTCGCTGAGGAATACTTCGTAGAGCTTCGGTAGCCACAAGACTTTTCCATCCCACTGAACTCTCGGTGAGAGTCCTCATGCTCAATATATTTCCGACACAAAGCACGAACATTCTTTCTATCATGACAATGCCAGTCTCTTCAGCAGCAGCAAACCCGCCGGATAACTATGACGCCCTGATTATTACAATTAGTGTTATCTTTCCTATTCTTTCTGCGGCCGTTGTCGTTGCACTATTCATCTCGATCCGTATGAGAAACGTATCTTTTGAGGTAGAAACTTACCCGCTCGTGACTGCTTTGGTAATTTACTCCTGTTAATCGTACCGAGTAGCAAAGACGAGGTGGTATATAACGGCGGAGAAAAAAAAATAGCCTTGACCAATTCGTTTTCAGCTGGCCATCAGATTTGATTCAACAAACTCAAATGTGTAGAATAGATTTACATATGCTTCGACAGCTGCTAACTTTGTTGGTTTAGACTGACATCTGTTTACTTTGAATATGAGGCAACTTTCTACTATCCAAAAAGAATTCTCTCTGCTCTTCGATCCATACCCGCTTGTTGCCAGGGCTGGCTCTTCATCTCCAGGTTTTCTTTGCTAGGAACTTCGTTCAAAGCACTTCGCAAGCTCTCAGTAAAGCCTTGCCCCTGATCATTATCTAGAGTAATATACCACTTATGCTTAGCAAATCACGATTTCCGCTTTCGCTGGTATTCTCGCATGCTGGTGGCTTGCCGATATTTCAGTTGGGATATTCGTTTGTGGTACTCCGATTCAGATGAATTAGGGCGCGTCATCACACAGTGCCTGCGGTGACATTGCAGCATTAGATATAATAGCCCCCAATTGTAACTCACAAGGTTACATGGAACCTATTAATAATATGACCAAGCTGGAAATGGAATCGTCGCTTCAGCGGCTAAAGCACGGGGAGTCGAAGGAGAGGTGATAACAGCTAGCTATCGAACCCAAACCCTAACTTGAACTAATTATACTTTAGACCGAAAAGGTGAGCAAGGCTGCTTTCTCAGAAATACTGGGTGAGTTAAGGCGAGTCAGGGCGAGGCGAACGAGCAATCCCAAACATGACTCAAATTAGAATTTGGAGGCAGAGAGTGTATTTCGACACCTCGGCTATGACTGCTTTCACCGGGTCGAATTAGTACAAGGATCTCTTCGAGAGCCTATTTTTGTTACAGATATGTGCTATCCTCTTATTCGACTATCAAGCCATCGGAAAATTCCCCGGTAAGTCTCCGCTGCCAATTGGAGCTCAAAGAATCCGGTGTATTGTCTCACGTATTCAAGGGAAGTATCCATATCATTCTTTCAAAGGGAATTGATTTATAGAGCAAGCTTGTTCAGTGGGAAGTTGAAAGCCAAGCTATGTAGGAAAGAAAAAGGAAAAAAGCAAAGCACATTCCTTTAACAGATAGCCAAATCTTTAAACCCTAGTATGAAAGCCTACTACTACCCCATCAGCAATGAGTAACTCACTGAAACCCCACACTACGGAATCATAGTCCCAGCTCACAAATGTGGCACACCACAAGCTAAAGCAACAAATCCAAATTCATGATCGTTTCGGCACTGTGGCAAATCAGTGATATCTTCCTCGAAGTCATTCATATGCGTTCCATCCCCTGCCCACTCATCCTGATCCCTTGCATGCTCAAAGATGATGCGCAGTGCACTCGCTGGAGAGCCTCCTTGCTGATAAAAACTTTTAGTCACAGGGGGCCACTCATTAGAATCCCTCCAAGCATCAAGAATATTAACGATAGTGGGAGAAGTGTTGGCTCGGAGAGCAATAGCTGCATGAAGGAAAATATTTCCGAATCCCTGTCGTAGGGATTTGTTGGTGATGAAGTTCCGTTGAATATCTAGAGCCACATGAATGATCATGTCCTCCTGCAGTTGACACCAAGTGTCTCCATCTTCATTAACGACGTCGTCGGATAACATGTCGTGGCCTATTTCCGCCTGACAGAGAAGTGCAAACTTCATACGAGGTGAGAGGAAGCCGTCAATACACTCGCCGCATGTACATCCAAACTTAAATCGTAGAAATTGTATGCCAGTACCCATCCCGTTCCCATGAAGAGCGGCGAGGCATCCAATAGCTTCGGCAGGGAACCCAGGAAATACGTCAGACACACAGATAGTCATCATTCCCCTCTCGTATATAGTTCGTTTTAACTCGAGGTGGGATTTCAGTGCCTCCAGTGGAGTATACCCTTCCACGTTCCTGGCAGAGCTGAGAACTTGGTGCCCGTCGACATTTTCCAGCAACCACTGTACACTTTTGACCTTCAGCTCGCAAGCAGCGACGTGTAAGATGTTCTTGCGGTAACGGTCCACTTTCGCCCAATCTTCTCCAGAATTTCCTGGCTTGTTGAATTCTTTGTAGAGCTTCACACATTCACTGTCCGGGAGAGTGATCGTCGCATGGTGGAGGGGGAGGCGATCCTGCAACAGCTTTAAACTCTTTGAATGTTTACCTGGATCTGCAAAGAAACCCTCAAAATTTGTCTCTTCATTGTCTCCCACCTCTGGATCATCCTCCTCCGCCTGCTCTTTTGCTGGATCGAAATCATCAACTGACAGAATTTTATGAGCTTTATGATTAGGGTCGGTAGCAAGACCAAAGCAGTAAGATGCGCCAATCCGACGGAAACCCAGTGAGCGGTAAAAAGATACCGCAGCTTCTCGAGCGCGAATACGAATATCTCGCTGCTCTCGATTCGACTTTCCCTCTGTATCCTTCCTAATATCGTGAGTGAGCCACCCTGGGTTGACAAGTGTAAAGGCGGGGTGTCTTCCTTCAGCACGAGCTTTGTGAATAAGGGAAGTAGCCAATATCTTTCCCACGCCCTTCCGGCGAAAAGGTCTTTCGATGTGCATGTACTCGATAATAAAAAGAGAGCCACGGTCGAGTTCACTGGCCCAGCAACCAGTACCTTTGCGGACGATATGATCTATGAACTCCTGTTTAAGACGGCCGTAGCGGTCAAAAGTCTCAAACGCAACCGTGGAAAGTTCTTGACATGGTTTTCCCATATCGCGCCAGAAGTTCGATCTGATCCAACCCCTCTTCACATATCTGCCAAACCCTCTTCCAATTTCCTTTCCGTCGTAGCTACAACGGACATGTATGGTCCGCATCCACATTTCAAATTCGTCGTCGTCTTCTTGTAGGTAGAGTTTGATTGTGACTTGACCAGCGACGGATTCGCCTAGTGAATACTCCTGCTCTTCTACCTCGGACTCCGGCGGACCTCTGTCGCCCTCTTTGTCGAAATAATCGCCGTGATCATGTAAGTCATCTTCCGAATCATCCATCATATCTTCTAGATATTCATCTTCGTCCATATCTTCGACCTCATCATCCGAGTTTTGGGAAGAAGGTGTGTTTTCCCCGTCGTTGACCATATCAGCATCGGCCATAGGAGAGCTCGTAGCAGCGGGTGCCACTAGATCATCTTTACCTGATTAGAACCATGAGTAAACATTGGCTTGGAGGCAAAGATTTACCATTACCGCCTGTGCAACGTCGCTTATGATCGGTACCCATCGCTGTGATTGATTTGGATAAATTCTCGTTGTTCTCGCGCCCTGGTGATACTGATACAGCCTTGCGCTTGTCGCAACGTGCTGACTCGCCCTCCATGGTAGAAACTAAACGCGAAGTACTTTTTCACGGAGCTCTTCAATAATCGGGATCTTTCAAAGAAGTGGAGAGACTCAGTCAGTTAGTGACCTGTGCGATCAAACCTGGAGAGTAGTTGGTTGTGCGGCGATGCAATGAGTGTCGCCAAGGCAGCAAGGCTGAAGTGACTGGTGTAACCTCATTCCTTTCCCCCTTCCGTATCCGGATCCTACAATTGCCGACCTATCTATCCCGACCCCTTTAAACCCTACCTAGGGGTACTTACTACTAGCTAAACATTTTACATACTTGTACGAGTGTTCCCGTGCTGAGACTCATGTCGCCCTTCTGGAAGATTTTCATGAGGCATGATGTTTGTCCATCTTCCTCAGATTCATCCAAACGTCAAACAAGCAGTACCCAGGGGTACGAACAGAAAATAATTGAACTTCGCTCTGGCGGTCGTAGATATTCATACAGCATCTAAGCGATCCGCGCCTACTCCGACTCGTATGGCAGGGTGACTCCACCTCTGCGCTGCCCTTTGTGGAAAGTTTTCCAAATCTTTTGCATCCTCAAGAGATCTCTAGAGCCAGTGTTGTTACTACCTCACTCTGGCCGGACAGATAGTAGTTCTGGTTGATTTTGCAGTACAGTCACACTAGTAAACGCTCACGGGTTACCCTGTGACCGAGAATTCTCTCGTTATGAGGGGACGAGATAAACCGTTTATCAGGAATTGGCAATGAGGTCGAACTCGTTCCAATTATCTGTTAACCTAGATGCCCCATTTACTGAAATGGTCGTCCGAGCATGCGGTGTCATGAGTGGCTATTGCGAAACGCCGGATTGCCTTTGCGAACGTCGCTTCCACATTGGGAATGCTAGAATGATGGCTGATGGGCGTTAGTAATGTGCAATTTATAGATCTCGAGGCAAGGCGATATGATGCGCCAGGACTCACTCGTCTTAATATTCGTCTCCGCGAAAACTAGGCTCAACCGGTGAAAAGCACCCTGGGGCAGCTCCTAGCCCGATTTCCTGTTAGTGGTCTGCACTGTTGGCCGCTAGGCTTGCTGAGAAGATGCGGAGTCCTCCTGGAGGGCCGCTCTTAATAATAAGTTTTTCTCCCTTCCGGGTTCTTAATGGCTTTAAGTCATAGGGAAACAGCAATATAACAAAGTTGTCCGGAGCGTGACTCGGCATGCACCATTTGACTAGAGTGTTATCCTCTGGACAGCATCGACCAGGTCCGCCAATGAATGCAGACCTTCTCGTGTCAAAGGTGAGATAAAGTAGAATATATCCGGACCCAATTGGGGCCCTGTGCCTAGTACCTCAATCGCACGAAGGGGAACATCTTCAACGACCAAGTTTTGTGCGCCAACTGCCCGTTCATCCCCCTTCTCAGAGAGTATGTCACGGTGCAAGTCCACCTCGTCGAGATCACAGCAATTGGTGCGTGTATACGTAACATCACTAGTGGTTGAGATTTCAGCAGCCAATATTGAATCCGAGTCGTGCCATCCAACCTCGTCCGTCCGTCCATCTGCCCCTGCTTCTACAACCTCTCCCTTGGCTTGTGCACAAACACAGACCCCCCCGCGCCATAATACTACCTGATTAATCTTTTATGGTTCCCTTCAGCCAAAGCTTCCGTCCGTCTCTCTTGCAAAACCAGACCGTAACAGAGACCGTCTGGTGCGTTGTGGCTGGCTGCAAATACTTGACAGTCAATTCTGCAGTGACCGTAGCCAGCCTTTCAGCAGATTCCCCCGTAGTAGCTCTTGCATCTCCTGCTCCTAGTCCTTATTCGCGGTAAGCAAAATCCCCAGGACCTCATCCAGCGTTGAAGCAACAATCCCACCATGGCAGACATTCGGATAACCGTTGACACCGGATTCAAGTGCAAGGAGAGTTCGAACCTCCCCAGTCCGCGCACCTGATGATAGCGGTTTATTTTACAGTGATAGGCATGCTGAGATTGTCTGGTCGGTCTTCAGCGTCTTACCGATGAGTTCATCCTTGGTGCTCTGCTTGGGCGCTCGGAGCTGGTGGGAGTGATCGTGTATGTAGGATCATCGATGAGAGACGGACACCAGGGGATGGACTGAAATATGCTTCTCGCTCGGGTGGCCATTTTATAAATAAACCGGAGGAAGAGTAAGGTGTGCGGACCAACAAGTGTTGTAGGATGGAAGCATGTACCTATTCCTACAGTAGGTAGGTAGTCGTCGAGATAATCATGTCTAGCTGAGGCATTTCCCTTCCGCAACAGATAAAAGACGACTAGACGATCGGCAACAGTATGCGTCACGTGATGAGTATGCACGGTGCTCAACTTGGAGTTCACAACTATTTACAGGGTCAGAATCTTGAACGCTGGCAGGCACAAACGTCCTCCAAATTTTCGATAGCTGAACTCTTTCGCGCTTTGGCATAGGTCCGCAACTAGACTCGGAAAACTGAAAATGAGCGCAAAGATAGAAAAGATCATTGTTCGACTGCAGGAAAAGTAAGGCAACCAACTACGAAGTGTTCGCCCCGTTGTTAACCTCCACACAGAATTGGAGAAGGCCAATACTATGAAGCCCAGCAACAAACCCGAGTCGTCGCGGCGCGTTATGTCAAGCAAGAGAACTGGGCCGCAGCTATAGATATCATCTTCAATGTCGCATCATCGTTACTTAAAGCGGGGCAAGGGGGAAGTGGTGGTGATCTGGGTCTGCTCCTGATCGATGTCTACAAACAAGCAGAGCTCAAGCCGGATGCGGGCAACAAGGGCAAACTGTTGACTCTGCTACGACTGTTTGACAGCGAAGAACCTACGAGGAAGAAGTTTATTACAGAAATGATTGGGTAAGGCGGAGGAGTCATTGAAGAAGACGAGCGGTGCTAATAGTAGTGTAGATGGTCTTCGAAGTGCGGGGAGTACCCCGCTGGGGAACCGGATTTACATCATGTTACGGGATCATTATATGCGGAGGAACACGAGGTTTATGAGGCTGAAAGACACCTTACGCTAGGCACAAAGGACTCGCCAGAAGCTTTTGTGAAGATGGAGTATGAATGGTACAAACAGGACGATTCGCATACTGCGGCACGCTACGCTGCTCGTGTAGTCTTCCCCTACCTCCTTACGGGCAATGTACGCGATGCCTCGAGATCACTGCGACTTTTCACGAGTAGATTGGCGGAGGATAACAAGAGTTTGACGGTACAGGATGTCAGTAGTAGTACTGCGGACATGAGGATATATCCGAGTTTACCACTACTGAACTTCCTAGGCTTGCTTTTATTGGTTGTTCAAAAGGGAGCTGCAGACCTATTCAGAGAGCTGAAGACCAAATATGCGACCCATATCAAGGAGGTCGAAATTTGGGATGAGGCATTGCTGTCCATTGGGGAGATGTATTTCGGTATACAAAGGCCACGGCAGGGCAATCCGTTGTTTGATATGATGGGCAGCATGTTTGGAGGGGGTGGTGCTCCTGCGAAACCACAGCCTAAACGTGTAGGGGCAGCAGCACCGGCAGCAGAGGGTTTAGACTGAATTCCATACTATGCAAATACAAGTTTTAAGCAATAGTTTTCCATAACGCCTGGGTATCTTGAACGCCGTATGCAAACCCTAATTAACCCATTCCAACGCTACCGAATAGTAGGATCTGCTTCTGCTTCGTGCATCCAATTATCGTCTGCTAACGCTGCGACTTTCGTTCGGAGGCTAGACCTTACGGCTTCGAGTAACTCTATTGACCCTCAGTATGAGAACGACTCGCAAACAAATCAGAGCTTACCCGCCGGCTCACTAGGGGCACGGTTTCTATCCCGCTGATGATGCTTCACAGCATCTGCTAACCGCTGCCTCTCCTCTTCTCCGCCATCAGCACTTGGTCGCCTTCTGGAATGTGATTGCTTCTTACTCTGATCCTCATGTGTATCATCATTTCCTCCCTCCTCCTGCTCATCAAATGACTGCATCGGCGGATCTCCAATCTCGAACTCCCCATTCTTATCCCTTATTACGATATCCGATGTATCTGATTCGTGTTCGACATCTAGTCTGACGGTCTCAGCGGAAGTAGAGGTTGACGAGGTGGTGGGGCGCCGGCTGAGTTGGTGGTGGAAGAGGTTGCGTCGCACGCCGGTACTGCGGTGGCTGTGTGTGCTGCTTGATGTTGCATGCCGTCTTTCGGCCATCGCGCAATATTGTAATTATATCGGAATAATAAAATACGTTTGCATTGGTGGAACGAACGTTTATCGTATGTTGTGGGTATGGGTTGAAGATGTGGGGTTGCTGTGATTCGAAGTGTTTTGTAACCTGGAAGGCTTTGGGGCAAGACTCGCTTCGACTGTTTTCAACGTTCCGATCACAACACATTCTTTCTTCACATACATGTCTTTTACTTAAGGGGAGCCATCTATCGAGTATCCACCATGGATATTAGAAGACAATCGCGATCATGAATAATCATTTTGATATTCAGCCCATTGGCCGATTTGTCGGCCAGAGCGCTGCGATCAAACGCCCCAGGGTAAGTAAGACATCCGCGCTCCTCGGTTTGTTGTCTTGTTTCCTTTAGCAAGTGGATATCATTTTCATCCATGACCGTTCAAACCCTGCTCAAGGAATGGGCATTGTTTTTATGATTAAATTAGGGTCAAGTGGAGAAATAAATCCCCCTTCTCAGCCTTTGCATTCGTCTCTAGATAGTTTCCATTGAGTGGCCTTGAACAGATTTTGACATTTTGATCACCATTGCTCACCATTTTAAAAGGAAATAGCATGTTTCTCATATGATGACGAACATAACTTTCGTCTCGACGATTCCTCGGTTAGATATTACTACCCACCAACCTTAGGCGCTGATCTCTCTAAAGGCTTCGACACCTTTGAAAAGCTCGATGAGGCAGATGATGATCATCTTGATAGTCTACTAAAGACTATCATTGCCTATGAGCAGGAAATGGGAAAGCCTGTAGAAGCGGACGTTATCACATGGCGAGGCATGATGACCAAGGTACGCTGCTTACAATGCCATTAATAATGGAAGGGAAACGGCTAAGTTAATATAGTTCATGGCAGCGATATTCAGTGACAGAGACGGGTACTAGTCCTTAACTCAATAGAGGGATCACACGTTGACGCGAATAGTTTTGAAATGAATGCCACCTTTTTCCAAGTGAGTACGCCTTCATGACGAAACTTCGATGGATGGGCTAACAATTAATTCAAGAACACCATGTAGGCTTTCAAACAGGGTTCCATAACACAAGACTGATCAGGATAGTTTTATTGAGGAAAACCATAATTATAAATTGGAATCTCAGAGAAGACAGTCGCGACAAGTTACACAGCCGGGCCGACCGTCACAGGATATGATGAGCTTTTGGGGTATGATAAAGCCTGACCTACCCAAAGCTTTACTAATAGTTGCAGGCTACAAATTTGAGACGCTGAGCTTATTGCCCGCGCCATGGCCCGAGACCCCTAGAGACTATATCGAGAATCGCGAGAATCAACTTGTCCGCAATCATCTGCAGTACTGTTCTGTAGTAAGAACCGGAATTGGGAGCACACAAATGATACTTGGCGGAGAAGTAGATGCTGGTATGCAGACCCCTTGCGGTGATGCTAGTGATGCTTATGCTTACTGCCCTCATCAGTCTGGGATATCAAGCCCCCGGATGACCGTCCAATCAACTGGGTTGAGCTAAAGACCAGCGCCGATATTCGGAATGATAGAGATATGCTCAATTTCGAGCGAAAACTGATGAAATTTTGGATCCAGTCGTTTCTTTTGGGCGTTCCAAAGATTATTGTTGGATTTCGTACACCAGATGGCATCCTTAAGAGGATTGAGGAGATAGATACTGCCTCGATACCAGGAACAGTTAAACGGAGTGGGAAAGGAACGTGGGATGGGAATATGTGCATCAATTTTGCGTCGGCCTTACTCGAATGTAAGTCAGATATGCCAACAGAGGAAATCAACTGACATGGGGGACAGTTTTGAAAACCACGATAACAGGGGATGGGGTCTGGAGAATTCGGAGGAAGGAGCGGTCTTCGGCCGTTGAGGTTTTCAGGGTGGAAGAGACGGGACATGGAGATATTCTTTCTGATGACTTCATCAATTGGCGAATCAAGCTCGCTATGAGAGATACATAGCACTTCGGCATCGAGTCGCTGTTACATTTCGAAATTTGCCTGCTGAAAGTTAGCGCCACGTTTCTTTACAGAACTGTATAGTCACTAACACCTGGGTTTGGAGCGTGTTCAGCTATCCAAAAAAGCACATTCACCTTTGGACGAATACCCCTTCTTTTTGGACCAATGTCTCACCTCTTCCCAACGCAACGGAGTCTCCCGGGTCAGCGCAATGTCAAGCCATGGCCAGTTGCGAGTAAACGGCCCTCGATGTCATTTTAAACTCTTTTGCCCGTCCATGGAAAGATGGCATAAGTAGAATTAAGAATAAACAACAGGAACCGCTCCAATATCAGGGCTTGGATTGTTATTCCTTGGATCCCGACCGAATGCGTCTGACCCGAGAGTCACCCCGGTGTTGTCGCTCAACAATTCCGACTCGGGATTCACAACAATTACCTGTACACCGCAACAAGCCACCACGATAACAAAACGGTTCGCCGATGCTACACCGTCATACATAGCTCCTAAGATAAGATCTCTGAAGATTTCTGCTTCTCCCTGTTCCATTTTTGACTTCGCAAAATTGAGTCGGAAAAGTAATTGAGGAGTCGGCAACTCCCATCCCGGCCCGTTCCCGCGCTCTCCCCAGCGCTTCCCCATGCCGAGGTTCAAAGGTAAAGGATCAAAAGCCAACGAAAATACAACACTTCATAAATGCCGTCTTTCCATTCTTCCCGCATTTTTGGGAATGCAATAAAATACTCGCACCTTCAAGGTCAAAGAATCCCATACTCATTTCAGAACTTTAGTAAGATGGCTACCATTGTGAACCCTTCCTCCCGGGGATACACGCAAAAGAGACACACGTGAGTCACAAGTACCGCTCGAAATATAAACACCTGTGGATCCTGATTGACAATTGGAGAACAGACATCTGGATACTTCACATTCAATTGCAACAAGGCGAGCCCGAGGAACACATGGGCTTGTTCCTCCCAATGTTGAAAGCCATGAGCTTCAAGCCCAAAGATGTTCGTATAATCTACGTTCTCCGATCCGCTTCTGCCCCGTTGAGAGTCTGCGTCTAACTCTCCCCTAGGCTTGAAGCAATTGGAATCAAAGACTTCGCCAATCGAGAAATATATTTACCTCAGTAACTTGAGGAATTCCAATGTCCACCTTTTTTATCGCCTTGTTCTGGAAAATTTCACGGTAAGTCGCCGGGTGGCTTGCTGTCACGTGGCTAGATTGCTGATTCTAAGAGGATACAGACTCTTACACCTTTAATTTATACCCCGGTGGTGGGCGAAGCTTGTTTAAAATGGTCAGATATATATCAACAGCCAGAAGGTATGTTTTGAGGCTCCAAATGTGCCATTTCTCGAGTTCCACACTATTACAGCACATGGCCCAGCAATGTTCCATCTCTACCTAGGTAGTGAGTCATTACGGGATTATGGCTAGGGGGTGGATTCTCCTATCAATACGGGCGCAAACTCCAGAGCAGCTACGCTGAACTAGGATATTATACTCTCTTTTGCGAAATCCCTTGGACTTCCTGCTCTCGACACCAACCCTTGAGACTTTGAGGATTCTTACTAACCACCCCAGGTCTCTATCTCTCCTACAAAGACCGCGGTTCTCTAAGAGATATTCTCCGCAATTGGCCCCAACCAAATGTCGCAATGACCGTGGTTACAGACGGGTCACGAATCCTCGGGCTTGGTGATCTTGGCGTGAACGGCATGGGAATTCCTGTAGGCAAACTAGCATTGTATACTGGATGCGCTGGTATTAGACCAGAAGCCACACTGCCTTTGACATTAGATTTGGGCACGAACAACGAGACGTTGCTTAACGATCCCCTGTATATGGGAAGTCGGATGAAGCGTGTTTCTGAGGACGAGGAGCGGATGTTCTTGGATGAGCTCATGGTTGCCCTGAATGAAACCTGGCCTGGGTAGGCCCCTCAGCTTATTTTGTGAGAAAAGTGCTAACGGGAAATAGTATCGTGGTGCAATTTGAAGATTTCAAGAGCCCTTTCCCTGCCCTAGAGAGGTACCAGTATAAGTACTCTTGCTTCAACGATGATGTCCAAGGAACTGGTGCAGTTATTCTGGCAGGTATAATCACTGCATTAAAAATGTCCGGCATTCCAGTGAAAGACCAACGAGCTGTCTTCATGGGAGCTGGTAGCGCTGGTACTGGTGTTGCGCAGCAAATTGTACAATACTTCATGAAAGAGGGCTTAACAGAGGATGAGGCTCGGCGCTGTTTCTGGTTTGTCGATACTAAGGTTGGCCCACTAGTGTTCTCTGACATGGGGATGATAATTAACAATATATAGGGCCTCATAACCAACGACAGAGGCGATAAGCTCGCCCAGCACAAACTCTACTTCTCCCGGGATGACAACAGCGGGCAGCAATTCAAATCCCTTACTGAAGTCGTCGACTACGTCAAACCCACCATCCTAATGGGTCTCTCTACAATCCGCGGCATCTTCGACGAACCAATACTCAAGAAGATGACAAGCTTGAACAGACATCCCATTATATTCCCCCTTTCGAATCCCTCCAGCAAAGCAGAATGCACCTTTGAAGAGGCAATGAAATTCACGGATGGGCGCGCCATTTTTGCAAGTGGGAGTCCGTTCCCAACGCATGTTCATAATGGCAAGGTCATGTATCCTAGCCAAGGAAAGTAAGCGCCCCACCTCCTATCCAAACCTCCGAAACTTGTTTACTTACTCTATTGGCAGCAATATGTATGTCTTCCCCGGAATAGGTCTCGGCTCCATCCTCTGCAAAACAAAACATATCAGCCAAGAAATGGTTTGTATTCCCACTTTCTCCTGCATCCGGCGATGACTGACGCTTTGCAGATCTACACCTCAGCCGTCGCTCTCTCCAAAACCGTCATACCCTCGGAGTTCGCCAACGGCATGCTTTATCCCTCCCTCGACCGTATCCGCCCTGTAAGCGTAATTGTCGCCCGCGAGGTAATCCGCCAAGCGCAACGAGAAGGGCTCGATCGCGAGCCTTCTCTCCGTGATATGAATGATGAGACTCTAGACCAATGGATAAATGAGCAGATGTATAACCCTCATAAGGAGGGCAGATTTAATGAGTTAGAACGTGAGTCTACAATCACAGACGACGCAGAAGCACCATTTTACGAGAAGGAGAGGCTGAGTGCAAAGTTATAGATACTCACGGTGGGATTATTCAGGAGAAATTGACATTGGCTATGGGGTTGTAATAAAAATGGACGATCAATCACAGTTATAGATAGGGTAATCGTACGCTTGCTTGCTAGTTGAATCACATCAATTACACTACCGCTTTGACCAGCGCTTATCTTTCATCATGGAGGTGATCACGTCGCCCGATACTCTCGGCTCGAAGAATTCCCAAAATACCCGCTCACTCTTCCAACCGGGAAAGGTCCGATCAAGGAATGCCCTCCGGCGATCCCATTCTCTTAGCGTATCGGTCCTTGATTCCCACTCCTCAAGAGTCATCCCCTTCGGCACACCCACAGTATCCTTGACCTGATTCCCAAAAGGCTTCCTCATACCTTTCCTATAGGTCATCATCTCAGCCCTTGGCATTGGCAGCATAAACTTAGTTTTCTCTTTCGCGTTCTTCAGCAGCTCCAGCACCTTTGCATGGACAATATGGTCTTGAACACCCGGAGAACGCCATGCCTCATGCTTCTTTCCCTTCCACAATGCCCAACCCGTTTCAAGAACCTGATCCTTGACCTGGATACAGAAGGGCTCGTTGATTCGCCTGCAGCGACCGCAGCATATTCGTGGGCGGGAGTCTGCGTTGCGGAAGTATTTTGGCCCAAAGTTCCAACTATATCTAGTAGGTGACTGCTCGGATGTGAAAGTACAGCGGAAACCTTCGAGATTGCATTGGAGGCATGTAAGCCGTTCTTCGTACGACATTGCTGCCGATTTAGGGTGAGAGCAGCTTTCAGCGCCCGGTGTTGTGCTGAATGTTCTGATTGCCAGCTCTTAGTCGGATTGACGAGGAAGGCCAGTTCTTTTCTGATATCGAGGTAATGTAAGTTGGGATCCAGGTGCTAGTGGCTCTGAGCTGCAGAAGGCTCTGCAACCAGTATTTTAGGCATTTGTGAGTTCAGCAAATATTGTGGGGGAAATTCCTTGCTTCGTGGTTGATGTGGAAATGGATTTATTGTAATGTAAGTATACCTTGTTCCTATAGACAAAGCGCCTTTGTTTGTTTAACGTTGAGATAAAGGAGGAGTAATGAACCTAGACCCTAAAACATAGTTCTTTGTTCAGGGGTTACGTTATGTTGTCCTGTACAAACAATCTAATAGTCATACTCAGGAAGTTAGTTGAAGAGCTGCTCGGGGTTGTAAGCGAAAATAATTGTACCTAGAGAGTGATTATTTTTAACAGCAATTTGAATATGGGTATCGTACAGCTAACAAAATGGGAATGAACATAATCGGTAGTCTGCCAAGGTCGTCAATCGCTTTGTATACGCGGATGCCGTTCAATATATGCCTTTCCGACATCTTCCGTTCTCGTGATAACATCGCAAGATTTCCTTGCAACAGTATTGTAAAGTCTCTGCCCGCTGTGGCCGAGGATATCCTATGTGCCTGCTTGTTCCTTCAATTATAAACGTCAGGAGTGTCGGGCTGGCTTGGCCGACCTGCTAATTCATGTTATTGTGCGAAGTACGATCAAGGCTGTGATATGGACCGGTCGGAATAAGATCTACTTCATCACGGTCAGGTTCAGCCTGTGAAGATGTGCCAAACAAATCGCTGGCATCCACAGTAACAATGTTTGCCGCTGGCATGTTTAGACCTTCAGCATTTGGAACTCTAGCTTTGTGGGCATGCTGAGAAGATATAAAGTGCGAGCCGGATTCATGCAACATCTCCAAGATGGCCTGTCTTTTCGGAGAGGTTCTTTTGTGGAGGTGCCGATCAAGACCAAAGTATGGCGACGAAGAAGCATCATGAAATTTTCTCCGAAATTTAGGTTGTGATCTATCTTCTGCTTGAGTAGTATCAGTGTAGCTAGGTAGATTTTCGATGACATCCCCCTCGTTAGCCGATTTATTCCAGAATCGGATAATTCGATGGTACCGTTCCTGTAGGAGCGAAGCTTCTGAGGATGGCGTCCTGAACCATGGATGTTGCAGTGCTTCCTTGGCTGTCATACGTTTTTCGGGGTCAAGGACTAAGAGCCTCCGGAGATATAGTTGAGCCGTGGAAGATAAATCTGACCAGTCCTCTCTTGTATAACTATCGCTAATTCCAAGAAAACGGTCTGCAATATCCACCTGGGTAAGCTGAGAGAGATCTTCTCGCGGGATCAGCGACTGGCCTGTAAGTAGGCAGGCTGTCAGGACGCCCAAGGACCACAAATCTGCAGACATTTTGTAACCTTCTGTCGACCTTTCGGCTGCTTTCACCTCACTGAAGTCTGTTAGCATTGGCGGAGATACACGTAAATCCAATGTTAGGCCTTACGGTGCAACGTAGCCCTCGGTACCCACCGCAGACATCAATCTACCAGTCTTTTCATTTACACTATTTGCAAAGCCAAAGTCGGTTAGCATGACGCGACCGCCAAAGCCGGTTTGACTTATCAGTATATTCTCTGGCTTGATGTCCCTGTGGGCGATGTTGTTTGAGTGCAAATATTCGATCGCTAGGACGATTTGAAAGGAAATAACCCGACTTTGCCAATCCTGAAGCACCCCACCGTGAGAGTCTAGGTAAGAGAATAGATCCCCCCCAGACGCTAGTTCGGTAAACAGGTATCTAACAAACATTAGCATCACCTCCAAGCCTTATCGAGTTGGGTATTCACAAAGTATTGCTTGAGCGAAAAGCCTTCTTGAGATTGATAATGTGCGGCTACGTAGGGTATTGTCAGGACAGATACATAGGGAAACATGTAAACTTTATTCTCACATGTTTCAGGCGAGAGAGAATTTTGACCTCACGCATAACAATCTCTCTCCCATCCTTTGCACGAAGAGCCTGCGTCTGCCATTCGTCTCCGGTATTTGAATAAGGCTTGGTTTTGGCGGGTTTCTGACCTCCGGCTAGGTCAAGTTTGACAATCTTGCACGCCATCTGCCTAGAAGTCGCCACCTCTTTAGCCAGATACACTGACCCGAATTGGCCTGTACCAAGGAGGCGATCGGTCACATCAAATCGATCGTGGAAGTGCTAGGCGCCCGTGAGAGGTGAAGGTAATTGATACGTAGGTAATAACCCACCTGAAGATCATTAAGCTCGGTCCTCTCTCTCGAGATTACCGTTTCATTTAGCTGGCTGAAGGAGAGCTTCCAATTTGGACGGATATGTATTATGTCGCCATCGCTGAGGAGGTAACCTCTGCACTCGCCCCCAATGGTACCAATACGAACGCCATTGACATACGTCCCATTTGAAGACTCGAGGTCCTCGCAATAAACAAGGGGAGGAAATTGGGGATTCGCGACGCGTTCATATATGATCGAGTATATGCGGCAGTGTTGCTTCGAAATGTGGACTTCCGGAATTGAAAGATCACTGCGGACGTATGAATATATCAATAGAAGAAGGTAGCGTTAGACTCACCAATTGTCATCTCTGCCGATGCGAATCTCATAGCCAGGAAAAATAGAAATCTCTAGCGCAACGAAATCAGAGAATTCATCAGACGAAGGTATATGACCGCAACCTACCTTGCTTTCTCCCAGTTTCCTCATTGATCGCTTCAAGGAGCGCGATGGGGTCATCTCCTGAAGGAGGCTGCTCAGCCATGGCTGTATTGCCTTATGCTTTTAGTGGCTGTAGAATGAGATATGTTAACGGGGAAGGGTTAGTGAGAGAGCACAATCGGATAGCATGTATTGTATTTTCCAATTTCCCACCCAGAGTAGATGGAGATAACTCTTATGTGGTCGCTTTCACATATAATAAGGTAACTACCTACCCTAGGTTGGTATATATATTTTACGAAGTGTGCACGAAGGACCTCAAGTCGCGGCGAGGGAACATCCGACATCCGACATCCGTCATCCGTGGTCCGTCATCCGCGACCCGCCCTAGTCCGGAAGCAGACAGGTCAGGTGGTGCGGTAAAGCCCTATCCCGACTAGGAGCCATAAGCGAGCTCCAAGGAACTTCATAAGTCGCCGCACACGAAGCTCTCCTCCTGCTCTTCTTTTTTCCTCCATCATCCAACACCATCAACACGCACTTTCGTCGACCAACAATCAACGAAGATGCGCGCCAAATGGCGGAAGAAGAGAGTCCGTAGACTCAAGAGAAAGCGCCGCAAGACTCGTGCCAGATCGTAAGTCCCAATTATCCGAAATTCCTTGCTTGGGTCAATTGTCAATTGCCTTGTGTACCGGCCGTCCCTCCTTTGAGTGGTGTTCAGTGCGGCCCAGCGTTGCCTAGTCTTTGTGCTTACATCCTCACAGCAAGTAAACACCTCGCTACAACCCGATCTCGGTCACTCTCACCTCACAAACACAACATCATGAAAATATAACCTCCGAGTCCACGCCATCTCCCGCACCCACGTTCTACGCCTTTTTCAACATTTCAGATCGCAAGCACAGTTTGGGACGACCCCATCAGTACAATGGCAGCTGGGTGTTCAAGGATAGAAGCAGTTGGGTGACGCGTGGTCGTCGGCCTTTGATGGGATGGATTGTCAGGGAGCAAGGGCCGGTCAAGGAATCGTCGGATTGTCAAGCAGGGTTTGCGAACAAGGAAGCCAGTGGAGGAAAGCTGCCGGAAGATGCTAGATACCTTGGACTTCAATTGCACGGAATGAAAAACGAAGATTTGCTTCGAAGACCTTGACTTAATTAAATCCCGATGCCCACTGTGAAGAAGCTGTAGCCCCCGACATCTGTAGTCCTCCATTATTGTATTCTCGATTTCAATGACCCCCCTAATTGAAGAGTTAATAAGAGCTTGCTTGCTTCTGCCCAGCTTCCAATTCTCGTATTTCCTGGTTTTAGTTCTTCAGCTCTGTTGTGTGGCCTAGGGAGGCGGTGTGAACCCCGCTCCAGCCTCTTTTTGGCGAGCGCCGGCAGAATAAAAATATTTCAGCAGGATCAACATCTCCAGCCAAACCCATACATAGTAGCCAGAATCTGTCACTCTCCCCTGTTTTACCTTGAAGATGGCGCCGGATAAACCAGATAAAGTTAAAAAGCGGAAAAGAAATACCGATGACTTGTCCAAACCAAGCAAGAGAGTCGCAATTGAAGGTGACAAGAAAGTCAAGATTTCCCTCCGAGAACCCGAGAATTGGACGCCTGTCGTAGGTATGTACCCAGCCAGCTCTGACTGCTCCTGTTTGATACCCAGCAGTTCATTTTCTAATCTTTTGTTTGAACAGTCTCTTCGAGCGGCCTCGCGCTCCCCACCTCAATCCCCCTAAAAGCGTGGACCAAAGCTCGTGATACGAAGGGGAAATTGTCTCCAGGACAGACACCCATTTCCACCACGGAACTCCTCCTACAGTCTTCGGCGCATCCAAAGCTCGATTATGTAGCACGGGAAGAAGAAGTGGATGCAGTGGATCCGCTGAAGAAACATTATGTCGGAATTTATGATCCTAAGACGGGCAATCTGGAAGTGATGGAATCGCGGAAGATGGTGGTGCGAGGCACCGTAAGGGCACATTCAGCAGCTGCTGATGCTGCGGAATCATTGGCGGTAAGTCTACATGCTCAAACCGCCACAGAGATATAATACTAATCGATTCCTCGCAGATGCTGAGAGATGCTCGAAATACCCTCGGCCAAACATTCGGCACCAAAAAATCCAGGAAAGCCATTGCTTCATTTACAGAAAACGCCATCACTCCCGAAATTGCAGCGCGAATGGCAGGCAAGGCTAAGCCTGTAAAGATTGACTCCGTAACCAGGACCATGATTGAGAGTATTGCGGAATCCACCGCTGGCATGTCTACTCGCGATCAGTTAGCGGAGGCATCAGATGCAGCAAAGCCCCGTCCAAAGCGCAACCCAGGTGCTACGGAAATTCAAGACGTCTACACGATCGACACTCTTGTTGGCGAAGGAATTATGAAGCTCGTCCCTGTCCGGCAATGGATGGAGGCGTTGAAAGCAAATGAAAATGTTGTCACTACCTCCAAGTTTGTGGCCAGCCGACTCGTAAGAGTAAGCTCTAATGTGGAGAAACTGAAGATCCTTCGGTACATGTATCTTCTGATAGAAATATATGACAAATCGAAGGCAGCACGCGGCGCTAAGAGCCTCCCAAAACGAGAAGACATGAAGGTTATTGCTGGGGATATGCCGGAAGCTGTTCTGGAGGATTTCAAACGGAAGTTTGCTGAAGGGCCTTGGATACGCAAGTTCAAGGCGGATCTTCTGATCACACACTTGTGTGCTCTGGCTTGTCTAGTGGATAACTTCGTGGTGGACATCTACGATCTGCAGGTGGATCTAAAATTAGACTCGAAGGACATGGCACAGTATTTTCGGGAGATTGGGGCGAAGATTGGGGCTTTGGGTGAGATGGAGAGGAAGAAACAGAAACTCGAGAAAGCTGCTGCTGCACAACACAAGGTTGCTAAATTGCAGCTGCCTCTTGTCTTTCCGCAGATGGCGTTTATGAGAGCCGGGAAAAGGTAGATTGATAATGTGCCAACGAGAGATGAATCAGAATTTATATGTACTATTCCGAGTCAAATCCTAGAAATATGTTTGGGGGTGCCATATGATCTATATGATCCTTCGTGTTTGATTTTATAATTGCAAGGATTACGGACCGAGAGAGATATCTCAGAGCACAGTAAAGTCCTTACTACGTTCATCGAGCTTACAGTGCTTTGCTCAGCTACCCTGACCGTGCAACACTTCGCCAATTAATCCCATCTACCTACGTAGCATGTCCCCATAACGACATATTTTCCAACACCCTTCTATCGCAGTACATAAGCCACCTCGCCGCCCAAAAGAGCACAAGTGAGATCCTATTCTGTGTTACGGCCCTCGTAGACACCGATCGCCCATTGTTAGTTGTATAAAAGCTATGTTTTTGAAGACCACTTTCGGAGACCACTCGATAAGGGCATGGGTCTTGCGATCTGGACTCCGACCGCGGATACCATGTGTGCGAGGCACCGTTCCTACAGTAGTTGCTTCAATCACTCCATGCCTGTTGGACCACATGAAGCTAATACTTCGTGAGATAACATCCATATTCAGGCGGGGCTGGAAGCCCATCCGCGGTGAGGCGCCAGGCTGTTGTGCTTCCAAACTGCTGGAACCTCCGTTCTGTCATTCTAGTAGCTTGCTATTCGCAGCCTGCTGCTCGCTATAATGAACGTATGTCAGGCTTCTTTGAACCGCTAATGCTACTCTCTATAGAGGGGAATATGTTAGTTAATTGCGACATCGTAGCCTCGACCACTTTTGACTGAGTCCACCACATCGTCCAATAGTGTTGAGCGTTTGTCCGTAGCCCGAATACCGTTCACCTACCGCTGATATTCAGAGGCCGAGAGCGATTTACGCCCGTATAACGAACAAATGGATCAGGGGTTTTAATATTTCGCTAGCCGATTATCCATAATGGCAGCCGGGTAGGAGTCATACGGTAAGTATCTGCAACTTGCCGTTCGTCGTCACATCCCACATGGCAAAACTCTAAAAACGTGTCCGCGTTGGTCCTACATCTGTAACTTGGCACCAGTCCTCCCTTTGGAAGTCAATCCTTTGCCAAGCACAAACTGCGAAAGTGGTATCCATTGGATCGCTGCAGTCATTAAAGCACGTGGTTAGGGTGATGTCTAAAAGGTACAACGAAGAAATGCCGTTAAACACCATACGGGCCCTCTCTATTGCAAATCCGTTCCCCTACGAGAGATGCATTTTGCCAGATTCGATATATTGGACCGCAAGCAAGGGATCATGCAATGTCGAAAATTATACGCGAAAGTACTTTTTAAGGAATCCACTGAAGACCATACATCAGTACGGCCTTTGCGTACTCGCGACTTCTTGCATAGGTAACCTAAGTGCGGTTGAACCACTCCGTACTCATAAAGCTTCGTTATCAAGGTCGGGCTTGAAAGCCTCCAAGGCGATCCGCACATCCCCTACCAGTCCCGAACTATTCACTCCATCAGTTGTGAATGGTGCTTCATACTAGCAGTCCTGTAGCATCAAGAAACTTCCTATCTGGTAACTCTTTTCAACCTCGTCACCATTCTCCAATTTGGGAAATGGCATCTCCCAACCCATAATTTCGCAGATAACACTACGTAAAGCGAAAAGCGAAAAGCGAACAACGGCTAATCGTGCTACTTCCTGCCACGTAGAGGTAATGTGTATGGAATCTCCTCTATAACGTTTGGTGGCGTTTCATCATCAACATGGAACATCCAAATTGATTAATTTGGACCGACCAGTACGGAAAACGAGAACATTGCGGCAGCTGACATTGCAGCGAATAACTAGACTTGAATGCACATATGACAATGCAGAGGATATCTGCAGAGTCATGATTAATGTAATTCGAAAAGATGATGATTGTGTGTAGAGAGTGTGAGGTCTCGGGGACTACCCCGCGGGGCTTGTCTAGCTCCAGCCGCAAGAAATATATAAACCTGTCATCACCTCGATGCATCCATAATACTTACGGAGTAGTAAGGTATGGTATAACTGTATAATATGACAAGGAAGCGGAGGCGCCAATACACACCGTAGTGAGATTCAGCTAGAGTCGCCAGGCGCACCGACGTCCGAGTCACGCTTGATAGCCTTTCAGAAGTTAGAACACTGGCTCTGTCTAGCAGGGTGAAGCAACAGGGCACCCTCTACCGCGGGTTCTGGAGAAAGTTTTTGTAAGTCATGCCTCCGAGAGTGCTTCGTAACACCATCTGCTCTTCACGGCCCTCACCAAGGTCCTGGGGAATTAGCCGCTGCTATTTTAAGAAAGGCGCACGCTTACTACGAAGTACGTGTGCTCTAAGCTCTAAGCTCTCGGGTGCAGCGGCAGGACAAGGCGATCTGTGGAGCTCACAGGTCTTGGCCTGTCAAAGCCGCGTGAGCCTTGCCGTTATGTCATTGTGCCATTATTGTGGCTATTTCTCTGGCACAGCTAATAAACTCCGCACAGAACATAATGATAATAATTAAGTCGACACTCCCGGCACTAGGGTAGTCCCGATTAGCTCGACTTCCAATATTTACAGGCTTACAGCACCTTCGCCTACGTACCTACGGAGTAGACTTGTTAACTCACCTACTGCAAGTAGCAAGCCAATAAACCTGGTGGACAGTTCCCCAGCACTCGGTATACCAATAGAGATGCGTGGGACGAAATTACGTGGATTTCAAAGAAGCAACAGCGTCTCCTGAGCTGAGCCACTAGGTGCCACAAGAAGATGCAAGCATTGAGACGCCAAAACCGGACCAATCCAGGCTCGCCGGCCGGTCCTGAAGTGTGCGACCTGGGCTGACTGCGTCCTGTGATGGATACAAGTAGAGTGATGGCTGGTGGGACCGTGATCATGAGGAGGGTTAGCTGCTGTCCCTTCCTTGTGGGGTGACATGCTCGTATCGAGCGTAGGACGAGGCCATGAGTCTTTTAAGCCGGGGATAGTATAGCAGACTCTGTCCTATTGTTGTACTATTATTGTACTATTATAGCGGGACAGCAACGAGGCTGCGGAGTATCAACGTCCCTCTAATAAATTTACTAGCGAGGTTCAGCTCCTCCGACTGCAAGAGGTTGCGCGTACAGTACGAGCCAACCAACCCCCGCCATCGCCCCATCCCAATCTTCTTTCATCCCTCATCTTCAGTTACTTTTCCATAAGGTACCCCGATTTCAAACCAACTCATCCCGCCGCCGCTACAAACTGAACACCACCCAAACCAGCTATTCAGACTTCTCAATATGCCTGCCCAAGAAGTCAAACAACCCCAATCCCAGCAGATGGAGATGGTGATTCCCAAGCCCCAGGAAGCTGATCGTGTTAACACCGAGCAACCGGTTCGTTCCCATCTATCTTGCTCCTATCTTGCAAATATATACTAACAAATTCAATAGCGCGCTGCAGAGCAAATGACTGCGGAGCCCGTGAGCATGCGTGGTGGTGGTAAAGGCGGTATCTGCTGTGGACTGTAAGTGATGCATCTGCTGCGGCCTCTCAGGTAGTCTTTTGTAGCTTCCGGTCTGACATGTATATCTGCAGTTGCGCTGGCCTCGCCTGTTTCGAATGCCTCGAATGCTGCTGCTAGAAGCAGGACCTCAGAACGAAGGGCTAGCTGATGCATAGATGCACTATACTAAACCCGGCGGATATGTTGGGCTAGAGATACGGATGTTTTATGAGCGGATAATTCAGGCGCATCGTGATCGGATGAGTTATGCAGGTTGCGTCTAATGGTTCAATGAAGGTCTGATTATTATGACGAATTTCTGTTTAGTGATTTGATATCGTGCGGCTATTTTCATATGCTATTGAAGTTAGTATAAGCGCCGTTTTAATCCGGTTTCGAGACGCAACAACATGCCTTTGCACTCAAGGTTCCTTACACATTTATCTCTAAATAATAGCTATATGTGCTCAGCCTCTAATCTTTTCTATATTTTACAATTTGGTTTTTGCGCTTAATTCATATTAAAGCGCTGCTTCTAAACAGGCGCTGACTTATTCTTGGGGATAACCCCCCTACTTCGAATGTATTTTACTGAAGCTGTAAAAACTTATGAAGATTCCTCAGTAAGTCTAACACTCACCTCGCTTCCTTTACGAGTCCCTAAAATCCTAACTACAAGACATAAAAGACCTCCAAAATAATTCTTAATCCCCTCCTGCCGACAAAAGATTAAAAATCAAAAATGAAAGAGTCAAAAAGCTAAAGCGCCGGAAGGCGGCCCCCACTAGATAAAACCAGACGAACTGAGTTTTGATTTTTGTGCCAAGCCATTTTTGAGGTTTCTCAAGTGAAGGAAGTAACTCTCTCCAACATCACACACACAATTTGATCCGGACCACTTCGCCAAGTGGCCAGCCCTTGCGCCGATTGACATGTTTTTTGCTTATTTGGATCTATAAAGTAGAGGGGTGGGTATCGGGAGCTCCGGCGGTGAGAGGCGGTGGTGGCTATTGCCACTCGTGTCTCTTGAGTTAAGTGATGCTAAGTTCCGGCGTACCTAAAGCAAGATTTAGAGAGCGCACTGCACGAGAATGTGAAGCGAGAAACAAAGATAATATCTTGAGGGAGGAGTAAAGCCTCCTTTCATGAATGTTATATCCTATCTAAAGATCACGTATAATATTATACAATTTCCCTAAGATATTGGGTCTAGACATTCTATATTGATAGCTGTAAAGAGGCCAATTCCGTAGAATGGCAAAATATTTTTGCTTTCAAACACCAACCATTTCCACAGACAGTATTATACATATGCAAGGTGATAAAACTATTATACAGGTCTATTATACATGGTCAAAGAAGGGGGAAGGAAAGAGAGCCTATCTACTGTTGCTCCTTTTCCTGCTGCTTCCGCCCATCTTCAGTCCATTCTTCCTTACTATGAAATTCCAACGGCTTGACATGCAAAACCTTGGGAGACTCCTTAGAATCCAAGTCATCCATACGCTTCCTCCAAGCCCTCCCTTTATCAGACAACTTCTTAATATTCTCGATATACCGGTCATTCCAAGCATTAGCCTTCCTGGCACTTCTGGCATTCATCAACGCGTTGAGACGTCTGAGTTTGCAAGCTGCATAGAGGGCACGGCCTTGGCTTAGGCCACTGATTTCCGCCAACGAATACTCCACCTCCCACCCATCATCGGTAGTAAGCTTTTCTGGGCGTAAGACATATTCCCCGTTGACTTTATTGCGAATGGTGAGGCACATGGCTAACAGGTCAGCTGGTTCTGATTCGGTGCTTGATGCTGCCGCTTGGACATCGTCAGACATCTCCCTGTGGTCGTCTTCATCGGCTATCGGCTCACTGGCCTGGCTGTCATCCTCAGCGGGCCCTTCCTTTTTAGACTCAACCGAATCACTAGATTCTTCTAAAGCAGTTGCTTTCTTGGAATCTTTCCCCATGTTGTCATGGTTAGCACCTTCTTGTTCCATTCCTAGCCCTTCATTGACTTTCGGCTCATCAGTACCTGCCTCCTCATGACTAGACGCATATGTTGCACCATCCTCTGCAGCGCCTAACTCAATAGCCTTGGCGGATCCGTCGGTCTCTATGACCTCCACTGGAGCATTTTTAGTTGCGTCATCGCCATCTTGTTGTTCATCTATCTCCTTAGCTTCGCCAGTATCCACACCTTCATCATTATTCAAGTCCCACGTGGGGGATATCACCTCTCCAATCGGTTCCTCAGCTCCTTCAGACGATTGCATGGCTCCAGTATCATCCTCGTCTTTGTCTATACTCTCTTGAACCTTAGTCCGAAGGTTTTCCCATTCGGCCCTTGTCTCCTCCTCAGTTTCTTGGTGCATTCCCAGAACCCTTTTTTCGAACGCTTCAATCTTAGCTTTGCTGCGGGATTGAATGTCCTCGATAGCGTCTTCCTGTATCGGCTCTGCAAATATGTACATATATCTTGTGTCTGAGGTCCTGCCTCTTGTCTCGAAAAATATGCGCAACGACTGTTCGGGGAATTTGGCCGTGGCGCGATCCAAGACGCGATTCAGTAATTCCAAGCTAGCCTTGAATTCTGAATCACCAAGTGTAGTGTCTTCCGTCCCATGGAGGGCATAATCCATTTCCGATAGACTGATGTATTGGAATCCAAATATTCTTTCCGTATTATGGAACGCCACGAAGATTCCATCCATACGACCTATTCTAACTTGCAATGAATATTTCAGAAACGCTGCCCTGATCATGTCATAATATTCCCGCTCGAATGATTCCCACTCTCCATGCCGACCCCGGATTTCATAGCCACGGCCTTGTTCGTAAGCAGCAGTATCCATCCGAATAGAGACGACAGCCCTGGTCTTGAGGTCAAACATGCCAGTTCCCGGAACCCTGGGGTCGTGTGCGTCAAGTTGAGATCGCATGAGAAAGTCGCCCATTGTAGTATAATGGAATGCTTCTGACTGCTTGCGATCGTCTTCTGTGACAGGATCGGTACTATTCTTGCTGTACCTCTCAAACTCTTCAGTTGAAAGGGTGAGGAGCTTCTCCATCGACTGCCCAAGCATACTTAAAACATTTGAAGTATCGTATTCCTTGTCAGCATCAATGGCGTAAACTCCATCTTTCCATCGCAGGAACATTGCCGTGGGAGCGCGCTGTATGACGGTGAACGAATTAAGACTGGCGGGAAAGGTTTGAGATAGGAGACCTGCATTAATTGGCCGCCACTGTGAGAGAAGATAATGAAAATGGGAGAGGGTGGACGTCATGCTGGATGTTGATCCGGTGTACTTTTTCTTCTCGTTTCTTGTGACATTTAGAAGAGTCTCATCTTTCGATGAAGTAACGAATTTCTTTAACAATGTGAAGTCGAATTCGGAAACAGGCATTATGGTCTGCAAATAGGGATCGAAATTGAAAACTCGAGATCGAGGATCTTGTAGATGATATACGCCGGGGTTGAAAAGGACTCTTTCGAGGCCGTATGCTAGTGCGGGTACTGGCGGATGCTCTATATCGACCGGCAGAAGCTGCAGGTCCTGCGTATTAATGATCTTGATCTCCTGATCAGTCATTCCCTTCTTCGTTTTATTTTTTCCAGTCTTAGCTCTTCGTTGCACAGGCACAGATATCAATTTGCGAATGAGTGGATTCCCTGACGGCGATATAAGTTGCATGGCGTCTTTAATGGAGTGGCTGTCATTTCCGAGTATGCTTCTACCCACAGGAAGGATTTTTTTGGTAGCAGAGGCACGAACCGTCTTCAGTGACTCTGAATGATCGTCCTTGGAGTACATCGAATCCTTCACCATCTTGATAGCTTCCATGAATGATATGCTTCCTAGCACATCTACTTGATCTTCTTGATCGTCCGCCTGCTCTTCTGATGAAACTTCCGCCCAAGATGAGCTTTTAGTAGTACCGCTCCCCTTCGAGCTTTTCATGGCGCCGCTCTTCTTCGAGCTTGCCGCAGTACCGCTCTTCTCCGAAAGATTCGATTCCAGCTCCACAGTAGGTTTGCTTTTATCATTTTTCTTGCTTGTCTTGGCGGAGCTCTCTGAAGCCTTCTTTGATTTGACATTGTCCAGCTTTGACGGCGCAACCTTCGATTTAGTACCGGCAGGCAATTTTCGCTTCGACGTATTTTCTGCTTCCTCTTGGGGAGATACGCGTAAAGGCTCTTGGTCCGCAGATACTGCAGCCTTTTTCGCGTCCTTATCGGAAAGTCTGGCTTTGGATTTCGATTCAGTTTTGGATTTTGGTTCCGTTTTGGATTTCGGTTTCGTTTTAGATTCCTTTTGCTCTTTCACTGCCTTTTTCTCTCTAGCCTTCCTCTTCTTAATCGTCTCAGCAGGGGACCTATAGACGAATTTCACAATGGGAGCTTCTTCAGCAAGGCCATCACCTGGACTTGCTGGCTCTTGTAAACCTTCCCCCTTTAGATCTTCCGTCTGTCTATCCTCTTTCAGCTTTCCAATAGCAACAGACGCTGTATCATCCGCACTAGGGCCAATGGTGCGAATGGTACATTTGGCAGAAGTAGGTTTTAGCACGCCAGGCGTTTTCGAAAGATCTAAGTCGGGTGTTGCTGGAGACACATCTTCAAGTTCGCGATGGCCATTTACCCCTTCTAGTTCTGCACTCGCATTGGATACCTCGCCGCTGGAAGCACCAGTCTTCTCCCTGCTAGATTGACCATGGCGCAATGTCGTCGAGAACGATGCCGTGGAAGCTCCGAGGACGCGGGTTACAGCGAGTCGGGTAAGGTGAGTGCCCGGTTGTTTGAGGAGGCTGTATAAGCAAGAGGAACAGATATATGATCTGGCGACTCTTGAGGTCCCGCGCGACAATGATGTGTACATGGAGGTGGCGGAGGCTTCTGTTGAAAATACACACTGTGCATTTGAGCTTCCCTTCGCGTCGCACCTCTGGTCATTTTTTTGATGTTTGTTGCACCGGACAACAGGGGATCTTATGACGCTAGCGGCCGCCACCAGCTCCTATTCACGTAGTCATGCTTCTAGCTATCGAAAAGGAATGCCATACTCTAAGTACCTGTTTATAGTTATTTCTATAATGGCAATTGATTCCCTGTGATATTAAGCCCCGTACAGCAGACGTACGGTCTAGGGTATATATCCTCTGGTGCTAGGGGGATATGCGTAGTGCAAACATCGAATTCACGCTGGTGGAAGACTCAAGACCCTGAAACTAATTGCAAAATATTTGCAAATTCTCCTATACCGTACGCTATATAGGCTACATACATCCTTTTGAGAAAATCCTTTCTAGGCCTTAAAGCTATAAAGCAAATGGGTATATGTCACGCTGAACGCGCTGTGATTCCTGACCTAACACCAGCAAAAGCCTCCGAATGATCTAACCACCCACTCCATATGCGCCAATGTCCAAAAACTCGTTCAATATACTGCCGCAGTTCAACGACCGGGTAGTGCCATCTGTGAAAGTTTGCGTGCTTGCTCCATTGAAGCCTGTGCCTCTGACTCCTTCCCTTGAACCTCGTAGCATCGAGCTAGCATACCATCGGCCACACTCCTCCAGAGAGCGCTCCCGCTTTTTTGTGCTTGCACGGACGCAGCCTTCGCACTCTTCTCAGCCTGGTCGCCTACGACGTTGGAGAAGAAGCGGCTACACATGACATTGAGCGTGATACAAAGGAATTGCGTATTGAAGGTTGTTTGCGCCCCTGACAAAGCAGCTCCCAGATACTTCTTGATTGTGAATAGTTGCGGTGGAGGAATCGTATTTACAGTGGCTTTGACAAGATTGAATGCAGTCTGGATGTCCGTATTGGGGTGTTTTGCACAGAATGGCTCTAGCTGTGCAATCAAGGAAGTGTTCATTGCGGGGTTTTGTCGCTTTGGATCTTGAAGGATCCAAAGTATGTTAAGGGCAGCCAAAAGCGCAAAATCGCGCTCAACTTGGTCTGTCGAGGTCGGGTTCGAACTTTTGGCAGGCGATAAATCAAATCTTGGATTTCGAAAATAGTGTAATGCCGCATCAAGGTCTCCGATTCCTTGATGATATACTCCTGTAAGGTATATCGTGAGGCATTCCAAAGGTCCGGATAAAGGAATGTCGAAGTATCGGGCGGTGGATTTTAGGTGGTCAACATTTTGTTTAACAGTTTGCCAGTCTGACAGCAAAGCGGCGCAAAAGCCCATATACAGGCGAAAGTAGCATAGGATCTGACCTCGCCATTCTTGTTTTAAGGCTAGGTCAGGTAAAAGACCCAACGTAGATTTCGACCCCCGGGTGTCACCTAAAAGATTCCGAGGTCAGCAACGGAAGACCCATATTACGGTACCGGAATTTTCACCTGTTACAGACCCCAGTCCCGATTGCAAGTATTTGAGCGCCTTGTTATCACTAGGATTCTTGTGTAGCAAAATCACTGCCGAAATCAAGTACCTGTAGTCCGCAATCAGTAAAAGTCGTGATAGGTCGAGGTACAGAACTAACGTGATGCCATATGCATCCCTCTTATTTAAAAACGACATCATAAGATTATCACGCCCATCCTCGCCTATGCCTAACACAGCCCGGGTCTCATGGCTGACAGTTTGTGAGTTCTTTGGTGTTCTATTTATAGGGATAGCCATGACATCGCTCGAGGCGCTCCACTTATCATTGTTGAGGAACTCATCCATCACCTTTTGCATATCCCTAAGCTTGGTGAGCATTTCGGTAACCTTGCCTTCTCGTAAACTACACATTACATCAATAATGTGAGTTAGGCCATTAAGCTGTGGTATGCTGCTCCCAAGATTCAATTGGTGTGCTCGAGCAGCAGCGATAGCTCGCTGAACATGCTCTATAGAATCTGGGCTTGCTGATTTTAGATGAACCATTGCTTCCACCAAAGATGCTGTCAGTTGTATAGCTCGATCGCTTTGCTTGATAGCCAGATCAGAGATTTTTTGAAGGTTCTGGATCGCAGCATGGTTATCGGAAGGGTTTCCAGATTCCGCGGCGTAGGAGGCGCGGAGAAATCGAAGGGCATACACCCAAGAAAAGTGCTGGTAGCTTTTCGGATTATTAGCCCTACTGCCAACGCTTAATGGAACAAACTTACGCCTCCGCCTCAGAGATATGTCCATCCAGGGCCTTCATCGCCGCCTTCGGGTTCTTTTGGGACATTAGTTTCGTAAGCAGGAATTGCATCGCGTACTTGAGGTCGAAGTAGTGATGCTGGTACCAAAATTAGGCCCGCCATAACGATGTGGGATAGGATCATACTCTTTCACAAAGCGCAATCCCTTTACTCAAAGCGGTTTCGGCCTCCATAAAGTTTTCCGTCTCCTCGTAAAGCACCCCCGCATATCGCAGTCTAACGTTTGCTTCTGTTCTCGGCGGTAGTCTCGCGCGTTTCAGGGCTATATCTAAGCAGCCAAGCCCAGTAGCAATTAAACGCTCATATGTCTCAACATTGACTGGCGTCATCGAGATGGACACAGACGGGGCAAGTTTATGCGCGGCCTCAAAGAACTCCTCGGCGAGTGAGATCAATAGTACAGACTTGTCAGGCTGGGAGTCGTTCTGTGAGGTGATCATTCTCGTCGAGTTTTGGAAGGATGGAGTGGAGATTTTCTCGATGATGTCGGCTGGGTGCAGATGAGTACTTTGTGTAGGGGGTTGTTGGAATAATTGAGAGGGTTGGATGAATTGGGGCTGTTGCGCTTGGGGTTGAGGTTGTATCGTCGAGGGCGTATGGTAGGCACTGCGGGAATAATCTGATATGCCATATTGTCGGTCGTTGGCGGTTCCTCCCCAATATTGCGGGGTGGGAGCTGGCGCTGGAGAGTATGAAGGGGACGGTTGCACGTTAGACATATACTGCGGACGCATATCTTGAGCCGCATAGCCGTTGCTATTGCCCGGACTATCGCCAGGCCAGAGGCGGTTTCCCGGCGCTGGGTGGCCATTGTATGACATGTTGTCCTTGGTGGTATCGACCAACGCGTCTGGGCTCTGAATAGAGGCGTTGTAGCCAACCTCGAACGCTGGTCGTCAAGTCCACTGTCGCCTTAGTCAGTGATTAATAAGCGAGGCGCACCGCCACACCCCGTTGCCAAGTGCCCGATTATGGCGCACTCTTGGGCGAATTTGGTGCAAAACTCTTTTCGCTAGAAATATCAGGCACCTACAGCTATTACTTACCTATATATATATCCAATATCGAGCTTCTATATTATTTATATATAAAAATCTAGATAGTGTAAATATCTTAATTTCAGTTAGATATTTATACGACTTGAATATCTCAATTCTACTGAGATATTTGCGTGACTTGAATACCTCAATTTTAGTAAGATATTTATCCGATATCAGGTTTATATCTAGGTACAGTAATAGTCGTTGGGCCATATAATACTGGCGAAAAGAGTTTTGCACCAAAGTCGCCCAAGAATGCGCCATACCCGATGCCAAGTGCCGAGGTCCAGCCACTAGGCCCCTGAAGGATTCCGGGAACAGTCCCGCTTTGGGAAACATGTTTCCTTATCGTCCCCTCCAGTCATGTAAAATTTCCTCGATGTCTCAAAACAACTCGTACTTGTACATCATATCGCATCACATAGGATTGAATTGGATCCCTCCCAGGCAGGAATCGGAAGATGGAATGGCTAGGCCGCGCAAAGGCGACTTTCACCCATTCGCCGTCCACTCTCCAGTTAAAGAAGAAGGATGGATCTTTGATTGACCTCGCCTCGATATGCCAGGAAGCAACACCGCCATGTCGCCTCAATCCGTTGCTGTTCAATGGCCATTTGCAAACTATGTGGACAGCCATGAAAGATGATGGGCCTCCTATATTTTATAACCGCAAGCTCTTCGAAGCTAACGACAAAGATTATGAAGGCTCGTTCGCGGTTGACTTTGTGGTGAAGCCGTTCTCAGAAGTCGATGCTACCCTCCCTTCAAGAACCACCTACTTTAATGAAGAAGATTTTAAGGACATAGCATCTTCTGATAGCCGACCTATGCTAGTCATACTCCACGGGCTGTCAGGCGGTAGTCATGAGGCCTATCTTAGGCATGTTATAGCACCATTAATTGGCGCCGAAGATGACCGGCAATGGGAGGCTTGCGTTGTCAATTCCAGAGGGTGTGCTATGCATAAGATCACCAGCCCTATTCTGTATAATGCAAGAGCGACATGGGATTGCAGACAAACCGTTTCCTGGCTCAGGAAAACCTTCCCAAACCGACCATTATTTGGAATAGGGTTTTCTTTGGGAGCAAATATCCTTACTAATGTACGTCATGATCACTCTTCTATGAGGCCTCTTATTGATTGTGTGTAGTATATCGGAGAGGAGGGCGAGCATTGTATGCTAAAGGCAGCAGTGATATGTTCAAGCCCGTGGAACTTAGACGTCGGATCCATGGCCCTCCAAAGTACTTGGATTGGAAGAGAGATTTATTCAAAAACCCTTGGCACGAACATGAAGAAGCTTCTCGCATTGCATGAAGATGAGGTGCGTAAAGGCGGGAAATTAGACTTTGAAAAGATAAAAAAGGTCAAGTATCTGCATGAATTCGACAGGGAGGTCCAAGGGCCCAGTTGGGGCTATCCTACCGAAGGGGCTTATTACCGCGATGCTTCTTCGACAGACTCTCTATTTGGAGTCAGAATCCCACTTTTTTCAATCAGTGCTGCAGATGATCCTGTAAGTGCTCATTTAGTTTCCTGCCGTCGTGGCTGCTCTCTTCCCTGGGATGTTGCTAACTCTCCTAGGTTGCGTGCAATCAATCGTTACCTTATGAAGAAGTTAAACACACACCTTACGTCGTTCTCTGTACTACATCCCTTGGCGGCCATCTCTCTTGGTTTGAAATTGGAGGCCACAGATGGCACGCTCGTCCGGTAAGTCAATACCATACTTTCAACACCACTCTCGTCTCCAAAAGCATCTCTCGCGGTTATTACGCCTACTGATAAGATTGATAGTGTGTCAATTATCTTAACAAGATGGCTTTCGAAGTAGATATTGAAGCCCCAGCAGCCATTAATGGACATGATCTAGAAACGTCTGGCCAAATGAATGGGTGTTTTGCACCCATGCGCCGAAAATGGCAGAGATAGAGTGTATCAAAGGCGGCAATTACGTTTGATGATTATAGATCTGATACCCTAGATGCTACTATATGTTACAAATAGTTAATTTATAGAACTCATAAGTACTTTACAGTTAGTAGACTTATAGGGCCTACTTATGGCGTATACTTGGGCGACTTTGATGCAAAACTCTTTTCGCTAGTATTATAAGGCCCAACAGCTATTACCTAGATATAAATCTGATATCGTGTAAATATCTTACTAAAATTGAGGTATTCAAGTTATATAATATCTCACTAGAATTGAGGTCTTCAAGTTATAAGAATATCTCACTAGAATTGGGGTATTTAAGTCGTATAAATATCTAACTGAAATTAATATATCTACGCTCTCTAGATTAGTATATAGAAATAGTATAGAAGTTCGATATCGGAGATATGTATAAGTAATAGCGGTAGGTGCCTGATTTTCTACCGAAAAGAGTTTTGCACCAAATTCGCCCAAGAATGCGCCATACCTACTCCCTGAGATGTCTCAATTACACTGAATAAAAGAACCAAAGAACCTCATCATCTAAAATCATTGGATTTCACTCTCGATAGCCGCTAACCTATATTCATTCCCAAATCTGAAATTGTATATTGGAATCCCACGGTATCTCAATATTTTATGTCCCGCAAGAAAGCACCAACACACCGTGCAAATGCCCGAGACCTAAACGCCATGCATATAACCATCCCCAAACACAAACATCCATAACTCAAGCAAAAGAAACACTCTTCCTCTTCTTCAGAGGCTTGGTCCCTGCCAGCGCCTCCTGCGCACCGGCGTCTCCGTCTTCCCCCTTGGCTCCTGCTCTCTTCCGCTTCTTCCTCAACCCATCTTTCGTCTCATCGAGCTTACTCTTCCTCATCTCCTGTCTTTTCTCCGCTTCAGCCTTCCGAGCTTCTCTAATCTCTTCCATCTGTCGGCCCTTCATCATCTTGGATTCTATTTGCCCTTCTTTGTCCGCGTTCACCATCGCGAGGATCGTCATCATGCTTTCCTATTTCTCCGGTTAATAATTCGGCCACAATATTACAGAAACCTCCCTATCTCCCTTAGGGAGGAAAGAAAGGGCGATAGGGAGGGGGAACCACAAACCCTATCGTCAACAAAAACCTTCCCCTTCTTCTTCCCTTTCGGCTGCTGGACTCCTACGGGAGTTATCATATTCAACGCTGGGATCCCTAATTCCTTCTCCGTGTACACTCTTCTCTTCTTCTTTACACCTTGGCCCTTCCCTGTCGCACTTCCTAGCGCTGCGCCCTTGCTCTGTTGCTTCTTGCTTTTCGATTTCGAGACGCCATCGGAGTCTTGGGAGGATCGAGATTTGGAGCTGGTTTTGCTGTTTTTGATGCCAGATTTGTTGGCGGCATGTTTGGATTTTACCGTTGTCGTGCGAGATGGCGCCATGTTTCTTGGCTTATCTCGAAGAGAAAGGGATCAATTGAGGTTGGGAGTACGTGGAGGAGGAGGTTGTGCACTGGCTGGTGATAAAAGATAAGTCGATGGAAATATTTTTGGGTGGAAGCGGGCGCTAGCGGACCGATATGGATGGTGGGGAAAAAAGCGCGAAACTGTAACTTGATCACTTTGATCTGCAACAATTGGAGAAAATAAGACTAATTGGGTTTATATGATGAGAGCACGAATCTGATGGTTTTAGAGACTTTTCTTACATTCCCCCGTTAGATTTTATGGCGGCGCTTTTCGGGCGCATCTGCAATTCTAGGATATCACCCCGCCACCCGCTCCTCAATGTGGATTTTCCCTCACAAGTCTCTCAATCGTATAATGGAATTGAAGTCATTATGCATTTCCAATCTAATTTCACGTACTTAATGTCCCCTTCGTGCTCGGCACCTCGCCTTCTCGTCCAGCAACCCGAGTTGTGGCTAGTCTTATAGCAATAGCTAGCGCTTTGAACGCACTCTCCGCTCTGTGGTGATCATTATCCCCTCTGAGGCAATCAACATGCATTGTAACTCTCGCTGCCTGCGCGAAGCTCTGCATGCAATGGGGAATCATCTCGCAACTCAAATCCCCAAGCTTTTCTCTCTTTAGTCCCAACTCAATGACGCCGAACGGCCGGTTCGAGAGGTCGACAACGGCGCGGGACAAAGCTTCGTCGAGAGGCGCATATGCTGAGCCAAAGCGAGCAAGACCAATGGGAGCACCGAGGGCATCTTTAAAGGCGCCTCCGAGCGCGATGCAGACATCTTCAGCGGTGTGGTGATCGTCAACTATAAAGAGAACCCGGGATCAGCAAACCGCCCGTTGAAGCTCCACATAGATAAACCATCAAAGTAAACAACATACTGTGCAAATCGCCCTGGCAGTTCAGTGCCAAACTCCACCCCGCATGCTTAGCCAGCGCATGTAGCATATGATCTAAGAACCCAATTCCAGAATTAATCGCAATGGTCTGCGACTTGCTAGACTGCGATGCATGTCCATCCGCCCCGTTCGTAAGCCGTTTATCTGTTTCCTCGGGGAATGCACCTCCATCTATATTTATTGCCAGCTGAATCTTTGTTTCGTTTGTGTCACGCGATAGCGCCGCGGAGCGCACTCTTTGCTCAGATTGGGCACCCATCGTCGTTGATGCTGCTGTTGCTGTTGTTTACGGAGTATAAGAATGCTTTGTGTTCTCGGTGTCCAAAATATTTATTGCGATCCCCGAAGACGACCAGAGATAGAAGATTGCTGACAGGGTCCGTGCACGGATGCCGAGATATTCTGCATATCCCGAGACTCCGTAAATCCTCCCTGGACACTTGATAACTCCTGATCTCACGCCACCAGAGCCGCCTTGAACCACGATAACCGCAATGCATACCACGGGTGGACTGAGGAGTGCGGAGGCTGATAGTGCCGCGTGGGAAGCCGGGAGGGGTGCTATAACCGGCGCTGCAAAAGTATCTACTGAGGTCCATCGTATTCAATGTCTTGAGTTGCTGCTGACTAGAGAACCAGTGGGGCTTTGTGTTTGCCGGCCTAGGCGGAGTTGGTTATGGTATATCGCCCATATACAGAGGGCTGACAATTCAATTCAAAGTGTAAGTGGCCAACAAAGGGTGAGGCAATTCATAATGCTGAGAGAGTCTTAGGTTCATTCAGATGTCAGGTGGGTAGCTTAGGACATAAAGCTCCAAACTAGAAACGTTGGAGCTAATAAGCTAACTTTGAAGGCATGATTATGGGCGCCTGCTTGGAGGCTGATCGTCGGGTCCGGGACTTTGAGGCCCAGGTGCGGATGCAGAAGCGTATGGCGAGGGAGAGGGCGCTACGGCAGGAGTATGACGACGAATATGATGAACCGCCGATGCAAAAGAAGCCGAAATAAAGCACAATTTAAGACATGTCATATTTCTGAAGTCGACTGTGAGAAAATGCACTATGCCACCTTTGTACGCCAAACTACCATTGTAGGTATCCCTGAACGCCTCCTCATGTCCTTCACATTGTATGCCCCTTATTTAGCAACGAACTTTTTCGGATCCATATTAATCTTCGCAAGTCTTGAAACACACCCACTGAGTTGGAGCAGCGTCTGCACACCTTCCAATATCTTCATGTGAGTAAAGCCAATCTCCTTGATGAATTCTAGCTTCGAATGCTCGCTCAAGGTCGGAATCGTCTTCGTAACCCGGAACATCGTGCTGATTATGTCGTGGCTCGAGTATCCCAAATCCCACAGCTCCTTCAAAGTCTCCAACGCGGCATCAACCTTGCCCTCATAGCATGCCTTCAACATCGCCTGGATTTTAATGGGATGGGGAGAATCAACGACTTTGAATACGTTATCCCCACTCACGAATCCAAATCCCGCCCAGGTTGATTGAAGATTATTGATAGCTTGCCGCATATCACCCTCCGCGGTAAAGACAAGAGCAGCTAATCCATCTTCGCTATATTCAATCTTCTCCGCCTCTATAATTTGCAGCAACCTCTTCACCACTTGTGCATCTGTCAGCCGGGAGTATCGTAGGATCGCACAACGAGATTGAAGTGGCTCAATGATCTTATTCGATTGATTGCACGCGAATGCAAATCTTGTGGTCGCAGAGTATATCTCCATGGTTCGCCGAAGCGCTTGCTGTGCGCCGGATGTCATACTGTCCGCCTCATCGAGAATGACCAGTTTTTGTCGGCCTTGGGGCAGTGTAACCTTCTTTTGGGCGAAGCCTTTAATACGGTTCCGCACGACATCGATTCCTGAAGAGCCGTAGGTCAGCAAAAAGAAACCCTTTTGCTAGAAGTCGACTTTACGTACCTCGCTCATCACTAGCATTAAGCTCGAGAACAGCCTCTTTATACGAATCTCTAAGGAGTTGTCTTGCAAGGCAAAGTACGGACGTCGTTTTGCCAATTCCAGGCATCCCTGAGATAATAACATGTGGCATATTCCCATCCTTGGCAATAATCTTCAGTCGTTCGATAGTTTCCGTGTTGCCTACAATATCATCTAGGAAGACCGGGCGATATTTCTCAACCCTGAATAAAATAAGATTCTGGAAAACATAGCGAGGAAGTAAAGACAAACCATGGTAATTCGTAGTTTGCAATCCCATTAGGATTGGCTTTCAACACCTGCTTCGCAGCCGCTGTAGAGGACTCGCCCTTCTCTTCGCCTTTGGTGGCCGGCATATTTGATGCTGTGTTGGAGTTCTCGTCATGTTCAAAAGCGGGCCTGTCGCGTTGACGCGAAATCAATTTACGCGTAGAATTATACCCACGTGATTATCGGAGCTCGACATCCCCCGGCGTTGCCTTATCTCCGATGTCAAAGTTCAAAGGCGTACGACGACATATCTGCTCGAGCTGCCGTTCTGGGAAAGAGGTGAGCCCCTCCGCTCTTATTGGAGCGACAAATAGGTAGGAAAGCCAGTGATCGATAGCCGTTCATCAAGTCATCCACGCCCTTCCCTTCATACTCGTCATCTATGCCAAAGCCGCCCTTATAACAGGCTTGTCTACGAACAACCCCATATCTCTAGAGCCTCCTCTCAAGTTTCACTTGTTTTCTTTCAACCATATTTATTTCTCACCTTTAACTGGACCATACTATTATCCCTCTTATCTCGCACAGTCTGCTGAGAAAGTAACCTCAAACGCAACTATGCAAACGAACGATGAAAAGATCTTCCCAGTTCCAAACGCAACCCTGCCTTATTGGCGGAGTGAACTCCATGAAATCGATAGTTATCGATCAACAGAACATTTGCCCACAGAATGTGATATATTAATCATAGGAGGCGGCTTGTCTGGTGTTTCCACTGCATACCACCTTCTAGATGACAACCCCTCCCCACCTTCCATTGTGCTATTAGAGGCCCGAGAAATATGCTCTGGAGCAACAGGACGAAACGGTAGTACCAAGCCCCTATATATTTCTTGAATTTACTCATTTATTCGTTCCTAGGTGGCCATCTCATGATGGTACATGCATATATCAACAGAATCACCAAGCAGCATGACCTAGCGGCCGCAAAAGAACTCGCAATATTTCAACAGAATCAAGTCTATGCGATGAAGGAAGTCGCACAGAAGGAAAACCTCGATTGCGATGCCGTCCTGACTCGTTGTTTTGAGACCTTTCTTTCGCAGTCGCATGCGGATGAAGAGAAACAGATTTATGACGAGGAGCTGGATGCTGGGTTGGATTTTATTCGGGATGTTGATTATGTAGGACCCAAATATGCTGAAAATGTAAGTTCGGCTTCAGGCGTTATGTTTCAGGGGGTTTTAAATCGTGTCATTATCACATCATGTGCTAACATAGACAGCTTTCGGGAGTCAAAAATGCCAAAGGCGGGGTTACAACAACCGGTCTTCAACTCTGGCCGTATAAATTCGTCACTGGACTACTCGCCCGGCTAATAGAGAGAAGCTCTATAAACGTCCAAACTCACACCCTCGTCACTTCTATCTCAAGTTCCCACGACGGCCATTCTATCGTCAAGACACCTCGGGGAAATATCCTTGCAAAAAAAGTCGTATTTGCGACTAACGCCTACACCGCCGGAATCTCCCCTTCATTTTCCAATAAGATCATTCCCATCAAAGGTATATGCTCACACACCAGCGTTCCCAAAGATACAGCGCACCCACCCCCACATCTGAACCACACCTATGGACTTAGTTATAACGGCTACGGAGTCAGGGACTATTTAATCCCCCGACCAGACGGGGGCGTGATCTGCGGAGGCGGCAGGGAGACATTCGTCGAAGATAAAAAACTATGGTTTAACAATTGGGACGATAGTACGCTCCTCGAGCCGGCGCGGCAGTATTTCGATAATATCATGCAAGATAACTTTCGGGGATGGGAAAAAAGCGGCGCGACGGTGGATTATCTCTGGACTGGCAGTAAGTGATTTTCTTAATCAAGCCCCCTAACCCCTATTATGCACCAACACCACCACCCTATCCCCAGCCGATCCAGCTAACTAACACCACCAAAAATAGTAATGGGCCGTACGGCTGACGGCTGGCCACACTGCGGGAAAGTCCCCGGGCAGGAAAACCACTTTATCTTAGCGGGGTTCAATGGAGCTGGCATGCCAGCTATTTTTCTAACTGCGAAGGGGATTGCGCGGATGCTCCGCGAGGGGATCCCGTTTGCGGAAACGGGGATTCCTAGGATCTTTAGGACGAGCGCGGAGAGGCTGAAAGAGGATGTCACTGTGTGAGTTAATAGAACTAGATACGAAACCAACCCTGCTTGCTATACACTGCTAGTAGTTTCAAAAGCTAACGGTAGAGTTCTTACACGAGGCGCAGACAAGAAAGATAAGCTTAAGATTTATAGTTATAATATCGGTGAGACATTCAGGTTGATTTTGCAGCTAAATTATAACTGCTCTCTATACTATGCTATTATGCACTTACATTCCCCCTATTACCCTTCAACTACTTACTCTATTCATAAGAGCCCATAAAAATTACCTACTATACTCTAGCGATGTAGGAAAAGCATAAACTTACAGCATAAAAACCCTGGCATATCTAAGGTGGGCATGGAAAAAGAATCTAAGTGGGCGCCGGTGGGGCAGCATACAAAATTCTAGCACTCTTTTATCCCAAGGATCGGAGGAAAGCAAAGCACCTTTTATATCTTCCGAAAATTTCAGGAGAGATATAGCACTTTTATCTACCGAGTACCGTAAAACTAACACAGCAACAAAAAGCAAAAGCAAGGTAATTAATTTGCAATACTGGAAAAGTAATGCACTTTTTTTGGGTCCGCCGCCCATTGTTGGGCCATGTTTTCGGATCTCCCCCTAACGCCGATTTGTGAATTTTAAAGCGAAGCTCAATCAAGGCATCCATCATGAGTGACATGAAAGCATCATCTACTTCTGAATTGTGGCCATTCGTTTCGACATGCTGTGAAAAGGTTAGCATCCAACTAGAGCCACATGGGAGCGGGGAAAGGACTTACAAATCGAAGAATGCGAACTGGCTGGGTTTACTGCCGAATTCGTAAACGAAGCGGCTGGCAAGATAGCTACCAAAGATCGCACGGAGATAGTTGTTCGGAACCCTCTCGATGATCAAATCAAGCCCAATTTTATCTTGCAAGAGTTTTGGCAGAGCATCCTGCAGGACAGATCTCTTAAGTTTCTCGTCTTCCCAGAGATCTGTCTTCTGCAACTCCTCGTCCAACTTCGTAATCGCAATACTGAGTGTGTCACTGAGTGTGCTCCTGCGGACTTTTGTCTCCTTATGTTCTCTCCAGATGGCCTCGAATTCTAGCCTCGCGTTCAGCTGAATAATTTCTTGGACGCCCTTGACATAAGCCTTGTAGAACTCTGGGGCCTCGCCATCACTGCCAACACACATATTTTCTTCAAATCCTTTGTCGTCAAAGCTCAAACTTGCGAGGACCTCAAGCGAGGAAGATGTGACACCTCCTTTGTTGGCACTAGCATCTTTATACAGGATGCAGCCAGCGTGCTCAAGACGAAGCTTGGCATCCTGGGTGATGAATAGATTGGCTCCTTCGACGATGTATGGAATGATGGATTTGCCCTTTTTGATGAGTTTGTGAACGCTGGAAAGGTCAATTGACTCGGGCCGACCACCGCATGGAACGAAGATATCCGTGAGGCCTGTCTCGCGGAGATGGAAGGTGTTACGGAAGACAGTACCATTGGTGACGACCTCTCCGTTCGGGAGCTTGACATTCGACTCGTCAACCAAGATTCGATATCCATCTGGTGAGAGCTTGGTGATATCAAACTCGGAAATCATAACACGCTTCTTGGCCAAACGAATGAGTTCGGGGTGATCGAGCCCATTGGGGTCCACGAGAACTCCGGAGCCGTCCACAATCGATGTGTATTTCTCGTTGCTTCGGAGAATTTCGTTACTTCCTAGATCACCATCTGGCCCACCAGTCTGCATCTTTCGGATGGTACTGGGATCGAGTCCAAGCTTTCGGTAGATGCCCGTGACATATTCGCGGACGGAGAGGGTCGTCATGCCATAGGTGTCATGGGGAATACCACCCAACTTTGGAGATTTGCCAGTGAAGAATGACTTCCACCATGGTGCACCACGTTTGCGTGCATGCCCTGTGGCCCAATCCACCAGCTCGGCAGTATTCTCATCAGGGCCCATGAAGAGAATTTCTTCCTTCCCGTACAAGTCCACGATGGGGTTCTTGATACCAGGAGAAGCGGGCGGGAGAAGAAGGTCCATAATGCTATCAATATACTTCTCGAACGCGACAGCAGCCTTATCTTGGTGGCCGGGATCAAGAAGGATCACGCCCTTGGAGCCGCCTTCGGGGATATCCTTGTTCTTGCGTTGTTGTGTGTTGGCAAGACCGTAGTTCTCGTCAAACATTGACCGCGCATTGATGGAATATGCTTCGCGATTTCTAGATTTGACAATACGGATACCGCCTCGTGAGATATCACGGAAGCGGAGATGGAAACCTCGCGACTCCGAGCTGATCACCAAAAACATGCCGTACAACGGCTGAGGATATTCAAGCGACGGCAGGAATGACGGGTTGAGACGGAAGCTGAGGGCGATTTTGGTGGGTGTGTAGAAGTTGGTCTTAAGCAAAGCTTTATTAAATATGAGGAAGGCAGACATGACCATCTCCTCATGCTCATTATTGACCGTTTTGGAGATCAAGTCCTTCAGTTCGTCGTCGGTCAGGACCGCGGCGGATGGGTTTGAAGGGACGAAATCATCTTCATACCCTGGACCGAAGGCCAAGTGAGTATCGGCAAAGGAAGCGTACAGCGATCGGACAAGCTCAGGCTGCCCATTGATGATTTCCGCAATGTAATCGGCGGTGAATGTTTCGGTTCTTAACCGACGCTTGATATTTGAGAGGATCTCGGCATGCAGGCTGTTGGCAGGATCCAAAGCAGATACAAGCGAGGAATATTCGGAACCTTTACGATGTTAGATGACTCCTATGACACGAAAATATAACCACGTACCAAGGCGATTGAGGAAATGATGCACAAATACCCACAGGCAATGCCCGTAAATAGTTTCCTGCAAGCACAATCGTCCGCTGGCGAAGAGAGCCTGGAACTTATTTTGCGGAATACAGTAAAGCAACGAGATCTCTTTGGTGATCTGGTGGATGGATTGGCTGAGCGGAGGAAACGTGAGATTCGAATCCAAGTTGGTTGCCGGCTTCAGATAGAGACAGATAACCGTGATGCCATTAGAGAATTGCTCGACGTATTTTCGAGTGCTCGTTACTCCTGAATTCCGGTGTTAGTCTCCTCGCTTAATGGATTAAAAGGGGAGGGGGGTTTCAAATTTCATTACCATAGGAGTGGTACAGGTCTGATAAGGCACTAAACATGCCCGACGCAGTTCGGCGGCGGAATGCGATGACAATTCGCATCTCCTTGGATCCTTCGATATCGAAAACCTCGATCACCGGACCGGTTCTTTTGACGGCAACTTCGATGATTTCTTGGTAGATTTGCATGGTGTTCTTGGTCGCCTTGGCGAGGAACGTCTGGTCTCCAATGACCTCCATCCGCGTCTCGAGAGGTGAAGGATTTGGATCCACGAATTGGCACTGATAAACGAAATAGCAGCGCATCGTCGATTTTGATGGGCCGCCATTAGCCAAGTTGGATGACGATCTGAAGGTCTCAACGCGATAGGTGTTGCTTGAACCAGAATCGAGGTACTTGGTCTCAAGCCTATGCTCATATCTGGGGCCACCCATTCTCGTGATACCCGGTTCGCTTGTGTCAATGTAGATTGCGTGATCTGTTGCTTCCATATCTAGTCTGACCTCATGTTTCTTGTCTTCGCGAGCAAACGCCGCAACTTTGGCCGCGTAGAGAGATGTGATGTTGGACACGATCGCATCCACCGACTCTGTTTGGAAATAGACGTCATCAATTCCAAGGTCATCATAGAACCAGGTGATCTGGTCGTCAACGAGGCTTGCTGGAATCCAACCGCCCGCCAGGATATTTTCCTTGACTGTGGGCGTGTGTTAGTCAATATTCAGTCCTGGAATTAAATTGTATCACTAACCGTGGACAATTTGTTCATTCTTGCCCTTGAATTCTGGCGCGATGTAGCCGACGGTGGCGGAGCGTAGGACGCGGTGTCCATTGCCATTGCCATTCTTGTACGGCACGCTGAAGTGTGTAGGCTGGGGAGAGGGCCGGCGGCCGGGGGTTCTTATAACCTGCTCCACCAACTTATTCACCGGCGCTCCGTTGGCCGGAGAAGGGCTAAGACTGGTCATTACGTCGAGAGGTTCGTGGTATTGGGGGAATTCGAGAGTTGGCCCAAATAAATCAAAGGGCTCGTGATATTCAGGAAACGGTACTGCAGGCCCCATGATGTCAGCATTGTTGAGGGTCAGTGTTTTGGCCATGGCTGGGGCCCCGGGGGGAAGGATAGTAAGGGCAGGACAAAAAAAAGAAGGGCAAGTTTTGCTGGACGCAGAGCAAACTGGGCTCGCCAAGGGAGGAAAGTAAAGGGTATTTCAATCAATGCCGCTGCCATTGATGCTCTGGGGGTTATCAGAACCAACGTACCGATACCGGGAGACCATGAATCTGGCTAGCTCTGGGAACAATGGAGGTCGGGGCTGGGGGGGAGGATGAGTCGTACAGGCCTGGAATGGCGTATATGTCTCGTTCCAACTGCGGTCTGACGGCTTGTGAAGAACGGTGAGGGAATACGCCGCCGGTTCTGAAGGCTGATAGGGGCGATAAGGGACCCGAGTAGAAGGGTGGAAGCACCGAAGGAGGCAAGGTACCTGAGCACAGCGGTGATAATGTAGGTCTCCGTGTGTGCTGGTGGATCTGTGGTGGTGCTGGTGATGCTGAGAGATAAGGGGAGGAAGGGGAGGTGATAAGGGATGGACAAAAGGGAGGGATCAGGACCTGAAGGGGAAGTCCGAGGTAGTACTTGTGGAAGTGGAAGTGGTTGTGGAGGTAGAAGTGGAAGTGGTTGTGGTGTTTGTACTACGGCTACTGTACGCCTTGGGTGGCGGCATGGCGGGAGCTTTATAGGAAAACAGGAAGAGGCAAAAGCCAGCGGGGAGTTGGGCGTGATCGTGAACCTGGACCTGGGACGGGGTAGTTCAGAGACAACTAGTTATTGCTCGTAATTAATTCATTCGTAGTTGGAGCAGCTAGGGACTCCTTACTACTACGGTTCTGGATGGTACCTGAACCTGAACCTGAAGCGTCGTGACCGCATGGTACAGCAAGTACAGCGGTAGCTGCGTGCCCCGCGGTCATTGGGCTGCGGCTATTCGAGGCTCTCTCTCTCGCTCTCTTGTGCAGCGCAGGGGGGCCTGGCCATGTGGTCGGAGGATTATGTTTTTGCCCAGCGCCGACTACGTAACAGGGCCTAAAGGGTAAAGGGTGAAAAGGGTACAGCAAGCAACTGGGTTTTACGGAGTATTGCTGTTGTTGTTATTATTATTATGATATTATTACTCCATACAGCACGCGAAGGAAGCAGGCAGGCAGTTGCACTGCATTTATGGCAATGCTACTGTACAGTACTTGCTTGCTGCTTGACACTTGTTCTCCGTCCGTCCGTCCGTCCAGAGTGAGCGGTACATGTACTCTAGCTAGCACCTGTATCACTATCCGCATTCCGTAACCAGCACAAAGCACTCGTCGTACCCAGTACCCAGTACCCAGAGCCACCCAGAGCCACCCCGTGGTATGTGCATTCCATACCAGCAGCAATAATAAATAAATAAATAAATGACAAAGCACGAGTAGCGATGTACCCTCTGTGCCACGGTTCCGACCTTCTAGACTCCTTCCATGGTGTTTTGCCAGGCAACCAGCCCCCCTCCGCACTCAGGATCATCCACGTAATCAGGACCCAACCACGTGATGGGCCCCCTCCGCATTGGCCAAGCAGCAACAATGGTTGGCAACTGGGCAACGACCCTCTGTCATGATAATCATCATCCCCGCGAACAAACCCAGTGCAGAGCCTTCCAAGCACTGCAAACCACTGCAAACCACTGCCGTCCACTGCAATGCTCTGGTGAGACTCGCCATTTTGCCCCCTTTTTCAGCCCCCTTTCAGCCCCCTTCCAAGACCTCCCAGCACCTCCACCCCCGGACCCCAGACTCCCCTAATGCCCTCTAATTGCCCATCCATATCCATTATTATTATGATCCATCACGATCCGCGAGGGGCCATGACTAAGTCCCCCAGCGCGGAGCCAATCGCCGCGATTACGGAGGGGTAATCGAAACTACGTGAATCGTCATCCGTCAATCTTTGCTCGTCTTTTTGCTTGTCTCGTCCCCTAAAAAGCCTCAAACGACCCTCCAGAACACGAGCTGGTTCCCAAGTCCCAATAAATCACGCATAACTGCCCGCGCTGCCCGCAGACCTTCTCCTTTGCGACATCGCATGACACATACGTGCATCTGCCCATTCCATCTATTACACATCGTGGGAAGCCCGGGTGCGGGAAGTGCAGGCGTCCACGACGTCCACCGGGGCCTGGAGCTTCCCCGGATTTTCCATCAACTGACCCGTTGAGCTTTTGGCCGCCCGCCGTCCGCTCGCCGCTCGCCGCTCGGCTTCGGGGGGCGCTGCTGCTGCTACTGGCACTACTGGGGGCGCTGGGCAACTGGTCACTGGGCACAATAATAATCATCAATCATCCCTAACGGAAGTACTCGGTACCGAGCACCACCACTACTACCACCACCACCGCCACCACCGCCAGTACTTCGTTCGTGCACCACAACTGCGCTGCACTCACTCACTCACTCATGGTACAGTACCTCGTACCTGGACCGAAGTACCAAGGAAAAGCATTGGGAGATCTGGGGATCCCCCCTAAACCCAACAGAATCCCGCTAATACGTGTTCACGCCCTCAAGCACCCCGTCTCGCCAGTCTCACCGCTGCCTCAGAAAGTCCCAACGAGATTATTCCCATGATATCGATTATTGATATTGACCAGCACGCAAGACAGCCAAGGTCCAGACTTCCGCACCTCCAGACTCCCGACTCCAGGTGGCCTGCCCTTTAATTTTAGGTCTCGGGCGTTGCGCTGCCTGCGTTAGAGCTTGGAGCTTGGAGCTTGGAGCCCAGATCCCACCGCCATGGACGCTGACAGCTCGCACGTGTGGAGCAGAGCAGCTGCCGTCGCTCTTGATGCCCAAGACCCCCTTTCCAATATCAGGGACCAGTTCCTCATCCCTTCCCAGGCCCAATTGAAGGCGGGAAGTTTGTCAGAAGCAGGTAAGAAAGGGAGCCCGTGGCTTGTCTCCTATTTCTCCGCCCTCCGCCTTCCGTTCGCTTGCATCATCCCTTCCCTACCTAGGTACTCGTATCCCTTATTCTATTTTGGACCATCGTGTGCTGAGGGATTTGTCTGACGTAGAGTCCCGTGACTCATCGTCACCTGATGCATCTTTGTCTTCATCCTCATCTTCATCGGCCTCGGCCTCGGCCGTCTACCTCTGTGGCAACTCTCTGGGCCCCCAGCCACGCGTGGTCGCCACGCGCCTCCAGCAGCATCTCAGTACGTGGTCCAGCCAGGGCGTGTTTGGGCATTTCAAGCCCCTTTCCGAGTCCCCCTTGCCAACATGGGTCGATGCCGATGTGAAGGCGGCCGAGAGCATCGCGCCCATCGTCGGTGCTCAAGCGCCAGAGGTAGCGATTATGCAGACGCTGACCGCCAATCTACACTTCCTCATGAGCGCCTTCTACAAGCCCGATGTCAATGGCCGCCATAAGATCATCCTGGAGACCAAGGCATTCCCTTCAGACCACGTGCGTACCCCTTGATGTCACGTCGTCTCACGACCTAGGTCGGTACACGTGGTGCAGTGCTACAGTGACTAAGTGAGGTTCTAGTTCGTGGCGGAGGCCCAAATTCGGCATCACAATCTGGACCCGAGCACATCCATGGTCACGATATCTCCTCCTTCTCCGTCAGAACCAATCCTGACTACGGAGCATATACTCTCGGTCATCGATGAGCATGCTAGTACCACTGCGCTACTTCTCCTTCCGGGAATCCAATTTTACACTGGCCAGCTTCTCAATATACCGCTCATAACTAAACATGCACGCTCCAATGGAATCTTTGTCCTCTGGGACCTCGCTCACGCCGTTGGCAATGTTCCCCTCCAGCTCCATGACTGGAATGTCGATGCCGCCGCCTGGTGCAGCTATAAATACCTCAATGGTGGCCCGGGAACCATTGGTGGTCTGTTTGTCCACGAGCGCCACACGCAAGGCGCTTCTGCTCCCAATAGATTGGCAGGATGGTGGGGCAGCTCTAAGAGCACGCGCTTCACCATGGACAATGAGTTCGTCCCCATTCCTGGCGCCCGAGGCTTCCAGCTTTCCAACCCTTCCATCTTGGATATTACAGCTTTGAATGCCTCGCTAGAAGTCTTTGCTTTGGCGGGTGGCATGGGTCCCATAAGGGCGAAATCGCTCAGGTTAACATCGTACTTGGAGCAGCTGCTTGTGGCCTCCCCTGCTTTTACGCAGGGGCGTTTCCAGATCATTACACCGAGAGATCCAGAGCAGCGCGGTGCGCAGCTCAGTTTGAAGCTGAAAGGGGGCCTGCTAGATGTCGTGATGGCGGAGCTGGTTGCCAGGGGCGTGGTCGTCGATGAGCGTCAGCCGGACGTGATCCGAGTGGCGCCTGCACCCCTGTTTAATAGCTTTGAGGATTGCTGGAAATTCGCAGATGCTTTTGCGAACGCACTAAACGCTGCTGAGAAATAAAAAGAGGGGAAAGTGGATTTAAGGGGAACCGATGAATTGCAAATGACAACTTAATAGCTAATGGACTTATGAGTTGCACAGAAAGAAATATAAACTTACAAATAGAAAACGAATCTTGGAATCTAGCCCATACTTCTTCATCTAAAAGGGTGAATCAAACAACTTAAAAGCCCTATGGGATTAGATATTCTCGATGCTTTACTTATTATCTAGTAACCTGGCGTTGACATTATTACCGTGAGAGATGACCGCATTAGGCGAACCAAGAAAGGGGAAGGATCCCGGCCCGAGCCTTGTCCAGAAGGCTACGAGTGCCGTACGCACGGGCCACTGATTCCTACATGCTGGCTTCAACCTCAACGCAACACAAGCAATAAATAATACACTTTTACACTTTTACACAGCGCAATCCTACCACAACTAAACTTAACCCCTAGGCGCAAACCATATTTCCCTGAAGCAAAACCCAGGGCTTCCTCTGCCGTATTCAAACCCCATGGGTTCTTCCTCCCGCTGCATCGCAACCCCCCCGCACCTCCTACGATAAACTACAATGGCAGCAACCAAAACCCTCGACGCAGCAACATGCACCACCGCTGCCGAAGCATTCAAGCACCCTCTCCCGCAAGTCCGGCAATTCCACCGCACGCTAACCACCGAGCTCGACGAGAAGAATGCGCGCCTGCGGACTTTGGTTGGGGGCAGCTACCGGCAATTACTCGGGACCGCAGAGATGATCCTCGAGATGCGGGAGAATATCGATATCGTGGAGGATACGCTCGGGAATGTGGGGAAGGGCTGCGGAAGAGGGGTTATCGGTGGGATGGCGAGTGGACTGGGCAAGTTGGTCAGCGCTGGTGGGGGCGTAGGCGACAAGCATAGGAGGGATTTGGAGTGGGCCGCCAGGATGAAGGTCCTTTCCATGTGCGGTGTTACGGTTGGGAAGCTTTTGAAGAGGGGGGTAAGTAATGGTGGTGAAGGGAGGACGAAGAATCTAGTTCTTGCGGCCAAGGTACTGGCGCTGAACAAGCTATTGGTGAAAACCGCGAGGGATTCCGTGGCCGAGAGGAGCACATCAGAGCAGGAATTGGTGGGGGATGCGAAGAAGAAGCTGGCGAGTTTACAAAGCCGGCTTTTGAGGGCTATTAAGAAGAGTTTGCAAAGGACCGATGGGGATGCCTCGAGAGAAGACCTCATTCAAGCACTCTCTGCGTATAGCCTGGCCACGAATTCAGGCGCAAAAGATGTGCTGAGACATTTTCTCCGTGCCAGAGGAGAGGCTTTAGAGCTTGCGTTTGAAGACGAGGGGGAGGCGTCGTGTGTTGTGCGAGCACTAGAACTGTATACCAGGACTTTGTTGGATGTTCAGGCGATGGTACCGCGACGCCTTTCGGAGGCTCTAGCGGCGCTTAAAGATAAGGTATTGCTGAAGGATGAGAAGATCAGAGAAATTGAAGGGCTGAGGCTGAATGTTTGCGAGAAGTGGCTCGGGGATGAGATTTTGTTCTTCATGCCTTATATCAGGCATGATGATCTTGCGGGTCCGCTGGCTGTTGAGACCCTAAGGGGATGGTCGAAGAAAGCCTCCGAGGTGTTGTTACAGGGATTTGCGGCGACTTTAGAAAGAGTCCAAGATTTCAAAATAGTCGTCGATTTAAGGACGAAAATTCTACAGATTTGGATCAAGGAAGGTGGGCAGGCTAAAGGTTTCGACCCTTCGATCCTTCTGGACGGGTTGCGGAAGGTGATTAATGACCGCATGGTACATCTCCTCGAGTCCCGTGTGCAGAAACTACATCTGGTAGCGACCGAGGTTGAAGGAACATTAGGATTATGGGATGAAAGCATCGCAGGACGTCACGAGAGTCTTTGGGATGCAAGCATGCTAGACATGGAAATCAACCAAGGAGCCGACCCCTTCAAACAAGCAATCCTCGCTCGCACGCACGGAAGAAACGACGCCGTTTCGAGGGTATTCAAGGGATATCAGGCGTGGCGAAAGCTAGTGGACGAGATCACCGTTGTCATCGAACAGCTAAAGAAGCAGAGGTGGGACGATGATCTAGAGGATATCGAGGACGATGATGTCCTCGAATCTCGAAATACGCTGCTCAGCCGCGAAGATCCGGAAATGCTACAGGGGCGTTTCAATACATGCCTCGAGAACGCGTATAAAGGCCTCCATGAAAAGATAGCCGCATTGATAGCTGTGTATGAGAACAGCGAACACGCAGGCTCAATGTCCATCTACCTCCTCCGCATAATCCGCGATCTCCGGACAGGGCTGCCTAGAGATCAAGCTCTCCAGTCCTTTGGGTTGTCATTAGTCCCTGCCCTCCACGAGAAGCTAGCATCTACCGTCTCAGTTGAGCCGATCAAATCGTTCACCAAAAGCTTCGAAAAGAAGTCGGTGGCGGGGCGGGCCTTATGGGAAGGCACCCCCGAACTCCCCGTTCAACCCTCGCCTGCGGCTTTCAAGCTGCTGAATAATTTGACCATAGCAATGTCGAATTTAGGTGCTGATCTTTGGAGTCCGACTGCTATTGGTGTTTTAAAACGAAAGATACGGAAGGAACTAGCACAAGCTTGGCTGGACGTTTTGAAAGCGCCGGAAGAGAAGGAGGACTCGCCGGAGACTAACGGCGCAGTTACCAACGGCGACGCCTCCCCTAGCTCCCCTAATCATGAAGTCGTCGACGTAGCAAAGTGGAAAGAATACCTCACCCAATCCCTCTTCGACCTCGTCCTCCTCCAAAATTCCTTCGAGCTACCAGATACCGAGGATGGCGATGACGATCTACAACCCTTAGAAGAAACGATTAAGAAACAAATAGATCTTGATCCCGCAGCGCAGAAGCGGTTGAAGCTGGCTGCGAAGGAGTATTGGACGAGGACGAGCTTGCTGTTTAGGCTCTTGGCTTAGTTAGTTAGAGGTGATGTGGAGAGAATAGAATACCCTATTATAGATATGGCTTTTCTTTTCCTGAGTTTACTAACGAGCAGCCACCCACATTAATTTGGCGAAGCGAACCCAAGTTACTCAAGGGAGTGAGGGCTTACACCACAATTGCTCACTCGCTTCACCAATCAAGCATCTTCAACATGACAACATCACAAACCCCTTTTTCCACCCTAATTCAACCATACTATTACGTAAGTACAGTATATTCCAACCAAAGTTTTGCCATCATTCTTCTCCCCTACTAGAAATACTAGTGTTAGCCTACTATAAAGCTTCTGTTCTATTTATTTAGCCGTATAGAAAGCGAGGCAATATCTTTTCCTCAAGGAGGATGCCTCATTTCTATGCCTTCCTCAGGAGGACCTACTAAAGGCTATTCTAGAGATGTATTGCTTAAGCAAGATTCCGTTGCCTCTTAATCTATGTAGAATCTACCCTTTGGAGTGCTGCCAAATTGATCACCTGGTATAGTGACCATTAGAGACTATTACAATTAACAATTAAAGTTACTTCGCCTCTTTTTCTCCTTCTGTCTCCTTTTCTCGTTCAGACTCCTTTTCTCTTTCGGCCTCCTTTTCTCTTTCGGCCTCCTTCTCTCTTTCGGCCTCCTTTTCTCTTTCATCCTCCTTCATCCATTGCATCCATTTAATGTTGTTAAACCCCAATACGCTCCCTGCTGCGTCGAATTCCACCTCCCATCCACTGCTTCTCATGAGGTCCACAAATCCCATTCCATCACTATCCTTCGCTTCTATATCTGCCCCTCGGAAGAGTAGCGTATTAATGCAGTCATGATTGTAATCATTTTCTCGCTTTTCCGCCGCCGCGTGAAGTAGAACTGTACGTCCATTCCCGGCACGAGCCTCGATATCAGCACCCCAGTTTATTAGCGCAATCACGATGTCCAAAGAGTTGCACGCAGTGGTATCCAAAGAGTTGCACGCAACGGCTAAGAATAAGGGCGGGTAGGCTGGATTCGCATTCACGTTCGCATGGTTCTCGATAAGGAAGCAGACGAGGTCTATGGCGTCAGGATGAGCACGCTGGATAGAAATCGCACGGTGTAAGACAGTGAAGCCGCCTGGTCCTTGCACGTTAATATCTGCCCCACGGTCGATCAGGGGGCGTAGGATAGAAATGCTTCTCGAGGGATCCCACGAGACGGCGAAGTGGGCGGCGGTCCATCCGGAGGTGGTTACTGCAGTCACAGGATTGACCTCGGAAGTCAAGGAGAGTAGAAAGGTGACAGCGTCAAGGTTTCCATCCCTCGCGGCATTATGAATGGGGAGTTCTCCATTGTTATTTCGGGTGTCGAAACTGGCGCCATGAGCCAGTAAGTTGGCCATGATAGGTTTGGAAGCGTCGGTGCGACGATTGCAAGTAGCGAAGTGCATTGGCGTGTTACCAAATTTGTCAACTATTGTTGTAGATGCACCATGGGTGATAAGGGAGTCGACTAAACTTGCATCGTTGCCTTCTACTGCGTAGAACAATGGAGTTCTGTTCCAAGAGTCCAGAGGGTTAACATTAGCTCCGCTCTCGAGAAGGAACGCCCAGATGGCTTTTGTTGGAGTCCGATTTTCGCAGATTAAATGTAGTACGGTCGAGTTGTCGTGCATAAATGAGCCGTCGTTAAGGTACATTAGCCTGGCCTCGATATCTGCTCCCGCTTCTAGGAGAACCTTGAAGACTTCAAGCTGTATTTCCTTCCCGGCTGGCGTCCCTTTCGGAACAGGATTCACGACATCGAGCCGGCCACAAGGGCCCCAATGGTCCCAATAAGGAACTGAGACGAGTGCCTGTTCCAATAGGTCTGATTCTATCCCATCGCCATGCCTAAGGTCCTCCATGACCTCAGCTAGTAGCAACTTCACAATTACTATTCGCCACTCCATCGCTGCGAGCTTTAGTGCGCGACCGATTCCGACAGTCCTTGAAGTACTATCGTCAAAGCCCTTCCCTTTCGGCAACCTTTTCAGAATCTCAAGTACACATTCCACACGACCAGACTCTGCTGCGGCGCATAAAGCATGCGAAGTCACTGAAACTTTTGCATCTAGTAACCCCCTTAAGATCTCCACATATCCAAGACGAGCAGCTACCCATAAGGCGTCATGGCCATCCTCTAAGTAGCCCTCCTCATTTGGTGCAAGAAGTTGGCCATCTGCGCCTCTTGAAAGTAATAGCTGTATAGCTTCAAGATTGTTCTGGCAGACAGCATGATGGAGTGGGGCATGACCAGATCTATCGAGATAGTTGATATGGTCAACAATAATAGTTTCTGGGAGAGACGAAAGCAGTTGTGAGAGTTTGGCGGTGTCTCCCTCAATTATGGCTTTGTGTAAAGGAAGATCTTCTTCATCGGTGTCAAATTCCATTGACATGCTTTTGATATCGGCGTTAAGGGGGTGTTGCAGAAGAAATATGTATGTCTTTATTAGCGTCTATGTTGATATGTTTCAGGGGAGGTGTTCTTCGGGGCGTTTTTGTAGCAAGGGGGCTTTTTGGGGATGCGGTTTGAACATTTGATGTATAAAGGAGTTGGTTGAACCTGTTGTACGAAGGGTTCATTTATTCTCGCTCGGGTAAATAAAAACCAACACTGTTCAGCGGCCGAAATCCACCTACACAGTTTTTCCCGCCAACTTATTTTCGAATCATCTCATCAAAGAGACCACCGATGCATGCTTTCTCCACATTTTATGCCCCAATACGGACATAATAGCCCACCCGAAGATTCGCGCATGTGTTTCCAACCGTTGGATTCCATGCATAGAAATTAGTCAAAGTACCCCAGCAGTGGTAGCAACAGTACCGTGTTAGTCATTCGCCGACACGAAATGAAATTTCTTACAATTTCCTACCGTGCCAGTTTGAACTGGCGTTGGCGTCGCTGTCCCGTTTCCAGCCGTAGTTGAGTTCGTTGCTGTTATCGTGGTTCGACTGGTCGTTCTACCGATGATATTGACACAGACCTAGGTGTCGAGCCATGATGACTGACATGCGGTCCCTACTGCTGGGTTCCAGCTATAGAAGTCTGCAAGTGATGCCCCGTTTGAAGTTGCGATGGTTCCACATTGGTCGTTCGTATGGACCAAGTAGAATGTGTTGCAGTTGGGTGTACATTCCTGCCTGCATTGGTGTCGGAGTGGTTATTCCATTTCCAGGCGCAGTAGTAGTTGGCAGGGTGATAATCGTGGAGGAGGTTATAGTGATCAATGTGGACGAGCTAGCAATGGATACACAGACGTACGTATCTGACCAAAGTGCGGAGCAGGTCGTTCCTATCACGGGGTTCCAAGCATAAAATTGGGGAGAACTATCCCGTACGAAGATGGGATCTTGCTGCATTAATTGCCAGCTTTGACAAGATAGAAGGAGTCGCAATTGTTGATAACTAGTCTGAATTGGCTGAGGAGTAGTGATACCGGTGGTTGTAGGGCCAAACGTGGTCGGCTTGAAGGTTGCCGTCGTGATTCCATAATTGACCTCGACATGGCATGAATTAATTTCCTACAACTAGGTTGCAAGACGACCCCTGGAGGATTCTACAGGAAGAAGTGAGCGAGGTTTTCAGGGAAGACGGGATAAACTTATATAAGTATTGAATTTGTCCACGGTAATGCGCCAGGTACTTGCAAAGCTCGTACATGGACTACCTAGGTACTTGGATTGGAAATATTTCCTTATTTTAATATAATAGCTGCAATCTGTGTCTGTGTCGGGGGCTGTGGTGGTAGCTGGGTCTTCTAAAGTATGCGCTTACTAAGAGCAGAACTGCTGAAGCAGCGAGAAGTACAGAAGTTCTCATATTTTTAAAAAATGAAGAAGAGAATTAGGGATGTTCTCGTAGAAGAAAAATATTGTCTTGGAGACTGGCCACTACCAGTTGAACTAGATGGACTGGCCTTGCGAGATTTGTAATGCTGTCCGTGTTACCATGGAGCCCAAAGGACCCTTCGAGCTAGATAAGGCGGAAATAACGCAGCAAGAAATATATGGTTGTGGACCACGCATCCCTGATATGGACGTCCAGAGTGAGGCATACGAAGTATTACGAACGGGAAGAAAATAGGGGCGTAGTTGAGTTCGGACGCTTGTGGGGAGAAAGTGTACAGGCGGCGAAGGAGAGCCAAGAGTGTCAGAGAGAGAGAGAGAGAGAGATAGCGATGAAAGAGAGATGGAAGAGCATCATGGAGAATCGATGGTCCGCAAATGTCTTTCTCCTTGTGTTTGAAATGGACAATGGGTCAAATGTTAAGGTCACCCGCCGCTCAGCTTCGCTTCACCCCAATATCGCCCTTCAGGCGGCAAGAGGTTTGGGTTCTACGCTAAGACTACTGGCAAATTTAATAACTGAGGCTTGTGTATGGCAGAGCGGACGAGAACCCATTTCTCCTCAGTCTATGGTCGTATGTAACAGGTATTTGCTTAAACTTACTTATTCGTATATTGCACGATCAAATTTATGAGGAATTAAAATGCCCAATAATAAGCTGGCTCAAAGTACGTAAGTACGTAGGTACATGTACGTGACCCAGATTTACCTTACTGTAGGTACGTAACCAGGATTGCGCGCCGATGCCACTTGAGTACCGAGGAAGGCTATAATAATTATTTCAAGAATGGATTGATGCGACTTAAATTGTATAGAACCTCCACAACCCTTCAAGAAAGCAGAATTCCGGCCAGTCCACGTGGGATCCGAGTCGATCACCTGGCTGTGACTACCTACGCCATTTACATTCATAACCCAATTGCCATCAACATTTTCCGAAATTCATCAACAACCAAGTCATGTCGACAACACGACTTACCTTCCTCTACCCCCATCTATTTCGCTCGATTCGAATTACGGAACCCGTTACGCAGAGAGTTAGCATACAAGCCAAAATTCCGCGTCCCCAATGCGTGGATTCAAGGAACTTTACAACAACGCGGCAAAGGAGGGGTCAGCGATACATACGGAGACATGGCAAAGCTATAGAACCATCTAAGGAAGAAGCAGAGGAGGCAGAGGGATTGGGGAGCCCTACTGCTAAGGAGGCCCAACAGGATGCTGAAAAGACAGCAGATACCAGACCCGACACAGGGGAGAATGATGTAGAGAAATCCCAACCGGCCGCTTCATCCTGGGCGCCATTATCAGAGGAGACCCAGGCCGCTGCGATAATACCTGGCGATGAGAATAGTCCCATACAACCAGTCGAGCCGACACGAAAGCACGACGAGGCAGCAGGGCGCCAACAGCCCGATGGTAAAGCGGGTGATGGAAAGCCAGCTCTCGAAACCGTTCTGCAAATGCCACCACCTGAGACTCCGGAGGAGGAAAATGCTTCGAAACCGCCGCATCTGCAAACTCCGCCCTATGTTCACCACTTCGATACCTACACCTTGGTGAAACAAGTCGAAAAGGGGGGGTTTATGACGGAGCAGAGTATTACCGCCATGAAAGCTGTTAGAGGGCTGCTGGATTTGAATTTAGGGGTTGCGAAGGCTGGCCTGGTTAGCAAGAGCGATGTTGAGAATGTGAGTTGCCCTTACGCTGGGAGAATCAGATGAATTGCATTGGGTTTTGTTCTAATTATTTGGTTGCGTTATAGGAGACCTACCTCTTCCGGGCAGCATGCTCCGAATTGAGAACGGAGATCGCAAATGCTCGAAGAGCCAACGATGAGGCTATGCGTAGAGATAGGACGCTTCTTCAGCATGAAGTGGATATTCTTAACCAAAAGCTATCGCAGGAGCTTTTGACTCTAAAAGATGACCTGAAGGGCATGTTCGATGACCGGAAAATGGCCGTTCGGCAGGAACAGCGAACTATGGAGAGTGCTGTATGTCTACTTGTTCTTCCTCCCATCCAACTTTATTATGCGCGACCTTCCAACCAATAACCCTTTCAAACTGACCATATATAGATCCAAGGATTAAATAACAGGATCACGGTCTCATTGAATAGCGATAGTAAATCGGAGATCGAAGGGCTTCGATGGGTTTTAACGAGACGATCCGTCATGGGTATTTTGTTTATGGCCTTCATGGTTTTGACATCGCTGCGGTATGCGAGCTACAAGTCGCATGAAGATGAACTGAAGAAAAAGAGGGAAGCAGAAGCGAAGGAAGAGGTGTCGTTCAAAGACCTGCCCGCGCAAGAAGCAGCGGGGATACTGGCTGCTAACTAGAGTATATCCAAGCGCTTGGTTTCAACGTATGACTTGGAAACGATGGCTGATGGGAATCAATAATTTGATGGAAAATGTTACCATACGTTGAGAAAACCATGGGACATGGTTGGAATCGCAATATCATATTTGTTGATCCTGCCTTCCGTTCAGCGTTCGATGTCAGGAGGTATTGAATCTATCTCATTTCGGCCGACGTTTCATGGATTATAATGCTTTGATAGGATGGTTGAATGGAGTGCAAGTTTACTCCGTACAAAAGCTAGAAAACAAATACCAACATCAGACACCAGCCACAGGCCACATGGACCCCCTGCTCCTTGCTCGTATTCGGCCCAATCCAGTAACAATGATTCCAAATGGCGGTCTCAGTATGCGCGATTAGTCAATGCACAAACCACAAAACAGCCATTGACGAACAAGCACTTGCGAATTGTCATACTCAAAAAGTCATCCTTCACGCAACACATATTTGTTTGGAACCCGGAACAGAGAACGGCCGTGGCTTTAGGACTAATGTATTTCGATTCTTTCTTTCCAAATCCTTTGGTCCCACGCAACGCTTTTTGCCGAGCCTCCTGCAACACAGCAAAGTTGTCAACGACAGTGAGAACAGAAACACCAACCGCTTGCGAGGACTATAGTCAGCCACGCAGGGTATACTACAGATAAGCATTGGCGATCTTTGGAATCTTTTGATTTGATTATACGAAGAATAGCTCGGGACATCTGAGAAGGCCTGTGATTTGAGATAAAGGATTTTCTCGAGATGAGCGGGACGGGGTCGTCGGGGAATGGGTCCTTCAGTTCCCTCTGGCACCGGTCAACTGACAAACTATCCCCCAAGAAGTTTAAATTTATGCCTAGTAATGTGGCAAAGACTGGTAATGGTAATCATATTTCAAATTCCTGGACGTATTTGATAGAAGTTTTCAGGGCTAGAGATATGCTATTCCAATTGTTTTCTTTGATTACTATTCTGACTTGGCTCATACTTATATACCACCCTCGGTTTCACCATTCCTTCTTTTATTGCAATACGAGTCAGGTTATATTCTGTTTTATGTCCTTAGTGCCTAGCTATACTTTTAGACCCGGGAAGATGCATAGTCTTCAGTTTACTAACCGTGATATGATAGGTAAGGAGGGTGAGGATGCAGCTACGGCTGCACTATCTGCCAAGCAGCATCGCAGGGCTCAAGTTCGAAAGGCTCAGACGTATGTAGCCCGATATGGATAAGACCCGGAGACCAATCCTGGCTCTTTATTGTAAAGTTAGCTATACTTAGACTGATACTACGATAGTGAACATCGGCAAAGAAAGGCAAACCACGTTAAGCAATTGGAACAAGATATTATTGATCTGCGCAAGATGATTATCACGGCTGAAACAGAAGCCTCACTCGTTGAGCAGGAGAATGAGGCTATTAGGAAGATCGTTGTACAGGCCAAGCTGCCAACCTCTACCTCGGATGCCTCTTTTCCACCAATGCTACCAACTATCCAAAACGAACAGCTAGATTTACAATTCCAACCTAACCCCCATCAAGACCTCACACAAAGCCAGTTCAACAATGACCTAGCGTCACAAGAGGCATTTCTACAGGATTCTAACAGCTCGCTCGTTAGTATCATCTTCGATGAGCTCGTCGGACAAGAATGTTTGCACGTCAGTCCGTCAACAAGCCAAGAAACTTTACCACAAATAATCAACTCTCCGGATATCTTCAACTTCCCCAACAATGCCTTCGCCGCTAAAGCTCTGACGAATCCTCTAAGCATTGTCTCCGAACCATCGAATACAAATAGCCTCCCAACTGCCGTGCCACAATCTCTACCAGCTAGTACAATAGCCCAAGAGGAGGAACTAGACCTGGCAACCATAGCTATAAACTTTATCCTCGCGTACGTCTGCCTCTTGTGCTTCGGCCCTTCACTTCCCTCCTCTTCATTTCTTGCTCTCAGCAACCTCAAACTCCTGTCCGCAAGTTCTCTAACCCAAAACTAGCCTCGAACATCCCTGTCGCACACACTTCCACCACCACTCCCCCACCACACCTTTCGACCCTACCGGGGACCCAAGTGGACATGAACTCATGGCCTCCACGTTAATGTATTCTTCTGCCCCCGAGCCGGTATTCTCAGACTTCGCCCCAGGAATTCACAGGTGGACGTCTTCCAAGAGCAGCGAAGATAATCTCAAACAGTTAGAAGCGATGAGTCGTAGTTTGCCTAAGGCGGATTGGGAAATAACGCCTGTGCAGGCTTGGTTTAGAATGGTGGAACAGTTTGGCGTCGATTGGATAACGGCCGGTAGCAACGCAAAAGGGAACGAGGCGGAGAATGTTTTGGAATGGGTGAAGAAAGATTTAGCAAAGATAGTTGGCTGTTTCGCATTTGGAGCTGTCATGGATGAGAAGAAATTTTGTGATGTTATGGAGGAAAATTTTAATGTTGGGGGTGGGAGGTCGCTTGTATTTTAAGAGCGTCTGGAATAGGCGTATTTGGAAGCTTGTCAATGAAAGCAGCAGCTGAGGAAAATACCGGTTTGATATCTCTTATGGTTGGTTCTGGGACGGCGCCTAGGTGGGGAATAAATACCACTTTTGGCATATTGAACCGGACGCGTTTCACCAACGTAGCACTTTTGGATTCATTTGATGATAGCACAATTCGAAATCTCACTTAGTTTGATTCGTATAGGTAAGCTTGTATATGTCAAGCAACTCAGTATGTCCAAGCATAAATTCACTAGCGATGGAATATTGCATCAGGTGGGGAGATGGGTGTTTTCTCCTCATGGCTATTGCGGGACTGACATCTCATGAGTAGACCTCAGGTTGTGGCATTAAAGTAGTATGATCGAGATGCTTTCAATCAGCTGGAAAATGAGGTGTCCGCAGCTATCATATGAATATTTGGCATCAACGGAAAACAACTTCCAAATATAGCAAAGGAACTAAGGTATTCTACCCCTTGTCAAATAAACTATAACAATGTTGACAGTGACTGCCTCTACAGTAAGGAAATATCAAATGTTGTTTTTGCCGTCCTCGTTGAATCGTTTCTCAGCTTTGGACTTTTGATACCTAAAACAGTCTACCCCACCAATTCGTCTAACTCTTGACTCGGAATTAGAACATTGCCACAACTTCGGCAACTTGATTACCATAACCGCGAGCAATAAATACTCACTTGTGTTTTGAGAGAAAAGAAGCACGAAGCAAAAGTCTTTGTGATATCCGCATGTGATGGTTTAAATATCCTTCGGTTGGCCGTGGAGTCGATACGGCTTCAACCAAGCTCCCACGCTTTTGGGGCTTTGGGGTTAGTTGTTGGCGGGGAGAAATGCAATAATATGTTTAATAACCGAGTTACGGTTGGCAAAGTGAGGCACGCGTAGGATTCCACCTAGATCAAAACAAAAAGGGCCGACTGCCTATTATTAGGCGAAGCCACAGGATAAGGCAATCCTAACGAAATCATTCTAATTCGAGATTCGGCGGGGAGAAAAACAGTGCAAAAACTCAGGCGAGGACCTTCTTTTTGGGCCTCGATCTTAGAGAGAAACCAGACTGAACTGGTTTTTTTTAGGGAGCCATGATCCAAAGTCATGGCCTTTATTACCCTACCCTAGTGGCTAGGGATCTTGTTTGTTTTTCTTTTTCTTTTTGGGGGTTTCTATTTTTGTTAGCTTTTTGGGATTGTTTTTGGAGGTGGGGAAGGCTTACTTGGTGATGTTGGTGTTAGCGTTAAACAGGCGCATGGCCCAATATGGCCGTTGGGCCATGTGCCCGTTGGAAGAAAATCTGTTTATTCTGTATTATATATCATAGTATGGTTTGGGGGTGAATTTGGGCGGTGGTCGCTTGTGAGTAGGGGAGGGGGCGGTGGGCGGTGTCCATTTTGCGGCATGTTTATTGAGCACCTGTCATGATATCCAAGGATGGCTTTTAAATTGAATTTGCCCAAGATGGGAGATAGTACCTGACATTTTCATACACTAAGAAGGTCACCCAAGTAGCAGGCAGAACCCTCACAATGTTCGTTCCCAAGCCTCTATAAAAGCCTCTCCATCCCTCCTCCCTTAGGACCTTCTTCGCCACGCCCGTAATGCCCTTCCCAAACGTCTCATCCGCATGATATGTCTGTATCCTGCTTCTGAAGACCTGGTATGGGTATGTCACGGTTCCAGCAACCACCTTCGCGGAGCCGCTAAGGATCAATGTCGCCGTATTTCCCAGCTTCTCGTCTTTCTGGTCCTTTACCATTATGCCATCACTTAGCTCCCGCTGCTGGGCTAGGTATTTCTTCCAGGTATTCTTCATGGGCTCATACACGGCGAACTGAACAGCCCCATGACTATTTCCCAACAAGGTAACCCCTACGCCTCTGTAAAACCCTTTCAGGCCTTCACGGACCCACAATTGTTGTATCCCATGCCAGAAACTCTCATACGCGCCCTTCGACCCTCTATCCGAGCTCAGCATCCGGGTTTTCACAACCCATATTGGATTCGTTGCGAATGTGGTAATAGTCCCTGATATCCCGGAAGCAAGGAAGTAATCAAATGGCGTGAGGGCATTTCGATTGGCAGCACTGTCATGTTGACTAGTAGGGCTTGTGCCAGGTTGACCGTGGAAGATAAGCAGCTGTTTCTCGATGATTGACTTGAAGTAGAAGAATATTGCCCAACTGCTCGCATTTCCGACGAGATTTGGCGTGAGGCCTCGATATAAGGTTTGGATAGGGCGCTGGCTGGCTAACAGCGATTTTCCGATGCTATATCCCCCGAGGGGAGTTGTAGATTTGCGCTGGACTGTAGGTGGTGAGTTGGGGCGTGTAAACTAGGTGGGGGTGAAGCTATTTACTCTGAAGACGGGTTTTGATTACATCTAAAGGATGGACTGCGAGCGTGGATATAGTACCGGCCGAGAGGCCAGCAATTGTCTCGACGAGCGCGGGGGAGATGCGCGCATGGTTGTCATTCATCAGGAGCGTATTATCATGTTGGTAATTCGTGGGAGAATGGAAAGTCCGGATGTTGACGTCTGGAGCTTGCCGAGGCTGGCGAGATAAATCTAGGTTTATTTAAACAGCACATGGCAAAACTTCAACGGCACCCGCGATCATTCTACAAATTGTTGGACTGGTATATATGGAAGAGTATATGGCAGTGGTGATTTTGCGCTGGTTCACGCTGTAATATTCATATTGTACAATTGCGCTGCTGGCACACCGTGCTCAACCAAAGGTTCCCATGGCCTTGTCCATCCTGCAAACGCCTTCTAATGCTACAACAGGGCTTTCCATGGTCCCAGCTAGTCCCCAGATCATTTCCTTCCCACCAATTTCTGATTATATCCCGAAGATTCGTAGTGCTGGTGATCGAGGTTCAACGCTTATGCGAGTGGAGAGAAGAGTCTATTGTAGTTTTATTAGCATCAAACAGGCTTTTACATCACGCAACATATGAAAAAGGAACCAACCTGATGAATGATGGGCGAGGCTCGCTGCGAGTATAACCTGATATAGTCAGTAGCTGTTGGCTTAGAGAGTTCGAGATGTCGTACCAAAGTAGAGAATCAGGGGGAGGTAGCCACTGGGACATATTAGCACATCTTCCGGACATATACAGTTCTAAATTCGAATACATACTAATGGATGGCAACTCGAGAGATGTCAATGATCTTTCCAATGCGCTCCTATCACATAATCAGCTGGAAGCCTTTGATGACCGAAATGCGCTCGTTACCTTGCTTTCCTCGGAGAGTTGCATCTTGACTATTGTATTTTGTGAAGCTGCGGAGGCGTTAGAATATGCTATTGCGAGGTATATATATGCACGCGGACTATCGGGAACTTACAGGCTTTTGGTTTGAGTTGATGTTTTGTGGTATTTGAAGCTCAATCGCGGCTGGCGTTCCTAGAAAAAAGTCCATGAGATTGAGGTCACGTGCGTAGCCTCTTGGGAGTCTGAAAATTAATATCCAGCCTCGCGAGCCTCGCAGGACTCCACCTCCACCTCCAACCCTTCAACTCGTGTCCAGACGCATATAAATACCCACGAACCACCTTCCTAGGTATCTTAACCCACTTAGAATAACCTTGGTTTTAATTCATCGTCCACTTGAGCCTCCAATTGGGACTGCCACAGCCTCGACAAAGTCCATTTTCACAAGCAAGCCAAGCTACCCAAGATGTCTGGAGCAAGGCATTGGTATAGACCTCCACCCCCAATATTTCCCAGAGATCAACATCTAACATACCACAGGGAGCAAGACAAAGAAGCGACTGTTTATATAGGAAACATCGATGAGCGAGTGTCAGACAGCCTAATATGGGAACTCATGCTTCAAGCGGGACGGATCGTAAATGTGCATCTACCCAAAGACCGCGTAACGCAAACCCACCAAGGATATGGCTTCGTGGAGTTTATCAGTGAAGAGGATGCCGAGTATGCAGCGCGGATCATGAACCAAGTGCGGTTATATGGCAAGCCGATTCGAGTAAACAAGGTATATTGGCGCATCTATCTATCCCCCCGCCCTCACTATCAGCGAAGCTAATGAAAATCATCATAGGCCTCAGCAGACAAGCAAAAAACCGTCGAAGTGGGCGCCGAGCTCTTCATTGGAAATCTCGACCCCCTCGTCGACGAAAAAACCCTCTACGACACCTTCTCCCGCTTCGGTTCCCTCATCTCTCCACCCAAGATCGCGCGCGACGAGGCAGGTCTCTCAAAAGGCTACGGCTTCGTGTCCTACTCGAATTTCGAAGCCTCCGATGACGCGATCGCGAATATGAACGGCCAGTATCTAATGAACAAGGATATCAGCGTGCAATACGCGTATAAGAAGGACGGTAAGGGCGAAAGACACGGTGATGAGGCGGAACGTATGCTCGCTAGTCAGGCGAAGAAACATAACGTCGTGCTGGACGTTCCTCAGATGCCGGCGCAGCTACTTCTCAGTGGGAATGCACCAGCTGCTCCAGCGGCGATGTTAGATCATCACGGTGGTGCTGCTGCGGGCCAGCAGCAGCAAATGGGCGGTCCGCCTCCTGGCGCCATGCCTCCTGGATTCGGTGGGCCCCGCCAAAACGGGGGCTATAACGCTGTTCCTCCTCCCGCGCAACAAAGACCAAATGCACCGCTTCCTCCCCCGCCTTCGGGGCTCCCTCAACGTCCCCCGCCGTCTCAGGGCGGTTATGGTGGACCGCAGGATTTCCATCCTCCTGGTTTTGCCCCGGGACCTCCACCACCAGGCTTCCCACAGAACGTACAGATGCCTCCCGGTTTCGGTGGACCGCCACCCGGGCAAATGCCTCCTCATGGTTATATGCCTCCGCCGGGCTTCCAGCAACAACCGCCGCAAGGCCCACCGGGATATGGACGGAGGTGATGGGGTTAATTATCGTAGTGAAAGGCTTCTAGGCATACGACAATGAGATTGAGCAAGAAAGAAACGCTTTATGGGATTGGTTTATTTATTTTATAAATCCCTACCGGGATTCCCTCGACTATGCTAGTTGAGAAGGATATATTTGGGAGGCAGGAAGGAAGGTAGTGAAATGAAATGAACTATGACGGTATTTCTAGGCTGAGAAGAGGAGGCTTAGAATGTGTACTATCCACAACACCTGTATAAGAGATGTTATAGAAAACATGGCTTAATGCCGCAGTTAAAAGGCGGGCATCATTCAAGGACGGATACAAACAGACATGGCTTTGAAACACATCTTTTTTTTGAGGACGTACTACATAGCGCCGCTATATTTGTACAAACAATGCAATAATACAGAAGGAGCTCCACCGTCACGACGCGTAACAGATAGAACCAACCTCTCTCCCTCGTCCTTCCAGCTAGTAGCGTAAAAACCAACCCACATAATAATCCCGCTCATTCTACACCTCGACCTCCGCCTCCGCCATAGCCGCATCGCCATTTTCCACAGCCCCAGCAGGAACCTCCTCCACCACCGGCCGCTTATTCTGCTTCTCCTTCTCAGCCAAATACCAGGCCTCCTCGACAGCGAACTTCCTCCTGAACACCCGCAGCCAGCGTTCTCCCCACTGTCTGATCATAGCCTCATCGTTGCTGTCCCCGTCACCGCTTTGGATAGCTTGGTCTTTGCTACCTGTCGCCCAGGCGACGAGGGGTTCTTCCATTAGCTGGAAGAGGTCTTTCATACTTTTTCGCTCAGTCTCGGCTGTCTGCTCCAGAGTTGATCTCTGCTCCGGCGTGAGGGTAGGGACGCTCATGCCTCGGACGACCTGTCGGACTCTGCCTGTGACTTTTCCGATTGTAGAGCCAACCATCTCATAGACGAATGCCTGGCTTAGCCGCTTGCCATCTTGGCCTACAGCCCATTCGATGACGCTGCCGGGACTTAGAATCATGTAGTTAAGTAATTTATCGACGATGTTTACGCCGATTCCAGGCTGGTCTTTCCAGTATGACATGACGGAATCGATGATTTGCTTCCGTGCGGCTGGGGATTGAGGACCGATTGCGAGGAGACGCTCTTTGCATCGCTCGATGGAGGAGAGAACGTGAGAGAGGGATTTGGAGCCGATGAAGCAAATTGTTGTCATGTAGACGTCGGTTGAAACGACGAGGGGATCTGCGAGACGCATGTCCAATGCTTGGGCGTGGATCCGGTCGATAACTGGTTGTATCTGATCCTCTGGTGCTTTTTTCTTCAGAAGCGCCAGCATCTCAGCTCCCTCTGGTGCAAACGGCGTATCTTAATAACAGTTAGCATTGAATCACCAAAAAGGATCCCGGCTGAAACTTACTCTCGTCATTGTACTTGAAATCAGGGGTATCTTTCTCCTTCTCCTCAGAAATCAGCTGTTGATAAGGTGGCGGCAGAGTCCCCTTGATCCGCTGTGCAAAACTCAAACGGATTTCTTTATCCAAAGAGCCTTCAATGAAAGCTTTCTTCGGGTTCAGGGACGAGAGCTCAACGTCATCAATCCACTCCGTCCACTTCCAAGTGAACCCGAAGTTGCTTAGATGGTGAGCAAACCAATCCATAAATATGTAGCTCAGCTCGAGATCCATCGAATCGACGTTTCGGTACAGGAAACGGATCGCTCGACCAAGACTCGGTGCTATAGCAGCTGGTGCAATTTTACACGCCTCGGTTAGGACAGAGTGGTAATAGACCAACTTGTGCTCTGGGCTAGGGAGTTGGAATAGCTGCGAGAACACTGCATCAACTGCAACATCTTCTGGCTTCCAAGTAGACCTGTCGCCCTCCACATCCCGAAGTCTGTCGAATGGAGTGGCTCGCTTGACGAAAGTGTCGGGTGCGAAGTAGCAATCGATATCGATCAAAAAGCGAGCTGTAGCATTTCTGTTAAAGTCAAGAATGTTGATCGTATCCACCAATGAATCCCGCAATAGGCAGGAAGCAATATCCGTCATCGGCGGCACAGTCTCAACATCCTGATGAGCGTAGACTGAGAAATAAAGCTCGGGAAACAACGGTCTTGGGCCAGCAATAACCACATCAGGAATAACTATCGATGGAAGAGGATGTTTAGGGGACGAAGCCAGAGCATCGGGTTGTTCAGATTCCAGAACAACCTTCCAAGGCCGCGGAAGACAAGCTACCTCCCACCCGTTTGTGGACTCGTGTTGTAGCTGTTTCTGGAGAAGACTAAGGACGCCATTGGGCGCTTTTGCTTCGTCCGTACCGTTCCCGGGATATGGGTCGACCAGAGACTGAAGCACATGAGGTTCCGAAGCAATGATATCCGTGTTTTCCACCATGCTGTTGGCCTTATCCTGGGCATCCGTCGCCGACGAAGCCATAATATACGGGATCGTGAAGAGGATGATCTTGACAAGCTCCGGGCCAATAGTCTATCCACCAGGTTAGCAAAAAGAGTCCCCCAGCCCAGCCCATCCAAACTACTAACCTCCTCGTTATTCTCCGTCTGCAAATCCACAGCCTTGGTCAAAAGATCCTGCAGAACACTCCACACCCCATCCCCCTCTAATATCCCCTGCAGCCCACCCAAGAACTTCATAAGCAGTTTAACCTCTCTCCACTCCCCCTCCCGAATCTTCTCATTCATCCTCCCCGCCGCTCTGCTCAGCACCTCCGTAACCATCTCCGCCTTGATCGTATTTATAATCAACACAACGGCGGCCACAAACGGGATCTTAAACGGCTGCTCAACGACCAATTGCAAGGCCAAGTCATAGAACGCATTCCGGAGCTCCTCATCCTCGTAGTTATCACACACCGTCTTGGCGATAGAGCTAACCTCGTCCTCCACACGCTTCAAGGGCGATTCCGCAATCGCGAGGAGTTGTTTGCGTACTTTGACCACGAGGGGCTCTTCATAGCGGCGTCGCTGCGGTCGGCGATCGTAATCGTCCTCATCTGAGGAACAACGGATACGTGTCAGCCTTGCTTGGGTGATCCCTTACGATTCGCAGCATTCGGGGACCTGGAAAACCAACCTCTATATCTTCTCTTGCGGTTATTGTTATACCCTCCTCGGCCTCCGCGGGGTCTTTGGTCGTAATCCGCCATCACTTTGAAGGTCCAATGTGGTGGGACTTGGCTGGTATTTGTGGTTTTGGAAGCTCAGGAATAAAAAGGGCGTTGTTGACTGGGACTCGAGCAATGTTACGAGGCTCGTTAGCAGAATATTTGGTGCCTTAGGTCGCGAGACGCGCATGGTCGATGGCTCACCGGAACGTCACGTGTTGAATAGCTTAGCTTGACATGGTTTTAGCGGACATATTCCGTAGCTAGTTCCACGATAACTTATTGTTTAATATCGTCGACCTAGAGGGCCGGTAGAGGCATCGAGTTAATTGATGCATAGGCTTAAGTAGGGTGGCTGTAATATATATTATAGAAGACTCGATGAAACAGGTTGCGATCAGACCACTAGATATAGAAGAGGGCAGGATGGTTGAAAAGGCCGCACATAAAACTACGCTTCACCAAGTCACGTATACAAATATCTACCGAAAATGATTGGAGAGTGTCAATTGAGTATGAGCCTCACATGTGGAAAATCTTTGATGACCTTTGCAATCAGCCAACCCCTTTTAGTGACCACTAATGGCACAGTTGACCTAGAAAACGAAAACGAATCTTTTGACCATATTCGCCCTAGCAACAGCCTAACCCCCCATCGCGGCATATTAAGCTATTTCCATGCAATCATTGAACGCAACGGTATCGTCAATTTGGTACGCCGAATCTGTGGGACATAGAGGGAAAGGAAGACCAGCCACCCCTCTGTTTCGCTACCGTCGGGCGCCATGTAATGGGACAACAAGAATAGAAAGCAAATACCCATTTCCGTCATGCAAGAAAATCTAAAAACGAAGTTTGGTGGAACGGCGACGAGGGCCATCACTGCAATGATCCGTGGCTGGGGTCGATCCAACCCGAGCCGCACAAGACTCCCGATTGGAGACCGAAGAATGCCTTGTCGAAGTGAAAACTTTCGAGGAAAATATTCCACCTCGTTGCGGCGGGGGAGGGGGGTATTCTTTCGTAAAAACCAGTAAAGCATACCATCATGGATCCCATAATCTCGACATTTCTCTCTCGGTACTCTCACAGTCCATCCCAACCTGTAGAATGTCGAGAACGCTCTTGCAGGGCTTGTAATATACTGATCTGGTTGCCGGTGCGAGACCCTCAGAAAACATTGACCCCTAACAGAGGTCGATTGCTGAGCGGCAAGGAAGCATTTAATCGTCAATCATCGGCACAAAGTTGACCTCAATCTAATCGGGCCATCATCTCCTCCTTCGTCATCGGGGTGAGGTTGTCAATGTCGAGGCCTCGCGCCGCCAGATCAGCCTTAACATGCGAAGGGACGAGTCGCGAGTTGAGGTGCGGGGCGATTGAAAGTTCTACATGGGGGGGTTGGTTAGTTTCGGGGGAACAAAATGGAAAGAAATTATAAATAATTTCTGGGTCGCGAGAGGATAAAACATACCATGACGGGAGAAGTCAAAGAGGGTGGGCATGTCCTTGGACGGTCCGTTTGGATGGCGGGAGTCAGGGAGCCTCAGGGTGGGGTCGCGCAGCTCGTCGAAGAATGGGTGAACCATGGCATCGATTGCGGAGAGTCGCTCGGTAGGGGTGTACTCCAGGAGGCAGGAGATGAGATCAATGGCATTGGCATCCGCCTTGCGGAAGACCTTGTTGAAGGGGTGCGGCTTGATCTGAGGGAATTTGTGCTCCATGTAGTTTGGGTTCATGGTGCGGATCTGATCGCGGGTCGGAGTACCAAGAACCTTGATGATCTCCACGAGCTGATCAATTCCAGACTCTCCGGGGAACAAAGGTTGACCAAGCATCAACTCCGCCATGACACAGCCAGTCGACCATACGTCTACGGTTCGGGTTAGCATAGGAAATATCACGTTTCGGATTTGGACGCCATGGCTTACCAATCTTGGTGGTGTAGTTTGTCGCGCCAAAGATCAACTCGGGAGCTCTGTAGTACCGGGAGCAGATATAGGAGACGTTTGGCTCATTCTCGACCAGGATCTTGGCGCTTCCAAAATCGCAGAGCTTCAGCACGCCGGTGCTTGGGTCCAGGAGCAGATTTTGCGGCTTGATGTCACGGTGGCAGATGCCTTGCGAGTGGATGTAGGCGAGGGCGCGGAAGAGTTGGTAGATGTACAGCTTGATCTCGAGGATTGGCATGGTGGTCTTCATCTTGTTGAAATATCTCGAGGCGCGGTAGACGGTTTCGGGAACATATTCCTGGACCAGGTTGAGGTAAACTTCGTCCTTCTGCCGCAGCACAAGTCAGTTTTATAATTTGGAGATATGTGGGCGGGAAAGAGAGGGGGGGAGGGGATGGGGGGAGGGGCTGCGAAGGCGAAGGCGAAGGGCAAGTAGATCAGGGACCGGGAGGGAAACATACTCTCTCGCCATTTGAATAGTAGAACGCCTTCAGCTCGACGATGTTAGGGTGACGAACAATGCGCATGATTTGCAACTCTCGGTTCTAGGACATGTCAGTTTTGATCCCGATGTTCGCAAGCCAACGCGCGCCCTGCACACCTTGAATCTCTTGTCCTGCAAAACGCGCTTGATGGCCGCGTCCTCGCCCGAGGGGGAGAGCTTGGTCTGGAAGACGACACCGAAGGAGCCGTTGCCCACGATCTTGCACTGCGTGTACTGCATATCTCGAGTCTCTCCGGTGACACCATCCTGCACCTTCTCGCGGATTACCTCTGCAGAACACATATTAGCAGGCTGCGCGGGAGCTAGGGAAAAGGCGTGCTCTGTGTATCTGTCCGTGTATCTGTCTACCTGTGTTTGGGGAAGGGGAGTGGAGGGGGAAGGGGAGGGGGGGGGTCATCTCACCTCCCATCCTGAGGCTCGAGAAAGCTGCGGGCCGGGTCTGCGACATGTTTGGAGCTCCAAACCGACTGATGCTATCGGGCGTGGGTGGGGGGGGTTAGCAGGAAGCAGGAGCGTGAGGAGGGGGATTTCTTCGAAGGGATGGAGGAGTCCGTGTTGGGCAATTGAAGGGTGCAGGGCTGCGCAGCGAACAATGACGGGGAAGGTGGTGGTAATGGTGGTGGTGGTGGTGGTGGTGGTGGTGGTAAAATGAGGTAAAATGGAGGTCGGTAGGTAATGATGGTAAATGGAGGTTGACCAGCGGGTTGTGGTGATGAATGGGACGGCGATTACTGGCGAGGAAGGGCGGAGAGAGGGTAACGTGACTGGAAGGCCCACCAAGGAATTTATTCACTGGTGCAGTTGCAGTGCGGTTGCAGTGCCCGTGGCCGTAGAGCGGAGCAGCGCGGTGGTGCAGTGGTTGGTATTTTGCGTTTCTGCTGTCCTGGGAGCTTGTGCTGGAGCAGGAGCGGGAGTGGAGTTTTTGCGGCTGAAGCGAGGGGGGGGGGGGGAAGGGGGGACGGGGTTGGGTCTTTCTCTTATACACATCTAGATGTGTATAAGAGACAGGGGTTGGGCTGGGCTGGGCTGGGCTGGGCTGGCTGGTCGCGAGGTTGACGGTGGAATTGTTGTTTTGGTTGATCGAAGGGGGATAGGATCTGTCTCGCGACGGGGCCAGGTGGAATGTAGGGAGTTGTGCAGTGTATAATGTGTGGTGGTGGTGGTGGGTAGTGGTAGTGGGTATTGGGTAGTGGGTTGTGGTAGTTGGTGGTAGTTGGTGGTAGTTGGTGGTAGTTGGTGGTAGTGGTGGTGGTAGTGGGAGAACAGGCGAGCAGAGGGGAGTACTCCGTATGGGATGGCAAGGTATGTAAGGTATGGGGGAGGGATTTAGGGATTTTGATGATGCTTGACGATCGAGTCGGGGGAATGTGCGGAGAGGAGTTTTGATGGGAACCAGGCGAGAGAAGAGAGAGAGAGAGTGTGAGAATGCAGTGCAGTGCAGTACAGTGCAGTACAGTGCAGTGCAGCGCAGCGCAGGCGGGATATGGTTTAGGTAAGGTAAGGTACTCGAGTAAGGCGGCGCCTGATGGATGAGTTTTTGGCGGTGGTTTGGTGGTGGCTTTGGGGGGGTGGTTTTCCCAGGCCCCGAAAGACGGGCTCAGTGCTGCGATGCTCAATGCTCAGCGCTCAGTAGCGCTCCGTGGCCCACACGCGCTTCTCGTTTTGGGGGGGAGGAGGGGTGGAAGGGGGGAAAACGGATTACGAGGGGGGGAAGGGTTTTTGGGATTTGGCGGGCGGTGGTTGGGTGATGGGGAGACCGGTGGTGGGTGCTGCGCCGGGTCACTGGGGACTGGGCAGTGGTCACCGGTCACGACTGGCCCCATAGAGGCGCTGCTGCTGGTAGGCGTGTGTTGTCGTGTAGGCTTTTGCTGGAAGTGGTAGGCTTGTAGCGGCGGCGGTGGAGGAGGCACAGAGCAGAGTAGGCGTTCCAGCGTACCTAGCACCTAGCTGCTAAGTAGTAGCTAGTACTGTATGTAATAGCTGCTGGAACAGTGGTACTAGTAGTACGAAGGAGAGGTCGAGGTAGGGGGGACTGTAACGCTATTCCAGCTCCGTATTTCGAGTGTATTAGTATTATTCGAGTGCCTACCTCCCTGGGGTACGTCGTTGGTACGAAAGTCCAGAGCAGGTATGGCGGGTGGGCAGCAGTCACGAGGGGTCCTAGCCGGGGTCCGCGGAAACTGAAGGCGCGCGGGAGTGGGAGTGGGAGTGGCAGTGGCAGTGGCAGTAGCAGTAGCAGTAACCATAGGCCACACAAGTCAGCCTATTATAATACAGGTTGAGAGAGGATTGATTGTGTCTCTGCCCTCAGATGTGGTGAGTGCAGTTGGAGCTTGAGCTTGAGACGAGGTTGGTTTCTAAGAAGCTGCGCTGGAGTGAAGAGGTGAGGTTGTCGTCGTCGTTGTCGTTGTCGTCGTCCGCAAAGGCTGTGCTCCCTGGTCGCCTGGTCGATGGCCGGTGCTGGTCGCTGGTCAATAATCATGGTCATCCACATCCACATCCACATCTTCATCCACATCCACACCCATATCCACTGCGCACGCCCCCGTTTCTGGCTCGGTTGCTGTTGCTGCTGCTGCTGCAACAATTAACGACCGCCAGTCACTGGCCCGTGGCCACCACCCCGGGGGGTGTGCGTAGCGGTTGGCACTGACGTTGACAGTTGCGCTGCTGCGCTGCTGCGCTGCTGCACCATCCCAGCACCCAGCAGGGCCAGCAGGCCAGGAAGCCAAGGGCATGGCGGCGAGGCGGCGATGATGAATGTTGGTACAGTACAGTAGTTCTGATGATATATATAGATACAGTAGTAGATGCATAGAGCAACACAACAAGCAACAAGGCAGAAGACATCGTCATATCATGGTCACAGTCACAGTCACAGTAACAGAAAAGGGAACAGGATGCAAAAAAAGGGGCAGAGCACTGCAGAGGCCAAAAGAGAGCCCAAAGAGTAAACCATGGACACTAAACAGGGAATTCTATTGCTACTCGGGGCCAACCAGAGCAGAGAACTGAACTGGACAGGACAGAACCAAGACAACCTTCAAGTTGAAGGCACAGAAGGCAAAAGAGGCAAACCAGCCATCGATCTATCACAACCTATATCTGTCGGGGGCGGTGATTGGTTGGCAGCGGCAACTCACAAATCAACCAACTGGTCAGCGGTCAGCTGTTATCACCATCTCACATCCACATCCACATCCAGGTCCAGGTCCATGTCCATGTCCATGTCCAGGTCCAGGTCCAGGTCCCAGTGGCGTGGCGGGAAGCACCTAGGCACAGAGAGACAAGGAGCCTGGCGAGAACTTGGCAAACTCAATCAGGAGCTATGAGATAATCCATCGGCCTCCATCGCGAGCTACAGCTACACTGCTCCGCCGCGCCACGGAATTCTTTGTTGCCAGCTTTTGCTGTGACAGCGCTAATCATGTTATTAATGGCAATGTGCGAACTGCGAACTGCGAACTGCGAACTGACTGCGAACTATGAAAGTACCGGCGCCCTGGAGGGCTGGAATGGCTGCATGCCGAGCTCTGCACTGGCGGCAGGCTGAGCCGATGGAGTTCCCGTCGCGCATCCAGAGGGCCACCGGCGACGGGCCATGAACCACGGCTGGCTGGCGGCAGCGTTAGTTGGAGGTGTGATCTGCACCACATCATAGGTAGGGCATCTTTTCTGGCGAAGAGGGCGCCTGGCGACGTGGTACAGAGATGTCTATGGAGATGATGGTGGGAATGGGGCTGGAGATTGAGGATGAGGTGACTTGAAGTTGGGATGACTTGAGCCTGGAGAGGAGAAGAGACGTCGCGTCGAGCTCCAGATCGTCTCAACCGGTCTCGCGTCTCCCCATGGTGGTTGACAGGTCACGTGGAGGTGGATGCCGAAGTGTACCCGGCTTCACACCTCCCGTTCCATTCCCAGGGATGAACCTCTTCCTCTCCTCTCGGCTTCCACTTCCACTTCCACTTCCACCATTCCACCATTCCGCAGTCTGAGATATGCTGCAGAAGCCCAAAGATACAGAGGTACCGAGGTACGCAGGCACGTAGGACGTAACCTCATAGCAATCTCCTTTGGCTCAACGAGACCCAATGCAGATGCGCGCAACATTCCATCATATTGCACAGTCACCGGCAGCCCCACCGTCGCGCCCTCATCGCGAGTACAACGAGGGCACAGCGATCATGGGACCCTATGGTGCGGTCAGGAGACGCACAGGCAGCCTGGAGGTTATCAAAGGTCGTCCCAGCCAGCAATGCATCTTCAATTGACCCAATAATGCAGACTACATGAGACGCACCGAAGCGGGAGCTGGAGCTTCAGCTTGAGCTCCAACGAGGTTGAGCTCATTGCTACATCGGGATGCTCATGCAGCAAAACACCCTTCGCACAGTTCAGGTACGACGCCGCTCGCATCCCAACTCCAATAGAGCTACTCGAGGTACCACGCGCTGTAGCTGGCAGAGGAAGCTCGTATGAAACCGCTCAGGGCTCAGGACTCAGTGCGTGTCACCCCTGGGTAGGACAATGAGCTCGATATACAACTCGAAATGCAACACCGATCCCTCGGAAGGACACCTGCTGTATCTCTCCTAAGTTTTATTTATTTATTTTATAAATCCGAATCTGGATGCTGTACCCACGGGCGTACCACTACTCGTACGAGTATCACCAACACACCGGGTTGCTAGCAACTGGAACAATCTCGAGCTTTGGCCTCGGGTATCCACGGTGAGGTACAGCTGGCAAGGCACTGACTGTTGGAGATGACGATGTCCCCGTTCTCGTGCCGCGCCACTGCCTACTGGAGCCTGGATGGTGTTGATTCAACGGTTCGGCGGCATCCAGATTCCAGAACCGCCACATATCGTGCCTTGTACACGGCCCCTGGCGAAGAGGCTGACTGGTGGCCAGCACCAGCCAGTTTATTATACATGCCCTACCAACGTCGTACGTTCGACGTGCGAAGTACGAGTATGAATGTCGCAGCCTCGTGCGTTATTTGCGGCACTGACTTCCTAGTCGCTCGCTGCTTTTGGCGCCTCTCCTGTCGTATCGCCTGCTGCTGCAGATGCGGATTACGGATGGCGAGACAGAGATTGCCCCTCAACAACTCAGCGGTGGAAATTTTGGATGGGCTCGTGGCTTGTGGATCGGCCAGGCAAGCCACCACACCACGGACAAGGACCAGGAACCTGCGTCTAGCAGACGGTAGGGAGGACAGCACGCCTGCGCCTGCGCCTACGCCTCCGCCGACGGAGCACACCTACGAGCCGCCCTCGTGGAGTCGTAGCAACTGCAATTCCACCTCCCCACACGCAGGAGATATGAACCCAGCAACCTGCAAGTGCACTCAGGCCAAGTCGCGTACCAAGTGGTGATCCGGCTGTCCTTGATTTAACCTTAACCAACGACCTCACGAGACCGCAAACTGGCCGGAGCTTCTGTTTGATACTCGCCAGGGACAGCAAGCGGCTAGCAGCACAGACCGACTTGGATTGGTCCCGAGTTCAAGTCCGCTTGGAGCAGCCGGACGATCTAACGCTAATGACTCTATGTCTACCGAGTGACCACAGTACTTCGTACTCGTAGCATTGTTGTGCTATGATACGTAGAGTATCATTCTTGTAGGGTGCGGAGGACCCACTGCGAGACCACGAACCCGCGAACTGGGAACTTTTTATTATTAATAAATAGGATTATCGATCACCCGCCGGTGGAAATGCAGCCAATAGGCGGCCAGACCGCCCGCATGGGTCGCAACTGGAAAGTCTTTCAATACCGGTATGTCCCAGTTTGATCCAGGGACCCATGGGATACTTGGAACATTTCTTGCGTCGCTGCTCCGCTGGATATCTTGTAGCAGTAGCCCTGCCAATAACAACGAGCCTCGAGCCGAGAAGTTAAATTATCCACCGGTCACGGGTCTTACATTTGTTCCAAACGGGTCGCCGTTGTATGAATTAGTTTGAGACGGGGGTGTTCGAACTTCGCAGCCACGAGCCAGCCACGATGGCTAGGATTAATAAATAGCATCAATACGTCCAGCGTCTAGCTTCCAGCTTCCAGCTTCCAGGGTCCTGGAGTGACTCCTGAGTCCTGAGTCCTGACTCCTGACCGTCATCAATAATACCTCTGTAGCGCTCCCGAACGAACCCGTGACATTTCCCCCCGGTCTCCAATTTAGACGTCTAGCGTCTGCATGGCATCATGATTGTCCTATGCTTGGTACGAGAGGATTATCGCTCCGTAAGTGGATTGGTTGATTGGATTAGATTTCTAGGTGCTGGTTTTGGCCGGATGCCGAGTTCGTGGGCCGACCAGGCCCCTACGGACGTAGTGACACTCTGAGTCTCTAATTATCAACGTTGAAGGCATGATCGAAGAGTACAAATCCGACTCTCCTCAAGTCCAGTCCAGCCCCAGTCTGGTTTGAAAATATAGCCTTAAGTAACACAGTCCAAATGCCCTAACCCATTCCCTATATGAACCTTAGTATCACTGCCGACTGTAAAGCCACCCCCGATAATAACGACAAGATACTTCTCCCTCGTTAACAAGGGGAATGTAGCTCGTTCTCCTATAGGCGAAGTGTTATATGTTGCAGTCCCGCCCACCTCAAGCTAGATGTGATGATCAGCAAAATCCCCTCTAATAGGCACTTTGCCGCGTGCTTACATCCTCTTGAATTAAACGACATATTGCCTTATCATCTTTCGCCTTCGCCTTCGCCTTCGCCTCTGCGTCAAGCTTTCTCTTTGAGAGACTTCGCATTTTGGGGTGTTCTCTTGTCTTTTCGAACGGGCATAATTCGAGGATGCCGGGCGTAGGTTCATGGGGTAGGTCGATATAAAGTCCTCGCGCCGAACCAACTAGCGTGGCAAAAAGGGGACGGCTCTCGTTGGTGATGGATACGATCGCGATAGTGGCCAGATGCCTCGGAATCGTCGTGAGAAGGTTGCGTGCTGTAAATATCGATTACCTCTCCCTATGGCTGACTATTAGCTGATTGCCGTGGCCCAGTGACACCTCATCCGCCGACCGCGGACAGCTGGCAGCTTGCCACCAACTCCAATCCCATCCTCCTACTCGAGTAACATGCATGCCGTTGTGCAGAAAGAGGACAGCTTCGCTGCCAGAAAATGCACCGAATGGCCAACCAGCCATTGGTCGCCGGGCAGGAATCTGTCCAGTTACCTCCTACATGCATTTCACGCATCTCGGGTTCTTGCAGGGCCAGTGGCACAGGCCGGAAGAAGATACAGTACAGTGCGGCAAATTATTAATATGGCCTACAAAAAACTCTCTTCCGTTCTGCAGTTGCAGTCGAGGGCCGATAGTAGTGATGAATGACCACGGTCGAAACGGCCAGCGAAAGTTATTATTCCCAGCGCCGCCGTTCCACTTATATAATAAGAGATCTCATTAATTATTATCTAGGTACGGCCCGGCACGACCAGTAATAACCAGCACATCGGAGATCATAGAAATCTTTTTTTGTCCCCCTTCATGGTTTGGTCGTTTATGATTCGTGCATACCGGGAAGCATTGGGCGATCATCTCTGTGCCCGGTGAATGGCTATTTATCCTCGGCGCTAGTTGCAGCTTTCCCGGCCGGTATCGAGCTTCTTCAACTCTGCTATTATTGCCTCATATGCTGCTGGGCTCCTGGACTATCAGCAGGCACTCCAGGGAAGTGAGTCTTCGTAAAATGGAGGAGGGGCCTTGCGTTACCAAGCCGGGGGTCAGCATTCGAACAACACAACACCAACAACCAACAACCAACAAACCCTAAATCTGACGATGCTGCCCGTTTATTTCCTTATATCCATGTTTTCTCCGGAACCTTCCTTCACCTCACCACGAACTTATTATCAGATATCAGATATCAGAAAACAAGATGGACACCCGTATTGCTCCCAAGATTTTACCTCGAGGGAGCTTAGCCGGTCCTTCAGCCGGTGGTACAGATTCTATCCAGCTCAATCCATCCAACCTGCAGCACGCCGACGCCTTGCCATGAACGGCCCCCAACAATAAATCATACATACTCCTTCTCAATTGCCTACGTCTGCCAACCCCCCGTTTCCGACTCGTCTGCTGGCTTGTTCAACCTTCAGAACCAGCGACCCGCATATCAAAATCCCACCCTATCTGTGTGCTACCCAGCCAGCCCCTCCATCCGTCATGTCGGGCATGTTTCGAAACCTTGCCAGTGCTACTCTGCACGAGAGTCTTCGTCGTCATAAACCCATTGTCGCTTCTTCCCTTCCGCTCCTAACCATGGATCCCTGGCAAGCCCCGTCACGGCGTCACTTCACCCCTCTTTTGTTTGCTCATGGCGGCCACCGTGTCATATGTAGACAAGGGGACAAGGGGACAAGACAAGACAAGCCTCCGACGACGTCAATATCAACATCAACATCAATACCAATACCAATATCGATATCGATATCGCAACAATGCCTTATTTATTTTTTCTTCTCCCGCCTCTAGCGCGTGCCATCTTCTGCGTCCCTCTGCCCTGCATCTACCATTCCCCTTATTACTGGCCAGCACCTACAGAGTAATAAAACCACAGCGCAGTACACCAGCATGATGCATCAGGCTGTGTGAGTGGATGCCAGGTGGGGAGGGGCAGGATTCGGTAGGGACACACAATTACCACGTGTATACCTGCTCCTCCGGAACCAGGCCTCCCTCAAATCATATACGGCCAAGAGGTCGCTGTTTTATTTTGCGGAAGCACAGAAATGGTACCCGCCGCTGGCTCTCATGCAACGGCACACAAACCTCTCCCGCACCACTCCAAGGTACGGAAAAAACTTCTATATCCCGCATACCTTGTCCAATTTACCCATTTCCTTTCTCATACTATTGCCCTCGATACGCCTTTACTGCTCCATTACCTTCCGAACTAAGAATATCCACCTTTGAATTTTTTTTTAAGGCGCATGCGAGAGGAAAACGCTGTTGTGAGTTGTAGTACAACTCCCTTCAAAAGAATCCGCCTTCCCCCTTCCCCCTTCCCCTGCCGTCCCCTAGTGCTGCAGCTACGTACAGGGACCTATTGCCATCATCGTCTTGTATAATACTGCCTAGAGTGGACAATCCGGTAGTTGCCTGCTGAGTCAACAACACTCGGCGGTAGACCTTGGGTTGATATGCTCGCCTCTCGGTGATGTCCGAGAGCCTCTTTAATTTGTCGATCTTGACGGTGTCAGACAAAGGCTCGGTGGGAAGGTAATTGTGCGCATGCTGGAAGCAACTCCAAATGACTCTAAAAGGGGTATCCCCAGGAGATTTGAGTCTTGTCATGCCGAAATGATTATCGTTGATATCCACTCACTTTTCCCACGCTACCAAGTTAAAGGTCTAAAACACCCGACCTTTTTTTAAACATTAAACAAGCCTTTTCTATAACCAGTTTGAAGACTACTGTCTAAATGGATCGATATAAATAACGCAAAGCTCCGCCGACGGTATCAAAATTGTGAATCACGGCGTAGATACCGCGAGTATGAATTATAAACCGTGGTGGATATTCTCTCCCTTAGCTGGAAGTTTAATGATCTAAATTATCACCAATAAGGGAACGAAAAACAAGAAGAGCAGCATTGCGCGGCTTAGATCAGTTTATGAAGAGAATACCGAAGAAGGAGCAATAGGACTTTCGAGTGAATACTACATGGCAAGATCAGATAGGGATGGATTCTTCATCTAACCACAAGAGAGACTATATGTGCTAACAAAACTCCAAATTTTCTGCCTCTTAGAAGATGTTTCCGGACTGACTTCAAACAGGTACTATTCTAAAAGCAATGTAGCGCCAGCCAATAGTTTGATATCTTGGCCGAATTCATTGTAGCCATTTCCATCAGCAGAGTCGAGCTCGGTAGAAAACAGCAACAGAAGAGGACAGTTTAGTGCTCTGAGCCCCCCCTTTTGATTTACATCCTCCGATACTATCTCCACAACCTGATCATGGTCTTTCGTCGAACCTCGGATTTGCTAGTGGTCTAGAACAACTTCCCTCTATGAATTTCAATCAAACGATATTTCCGACGGAATTACAACATTCCTATCCGACTTCCGAAAGACCGGTCTCGGAGAATCTGCAGTCTGATGCCTGACAGGCCGAGGGAAATCATGGCCGAAGCTGTAACACAAAACCGCATATCGTAGCCTGCTATTTGACCCCACACAGAGACCGATCAGTCCACTGACAGAAGTGTGCGTGTCAATTCTGTAGTCAGCTGGGACAAGGACCCTTACGTGCATAACAGCGAGCACTCGACGCAAGCATCGAGCTCGATTAATACGGTATGCAAACACCGAATTAACACATGGTGTTTCTAATTCTTAGAATGTTATAGAAAGAACAACGACTACCTAATCACGGTCTTAGCAAACCCTACCGTGTTATGTCCCTCGAATAAGAGAGAAGAAAGTAGAAAGGCAAAGGAAATGATCGATAAATCCCTAAACTATATGAATTTGGAGTCATATTCGGGTTATTCGAAGAAGACTTGGAACTGCCCTTCTAGATCCTTTGGTTCTCCTTCTTCTCTAATAACACAACCTGCCCCTTCATAGTAGGAAACTCCATTACATCTTCCAGCAGTATCTTAGCATTTATATTGGCACTGTAGAACTCCGCAAATTGCTGTGCTGCAAGCATATCACCCCACACATCAAAGAACGGCGTATTGTGAGAGATAACGACATCGCTTTCTAAGCCTTCCCCAATCTGAAGTACCTCTTGCCATGCACGTTGAATCAATCCTTTATATTTTGAGCTTTCAAAGGACACAGATTCAAAATTCTGCGGCTCAGGTAGTGTCTTCAGTGGTGTTTCGGGCAGGGAGCACTCGGCCCAGGTCGAAGGTTGTGGCAGTGGTTCATCTGGCTTTTCGTGGAATTGTAGGATAGCATCGCACAGATGATCAAGTAGCTGCTGTGTGAATTCACGAGGAACGGCCTCATGACATGAATGAATAATAATGTCGAGCATCCCATCCGCATGCTTGGAGCGTACCCAGAGATCCGTACGATCACACCCAGGATCGTATGTAAGAATCTTGCATGGCGTGCCCTCAAGTTCCATGTCGGAGATGTCGAAAATAGACATGTGGTGAACAATAGATGTGAATCGTGTCCACTTTGGCCAGGTAGTATACCTTTCAATAATACGCCTATAGTATGTGGATTCGTAAGGCATAGTCGTAACTTGTTGCTCCTGCACACTGCGACAGATATCCATTGGCGTGCAACCATTTTTCATTTTAATACGCCATGGAGTATAGTTGATGGTGGGCCCTCCAATCTTCGATATACCTTGAATAGGCACATTTCGCCCGGATACTAGAACAGCAAAGACCACATCTGGTATCCGAGTAAGCCTTGCCAACGTATAGGCCCATGCCGCTTTGACGAGGTTAGAGTCAGTGATCCCGTGCTGACTGAGGGAGACAGCAGGAATAAGCCTCTTAACTGTGCAGTTGAAGACATTACGGTAAGCGGGGCCAGTGTGGTTGATGATTTCTGGCATCGTAGATCCTTCAAGATACTTACGCCAGAAACTTTCGACCTTCGCCGTGTTGGCATAGTGGATGAAATTGGCGAAACTCGGTCCAGTCTGAAGCGATTTACCACTGTATGCAGCACACAAATTTTCTCGAATTTGGTCCAGGGACACTCCATCATACTGAGCGTGTGAAACCTTCATAAGAAGGGCGTTATGATTTTCGTCTTGCTGGACAAGTTTATACCACGTCGCCAAGTCACCCAGCCGCACATCCTTTTTCAAGTCCAAATGCATCAGACCTTTGGCAACATCAACAGCACCTTTAGCTCCTTCAACATACTCGAAAGATATTTCCGGAGATTTTAGCACAACTTGCAGCACTTGTCTCTTCCATGCTGTGAAGACTGTACGTAGGAGGTCATGATGCCTAGTTATGCGGTGGCATGCAGCCTTCAAACGAACCGGATCTAACGGGCCAGAAAAATCGAAAATGTAGTAATTGGTGTTTCCTCTTGTCTTGAGAAGACTAGTGAGTGTTGACCAACCTTGATAGTCGGTGGACTCGTATATATTCTCGATTTGGTCACTGTCCATCGAGAGTTGTACGCTCACACCCCGCCACACGGAATCGTCCACAATTTTCCCAAGGTCTGGCTTAACCTGGACTTCCTTAATCACAGCAGAATCGCTGGTCCTTTTTTCGATGGATTCGCTTATGTGTGCACTCATACTACTGAGTAGAGAATGACTGAAGACATCTGCCACGGTGAGGAGAAGACCATCGGCTGAGGCAATTGATACAAGCCTCAAAGCTGCAAGGGAATCCCCACCGAGTGCAAAGAAGTTGTCGTGCCGTCCAATAGAATCTTTGTCTGTCTCTAATACAGTGGACCAAATGTTCTGTAATCTATGCTCCATCGCTGTTTGAGGATCTTGATGAAGACTCTGGCTAACTGTGAACCGAGAAAGTGATTTCAATGTAAGGTCGGACGCAATAGACCGCAGCATCTGCCTATTTAGTTTCCCTGCAGTTGTAAGGGGTAAAGATTTGAACGGTATGAACTGGGCGGGGACCATGTACTGCGGTAGGACCTGTAGCATATGTGTGCGTAACTCATCAAAAATGGCAGTGATGATCTCCACTGATTCTTTGCTTACTTCCTCCCTGACGTCGATACGGCTCTCAAAACAAATAAACGCGCCAACAAAAGATTTATGACTGCCTTTTGGAGTGATGATTTCAGCGGCAGCGCCTACGAATTCTCGTCGCGTGCCAAGTATTTGTCTTAAATGGTGTTCAACTTCCCCAAGCTCCATTCTCTGGCCATGAAGCTTTACTTGGGTGTCTTTTCGGCCAATGTAAGTGATCGATCCATCTGGGTTGTAGCGGACCAAGTCTCCAGTGCGATAGAACCTCCCTCTATGGCCAGGAGATATGAGTTGAGACCAAGCAGGTTCAACAACGAACGCTGCCGCTGATTTTTGGGGATCGTTTAGATAACCACGGGCGAGGATGTGTCCACTCAAAAGCAACTCACCCACGGCCCCGATGGGAGCAAGCTTGTTGTAATCCAGAGCATCCACAATCCAACTCACAGCTCCAACTGCTGTCCCAATATTTGTAGGCTCAACACTAATCATTCCACTGTTGTTGACCATACTGAAAATGCAACACTCTGTAGGGCCATACCCATTAATGAGCTTAACTCTCTTCGCCCAGTTCTGGACGTGGCTCCTATTCATTGGTTCCCCAGCCAAAACTAACGTCTTAAGAGTTGGAACACTTTCGGGGACGATCGTACTCGCAAGGGACGGGGTGAGAAGTGCCCAGTTTGACTGGAATTGTGTTATTGCTCCATGAAGGTTGTTCATACGGTCATCCTCCGAAGGAATACAAATGCAGCCTCCGTAAAGCAGGGTGGTAATAATATCCGTCAAGGAGATATCAAACGTAAACGATGAGAACTGTATCGACCGCGTTGTTTGAGCCATACCCATCGTCTTTCCATGCATAGCGGCACTCAGCATTAGTGCTTTATGTTCGATCACGACGCCTTTTGGCTCACCAGAACTGCCTGAAGTGAAGATGACATATGCGGCATTTTCGGGGGTGATATGGACACTCTGCCACGCTAGAGGAGAGAATTCCTTATAGTTCTGTACAATGGAGTCATCGATGACAATGCATGTTGAAAAAACCGATTGGCAAGACACAAGTGACTGCGCAGATGTGAGACATATACGAGCCTTAGTTTGTCGACAAATAGCTTGGAGGCGGATTTGTGGATGCGAAGGATCGAGTGGATTATAGACAGCTCCAGCTTTCAAAATTGCCAGAAGTGAGACAATTGCATATTTAGATTTCTCGAAACACATGGAAACTACAGTCTCAGGAGTGACTCCTAGACTGATGAGCTTCGCTGCCAAAATTGACGAGAGTTCATCGAGCTGTTCAAGAGATAGATCGCCATCCCAAGCAGAGACTGCTTGGGATTTAGGATTTGTTTCAGCGTGCTTGCTGATCAATTTATGAGTGAACATTGCAATTGGCTCAGGAACCTCTTTGTTCCACTCGCAGATGGTAGCCAGTTCATGTGGTGATACTCCAACGAACTCCTCTAGTCGCTGGTCCAGACTCCCAGAGAACATATGTTGAGCGATATCCTTGAACTTAAATATAATCCGCTCAACCTGGCCAATATCGAGCATTGCTTCATCAAACATGGCATTGACTGTAAAACCGTCCAAACCCAAGGTACATTCCACAACAATGCCATATGTGTAGCAAATTTTTGATCCCAACTTTTCAAGTCCACACAAGATGTTGTTAGACTCATTCTTCTGGATTGAGATTGACGTCCGTGGTTGTATGACTAGCAAATTTTGGAATTCACATGCCTGCCGAATAGATGGTGATAGTCTAGAAATCTTGAACAAACTAGTGTGTTCTAGTGGAATCATCTCTGCTGACTGCCTCTGTACTTCGGATAGGAAGTCCTTGGCAACTTTTTGACGACCAGGTTGAAGACGAACAGGTAGTGTAACGAATGTTGGGCCGGTTATACTTTCAATGCCAGTAAATCCAGAGTTTCTCCCAGAGACAGTCACTCCTACAATAACATCTTCGGAGCCTGAATAAATACCCAGTGTCAACGCCCAAGCGGCCCTAATTATTGTTGGAGTTGTTATATGAGAGTGCAAATACCGCTTTACTTTGACGTCCGCAACTACCGAACTGTGAGTCAGTGGACGGTATCCAGGATACGGAAGTCGAGGAAAAGAAGCAGGTTGTGCGTCCTGTAACTGGGACTTCCAATATTCCAAATCTATGGCTTGGTTGGATATAGACTGGATGAAATTCCGGTATGGCGGGCTCCGAATTAGACCCGAGGATCGATAGAACATGTCAACACTTCGAAATAAGAGGGCTAATGACCAACCATCGTACATGGCATGGTGAGCAGTAAAGATAAATGTTCTGTAACTGCTCTTGTTATCCGGCGATTTTAAGAGAGCAAAGCGAACCATGGGGTCTCCAAGTTGAAAGGGCAGTTGAATATCTTGCCGAAGATACTCCCCAACCGCGCCTGACTGTTCAATCCATTGGATCTTCCAATTCTTTAGTGCAACTTGGAGAAGAGAAGAAAAGGCTATGACTCGGACAAATCTAGTTCTCAGAATCGAATGCTCTCGGATAGTGTAGTCCCAAGCTTCTTGAAAGCGAGAAATGTTAAACTCCTCGGGGATTTCAAAGACATGCTGCCCTATATACGCACGACTCTCGATTTGGGATAGTGATATGAGGCCTTCTTGGAGAGAAGTACATGGATATATATCCTCGAGACTATCTTTATCCACCTTACATATTTGAGCAGCGTCACCTAGAGTGTCGAAAGATAAATTCGACGTCTCCCGAAGCATCTCGAAAGGTGGAATAACCCCATATTCATCGCTTGAATCCATCTCGGTCAAACGAAGTGCCATCTGAGCTAAGCTTGGACGTGAAAAGATGTCCGCAACTGTGAGAATAAACCCAAGGGATCTTGAAGCTGATGCCAGTTTCATTGCGTACATTGAATCGCCTCCAAGAGTGAAGAAATTATCATCAGCCCCAATGGAATCTATTGGTATCCCGAGAGCCTTTGCCCAAAGCTCCGAAAGAACGGACTCCCTTTCGAGTGAGGGGAACTGAGCGCTAATCTTGGTTTGTGTTTCCCTCAAAAATGCCTTGAGTTCACTGGAAGACAAGGCTGACCCTAATTGGCATAAACTCCTCCGGTCTGTCTTGCCTCCACTGGTCATAGGCATCTTTGATAGTTGTATAAACGCAGTTGGTATCATGTGACGAGGTAGAATATTCTCAAGGCTTGCTTCCTTCAAGGTAGTGATCTCCGCCGTCTCACTTACGATGAACGTTTTCTTATAATTTGCAATATCAGTCGTTGAGCCATTGCTCACATATGCAACCAGTAATGGGTGACCAGCAGGTTTGATTAGCTCAACCACGACTCGCCACCCCTTGTTTGGAAGGATTTGCAATAGATTATACTCGATGTCTCCTAGTTCGATCCGTTGCCCCCGTAGTTTGACCTGAGTATCCTTCCTCCCCACTATTTGAATAGAGCCATCCGACATGTAGCGAGCAAGGTCCCCAGTTTTGTAGAGACGCTGATACTGGTTCGGTGCTTTGTGCCACGGAGGCGAGTTGATAAATGCTGTAGCAGTCTTCCCGGCATCGTTGAGATAACCTTGCGCCAAAATTGGGCCTTCAACCAATATCTCCCCAATGCAGCCAATTGGTACAAGCAGGTTGTGGTCATCGCTCTTTGCAATCCAAATACGGCTGCCCAGGGCGCGCCCTACAATCGAGGGGACGTCCTCTAATTTCATGCCTGGATTAGATGCACAGTAGATACTGCACTCAGCCGGGCCATAAACGTTTATGAGGTGGACTTTGTTTGCCCACAGTTTTAAAATTTTCTCGGTGAGCATTTCTCCTCCAAGAACAAGTACCTTTAAGGATGTCGCAGCAATTTCGTCCTCCCCGAATAGAGAAGCCACCGTGGGGGTGAAAAATGCCCAGTTAGCATTGAGGGACTGAACAGTGGAGGGTAGCTGATTCACACGATCATCGTCGGAGGGCACACATATACAGCCTCCAGCTAGAAGAGTGCTGAATATCTCGCCAATACTAACATCATACGTATAATGGGCGAATTGAAGGACTCTTGATGTGTGCTGCAGCTTGAATTGTGGTATGTGCGTGCTTGCATTAGAACAAAATGCCCTATGTGAAACAACAATCCCTTTTGGCGTTCCAGTTGAGCCAGAAGTGAATAAAACGAAGGCAGGGTCTTCCGGTGACACGTCTGCTGCTACTGATGGCGACTCGTGTCTCTCCCTAATCGTGTCGAGTAAGTACTGGTCGACTACTACCACATTAAGAAGTCCACCATTTGCAGCCAGCAATATGCTTTGTGTGGACTGTCCGACAATGACAATTTTGGCAGCACATTCTTGTATAATCTTCTGCAAGCGAGATGCTGGGTGCGACGGGTCCATTGACACAAAAGCACCCCCTGCTTTCAAGATCGCGAGCATCGTGACAACTGCCCACTTTGACTTGTGAAAGCATATAGGCACCTTGGTACCAGGCCTAACGCCAAACGATGACAATTCACCGGCGAGTTTTGATGTCATTCGGTCCAGCTCAATGTATGTGAGATTCCCATCCCAAGAGCAGACTGCTTCTGCCCCAGGAGTCGAAGCACATTGCCTCCCAACTAGTTGATGGATGCACGCATTGACCGGTGATGGGACATCGGCATTCCAATTCCAAATCTTCTTCCTGTCGTAGTCACTGAGCATATCAAGCTCTTGTACCGAAATGGGTGATGAAGCGTTGTCTGAGATGACTTCCACGATTTTGGCAAACGTATTGACAAGATTATTTGCGTGTTGGGCCGAGAGAAGCGAAACTCTAGACTGAATAGAATACTCGACGTTGCTCTCGGAAATAGTCACACGGCACACAACACCAATCTACTTCCGCGGTCAGAATAGATCATAAGCTGGGTGCTAGATTCTTACTTTATCTTCATGCTTAACTGTCGTATCCAAAGAATGAGATAGATGTTCTTCGGTGCTGATATATAGCATTGTACTGAAACCGTGGTCTTTGAGAATCCCCGAATCTAACTCGTTTCGCCCTTGTGAGGTAAAGCCGGGTTCTGAAGTCTGGATTTGCTGTGCTATATCCAGAACGGTATTAAGGTTCTGAAAATCAAGGATGCACTTCTGAGTGGTGCCCGTAACTTTCGAACTGCACACGAAGCTAACATGTTCGGAACGCACATAATTTAGAAGGAGAAGACTCCAAGCCGCTTGGAAGAAGGTTGCGGGTTCAATTTCCAAGTCTCCGCTCGCTTTCAGAATCGAATGCCTATCTGCTCCGACGACTTGACTGACTACGCTTGTTGCCGTCTGGTGTGTTGAATACGGGGGGTAGGGGTTGAGGGTCGGGAAGCAAGTGATGGTGCTGAATGAGGGAGCCATTGAACTGGTTTGTTCTGTGTCCGCTACATTGGTGATGGATGTGCTTTTCTCACGGTAACAAAGGTGGAAAAGCAAACGAGGTACCGGTATTCATCCTTAGAGTATCCCGAGGTCCCCTCACCCTCAGAGTCGCGGTTGCATCTCAAATTCCTCAACACCACTTCGACGGTATAGGCGGTCACATCTGCAAGAACACGTGAAGAACACCACACCAGTTAGATGCTTGGGTAAGATGTACCAACTAGTTACTCGTATAAGCAGCCATCCGGGGCGGACCAACACGAGTGCTGACTGCAGACTGCTTTCAAGTACATGTACAGTGCATGTACAATACTGTACCGGTAAATTATAAATGTTGGTAAAAGACAAGGCCTATTGCAGTGCGAGTAATTTTCAGGGGTACAAGTATAATAGTACCTGTAGAAGTACTGTGGGATCCATGGGATGCGGAGATAGAAGAGTGGTTGAGGGACTCGATTCAGGTAAAGGGATAGGGGTGGCAGCCCCTAGCAATATACATGTGTGGACCTAGCCGATATTGGCTATATCACCCCTTTTGTCACGGGATCTCACCAATAGAAATCAATCACATTTCAATATCTAAATATATCGATGTAATCGGTGAATTAGTTGCTGCGCGTTGGAAGACGCAATATCCCCTGTCGTCTCGCGATTTACATCTCTACCGTAGATTTTCAAGCCTCCTTTCTTTCCAACAGCTTCAACACCGCAGTTCGTCTTGCTGGGAGAAAGCGGTTCTTGCTTTGCAGCATGTCTTCCCTAAAGACCGCCGTTGAAAAGGTCTCCAATTCGAGTCTTGATATCTCACTGGTGCAGACTTTGTGCCGGATTGCATTTCTTGCAGCTCTTCCTGCATGGATCCTTTTATTACGAAAGACGCCGAGGAAAAATGATGCGGGGCGGTTGTTGCATTTTAAGACCGTGAGTGTGTACATGATGGCCAGACGACATGACAAGAACATTCTACCTACTAATGAGAAAATGCAGAAAATTTATACTATCAATGCGACCTTGAATCTCTTAACGGCAATTTTTGAGATATTTTACTCCCCAGATCGGACTGCATTTTCCGTCTTTGCAGTGAATGTTTCCGAACTTGAAAGCCTAGGCCAATTGTTCATTAGCTACAATGAACACTTTTGCTGCATAGGCCCGAGTTTCCCTCTCAACTCGTATTTGGTTGTTATGGCACTTTTAGAGGTAGTGCGTCTCCGGTCTCCATCGTCACATAGTACCACTGCTATTCAAGGGTCCTCCTACTTCCCCAAAACAGCACTTGTGCTGCAGTTTATTATAATTACCTTCGAGTCACGAGGGAAGAGGGAGGTTTTGAGGCGCAAATATCGCGATGCTACGCCAGAAGAGACTTGCGGCTACTTCTCAAACGTCTCTCTATTTTGGCTGAAACCGCTGCTCTTGAAAGTTAAGTAAAACTTACATCGGACTTGTATAGTTCATAGGAAGTCGCTAATCCATACTGTACAGGGAATCAAGGTGTACTGGAACAAGCGGATTTGTTCGGTGTAACTTCAGAATCTGTTTCTGCCGAGCTTCGCCTTAGCTTTACTAAGCTATGGAGTGCTCGCATCAAAAAGCAGTCCTACTTCAATCTCCTCTTCACAATATTCCTGTCTATGAAGGCAACTTTCTGGGCTGCCGTACCTTCTCGTGCCCTCCTCATTCTTGCTCTCTTCGCCCAGCCAGAACTCCTAACACGATTCATACTTTTCATAAAGACTGATGACAGCAATAACGCTTCTGGATATGGCTTTGTGGGAGCATTTGCATTAATGTATGGTGCAGCAGCTCTCTTGAATGCTCATTATTCGCATTGCTGTGATAGGCTCGCGCTTCAGACTCGAGCTCTTCTAATTGACAGAATTTATGAGCGTCTCCTGTTCAACAAGCACTCGGAGAGTGAAACAATAGCAGTCACGAGCTTGATATCGGTAGATGTAGAGGCGGGCGTGAAAGGCATTCAAGGCTTCCATGAGATCTGGGCAACCTTGACAACAACATTAGTAGCAGTGTGGCTTCTGTACCGACAAATTGGCATTGCGTAAGTATTTGTCTTTGGTATGGTGACGTACTGTCTACTAACACCTTTCAAAGATGCATTGCACCAATTTTGTGTATGGCAGGTAAGCAATCTGAAAATTTCCCGAACTTTACGTTGGTACTGATAGCAACGCTTTCTAGCAATGTCATTGCCCGTTGGCTATATAACCCCAGCGCTCACAAGACGGCAGGCAATATGGCTGGCTTCAACAGATAGAAGAACAACCGCGATTATCAATGCCATATCATCTATGAGAGGTTTGGTTTAGCCCAAAGAGTTGCGCAAAGCATTCAAGCCCTGAGAGAAGAGGAAGTTGCAGCATTTAAGTACGTAAGAGTGCCTTTTGACTTGCTTAAATTCTGTCTTGTGATTCTATACTCACTTCATACAACTCAGGTCTTTCAAATCTATGGTTTCCATCGTGTGGACAGTCGGTAATAATCTGTAACTTGGAGCGACTATATAGTTTCTAACACTTGTGATAGCTGGTGCATCCCCTCAATGCGCTATTTTGGCTTCGTACGGCATCTTCGCGGTTGGGGCAGCATATAGAGGCGTCGCTCTCAATGCGACTCGCCTGGTCAGCTCTCTTGCCTTGCTGACTATAATGTCGGAACCAATTTCTTTTCTCCTCAGCGCAATACCAACCTTTACCTCTGCTCTTATCTGTCTACATCGTATAGAATTGTTTCTGAAGTCTTCCCACGGATCTATGGAAACTAGCATGATTTCGGATGGCCTTACATCATCCATATCTCATGATTTACAGGCTATAGGCTCGGGCTACAGCACGAAGGAGAAAAGTATAGACCCTGTGGTAGTCATTAGGCATGGCGCATTTGGGTGGTCCGGAAAACCTCGTTATCTGGAGGATATTTCCTTAGAGATATGTGCGTCGCAAGTCAACATGATTATTGGACCGTGAGCATATCCAAGTTGTTGAGGTCATTCATTCTAAGGTACTAATAGCAGTTCCAGTGTAGGGTCTGGAAAGTCAACGCTTCTATACTCTATATTAGGGGAGACATACAAGTTCCGGGGTCTCTTGAAGACACAGGATAATGCTAGAATAGGTTTTTGCGCCCAGTCTCCATGGCTCGTCAACGACACTATCCAGTCCAACATCCTCGGGGAATCCAATTTTGATGTAAATTGGTACGAAACAGTGATAGAAGCATGCGCCCTGTTATTAGACTTCTCTACGATGCCGAAGGCCGATCAAACGGTGGTTGGGACAAAAGCTGCGAGTCTAAGTGGAGGTCAAAAGCAAAGAATCGTGAGCTCTCCCTCCATACCCACAAATTCGAGAATGCTACAGCTACTGATATTTTTATAGTCTTTGGCTCGAGCTATCTACTCTCGAGCTGAAGTTTTACTTCTTGACGATGTGTTTAGCGGGCTAGACAATACAACTAAGAGCCACGTATTCAATCGTCTTCTGGGCTCGCGCGGACTTTTGAGGAATGGCAGTACGGCGGTAGTGTTGACTACCCATGACTGTTTGGCTCTTCACCCTAGACCATCCCATCAACTGACACATTTGTAGTAAGTGTGTTGCACTACGCGACAAATGTCACTATCATGGAAAACGGGGCTATCACAGCTCGAGGTGGGTACCAGCAACTGAGGTCGAGATTGGAATCTCTGGAAGCAAGTTTGACACCCGAAAATCGACGCTCAGATTGCGTGATCAACTCATCAGACCGAGGCCAACATGATGACGTTTCAGTGGAGTCAAGGACAGAAACTCCTAATTTTCCTTCCAACTTAGAGAAGCACGGGTCATCTCAGACTATTCCCACTACTATATCGAACTCGGTCCGGTTGTACAAGTACTATGTGAACTCCTTGGGATTCAAGCAGTCCATTTTTTCAATGCTTCTTTTGATAATACTTTGGGTGGAGCGCGTTTACTCCAGTGTGTTCCTCTGTCCCCTCGTTATCGTGAGTCGTGACATAGACTAATTCGATGACAGATATTTGGCTACAGCAGTGGGCCTCAGCTAACAACAACGCTCAGCTTGGCCGGTACATTGGTTTCTACGCTTTTCTTGTTATTTCAAACATTGTGGTCTTATATTTCGTTCTCGTGTACGTTATAAAATCCATATTCCCCCACAGTAACGTGAAATTTTCAGTTCTGACCAGATCAACAGCCACCTCCACTCAGTCTTGATAACTAAATCAAGTCTTCAACTACACAATAGCCAATTAAATGCAATGATGAAGTATTTGTCGTGTCTAATAAATGATAGCATTATCTAAGAATGTATAGGGCACCACTGTCTATGTTCAATTTGGTTGATGCTGGAGTACTTGTTAATAGGTAAAACAATCTCTGTTCCCCTCTTCTAAGACTGCGTACCTTACCCTTCTTTTAGATTCGTCGAAGACATCAACACGGTCGATAATGACCTACCCAAAGCAATTTTAAACACAGTTTCCAGTAATTATTTACCCGTCCCCTTCTAAACAAGATTCACTAACAGTCTTAAAGCTGCAATTGGCGTATGCGGTCAAATCTTTATCGTCATTCTAGCTATGCCAGCTATGACATGGACAGTTCCACCAATATTTGCCCTCACGTGGGCCATTCAACGCTTCTATTTGAACACGTCATCGCAACTGCGAGTAGCCAGTATTGAAGCCAAAGCTCCTCTGCTCACTCATTTCCTCGAAACAACCCAAGGGCTCGTCACAGTGAGGGCATTCGGCTGGCAAGTCAGCTACTCTAATAAACATATTGAGCGGCTTGAAAAATCCCAGGAAAGTACATATCTTCTTTATTCCCTTCAAGTGTGGCTAAAGTTTATTATGGATTTGGTCGTTATGGGAATTGCTGTTCTTCTTGTTACATTGTCAATACATATGAAGGGATATGTGTCTGAGGGGATTTTGGGCTTGGCGTTGGTTAAGTTGGTATGTTAATATCCTACTAAAATAATCGCTGGTAGCTTACCTACTTTTTGTCTAGATAACCTTGGGCAAAGAGTCAAAATATTTTGTGACGCAGTGGACACTTCTTGAACAATCAATGTTCTCCATTTCTCGGATCTTTGATTTCATTGGGAGAACTGCTTCAGAGGAGACCGGAAACGATATTCTTCCGACGACTGGTTGGCCCCATGATGGTTCAGTAGAATTTCAGAATGTGTCTGCACATTACAAGTTCGTCCATTCACTTTCCCAAGCCCCAATCCTCCCTACTAAAATGTCTAGTGATCCTTCCCAGCGATGTCTCCATAATATCAACCTCACGATACCGCATGGTGAACGAGTTGCGATTTGTGGGAGAACCGGCAGGTATATGTTTCTCTTATTCTTCATCGGTGAACAGTTTTAGTCTGATACTTTAAATCTAGCGGCAAGACCTCTTTAATTAGTAGTCTCCTCCATACACTTTCAGTATCCTCCGGTGATATCCACTTGTCATCCGTACCACTCTCCACACTGTCCCCTGACATAACCCGTTCATACATCAATGTGCTTCCACAAGAACCGTTATTCGTCATTGGATCAGTCCGGCATAACATGACTCTCTGGTCAACCGATATTTCCGACAAGGATATTATCAGGGTTCTACAGCGAGTCAACCTATGGGACAATATCGAATCTCTGGGAGGACTGAACATGAAATTGGATTCGGATAGAATGTTAAGTCAAGGACAAGCTCAACTGTTCTGTCTCGCTAGAGCAATGTTGAAGAAGAGGAGCATATTGATCTTAGATGAGGCTACGAGCAGGTATGCAAAGTGAATGTGGATCATTGCCTTGTTGATTTGACTAACAAGCTCCAAATTCAGCGTCGATCGAGATTCGGAGACTATAATGCAGAACATTATAAGGGACGATTTTGAGAGCACGACGGTCATTGCGGTGGTGCATCGGTTGAGGAGTATAGTGGATTTTGATCGAGTTGTCGTGATGGATAAAGGAGCGATAGTGGAGTGTGGAAAGCCAAGGGAGCTGTTAAAGAACCAGAAAAGCAAGTTTAAGTTAATGTGGGATCAATCGGAGTCCGGTCTATCAAGATAGGGCACATAAATTAAATTGCTGTTCCGTTTAGTATCCAATTTCACGACATCTAGCAACTAGTATGCAACAACGTGATTAGGCCAGTGCCAAGCTGGTGACAGACTAGGCATATCTATAACACTTCATCAACGATTTCATCTGTTGAAATGTCACACAACCACATGGTATGAATCTATGACTACAACAAATGGGTGATTGCATTCAGTTCGTCTTGAAAACATATAAGCCACTTGAGATTTCCAATACATTTTGTATTAGAAAATCCAAATCACATATCTCTGGCACCACAGCCATCTATTTATCACTATACAAAACATAGATAGCTATTTTTGGTAAACAATCCAGTTATTGCATGTTAATTCACCTCATAGCGTAGGCGGCCATTGTCGTATTCTTGCCTAGTTTTTCAATTAAGATAGGCTCGACTATATTAAAAGAGTGTTTCCTTTGACTTGAGATAACTAAAAGCGCCGGACCTCGCTGCACCGTCTGCCTAGCTGAACTGTGATTGGACAGGCTGGGCTAGAGAAGGAGAGGAAGGATATAGATTTGAGTTGTAGGGATAAGGAATGTTGGTGTTGGGCGGTGCTGAACATCATGTGAATTGTAGATAGAGGTTATGTTGGATGTATACATATCAATTCTGAATGTAATGACAAGCTATAAATGTAATAGCAAAGGATGAATGCAGTGACAAACGATGAATATAGTGACAAATCGAGAATGTTATAACAAATATAATAAGTGCTTTACTCACCTGGTCTGTTTTCGCTTGTCGCCAGAGCTCAGTCAGTGGAATATGGCACTACAGATTACGTGTTGTGGAAATCTTGTTCGAGCCCGGATGAGATCGATTTAGATGAATAGATAGCCAGGCCGCAGCTAATTAGAGTCCGCGTGTTGGTACAGGTTAAAATAACCAAGATGCGTAAAATTTCCCTTTTCTTTTATACACAGGTATCTACAGCAGCATCGATGCCTAACCTGCCCCGCACAAAAGCTACACCTTACTATAATACAAATGATCATCCTCCAGGGTCCAGAATACCATTTCAGAGCTACCCTGGGCACCACTCATGTCCAGCCAGATATGCACGCAACATCAACCCGCACAAAACAGAAAGAAAGTCTATGTTCATCACTTCTTCCAGCCCACCACCAACATGCAGGAGACACGTGATAGCCGCAAAAAGAAACACCGAGAAGCTGCCCCATGCCGGTTGCACCCGATCGTGATTGTAGTAAGACAGTGTAGGTCGAAGAAGAGGGTTTGTATAAGAGGGCACGTCAGATATTTCCAGATGTGCAGTTTCGTCCGGGGCATTAGATATCGAATAGAGCGGAGGGGTGAGTCGAATGTTGGCTTCCATTAGTTTAGAAGGGAATTTGAGCTGGAGCCCCTGTTTGTTCTTGAAGCTCTTCGCCTCCAGCTTCGATGGAGACCGCAAGGCCAATTTTTGCGGATTGCTGTAGAGAAGAGGTTAGTAAATACTTCCGGGACAGGTGTTAGAGATTGTTACGAACGTTGACATGATCCATCTCAGAAGCAAAGGTCAGCTGGACCATAGGGGCAACTCGCTTCTCCAACAGACAGCTCAATTTCCCTGTTGAATCCACCTGCGCTCTGAAAGTCGACATTCTGAAATCATACTTAGCCCCGATTGTTGTCACACCTTCCTTTCCTCCACCGCCTCCCATCATTCCAGCTCCTGACAAACCTGCAAACTGCAGATTTAAATCAACACCAGCCTCCACCTTGTCCGTCAATCTCCGCCAGTATGATGTGTTGATTGCTCCTCCAGCCGCCAACTGGGCACTGGCAACCCAATCGCTTCCCTTGTACTTGGCGCAGTATGACAGAGCGGTGTCGGGGCCTTGGTTGAGTGCGGTACGTTGCCAGATTGCTTCGAGCCCAAGCGCAAGGCTCGGGGTGATAGCTTGCAGGTAGCTGCCAATGAAAATTCCCGTAAGGCCACCATCAATTATGGATGGGTTCAAAGTCTTGAGCGAGGCGGTGAAATCACTTCCGGTATACTCGTTATCGAACTGTGCCATGGACTGGTTGCCAGGGGCTATTTGGATCTGAGTTTTTGTGACCAAGGAGGGTGTCCATCTGTAATTGAATCGGGTTGAAAGTTGTCCTTCGTTATCGACATTTCCTTGCATAAAAATCTATGATGGTAGGCATTAGTTACTGTGCTTCAACATGTGAGGCTACGGAGCCTCAGTGCCTCTACGCCCGAAGCGCAACGCCCTTTGATTTGATGTAATAAGACTGACCTTATTGGTGCCAAATAGGGCTGCAAATGTGTATGGCGGCAGCCCTTGTGATCCCATGGAGAATGCATGAGAGACCTGGAATAGTGGAGCCATGCTGAAAGCCTTTGTGAGATCCGCCCTCAGGCCAGAGAAGGTGTAATTATTAAGGAGGACATCGCGCTGAACCTCCCGCGCAATGTTCTCAACTGTCCCCGGATTCGATAGGCCTAGCGCTGCCCTCCGTTCTGAAAAGGAGCCATATGTTTCTGACAAGGCGGTAGCTACTGGGTTGCTAAAGAGAAACTCCAGCGAAGATTCTTTTTCCAGCGGCATTAAAGACATGATGGCTTGGGTATGGAAAAACAGGAGATGAGAAACTGAGAACGGGATACGCGAGGCACCTAGAGATGAAGGCAATCAAAGAGGCCCGGGAGGCAGGTGGGAGGAGGTGTGGCTGGGTGGTGGTCGATGGTAGAAGGGGTAGATGGTAGACACTCTGAATGGCACCTGGACTGAAGTTCCTGGGATGTTGAACATCGAGGGTTTTTTTCCACAAGGGAGCTCGGGTCTTCCTGGCTCGTGAGGCAGCAATAAGGCAGAACCGAGGCAGCAACAATTTCACGCGCCTGAGGCTGAGATTGGATTAGGGGGCAGTCAAAATCACGTGAACAACGGACAAAGCATCTCTCCTGTGTTCATTATTGGCCAGATTAACGAGCCCTAGACGTTGAAAATCACGTGTTGGTGGCACTCATAAGGGAGCTTGATAACGACGATAACTCGGTTTCCGCGATTCTTGTGCATTACCACATTGATATTGATACCAAAAACACTAATTGCAGAGCACAAGACACAGAGGACAGGGAATACCACACATATTGGGTTACATTCCGATCATAGCACACAAGAATAACCTGCCAGCGCACATATATCAGAGGAACATCCTTGTTTTCTACCATAGCACTTGCTCTGCAAGGTTTTGATAAGAGTGCGCTGGGAAATACTCTCTCTTCGTCTCCTCCTCCCCGGGTGGTACAGCAGATTACAGCAGACAAGCTTCGTCTTGCCGGGAAAGGCTGTGAGATTATATTTTTGTTTGTTTAGAAACGTGTTTTTCATTTGTTGTATTGTGCATCACCGGCCGTCCGGACGTTTGGGCGGCTCAAGCACGTAGCAAAGACGAGTAGTCGCGATGGACACGCTTCTGTATGTTACCACTTCTCTTCTAAACCCGCATGCTTTTCCTATCTTCCCCGTTACCGTATCAGCCATCCCTACAAGTCCAGCACTCGAATACTTCCCTTATCACTTCTCCTATCGAGCTTCGAGCGCACTCACTTCCAGCGAATAGTGCGTGGCAGTCAGACCAGACACGCTCCTGCGATATTGAGTATTGCCATAACATACCATGGACGAAGCTCGAAGTGGGCTGGTTGCGGTACCCGCAGGTAGCCAGGAGCTTCTTTTCGAGGAATGGAAATTCAGACCTGAACTTGCTGATACCTTTACTTCTGAGGGCTCTGCTAACCCCGTTGGTACTGATCGTAGCACCGCAGAGATTGCGGCCAACTCCCCTAGATACCGCAGACGCTCATCGACCTTCATCGATGGCGTTCACGATGTTCCCGATGAGACGAACTCTCCGATGGCTCCGGCCCAGCTATACAGTACCATGTCAGGAAGGCTTTTTCATTCGGGAAGGATAGCCATCGTACTCGTTGGTCTTCCTGCTCGAGGGAAAACGTAAGTCGATCTACCGAGGGCTCTATTTCTAGATGCTGATCCGATCTTATAGCCATATATCAGTCTCTTTGTCCCGCTATCTGCAATGGTACGTTGTATATCAATTCTTCGAGGCTTCGACTTTTGCTAATGTTTATTAGGCTTGGTGTCAAGACCAGGGTCTTCCACCTTGGGGATTATCGCCGCGCCACGATGGGTCCTGGTGTTGAGGTACCAGATGATTACTTCTTTATTAATGCGTCGGCTGCCTCAGTCATGATCCGACAGAAGATCCTCAAGAAGTGCCGAGAGGATATCTACGCCTGGCTTAACCATGAGAATGGTCAAGTCGCAATCTATGATGCGGTCAACCCCCTTGCCAATGGTCGCAGAGCACTCGCTAAGGAATTTGCGAGGCATGATGTTCAGGTAAGTTACCCACTTGCAGAAAGCAAGCTATGTATGGTACCGTGGCTAACTTCTTGCAGACCCTCTTCCTTGAATCGTATGTCACGGATGAAAAAATCCTTCGAGAGAACGCTCGAAATGTGAAGATATCCTCTCCAGATGCACGTATAGCAACTATCTGCTATGATAACCTCGCTAACCCATTCTAGTTCGTTGGCATGGACCCTAATGAGGCTGCTAAACTTTATCTCAAGAGAATCGACATGAAAATACCATACTTCGAGACCATGACAGAATCTGACCTCAACTTCATCAAGATGATCAATGCTGGTGAAAGAATCTCGTACAACAACGTTAGCTTTGGGTACCTATCTCACCGTATCGTGTTCTACCTGATGAACTTGCACATTAAGTCCCGCCGCACCTTCTTCGCCAGAGCGGGTACTTCTCGTGAACAAGACTCCTATAAGAACGATGCACATCTTTCCGAAGAAGGTAACGAATATGCAAAGAATATGTCTGAGACCCTTCTTGAGCATCGGAAGGCTGAGAGGGAGGCTTTGATCGCAAGTGGCGGTTCTGACGCTCCACTGAAACCACTTATAGTTTGGACTTCAACCAGAAAGCGCACCGTTGAGACCGCCAAATACCTGGAAGAGCTTGGCTACAAGGTTCGGCAGCGGTCCCAGATGAGCCAGCTCAACCCAGGTGTCTGTGAAAAGCTGTCGGAGAATGCAATCCGTCGCCTGTATCCTGAAGAAATCGCCCTGCATGAGCAAGACCCTTATCACCACAGATACCCACGAGCCGAGGTAAGCTCCATGACTTTTCACTTAGTTATATTTAGACTGTGTGTTGACATTACGATAGTCTTACCATGATCTCGCTGTCCGCTTAGAGCCTATTATTCTCGAGCTTGAGCGAGAGCAAAGCGACCTTCTTATTGTTGCTCATGAATCAGTCCTGCGGGTCCTCTACGGCTATCTCATGGCTTGTGATGCTATGAGCATTCCGACTTTAAAGTTCCCACGAAATGAGATCATCGAGGTGGGCCAATTCTTCTCTAGTGAACTTGCATATGCAAATATCAAACTAACAATTACTTAGATCCTTCCTGCCTCCTACCAAAATGAAGCCAAGCGCATCAAGATCCCTGGTGTGGCTCCGGCTTTGATTCCTGGCTCTCCTGAAGATATTAGGATTCCCGTCCCTCCAAGCGGGTTTGTGAGCCCATTGTCAGGAATGGGCACCCCAGCTATGTTGTCTGGTATTGCTACTCCAGTTGACTCCCCAAGCAGCAGCCATTTCAAGGACACTCCTGCTCCCGTGAGACTAGCCGAGTTGGCTGCACATCAAGCCGCGACTGCTAGTGAGAAGCCAAAACCTGATCGCAAACCAGAGAATCCCCTATCTAGAGACTAAGCAGCTAAGGAGATTTCATGGGTCGTTTGAACCTTCTGCACATGCGATTGCCTTTGACTAGATATGGCCTCCCCACGACGCTACGAATTTTATCCCCTACGGCTCCCATAACCGCATTAAAGATGGCATGCTCTTTACTGCTTTACGTTCGACGTTTTTCAACAGGGTTACCTCTACACTCAATAACACACCTGGTCCCCCTGCATTTTCCTTGCTTTCCTTGTTTTTCCTTATTCTTAGTGCGAACGAAACATACAAAGGGATGGGTGGCTAGATTGGCACTGCTGTTGGTGGATCTGGGAGTTGATCAGAACTGGAAGGTGCTACACCTGGGCATATAGGGAACGGCCCCTTCAAGGAGTTGCATTATCACGACGTAAAATGGGACACGTACAGACAATTGCAAATCCTTTGCCTGATTTTATGATTTGGGTTTTCTGTATTAGATACCAATAAATGCTCAATGCAAATACGACGCTCATTAAATACTTTGGTTTACCCGTTTAGTGTGACGTAATTTCCTATATCTTAATCCGTCTAACCGGGCGATTATTTATTAAATACCTGATGGTTATGTCTCGCAGTTGGCCATTGATTAGCCTAGGCTTTGTTTAAGAAAACATCAAACCTTAGCACATTTACTAATGCAACAAAGCCTAGCATAGTTGACACAATTGTAGAAGTATTCTAGTCCAATTATTGAACCCGGCTATGCAATCGGTGTATCTTAAATGCACAATCCTGCTGAATAGTCAGACGAACCAAGGTGATAAAATCAGCCGTAGGTGCCCGCTGAGGCCATGCAGCATCAACACTAGTAAAGAATTCTGGACGCCCTTGCATTCCGACTCAGCTCTACCGTTCCCTAGACGCCTCCCTGAATGATTTCGCCCAAATAATCAAAGTAAGCCATCCTGTTCCCTAAACGCCTCACGCTATCCAGAGGCCTTGGGAATCCCATGAAAGAAAATATCTTACACATTTTGGGCCCAGATTTATGCGAATATAACACAAGAGAGGTAAACAAGTGTACATCAGCTGCGCGGCTGCGCATAGCTGTTTGGATTCGAGGGCGCGGGCGCGGGTCTAAATGCAGGGATTGTTGATGGGGCGCCATAACCATTGCCACTTGTTTGTTGGCGCTTGGGTGTTCGTGCCACAGGCTCTTCATCCTCGTCGCCGCTTGATGTTAGGTCAATTACCGCTGCAATTGGACGCTTTGCACTGGCTGAGCTGGAATCTCTGCTCGACCCCGATCGTTGAGGCAGTGCTCCGGTTAGTGGTCTGTATGTCAGAGGTGTGCCCATGCTAACGCTATCACCAGTTTTTGTGACCTCAACAAGATCGTCATCGTCATCACTCGCAACCCCGTTCGAATGTGATAGAGGCTCCTTTCTGGAGTGTAGTTCCCACTTGCCATCTGGTTGAATAGTAACTTGATCTACTGACTTCGAGGTATTCTTTAAGATGGTGCGGACATATCTGTAATAAGAGTTAGTACACATTGGGTTGTATAATGTTTGTTGCGCTTACTCATCAACGGCTAAACTGTCGAATGGGGCTGAATTGTTGCAGATCGGGCATAGCCAAGTGGGACCTTGCTCCTGTAGCTGCAGGTACGATGTTGCATCGAAACACTGGTTGTGCCGGCAGGCTATTGATCGGCATGGCAGATCAATCCTCAGTGTTGATAAAGGGCATTTGAGCGAAAGCACCGAGGCGGTTGTCACTATATCGGCATCGTTCGCCTTGCTCCTCACTTCATATCGTTAGCCTTGTCATTGAGAAAATAACCAGTTGGCGGATGACATACTATCATCTAATACTGCCTCTTCCTTTATCTTCTTGCCATTCTTCAGAGATTCTACGAGGTCTGGAACGGGTATAATTCTAACCACGTGGATGGCGAGGTAAAATTTCTAGGCTGAAAGTCAGTATATAATCCACTTAACTGCGGCGCAAACGGACAAAGTTGAATGGGGGAAATTAAGGTAAGGAGAGATTGGGGTGAAGGCAGCTAACTCGTGAACCGCCACCTGCCTTAGATGTTAGAGCGTATGTCATCTCAACGCTATTGCCGTACGCAGGAAGATTAAGCCGAAGCTCTTTCGTGATGTCCACAGGCCTCGTTGAGCCTGGTTTGTTCTTCAAGCCACGTAAATTGGCCTTGACCTCCCCTCCGTTGACTTTGATTTCCGACTGATGCGGAAAGGCAGTATCTTGGAGACCCTTTTCTTCACTAGCACAGAATACCATCACTCGCAATGCTGGGTCCTTAAGCACTTTGGATAGAACTGGATAGTCCTGAACTTTAAGGGTTATCTTGACAGTATGCCGATGATGTTGCATTGCTACGACGTAACGTCAGGATGTAGTCCATACCAGTGGCTAACCGTACTCACTATCACATGCTGTGGTGGCACCTAGCTGTTGCTCGAACCTGAAAAATGGACTGGGCTTAAATCGCAGCTCTAACATTATCAGAACTAGACGAATAAGGCTATGTCAAGAGCTTACTTACCCTTCTGATGTCCATGACCTCGATACAAATTCGCACCTCCCCCCATATTGTATCCGTTGGTATGGCTACCCGGGGTGTTGAAATACGTAGCGGGAGTGGCTATGGTTGGGGTGCCACGTGCTGGAGAGGATGAGCTCGCTGCCATACCACGGTAGGGTGAGCCGTTCGCCGAAACAGTCGTAGGGTTGTAGATGGTGTTTTTGAGGTTCTCAAACCTGGCGACGTCGTTGGCCGCGGCGTATTGGCGTATCCCTAGGTAGCGATGTTAACCAGTGTACATGTAGGTAGAAAGATAGCAAAATGTATTCACGGATGGTAAGGAGCAAGTCCAGACTTGTACCAGGAGGGGTTGATAGATGGTCGCACTTACTCTCAATGATGCGCGCCTGAAGCTCGCTCTTTACACCATTCTTACTTTGTCCTTCAGCATGACAAATGCTTTGGAGAGTCTTGTTCAGAAGGCCCCCATCTCTTATGGTTCGAATGAGGGGCTCAGGATCGAGGTAACCACCCCCCATGGAGGCCATTCTGGTCGGCGGAGGAGGCTCACAAAGCGCTGTGAATCCGCAGTCGGCTTGGATACATGAAGAAGCGACGGAGAGGGCGGCCTAACAGACAAGTTCTTGCGCCTATATCGCCTTTGTCTGGCCGCTCATCTTGTAGAGAGGGCTGCTGCGTACCAGATCTGAAGAAAGTTAATCTTTGCGCCTCTTGAGCAGTGTGTGAGTGCGTCGCCATCCATCAGTTGGTTCCTTCACCGCGCGGCAGAATCGAATAAAATATCCGCGCTTATCCTATCACGGCAACATGTATAGAAATTTAGGAAAACCTCCTCCTCGAACCCCTCCAGCAGACACCACTTTTCCGAAATTTTATCCCGGCATCTCACTACACAAAAGCCGTCGACAATGGCCAAAGGAGCGCGAGCAAGTGTGAGGAAGGCCAACAATACTAGGCTTAAGCAGAATGTCTTTGGACCGATTGAGACTGCCCGCGTGGAGAGACTCTCGGCAAAGCTTCTTGAGTTGGCCGCGCAGCCAAAGCCAAAGCCCGCTGAGGAGGACACAGATATCGCCATGGTAGCAGAAGAAGGTAGGCTTGCTTGTGCGCTTCTTAGTTTTATTTTGGCACTCTATTAACATATTTACAGGCACCGCAAAAGCCAGCAATGAAACCCCTCCGGTCGAAAATACGCTGACGCAAGGTACATAAGCTCCCTCAATATCACCAATCCTAGGTTGAGATATGAGCTAATTCGAATTTTCTAGATATGGAAATCGATGGGGATGCCGGGAAAGGCAGTGCTCCCTCGAATCCGTCCAAAAAGGGCCGAGTAGAGAAGAGAAGATATAAATCCAGCAGGAAAGCGTCGATCCTATTTCCCAAGTTCAAAGATGGCAAAAAGATCAAGCCATCTAGGGGAAAGAAGTAGAAGTAGATATTTGGCGTTGGACGCATACGAATTTTAAGGGAATGGCGTTGGGAAGACAACTTGCAAGGAGTTTTGGTATTATTGAATCACGCTGGCTGGCGTAAAGGATTTGTTCTTCTTAAGACCTGAAAATCTATGAGCTCACGGGCAGAACTTGCGATCAATTAGAAATTATGATAGCATACTCGCTCTATAGGTATTATGAACCTGCGTAGGTGGAAAGGCTTCGAGTCTCTTGTCGATGCATAATGTAGTTTTTCTCTCCCGATAAGGGAATCCTTATCGGCGATTGGACGCGTTCGCCAATGCCAGATTGCTTCATGTCTTGGTACGCGACATCGAACTTCGTCAAACCAACATATTCCCCCCATTGTAATGGTTCTTTCTTCGCCTTGCAGATGATTAACCTCGGACATGGCTATTCGGCAAGGCAATGATCTGTAGACTATTGCGATTGGGTTTCAACCGTTAAAATGGCGTCGAGGATTATGTCCTTTTTCCTTGGAGCTGCGAACATATTTATCCCGATTGCAATACTAATCTTCGCAAAGGGTTTCTTTCCCTACAAGCCCTTTCTCTCCGGCCTAGCAGAATATGAGCCCCTCCAATATGGCGTTCCGCCGGAGGCCCCCTTCGACAAAGTTATTTTCATGGTGGTGGATGCTCTTCGAAGGTACGGGTGCCGATGGTAGTCCAAGGGAGAGCTGACACGGGCAGTGATTTTGTTTACTCGGGACTCTCTGGCTTCGGATTTACTCAAAGGTATGCTTAGGACTTCTACAGCCTTGATGTTACCAAACTAATATATCATTCTCTAGCTTGATATCCTCAGGGGCAGCGATCCCCTTCACAGCGCATGCAACCTCCCCTACGATTACAATGCCGAGAATCAAAGCTATTACCACTGGTTCTATACCGTCGTTTCTGGATGTCATTCTTAATTTCGCCGAGTCAGATACCAGCTCGAGCCTTGCAACACAGGATACATGGCTTGCACAATTGAAGGCCAAAAAAACAGGCAAAATGGTCATGTATGGCGATGATACTTGGCTTAAGCTCTTCCCGGATTTTTTTGACCGAGCAGATGGAACCACAAGTTTCTTCGTTTCGGTCAGTCAAGATCTTGTAGTTGCATAGAGTATATAGCTGAATATAGCGTGTTAGGATTTTACGGAAGTGGACAATAATGTTACTAGACATGTCCCGGAAGAACTTGCAAACAATGACTGGAACACCATGGTGCTGCATTACCTCGGTCTGGACCATATTGGGCATAAGGCAGGACCTCGAAGGTAACATCTTCTAGTAATTCCCTAGGAAAGAGAACTGACGGATTCAAGTCCCAATATGATTCCGAAGCAGCGTGAGATGGATGGCATTGTCACCCAAATATATCAAGCCATAGAGAGTAAAGATCACCTCCAGTCAACCCTTCTCGTACTCTGCGGAGATCACGGCATGAATGATGCTGGCAACCATGGCGGCTCTGCCCCTGGGGAAACATCTCCCGCCCTCGTTTTCATATCTCCGAAGCTCAAACCTATAAGCTCGGGATTCGCTGCCCCAGCTCCATTTGAGGATGACTTCCAATATTACTCTACTGTTGAGCAATCAGATATAGCTCCCACATTAGGAGCTCTTCTCGGCTTTCCAGTGCCTCGGAACAACCTTGGGGCGCTCATTCCTGCCTTTCTTCCGTTCTGGCCAAAGAGTGAGTCGGCATGGCCCGTTGAACGTGTGGATCGTACTAACAAGGCACAGAAAATGATAAAATCCAAATCTTGCTAAGAAACGCGAAGCAAATTATGAATGTTGTTACCGCAACGTTCCCCTCGTTTGAGGGGGACGGACCTGCATCGAACTGCCATGAGTCTAAAAGCAACGTTGATGAGCTTGCATGCCGGTGGAGAGGCATCACGCAAAGCCTACCGCAACCTAATGATGATGATCAGGAAGTTGGTGAATGGGTGTCCGCAACTACCGAGGCAAGATATTTTTCTATATGTTGGGCTCTAGCTAACGAGTTAATAGTGGCTAAAGCATGCCCAAGAATTAATGAGTAGTACGGCGAGCAACTACGAGGTAAAAAAACTGGTATGCGGCCAGGTTCTTGCTGCTCTATCTCTTTTATACGCGGTGGCGGCAGCATTCCCAACCATTGCTACTGCTTTACGAACCAGCTCCCCATTTATTGGAATAGCTCTATCATACGCCATTATGATGTTCGCCAGTAGTTACGTGGAAGAAGAACAACACTTCTGGTATTGGGCTACCACCGCTTGGTTGATGCTACTTTGGATAAAATGGTATGTATATGTATATTCCTTGCATCTAGAATTAAACTTACATATTACTAGTAAACGAAAGCAGCAGTTTAGGCTTCGCCTTGTTGATCTTAGCACAATCATACTACTTGCTACAACCCGAGTTGTTAGACGCTGGAACCAGACTGGCCAAAAGTTTGCTGGTGAATCCGATATAGCCAAGACCTTTTTCTTCGAACATAGATATTTCTTTTGGTTTCTGGTAGCCATCACTTATTTATGGAATCTCCAAGCCCTGGCTAGTGTTAGTTTCCCTCGATTTCCACAAGTTGTCGCTGGAGCGATTGCCGCAACCTTAGCCACAGCCGCTATGACATTCAAGCTTGCATTCACAAATGAAGACTCGCCTGAGCTTCTTGTTGGATTTATAAAAACGATGGCTGGTAGTGAGATGGGTGTCTCTCTGGTAACTCACGCAAGAGTTGTGTTTATCACCATCGGTATCGCACTAGCCTATACACTTGCCTCCAGTTTCAGCCATAGGCGTCCCAACCGTGAGCTATACCCTCTCCCGTGTTATATTGCTGTACTGACCATGACCAGCAACTATGCGCACTGTACACAATCTCCTGACTCTCTTCCTCATCACCCAGTCCAGAGTAACGAATATCCCCCTCCTCCTCATCTTCGAGGTGCAACTATTGGTCCTCAACGACCTAGATCTGAATCTCATCGAAATAACGACTACCTCTCTCCTCATGCAATACATGTCCTTCTTCGCGTTTGGCGGCTCCAATGCGATATCGTCCATCGATCTTTCAAGCGCCTACAATGGCGTCAGCGGCTACAACGTAATAGCCGTTGGCATTCTAACCTTCACCAGTAACTGGGTGGGTCCAATATTCTGGACCTCTGCCACTACTCTGATGTTATTGCGACTTAAATCGAAAGGAGGGAAGAATTTACTGCATCAGCATCTTGCCCTGCTTACGCTGTTTGTGACAGCGAGTCTCCTGTTTGTGATGGCTGCTTGTACGGTATTGAGGACGCATCTGTTTATTTGGACTGTGTTCAGTCCAAAGTATTTGTATAGTATGGCGTGGGCCCTAGCACAACATCTTGTTGTTAATGTTGTCTTTGGGAGTGGGCTTTATTGGCTGGGGACGAAGTATTTATAGGAGGCCAAGAATCTAGTTGTACAGTACATCGGATGATGAAAGAGTGTATAGATACGAATAACCGCATGACAGACAAGATATGGATTTAGATTATATTAGGCCACCGAATAGATCATCAAACGCATCACCCTTTTCCCGCTTCTTCTTCTTCTTCTTCAAGGGCTGCGTGGGAGTTGACTTCGCCAATCTCTCAGTCTTCGATCCTACGAAGTCTTGTTTCCTTTTCTTTCTTTTCTTGGAGTCAACCACCCCGTCATCAACATCCTCGTCCTTAATCTTGTCCTCCATATCGTCTTCCTTTTCTACACCAACCAAGTCCTTTAATACGGCCCTCTCAACCACCTCCCCCAAATCATCACCATAGCCCCTCTGCTCTCCCTCAACCAGCAGGAGCTCCTTTACGCCTTCGCTTTCGACCTGGCTACCGACAACTAGATCTACCTCAATACCAACCTCGCTCCCAGCGTCAACGAGTAGACTCTGGAACCTTGCTAGAGACCCAAGTAGCATAAGGCCCAAGGTGGAGTACTGGTTATCAGCCACTAATGTTGAGAAGGCGCTATTTCATAACGCAGTTAGTTATGAATTAAGTCTCGGGCACCACAGGGGTTCGAAGCACTCAAAATCTACAAATTAAAATCAAACCCAAACCATCCTCAGCCTCCAAAAACATACGAAAACAGAAGAAGCACGCTTAACAAGATAAAGCTCTTAAAGAAGTTTACTCACAGAAACCAATCCCCCACCATACCATCACTCGCTCCCCCTCCTCCGACTCCAGCCAAGAGCCCTATTCTAGCCCGCAGTCTCTCCTCAGCCTCCCTCGTAAACCTCGACTTGGCACTCAGCTTGCGCGCCGCATCATACGCTTCGATCTCCTTGACCAGCTTCTGAACCTGGCGCCGGAACTGGGAGAAATAAAAGTACCATTTTGAGAGACGGTGTTGATTTTTATTGCGGTGGTGAAAGAGGTGCAGGGTAGAATAGAGGGCGGTAAGATTTTGGATGAGGGCTGTGAATGTGGACATGCTCTCTCTCTTTTTATGCTATGTCTTCGTGATAAAGTGCCACAAGTCACACCTTTAACTTCGATGGAGCGAGTATGCAGATGTTTGATTTGAATATCGGATCTTTTTGGGCTTAGAGGTCGCTGTAAACTATTCTTCCGTTGCGGTGGATTGGTATATATAATGGCTTTGCTTTTGTTGTTGGTGTGGGTAACTCTCGAGGCCCTTACGACCTCTTGACGGCTTGGTTGCCCAATCTGGCTTTGACTAAGATTTTATATTGGCGAAAAATGGGGCAAGGGTAGAGAATATCTTAATCTCAAATGTTCTTAGATTCGTCATCAGGTACTAATAGTAACGCCGATGTTAGACAAAATTCAAATTTTGCAGCTTTGTCTGATCAAGCAGAAGTAGAGCTCGTGGCGGTTGAAGTTTCGCTCTTCTTGATAAGTATCGGCAGAACTACGGCAGTGGCTGAAAGTTTTCGCTTTGGGACTAGTATCAATCTCAGCCTTGTGTGGATGAATCCGCGCCTCAACCTGACTACTTGATCGATCGAAGGAAGTATTTACAAATATTTCCATATCCAAAATGGCCGACGTCGAGACTGAAACAGCGCAATCAATACCAGCTCCCCAGGAGGGGTCTGAAGAAACATCCACATCCACGGCTCTTACAACAACCAACAATGAAGTCGCGCCACCCGCAGAACGAAAAGTTAAGAAGATCCTCCGCAAAAAGAGGCGCCCAGCACGAGCGCAAGTCGACGCGTCGCAGGTGAAATCTGAACCGCCTCCTCAAACAGGCACAATATTCAATATCTGGTACAACAAATGGTCAGGTGGCGATCGTGAGGATAAATACCTTTCTCAGACCGCAGCAGAGGGGCGCTGCAATATCGCAAGGGACAGTGGATATACCACGGCCGACAATATTTCCGGGAGCTATTTCTGCCTTTTTTTTGCCCGAGGCATTTGTCCTAGAGGGTCTGAGTGCCAGTATTTACACAGGTTGCCCGGACTTCATGACATGTTCAACCCGAATGTGGATGTGTTTGGCAGAGACAGACACTCGGACTATAGAGATGATATGGGAGGTGTTGGAAGCTTCATGAGACAGAACCGGACGATATATGTCGGGAGGATACATGTCAGTGATGATATTGAGGAAGTTGTCGCCAGGCATTTTGCTGAGTGGGGGCAGGTAGAACGAGGTAAGTAACTACGGGTTAGTCTCGAGTTTGAAGAATTGAAACTGACTGTGATTAGTTCGTGTCCTCAATACTCGAGGTGTAGCATTTATCACATATTCGAATGAAGCGAATGCGCAATTTGCCAAGGAAGCAATGGCACATCAATCCCTAGACCACAATGAGATCCTAAACGTCCGCTGGGCAACAGCTGATCCAAATCCGATGGCGCAGGCACGAGAGGTTCGGAGGATCGAAGAGCAAGCTGCAGAAGCGGTGCGTAGAGCATTACCTGCTGAGTTTGTTGCTGAGATTGAAGGTCGAGATCCAGAAGCACGCAAACGGAAAAAGATAGAGGGCGGGTTTGGTCTAGAAGGATATGAAGCTCCTGATGATGTCTACTACGCACGGGGACCCAATGCGGTGAACCCTCTTGGTAGGCAGGGCTTATCGTTGGAGGAGGAGCAAAGACTGATGATTGAGGCGGATGAGGTGGAAACGAAAGCGACAGAGGAGAATGGGATTTTCTCAAGTAGTACCCTGGCGGCACTGAAAAATGCTCAAGGATCGATTGGAACGCAGTCAAAACCCAAAACAACTACGGGTCCTCTGGTTGCCTACGATAGCGATAGCGATTAGGTTAAAGAATAATGGCAAGGGGAAGCTCCTGATGGCAGCTTTCAAAGACTTCGTGGAATGTACTATACCGAAAGCCATTGTACTATGAGTTATTATCATGTTAGATCAGCGGGAAGCTCTTATGACTAGCTTAAATGCGCTGAAGAAGAGGGTAATTTCATAGAGGAACTTTCACAAAGGCTATTAGCGTCTCATTTGAGGTCTATATTTTCTTATAGTTCATATACAACGTAGCACCTCTAACAGGTGATCTTGCGCAGCGCTCGCGATTTTCTCAGGAATTGAAAATCCTAGAATATAACATCTCATGTCTCCCAATCCAGAGATCCATCACCGGAATAGTTTGGCCTGCATCCTCAATATTCGTATCCCACTCCCTGGTAATAGCTCGCTGTATAGCCTCCTGGACCTCAACACTTGCCAATATTTTCTGCGCATGATACGGACCAAAAATACTTGCTCGCACAGCTGCTGACAACAGCGCTTTAACATGGCTTAACATAAAAACATACGCAGTCTGCTGCAAGCTCATTCCCGATATACAAGCGATTGCTCCAAAGAGGGGAGCTAGGTGCGCCGATGCCGCAGGCAGATCACTCGAGGCAGTAGACGAGGCGGACCGTAGAAGTACTGTGAATTCCTTCAATGCCTCTACATATTCTGCTGAAGCTCCCCCTATCACCGCGGAGCTAAACGAACGATCCCATATGGAAAGCAAAGCCCTGCCCTGTGCCACGGATGCCCGCCTGCCCACCGCACACATTATTGCAGCATCCAAAGCGTCATCGAGCTCCACAATCGCCATTGGGTTCCTATGCGCGGCAAGGGCAAATGGCAATGTTGTCGAGGCATATGATCCAAGGGAGAAGTCTAGGAACTCGGGAAAGGACGAGGCAGGGCGCGTATGTGCTAGGTAGGACTCGAGTCCGCTGCTGAATGCAAAGGAGCCCAGAGGGAGCGCGGAGTCTGCGAGAAGAAGCAGGAAATGATGGGCCGAGGATGATAATGGTCCTGGAGGATCCGTAAGCTCACATACAGGCACCGGAATAGAAGCAGGCATAAACGCCATCACCTACCATCACTTGTAGGAAGCCGCGGAGCTCTTGATCCTGATACGGCATTTTGGTCGCCATTGCCGTTCAGACGAGCCTTGGCTTCTTGCAGACGCCTTTCGAGGTCGGCAATTTCATCTTGAACTCGGCGGGCTGGCGACTGCGGAGAGTTGGTTTTGGTGCTCATCGGAGCAGCATGATAATGAGACTTTGGGAGCTGTTGTGCAGGGCCCCCCCCAAAAAGTCCCGAGTACTGTACGTGCAGCTAGAGCTACAGTAGGTGAAGAATCCGGTATGTGGGGTGTGGCTTATCGATGCCATTTAATATTGACTCAGCAAGACCATCGTAACTGGTGCAGGCTATACGAAGTGCTACGGAGTACGCTTCTACTGGAGCACCCAATACGAAGTAGTATATCTCAGATGTTATTAGATCTTCACCAACTCTAGCTTTGCAGGGGAGTGGCACGGAGTACTAAGGGACCTAGGTACTGTACGAACAGATCACCAAGTCTGGTAATGAGTACGCACAGATCCCAAAGCAAGGTAATAAGTACGAAGGTATAGTACTTCATACCTTACCTAGGTACGAAGGTATCAAGGGCCCTAATTATATACATTGCTTAGAGCTGCGGCACACACTAGTTTCCCACGAGCAACTCGGTCCTGGAAGTTGAGGCTGAGTATGAGGCTGTCTAACAACTAACTTTTATAACATCCAGCCCTAAGGTTTCCAACTCCCGGAGTTCGTTCTTCTTGCGACGATCCATGGCCCACGACCCCCGACCCCCGAACAAACAAACAACTTACAGGGCTTTAAATGCCTACCGATCCACACGAGTTGGGCGCTTTGGTTGGTCGGCGTGTCACTTCACGCGTGTGCTGTCCAGCCGAGAGGATATTCAGGATGTCTGGGGCTGAGAATTGTGAGAATCCAACGGCTCCACATAGAGGTCTGTAACCTCGCATCTCACCATGACACCACCATGCTCACCTGCCTCAGATGTTGGGGTCGTTGGATGTAGCCGCCTTACGGCGTAATTATACTATTTTAGGCCGTTAAGACTGGGCAAGTTGCTAGTTTTGCAAGGCTGGAACGGTTGCTGTTTGATCATGATGGGACGACCTGGAATCCCTGCGTTCAAGTCAAACTCGTTCATAGCGGAGGTATTGGCACATTGCTATTTGTGCCATTATTTGATATATCCTAAAGTCGATGTGCGAACGACTCGAGTGAGTCAGTAGTAGTCTCCCGGGAAATCATTGCAGGTAGGTCTGCTAGGCAGACAGTCACCTGGGCAGGCCCCCAGGGCGAATAAAATGTTGTCCTGTACATGGACTGTACTTCGTACTACGCTGCAAGCAAGCGCTACTGGATGGCTTCCTTGTCAAGGGCCTTCCTCTCTACTCCCAAGTCTCACGCTTGGAAATTTTCATCGACGATCCAGCAGCATGAAACGCTGTGCCGCCATCCTGCCGCTGGCACCGCCTTCAAACAAACATGGCCTGGCCTGGAAATTGGCCTGGAAATGGTTCTGGACAAACAGGACCGTGGCTAGGAAGCTTGTTTGCTACTTTGCCGCCTTATGGAGCATCTCTTGTCGCGGTGAGTCGGTGAGGGTTTGGTGTGACGGAGCAGCACAGCCTGGAGATCCTTGGTTAATCACCACCTTCAACCACCCATAGTATCAGTGACTCAAGGCCCCCCGCTGCTTCTTCACTCATATAACAAGCATACACCCTTACTGAGTATTGACTTATGACACACTGACCTCACTCCAAAAAAAAATTCAATAGCCTTATAGCAACAGCCTTATACCCTTTCGTGAAGCTCCTCTCCAACTCTCCTCTTCCTAAGGCCCTCAGATTCAATAAACATTGAAATATATCAGAAAAACACACTGAGCTCAGGTATCGTGCACCTGCAAACCGCCAGTATGATTGTCACTTTAGCACTCCGAGTTCTCCAAGTAAGCTCCCCAAATTAGATATCGGCTTTCCCCAAGCTATTCGCTTCCAGTCCTAACATTCAACCTACAGCTTCTCTTCGGCGCCGTTGTTCTTGCGCTCTCTATTGTCTTGATCAAGGGATATGGCCCGGCGATGGCGGGAGCAACCTTAGGGAAGGCACCTGAGGAGCCCCTGATGGATTATGGCGCATTCTGTGGCGCCGCCGGGATATTGATCGCTGCCATCGGCATAGCGGCCACATTCTTCGAGAAGCTCCAAGGGATAGTGATGTTGGCCTTGGATGGGCTTGCGAGCTTTTTCCTTTTTGCTGGCGCAGTTGTAAGTCTTTTCTCACCAACACTCTACACGGACCCTAGCTCATAATCTCAAGGCGTATGCTGCAAAAGTTGGTGCCGGAAGCTGCACAGATGAGACATACAAAGGTTATTTAGTGAAGCATTTTGATCTCTTCCGGCCATCCATATACAAGGAGTATCATACTACCGATGTCGATAAACGGGCCGGTCTCATCGAAGATGATATCCACGGCCGATGCCGCGAGTTCCAGGCAAATACCGCATTTATTTGGTTCATGTTTGCATGTTTTGTTGGAACTTTCGCCCTCGGCTTCCTCGCGAAGTCCGGAAGGCGAGGCGGAGCAATGGTTTAAAGAGAGAGTGAACCAGCGTACAATGAATGACTCGGTAGGCCTGGAGAGCTGGCTAGTTCATCTAGAAGGAAGTCGCGAGGACTCACGAGAGTTTTGGAGAATCCCTCCAATGTCTAATGAAATGATACCATACGCTCTTGATACCGCCTAGGCAATAATTGTTTTATAAGGGAAGTCGGGCCTTGGAATTGGCATGGCGCTAGGAGTGAGCAGCTTGACGATTGCGGGAACACTACATGGATCCGTTATCTACGGTCTTGCCTTTTCAGCAGATCACATATATACACTCACTTGCAACTGCATTTGGCTGCCCATACTTGCAAATCCCAAGATGGGCAGATCTACTCTTAAATCCTAAACTATCCTCCTAATAAGATCTCTTCCCACATGTTGACCTCCGTTCCCAAACTCATAATTTGACCCAACCCCGATATCCCTATTTCCCCCTCTTTGGAAACTCCAGCTAGATAGGACGTAAGGTAGTTTTTATCCAACCCCACGGCAACTTAGCCTCAACTGTGTCACATCACACTATCTCCTAAGCACGGTTTTCTCAGAGTTCATAGGTGCTTGTAATATCTAGTGGGTTATTCTATTTCACTCTGTTGATAAGGAAGGAGGATGTAACAGCTTGCTGATTACCGGTTGCATTTCAAACAGAGTAACATCAGCAACCATGGAGAAACATAACTATTCAACTAACTATACATCTTTAAATAAGGCTATTGACTTTGTCAGCGGTTCTGGGGGAGATGAGAGGGGGGGAGTGTGAGTGCATGTGAAGAAGTTTTGGTTTTTGTTGCATGTCGAACATCTCATCAGGTGTTTGGTGACAACAGCGAAATAAGCGACAGATATACGACAAACGAGAGAAATTTGACGTATGGGATATGTTTAACAAATGAAAGAACGTTCGACAAGCAACAAAACTCCTGCCCTCTTCCCGTTATGGTAATAGGATGCAGATTCGTTGCATGTCCAGCGCCGAGTATCTAGCAGCGACAGTATAATAAGTGACAAACATCCAAGAGGTGACAGACGTTTAAGAAATGGTGTATATTTCATAAATGGGATGATGTTCGACATGCAACGAAACTACATCCTATTACGGTAACGGGAAGAGGGCAGGAGTTTTGTTGCATGTCGAACACCTGCGGCGCACGATGGACAGGTTGGCCGCCAGTTGGGAGAAATGTTCGACATGCAACAAAACATTTTCTCAATTATCGCCAGAAAGAGTAGGAGTGAAAGGCATATGGTTTTTGTTGCACGTCGCACTCGATTTGAGACATTCGACATGCTGGTTAGGTGGTGAGGGGGAGGCAACAATAGCGACAGTCTACTGCAGGATTTCTTCAGGTTTTCATTCATCTGGTTTTATTGTATAGTTAGTATGGATATAGGGTCGCATTTATACATGGTTCGTCTTGTCTCACCCAAGGAAAAGCCAAATACATTTTGACTTGGCTTTATTTAGAGCATAACCGATCAATATTTATTATAGCAACTGTAAAGGAAAGGCACATGAGAAAAGAACATGGTTAACCCTTACTAGGCCGGATATAGTTTCTCGAAGTCACGTAAAGAAATCTGGCTTTAGCCTTCCTCGCTTGTTCTATTCAGAAGAAAAGAGGGATTCACGTAGCAGCTAACGAACACTGGTAGTGGAAGTGAAAGCAGCAAAATCTTCGATTGATCTCGATTTAGATACATACATCGAGAGTAGATCAGCCTCGATGTTCTGGCTGCTCAATTGTAAAGACAGTATCAGACCCGACAAAAAAGCAATTTGGCAGCGCATTTCATTTCCTCATCCACTTCCCACCGCCACAGACTGAGCCCAATCAATTTAGGTTCCTCTCTACACTTCGAAGGGTTAATACCACGTCCAGACAGATAGTTGGAAGAAAGTACCTCTGTTCGTTGGGTTCTCAACTCAAGAAGCCGTCATAACGGACCGGAGAGGGCTGGGACGGGACGCGGCTCCTTTCGGACCTTGACCAGCACCGACTGCGGGTGGGTTTCGAACCTGCTGCATAGCTGGGACGCTAGGAGGCAGGCCCTGACTCGACGGGGTATCTAGAGTTGGTTCCTCGCCCAATGCGAGGTTATCAAACTGTCAATCTAGTCAAGTTGTTAGCTTCAAATTGATGACATAGGCCAAAAGGGTGATAATACCGTCATAATATTCATCATCGTCATCAACTTCGGCCAACTGCTCGAAGTTGACCTTATAGCGGAGAATTCCACCAATTCCACCAAATCCTTTGACAAATTGGTTGCCCTCAGAAGAACGGTCCGATACGAACTCGAGGGTGGCACCGAAGTCTTTATATTTCTCTGCGATCCACTCGAGGAACGATTCTTGGGTCACCACATCCATTTCTTGACCTGTTTGCCTGTCCATGAACTGGTCACGATTCGAAGCCTCTTCCTGCTTTGTGGTGTGTAGAATGATCTGAGTTCCATTGCTGTCCTTTAGGGTCCAACGGTTGATCTCGAGATTTTCGAAGACAATTAGTGTTTCGACTGCACCCAATTCGAGGGCTTTTAGAGTATCATCGACACCATAGCAGACTCGTCCAGTATCTTGGCTGATCTCCTCGAAGTACTTGCCAATAAGCTTCTTCTCCTGAATAAATTTGACATTGCCGAGAGTCTCCGAAGCCAGTTCAATGGCTTGGTTGAAACCATTTTCACCACCATACGACACATCGACGACCTTGATAACCTTTGTTTGGAGTCGGTTGTCAAACATATCAGATGCATTCAGGTCATTCTTGAAATCTGCCGAGCCAGCAAGAACGATACCACCAACGTTAACCTTGTCAGCAGTGATGAAGTTTTGGACTGCCAACTCAGCAACCTTCCGAACGTAGTTGTGGCGTTTCTCGTCACGTAGACGCGAGAAACGAAGAGCAGATTGCCCACCACGGCCGTGCTTCTTTGGGAGATCGACAGAGAATTTGTGGATAACGTCGCGTGTGTTTCCGCTCAGAGTGCCAAAGAGAGTTCCGTTACCATCCATAATAATGAATCCAAACTTCTGATCCGACTCCAGAAGTTCAGCCAGAGCCTCAGTGTGAAACTTATTGTCACAGAGGTATAGGGATGTATTGATCGGCTTGAACGGCTCGAAGTCGATGTTGACCCTTCTTTCCTTGCCCTCCGACGTCAAGATTTCACCACAGTAGACGACCAAGCCATTCGGGGGGACCTTATTGTACAACTTCAGCCGCTGCTGGGTGGAAGTGATGGCGGATAAGACCGACTGGCGATTGACGCGGGACTTGATGTTCGATGCAGTGCCCTGTGAAAAAAGAGTCAGAAAGCGGTTATGGCCATCGGAGGCTTTGAGTCAGAACATACGTATTCTTCAGCCAACATCTTGGCAGCGCGGGAGACCTGGTCCTTGGGTGCTGGAGGAAGTTTTAGCTTTCGTTTCATACGGCACCGCGATTACTCACGAATAATCAACGATATCATGGATGTTCCATTTCCCCTTGCCGCCTCCAAACGCTTGATCAACTTTTTCACCTTCCATATCTCGATATTCTTCTCGGCCTCATTCGCTTGGGCGTCACTCATCTTGGCGGCTGGAGGCGCTTCACGATGTTGATAGTTGAGGTGCCGGTGCCGTTCTGCGATACAAGCTCAACTCTGCAGAACAAACAAAGCCAAGTTGTACCTGTTTTCTTTGTATCTGGGAGGTGACGTTGGGTTTGGGATTGTGGGTGAAGGGGATCCGAGCCGACAGGCTTTTAGCGTTGCTAGGGCACGTGCATGTCCTGAAAATAGTGGGGTGGGGGTTCGGTAATAAGGCGGACAGCAAGCGGACAGCAAACTTCTCTAATAAACTCCTCGGTAGCAGGTCGACATATAGTACTCCGTTGACATTCACTTCACTTAGACAAGTCTTATTGTCTACCTACAGCTACAAGGTTACTACAAGTCTGGAGACTCAAGGTGCAAAGTATGCATTTTAAATGACCACCGTGTCTAAGCCTCGTGGTCTCTACAAGTTATATGTTCTTTCCGGGAACCTTTACAGAGTCAAAGGCTGTAAGACAGTGCCGAGCCTCTAACCCCATGTTGTAGCTGGTAGCCAAGTGGCTAATGATCGATTTAAATGATAATAGTACTTTGTGACCTAATGTTATTATCCATTCGTTTCCTGGAGGTTGCATGCTCGGTAACCTTTATGCTGTTTTTGGCACTTGGCAACGGTATGGTTCTAGTAAAACTACACTGTTACTGAAAAAGTTGCACGATATATTGTCCGTGGACAAGCATGCAAGCGCCAGTCTCTTCCGCTCCGAGAACGATATTGTACTCTACAACTGTAATACTTCAAGGTCTAGGCCTAGCTACAGCGTGCTTCTTACACGTAGCTATAGCAATAGAATCCTACAGCACCGCAGACAGGGTCTTTGCAAATATTACCGACGGATAAGTTACAAACAAGATTCCGGCCGCCCATCTCCTTTTGGGGGTAATTACCTAACAAGTGAACAAAGTATACCCAAAGAACATTTTGATCAGACTAAAAGTATCCGTCAGTTCTTTTTCCAGGAAGCGCTCACAATCTAGTGAATGGAGCCGGATCAAATTGCTATTTGTTGAGAGTCTCCCATGCAGCTATTCCTAATCTTAACTAAAGAGAGCTGAGAGTTATTACATTTTTACCTCGATATTTTTAAGTTACAACCACTCAAGCTAGTACTACAAGTAAGATCCGGAAATATAAATTTGGCAAGCTAAAGTCGTGTGTGATCTGCAAAGTTAAAAGCCTGCTTCTAATCCTTGCTCTCTATTACCGCCCTTCCTCCTCTTCAAAGGCCCCTATATCGCCATCTTCCACCACCGTCATCGAGTTCCTCCGGCCTACTCAAACCAGTTGCACAGTAAAAGCATTGCCTATTCGAAGTTTCCTTCGAGCAGAAATCTGCGGTCTGTAAAATCGGGTCAGTGTTTGGACACTTCCTGGGATTTAGGATTTTATTAGAGCGAGCGAGCCCACAGATCCTAGTCTCTCCCATACCGTTGCCGTGGCCGCAAGTATGCATTATGTGCACTATCTTACACATTATGATTATATTTATTTTGCTGTATTTAGCAGGTGTACTGTTGAAACTGATACTCTAGAAACAAAATCGGTTGTGTAGAGCAAAGGAAGGATTTCTGGAGAAGAATTTGGCTGTGGCAACGGGCTATAGCCAAGCTTATATAGTTTTCATTGCAAGCTATACATACGCCAAATCAATAGAGTTGTTGGAAGTTCCTTTCGAGCCGGACTCTAGGCCTTGTTGGACAAAGGCATTGTTCGGACTCTTTGTAGTAGTGCATGCCCCTACGCTTTATCCTCTTCTGTATGCTTCGTCTTCACATCTCATATTTTCTTTATTGCTCAAGGCGTATTTACAATTCCTTTCGTTCTTTTCCCAGCTTAGTCGTGTATAATGTATTGTTAATTATGAGCAGACCCTTTTCTCCTTCGATCTCTAGTCGATATAATCAAAGCGGAATACGACCACGTTCTTTGAGTAATAATAGATTCCCAGTTCAGCCTAAGCTTCTAACAAAGGGACGTAACTCTAGAGCTGAATAGAAGTTGCTCACAAGGGTTAATGAATGAGAGCATGGGCCAACAAATGCTCTAATAGACGCCCAAAACCCACCCCAGGCTTAGCATAGGCATTTGGTGATAGTATTCTCCAACTAGAGGAGGGATACCGTGAAGCAATTGTTTGACCTTGCACTGCCTATGCCCGTTATGCACCAAAGCAAACAGTTAAAAGTGTCCTCGGTACCTACTGCAAGGCTTGCTTGCTACGAGACCAACTGACCGCCTGCTAAAAGTGAAGTGGCAGTTCAGCGCCTCGCCTCGACTACCTATATACCCAAATAAGCGGTTTTCCTTTAACGATAAGATATTCCTCGCCCGTGGCCTACTTGTAGACATGGGTGATAGATCTTCGGAAGCATTAGTCTGGTGACTGATCGGATGGGGGTTAGCCCCACCTGAAATGAAGTTATATCCTGGCACCAGCGACAGCTCGTAACCGGGGCTCCTGCCTGTCTGTAAAAGGGACTTGAGTTTCAAAGTTACGAGCGAGTCCCTCTGGCTTAGAGCCGCCCTTTTGGGGGTTTAGAATAATGGGGTGTCCTAGGGGGCCAAGCATCTTTTTTTATATCTTTTTGTAATATATCTTTTCTATTCGGGCTATAGAAGCGGGGAGAAGCGAAGTCGGTGAGAAAAGGCAGATTCAAGTGTAAGCAAAATGCACCTTGCCACAACAATGAAAAGAGACGGTACGTTCAAAACTCATTGCCCCAAGGCCTATTGTCTCTAAATCAAACAAGTGGCGCAAGCGCTTACTCTCGAAGCTTCGGCGGTGTGAACTAAAGAAGCTGTGCAAGCAACGCCAGCACGGAATCTGGTTAACTCTTGACATTAAACATAAGAGTTCTGTATTCTTTGGTTCTGGAACCACAAAACAAATTTAATCATGCAAGATGTGTTATTGATTGTTTTGGAGGGATGAAGTGGCAAAGTAGTGCTCCACGACACGCTATCTGAACGAGCTCGAAACTTCGAGTAATGAGACGCTGATATAGAAAACCGAAACTGAGTTTGAAAATAGTCTTAAAAGGGCCTCTCCATTGGAGAGGTGAGACGCTGCTGGACATGCCCGTTTTGGGTTACGGAGCATTAAAGACATCGAATAAGCTATACAGCTTAGTCCATGGTTCACTGTATGCATAGACTTCTCTAAAAAGGATTAAAACCAGTATTAGAATACCGTTTCATATTGTACTTAGTGACAATTGTTAACTAAGATGTTTGTATTGTAAAGCTTGCATGTATATGGTCTTGTGAGAGAGCTCATACGAGGTACTCAAATCGACGCTTTTCTCCAAATTATCACTTCGAATAGTCTGTATGCTAATAATGGAATATTAGCTTCGATAGAGACCAGAGCTCTTGCTAATTCGGGAAAGCCGTTTTTGGGTCTTCGACGCATGACGGTGGGCAGAACGTCGGAAGGAAAAACTTCATTAGCATTTGCTTCTAAAGGTCAATTCAACATGTTAGCATGTGATTCAAGCTATCTTGATTCCGACTCTCTGTGTTGGCGCAGCAAGAGGGTCACCCATGATACTCCACTGTCGTCGATGTTCAGATTCTAGTGAGCTGGGTTGCCTCGAGGTTACAAGCATATAAGGTGGCTATTATGCTTTTGGGGATGTAGCCGCCCAAGTACTTGTGACTTTAAGAAGTTTTGTTTCGTGTCCTGTACGTACTAAAGTATCTATTTCACAGGGCAACGATTAATGAATTAGTCTTTAGAAATGAGATATTTATCCCCTCACATCGTCTGGGATTGCGGTGCCCGGAGTATTGACGGTAGAATTATTATCCACGATATAGAAGTATGTCGCAGCAGTAGGGGCCTAAAGGCACGTCCAAAATTGAAGCCTATAGTTTCTCAATAAATTAGGGAGATTTCTACCACTCTTGATGTAGGTCGTAAGGAACATGGTAGGTCGTAAGATCTCAAAAGGCAAGATGCTGGTAATCGTGGCCGGCGTTTGCTTACTAATAGAATTAGTCCACTCTGCTGGTTGTAACCGTCATACCAGCGAACGAGCTCCATGGACTGTGTACCTATGGAGTGAAAACAACTCAAACAATTTCAACACAAAATCAAAATGTCTTCTTCACTGCCAATGCTAGTGGCAGAAACGATCCAAACCGCCTCTATAAAACGCAACCCATCACCCTCCCACGACATCAATCCCTCCACCTCCGCATCTCAAAAACAGCCCGTGCGATTCTCCAACCAGGGCCTATCATCCGAGTCCTCCCTCGACAAGTGTGCATATGACGACGAGGGAATCGATGACGAAGAAGATGAGGAGGATGAGGAAATCCCGTACAGCGTGCTACGACCAACGCCGCGGCGGGCAAGCTTTGGTCCGCTGCCGGATTTGAGGTTCGAGCAGAGCTATTTGGCTAGCATTGCCAAGGCAGATACGAAGTGGAAGGTGGCATTTATTACAATTAGAGATCAGGTATGTCGGTTGGAGCCCATTTTCAAGCTGTATATATGCTAATGGGCGGACAATGTAGGTCTTTCTCCCTTTATTTCAAGGAATGATTTGGAACCTTACCCTGCATGGATGGAGATATTGGAACCGGAGCGCTCAGCTGAGTGGAGAGGGTGTGGGAGCTAGGGTGAGGAGGTGGTGGTACAGAACGAATAATTGGAAGCTGCCGTCCTTTGCGAGGGACTTTAGGAGGGATACGAAGCTGTCGGCGGAGGTAGGAGATGTGAGTTGGACCCGCTCAGGGCAGGTGCCTGGCTTTACTGATATTATGTAGTATTACAAATATCAGAATATGGGCGGTGATTAGAGGTACTAGTATAAGTAGATATGGTAGGCGTTTTCAGCGAGACTGGTAGGGCTGCATGGGCGGCGTTTAGGGCATATACATTCAGATTACTTTAATGATTCATTGGGCATTGTGCATATATGGCTTAGTATCTATACTCCATATTGCGGTGCTCAAAATAGGCTCTATGCCGATGACAACGGCGTTTGATCATGCCTAAGCCATATTTGTACCAAATAATGTACTGCAAACTGTCCCGCTGAACGCGCTTTCTATTCCATGCTATATTACAATTCAACTGCCCCTGCTTTCCAGATATTCGATTGAAATTCGATGGTTGCCGGAGTTGAAGAGCCCCTTTAACCGACATTTATCGAAGGAGTGAAAGCTGGAGGCTTTTCTGGACTCCCGCGGAAGGCTAATGGCGACCTGGGAGATAAAGGGGCTTGAGGCGCTCTAGGAGACTTTGGTTGGATGTCGATAGGCTTGGTAGCATCTTCAGATACAGATGGTGCTTTTGCTAAATTGTTCGTCGAAGACAACTCTGATGGTTGGGCCGGACTGGGGGCTTTTGAAGACCTATCTTTCTCCGGGGATACATGAAGTTTGATAAATGTTTTCTTTTCTGGGGTCGGCGTCTTGACCGGGAGTTTGGCCAGAAGCCCATTCCCATGAGCTTCCTTTATCCCACCCTCCATTTCGTCATCATCATCAGAGAGCTCGTCCTGGCCATCGGCATCACTTGCAAACGAGATATTGTCTTCCTCGTCTTCATCATCACCATAATCGTGCTCGCTCGCGTCATCCTCGTCCTCACTAGTCATTTCGTCGACATTGTTATATCCTTCAATGTGGCGGCCCCCTTTTGGTTTCCGGTCGTTGGCAACGGCCGCCGCTCTCCGAGGTCGTCCATTGACATCGTCCTCATCTTCAAAATAATCATTAGCGCCATCAGCTCCTGCAGTGGCCGTGGTGCCGCTTAGAACAGTTTCCCCATAAGTACCACCCTGTCGAGCCTTTACCTGGCGACCACTTTGGGTAACTGTGGGGACACCAAGGCCTTCAGAGGGAGTGTGAGTACCGGTATTACGGGTTGACCGGCGGCTTGTAGTTGCGTCGGTGGACTCCTCGTCTTCCTCGTCAGAGTAGGTATACTTGATCCGCTTCCCCCGTGTTCGGCCCTCATACAACGAAAAGCCAGGCTCTGGGCGCTTGAATTGTTGTTTGCGAGTTTGTCGGTATTCCCGTCGCTTGCGTTTCTAGGATAGAGGTTTAGTATTTCGTACAAAATATATCATCTACAACAACATACCTCTTCTGTTGCCTCGAATCGTGGGATTGCAGCCATCATTTTGGAACTCAAAAGACGTGCCTTTTGGCCACCGTCTTCATTTGCCAACTTCTCTGCCTACATACACCAAGTCAGCAATTTGCCAGAAAGAAATCGCGGTGATAATCAAAGGTTTGCGGCAGGGGATTCAAAACGTTGCCTGCCAGGAGAAGTCCGACTAGCACATCAATAGATTTATCACAAATGCTTACCAGTTGTTTCAGTTCGTTTATATCACCTGCAACACTCCACCAAGTCCGCTCGCCGCTAATGTGACAGCTCTCCCTATATACCCTGAAATGCGTATCATCAAGGCCCTCAATCAGATAGTACCGCCGTCGAGACCCATCTGAGCCCCATGGCTGTACAGATAATGGTTGATTGAGATCGTCCTCATGCCGGCTCTGTTTGTAGGAAGCGTTGATTATACCCTTGATGGCATCGGATGACGAGAGGGACCATAAAATAAGTGTACGTAGGAGGGTGAGCTGGTGGCGAAGTCAGTATTGTAGGCAGTAGTTCGGATATTAATAAAATCAAAATAATAGCGTGGTGCTTGTAAAGCGGGAGTCAAGAAATTTGAGGGATTTTGGGCGCATGAATCCTTGGTCTAGCGCATATATCCTAGAAGGGCAAGGAAGAAATGCCTATGCCTTGTTTTGGAAAGTATATAACGATTTGGAGGATACCGAATATTGTATAGTTTGATCCCAAAATAGTAGGAAATTGAACACTCACCCGTTGAGTTGGCGACATTGAAGCAAAAGTGGCGCCTCCTGATAGCGGGTTCTTGCTCTCCCAGTCCTTCGCCCATTGTGATTTATGTGTCGCTATAGCTTCCTCCAATGCACGATTATAATGTCCGGCTCTGGAAGAGATGCAATGTTAGCTTTAGAGACTCTGCGACGGAGCATGGAGTTGCAGCGTCATACTTAACATCCTGCTTTCGATTGAGCAGCAACCCCAATAATGCGCAAAGGAAATGCTCTCCATGTTCTCCCGGGACCGTATCTACCACATCGCGTTCGAGTTCTTGGGGGCCGAAATGTGCAAGTGATTTTGGGAAAGCTTCCGTGAAGCGCGAGCGGAACATGATGATGAACTGCGATTTGCGCGTCAGTAACCGTAAAAGCACACAACCACGCGTTTTATACGCGTTAAGCCACCTAGAAAGTATACATGTCGGGGGTACATACTGCGATATCTGGGTTATCTGCGAGAACATATTCATGCGGTGGTGAAGGGGCACGTTTTGGTCGGGGTGGTGAAGGTGAACGCGAAGGTGAAGCCTCGATAGTGGGCTTTGCTGAAGGGCGCGGGGCTTTGGAAAAGAATTTGAGTATCCCATCCTTCTTAGTCAATTGAAGATCAGTCTCATCCTCCGATGGGACGGACGATAATTCGGAAGAGTCGTCTGACATCATGTTTGGCGGCGTGGTTGTTGTTGTGGTTGTGGGGAAGTTGCAAGTAGTGTGGAGGAAACGTGAAGTCAGGATGAGCTCTAGCATTTGCCGACAAAGCGCGGTGACGGGGTTGGTTGGGTCATTGGTCTAAGGGCAAGGCAGTTTGGTCACGCACAGCACATGGAAGGGTTGGTTCAGGAAGTGGATATGCGACATTCCAGTTGAATCCGAAATAAGGTAGAGTCGAGGGCCGTTCTATAGAGTACAACAATAGTTTGTCCGTGTCAATGTCATGAACTTGCCCCGCAACCCAACGCCATCCACGCCACTTCCATTTCGCCTCCCATCCTAGAGATGAATCGCCTTGTCGACATACATATTATCCAACTCCACCCACTCTAAACCTTCCTTCGTCCCCGGTATTGAAGTGTTGATCCAAGCTACTCGCGGCAGCCGTGTGAGGCGATGGAACTGAGAACCGTCGACAAGCTAACAGACCACCACCATGTTTGTCCATGACCAAAAGAGAAATCAATCCTCGAGTTCTGAATAGACATCTTGAGGCGGTATTCGCGTATGCTGATGCCGGGATAGTAGCAGTATGTACCTTATATATTGATCTGCCGCCTAGCCGCGAAATAGTCGACTCGCTTATCATGTTGAACATCCCAACACTTGCTTTGATGCAATTGAATCTATTGATGATTTCGGGAAATACAGCAGAACTACTACCAACACCACCAGAAGAATGCGCTCCACGGCTCAACAGCTCAGTGGCAAAATCATGAGTGGATTGCAAGGACACAAGTTACTCGTCGTGAGTGAAACCCTTTATAACGGGGCTCCATCCATTCCAAGTAGCAGAACAGAGATTCCAGCAAGTGATAAATGAGACGTCGCAAATTTGGTCGAGGGAAGCCAAACTTGGGGGTTGGTAGGTGGCCTGCAAACTCGGCAGCCGCAGAGAGCTCCAGAGCGAGCGTCAACCTTCACCCGGCGCGTGCGACACACTAATATATCGCAAATCCGCACAACAAATTGACATCGCCACGTTAACTATTCTGACAATGGATTTTTGACGCGCTTGTCGCTAAGTGGCAAGTATCCGTAGATCAGCCCTTAGATTGGCATAGGGATGCACAACGACTTCGTTGACGATCGCTATTATATAGCACGACAAGAGGGGCTGAACAAAGAGACATGAAATGAAGATATACTTGGTTTGGTCTGCGATAAGTGGATGTGAGCTGAAAGCAGGAGTTGATCGGCTTGAGCTTATTCAGGGTCATGAGCGCGCTCAGTAGCATATTGTAGAGACGGTTAAGTAGAAAAACGGAGGAAACGGAGGAAACAGTAGCAATCCTACCATGGGAATCCGTTCTTTGAGTCGAGCATGGCGGTTTCGAGAGTGCATTGCTCGACTTGACCTTCAGGCGGTGCTGGGCAACTTCGCAAGTCGTTGATGAAGTAGCGGAGGCGCAGACGCGCTAAAAGCCCAGGCCGACGGTCTTGGAGCCTTGAAGCCTTAACGCCTTACAGTAGAAGCCTTAACGCCTTACAGTAAAAGCCTTACACGTCAGGTTCCTTAGCGAGGGTTTTTGGTGGGCGCATCACGTGAGGCGGCTTTAGGGCACCCACAAACGAATTATCGCGAATTTTGGAACTTTTACCGACGACTTGAGCGAAGCCGAATTCCATCCTCCTCCCATCCCCCATCATTACTTTTTCGGCATCACAGTCAAGGAAGGACGATGGGTCGCGTCATTAGAAATCAGAGGAAGGGCCGCGGCTCTATCTTCACCGCAAATACTCGACTGAACAAGGCGCCTGCGCAATTCAGAACTCTCGATTACGCTGAGCGTCATGGCTATCTTCGCGGCGTCGTCAAGGACATCATCCACGACCCAGGACGAGGAGCACCACTAGCAAAGGTCGTCTTCCGTGACCCATACCGATTCAGACTTCACACCGAGACCTTCATTGCCAACGAGGGAATGTACACTGGCCAATTCATCTATGCCGGCAAGCACGCCAACCTGACCGTCGGAAACGTTCTCCCTCTCGGCTCCGTCCCTGAAGGAACTGTTATCTCAAACGTGGAGGAGAAGCCAGGAGACCGTGGAACTCTCGGTCGCACATCCGGCAACTACGTGACTGTCATCGGACACAACCCTGATGAGGGCAAGACCCGTGTCAAGCTCCCATCTGGCTCAAAGAAGGTCATCAGCAGCAATGCCCGAGGCATGATCGGTATTGTCGCTGGTGGTGGAAGAACTGACAAGCCCCTGTTGAGTATGTGGTACCCTTATTTTTTGGGCTAGGATTCAGCTGCTAATAATATTCACAGAGGCATCCCGTGCTAAGCATAAGTTCGCCGTCAAGCGTAACTCATGGCCCAAGACTCGTGGTGTTGCTATGAATCCCGTCGACCATCCTCACGGTGTATGTGATTCCGATTCCAATATGCAGGATGCAAGATTGCTAATAAACAACAGGGTGGTAACCATCAACATATTGGTAAGGCTTCCACGATCTCGAGATACGCTACACAAGGTCAAAAGGCGGGTCTCATTGCTGCTCGGAGAACTGGTCTGTTACGTGGTACCCAAAAGACCAAGGACTAGAGGGTCGTGGGGAGTTTTTCTTTGCTTGGGAAATGCTGGCTGCGCATTTTATGTACCTCTCGGAAAGCATAGCGAGAATGAACAAACTGCGTTGGGCAAATCTGCTCTAGTTTCCTCGTTAATTGAATGAATCGAAGGACGATCATAGCCCGGCGTGAACGTACGCGAATGTCCTATTAACTGAATAGAAAGCCCTGCAGCATCCAAATCGAGTAAAAGATACTCCCTAAGGACCTAGGTACCCACCTTGAGGTAATCCTGGAGCGGAAAATATCTACCAAACTAATCGTATTAAGCACAACCTGTAAAAACAATAAGATCAAATTCAAGAAGACTTCAGATTAGATTCTGCTATCGAAGCTTTGCACTTGGCCGAACTAGGTGCTGTAATTTGGGCCCTGCCGGCCCCTGGGACGGGCGACCTGACCCGGGGGGGAAACACAGCCCCTCCAAAAAGGAACCCCGCCAGAACATAACAAGATCTTACTCCTTCAACCAACACAAACCCACCATCCATCCTCACCCCAAAACAATCAACATGTCTGGAACCAAGGAATACGCCCTCCTCTGCCTAGAGAATCCCCTGCTTGGTATGTATAACCTATTTGGTGCTTGAATTCTGATTTCCGCGTTTTTCTTCATGTGCGAAGTTAAAGCGGTCAGCTTTGTGGAACCCCATTCTCCAGGGCCAACTTTGCTATCAGTTGAATGAATTCTTAGGCCATGCTAATTATTTTGACCTACAGATATCCAAGCTGTGGGTGACGATGCACTCTTGGCAAAATACGGCCTCAAGCCCAACGATGCAATCCTCAGCGAGGAAAAGCACCTCCCTATCTACGAAGACCTCCTGAACAACTACAACGCAAAGTTGATTGCTGGCGGAGGAGCACAGAACACCGCCCGCGGCGCGCAATATATGCTCCCACCAAACTCCGTTGTCTATCTCGGCGGTGTTGGTGACGACAAGTACGCCGCTATCTTACACGATGCCGTGAAGCAAGCCGGCCTTCGTGTCGAGTACCGTGTGGACCCAAAGCACCCCACTGGCCGCTGCGGTGTGGTCATCACAGGCCACAATCGCTCTATGGCCACCGATTTGGGTGCTGCTAACCACTACGATCTGGACCACTTGAAGAAGCCCGAGGTGTGGAAGCTCGTTGAGAACGCTACACATTACTTCGTCGGCGGTTACCATCTCACGGTCTGCCCACCAGCCATCATGGCTCTGGCTGAAGAAGCTGCGAAGAACAACAAAGTATTCGTTCTCTCCCTCTCCGCACCATTCATTGCCCAGTTCTTCAAGGACCAACTGGATGCCACAGCCCCTTACTGGGATTACGTTGTCGGGAACGAGACCGAGGCGCTCGCGTATGCTGAGAGCCATGGTTTGGAGACCAAGGATATCAAGGAGATTGCTAAGCATTTGGCCGCGCTGCCAAAGGCCAATACTAAGAGGGAGAGAGTTGCTGTTATCACTCAAGGCACCCTACCTACAATTGTTGCTGTTAATGGTGGTGATGTCAATGAGTATCCAATTCATGCGATTGACAAGAATGAGATCAACGATACCACAGGCGCTGGTGATGCGTTTGCCGCTGGTTTCGTTGCCGGCCTTGTTGCCGGCGAGCCTCTGGCACGATGCGTTGACCAGGGACAATGGCTGGCAAAGCTTAGCATTAAGGAGTTGGGCCCCTCGTAAGTCACTATTTTCCAAATCTTGGGCTATCACAAGCATGTCTCTTTGGAGTCCATCCATTATTTTCATTCATCCTCTACGTACAATTTGGAAGCATGCCCTTTGAGAATCAACTGACGCGGTAACTTTGCAGATTCCCATTCCCCAAGCAGACTTATAAGCCTGCCAGCCAGTAAAATATAATCTGTTCTTTTGCATCGAGATTTTGTAGATGGCGTTCGGAAAGGTTTCAACAACGGGAGCGTCTACAATCTGATGATGTGGCGCATATGAAGAGATGACCATTAACGATCCTCCACGATCAGGCATAGAATAGTTTAGCGTTAGTAAACACGAAAAGCCTTGCCCAGCGAGTCTGTGCTGTGATGATCGAATGTCAGAAATGACTGAGACGATTAGTGGTGGCCGTGTCATTCCGCACACCCGATGGAGGATGCGCCGATTGTAGTTTAGCCTTCGAAAACCAGACGGCTTTTCGGGATAACAATATATGCCTAGGTAATATTCATTGGTTTTCCATGAATCGAAACTTAAGCCCTCAGCCGCCTTGTCCACCGGGCGGGCTTGAACGATATCCCCAGCGAGGCTGAGTCTGGTTATCATTGTACTTCCCGAGCAGGGAGCTTTGTAACATGAACCGCGTATCAAAGTCAGTCCCGCCTGGATAGAGAGTACTGTTGTTGCCATTAGCAGTAGGCGCTACACCTCTCTGTCCACTTTTGATACGTTGATGTGCTGGGGTTGTGTTTCCAAATATGTTGCTTGAATCTGAAAACTGAGAGGACATGGATAACGGTCTGAATTGCTGCGTGAGAGATTCCTGTAGTAGTTGATTGACGGCTTGTGAAGTTGGATTCGAAGTGGGTCGTGGGCTGTTTTCTCCCCAGGAATTCCTCGATGATCCACTATATCCAGTCATTTGGTCAAGAGAAGCGGCAGCAGCCACTTGTTGCTGACGAGTAGAAAGCGGAAATGGTGAGAGCTGACGTCTAGTGCCGGGGCGATTGGGGCTAGTTGGCTGAAGTTCATTGGGCTGTGGTGTGAAGGCCGAGTTCCATATGCCTGGTAGGCTGGGAAGCATTTTCGGGGTGACTTGGTGAGGAGACCGGAGACCGCTCGAACCAACAGGTGCAAACACCTCATTCGCAGTAAGGCTATGCATACCGTAAGACGTTTCGTCACTCCCATCCAGTTTACTACCATAAGACTCAACAAGGTTGTCCACCATTCGATGCATGTCTGTGTCGATACTGTTTCGTAGCTCAGGGGTTTCAGGTCGGCTGCTTTTGACCGACTCATGGGCCATGGTGGTGTCTATGATTGTGCTGGAGGCCTTCATTGGACTTTCGAGGGAAGATACTGGTCCCTTAGCGCTAACTGGACTGGCGATACCAGAAGCGGGCAAAGCCTGATCGGTGTATACGAAGGCCCTATCCCTTAGAACGATTGGGTACTTTGGGTCTCCTTGGAGGACGAGGCCACAGAGCAGTATATCTCGCACACGAGCTAGCATTTCGACATCAGGGCTCTGTCGTTTAATGCCAGTATCGGTCATGCTTGGCTTCAGGCTACCGCTATCATTGGCGGCATAAACGTTGCAGGCGTGTGGGAGTTGAGGGTCTCGAAGAGGCTTGAACCCCACAGTAGACTCGTCCTCTTCCAGCAAGTAGTTGATTGAAGGTAGAGACTCGGCAGGAAATAGGTTAGCAAGCCGTGTTAGCACGTCAGCATATATCTTCCACATCTCCCTACTATGCATACTCAGCGGGCCAATTTTCAAATTAGCCACGATGAAGTCGACCTGGGAGACAAGCCAGACGCTGTATTGACGGAGGGCTGGAAGAACTCTACGCGTAACGGCTGTGATATTCCCCTGGGACTGGTTTGGGAGCGGTTCATGTTGCGGAAGACTCCCGGCAGCTGCTGTGTCTTCTAGTTCTGGTTTCAGTACTTGTAGAAGCATGGATAACATGCGGATGTTGAAGGCCAGACAGAAATAAAATGACCGAATATCCGCTTCAGAAGGACCCTCCTTCGATTCTGTTTCTTGGTTAGATGGCTATGCAACAATCGGATATTATTACTCGCCTTCAATCTTTTGGCCGGAAAAGGACCCTGCGGCAATACTTGTAAGGACTAATTTCTCATGGGTCGCATCAAACGACTGTTCTTTCAACAACCTAGCTAGCCGTGAAATAACTTCGTTTTCGAGTTCTTCGTGCGTAGAAAAATCAACACCCTCGTAGAACTTGGCTTGGAGCAAAACAAACCACCAAACTAGAGTGCTCAAACTGTCAGTCTTTGGTTGCGGGCGCTTTTTCTCCCAAGCCGAGGTGATTTTCTTGAACTCGAGCTCGAGGTTTCCCTTTGCCAGTTTATGCGGCTCGTCGACAGCAAGAGCTCGATAAAGTTGGTAGACCGCATCCAGGTGATCTCCGTCTGCAAGAGCAATTACTGCCATCTGATTATGCGCACTTCCATCCGTTGGAACTAGGGCATCAGCCAGTTCATAAAATCCCAACGCCGGTTCCCAGCTCCGATCCTTGGTTCGCAGGGTGTTACGGTATCGGGAAAGATCGCCCAGGCGGAGAAGTGTAGCATGGCATGACATATCAATGAGGTGCTCCACCTCGGGGGAGACCGTAACACGCTCATCGACGGAGAGCGGATCAAGATGAAGTCGATGCGCAATCTGGCGAAGCTTTCTCATACCCGCAAAGTGAGATGCCAGGCGCTGGATGTAGCCCCTATAAAAGAACTGGCTTGTCTTAATAAAGTCGACATAACGTTTCTCCACTTTGCGCCTCTCAACGATATGTTTCTTCTGCTCCTTTTGGCGGAAATGATCGACAACCTTCCGGTAGCGCTGGTTGATGTTGATATGCGCATCCCAAAGGCGCCCCTCCACCCCTGCCCGATGGGCATATTCAAAGTCGAGGAAGATAGCTGCTTCACAGGTTATGCGAAGCCTCTCCAAGTCAGCTTCTGGAAACCACCTGGGTACGAGGGGTGCTCACTGGTTAATCAAGTGGTCAACATCGTCAAAGCGAGCGGTTTTGCCCTTCAAGAGCAATTGGAGGTCCTTCTCGATTTCAAGCGCGCTCCTGCCCAAGCCATCAGCTGTCTCTTCTCTGTTGCGAACAAATAACCCTGGGGGAGAGGCAACTCACGTCCAATTCTGCGCAGCCGTTGTAGCCATTTCGAAGGTTGTCTGTGAACGGAGATTGTTTGGGGCCCCACGGCCGGCTTGCCAACTAGATCTGCGCGTCGAAATCCGCAAATCGTGGATGGTAGATGCGATCCATAGATGTGGTCAGGTCTATTTGTAAATAAAAAGTGAATACCAACCAGGTACTGGCTCCACAGAGATGGCTAGGCAATGGCGACGGGAAGGGGGCTCAACAAAGCTTGCCCTAACGAGAAGTGAGGAATACGGCCCCTATAGGTCGCAAGGGTCCTTTAGAAGTCGGCGTGGAATGTCTTTGCAGCCTCATGTTCTCTTCTCTTCTGATGTTTCGGCAGCGGGCAGCCGTGAAGTGAAGTGACGAATTCAACCTCTGTCGTTTATCGTTTATCGCCTACGACCCAATTCCCCCATGTTCCTGCGGCCAGTCGGCAACCCCTGTGCGATCACGCTCAGCACAGACCGACAAGGCTGAAGTGCCGGCGCATTGCTGTTCGCGGCCCCGAACTTCCCCACACAAGGCTTTCTTCTGTTTTGCTAAACATCATCTACCAATCTATTTGCCATCTACTGTTCGTTCATCATAGTTGTTGGCTCAACGACCTATTCCCCTCCCTCCAATCTAGCAGCATATTCTATTAAGGTGTCTGCTCTAACACACGGCTAGTTCTCAGGCGCTTCGAAAACGAAGAGAAATCGAGAGAGGGCAGAGCGGTGACGAAGGGCAGCACATCAAAGTAATTCCCCCGGGTGTTGGCTCTTCAAAATATGGCTAAGCGCTCACGCGAAGATTTTGAACCGCTTTCAGAGTCCGAGATCTTGACGGACGCTGCCGCAGCCTCCGTTGTTCATTTCTCATCCCGAGTTCCCTCCTCGAAAGTTCTCCAACTTGACCCTGATAGCAGCGGTGAACCTCGGCCAGCCAATGAAATGAGATGCTCGCTCCCTCCACACAGAGAGATTCTTTCTTTCCCATCTTTCGAAGCCTATGAGGTTCACTACAATCAGACACACATGAACCGGTGTCTAGAGTGCAGAAAGAATTTCCCAACTGAGCATTTCTTGAATTTACATATCGAGGAGAACCACGATGCATTGGTGTCTGTCAGGAGGGAGAGAGGGGAGCAGACTGTGAGTTTCCTTTTCCCTTTTCCTTCGCGCGTCTCTAACATCTTAAGTATTCCTGTCTCGTCGAGGATTGCGATCGAAAGTGCTCCACTGCACAAAAAAGACGTATGCATTTAATCGACAAGCACCTTTTCCCAAAAGACTACGACTTTTACGTAATAAACGACGGCATAGATAATCGAAGTTCAATGTTACGATCGGGGAGACATCGCCGACGCAGCTCCGCAGCTCAACACAGCGCGGAGATTCAAGAGAGGACTAACCGCCGTAATTCAAGACTACAGACTATAAGCAGCACGGAGAACAAGGATAAGAACGATGAAAGTGGGAAGGAAAACCGGGAGATTGGTGGAACGAGCCCGGCTACTTCGCCTTCAATGGGAGATGCGGATATAGAAAGCCTCACTGGCGCGATGTCGTCTCTTAAATTTGTGCCCCCCAGTGTCAGGTTCGGTCGGGGTCGTGGTCGAGGCAGAGGTGGGTTTAGCAGAACCTAAGGGTGATGATTTATGACGGTAAATATGCCACTTATGAAAATAACGATTGACGGGAAAATCTTCATGAATTGCAATGTCAGCGCATATCAATGCCATTCATCATTGGGTATCTGTATCCAACGCGTTCCTCTAAATAACCCCGGACTCCAAACTCCACAGTCGTGTACAATTCTCATATCAGTCATGAACGGCCTAGAATATTCCCATGCGGGTTCCCCATCCATCTCCCTTAGGATTGATGACAATCTGGTATGGGAACGGATTTGCCTCGCTGGTGGTGATCGGGGGGATGTGATCCTTCTCTCTGTTGACAGTGGTCACAATCTTCATTGCGGCTTTCAACAGCATGGCTTCCATAGCGCTTCGGACCTTGGCCCGTTCTATAATCCCTCAGGTAAGTATGCACTCTTTCAAAATGATGCGCGGGGTAACACACCGTTTTCTGTGCGCGGAGTTGCCAGAGTAACATCGAGAGTCCACTGCTCCCAGCAAACCTCTTCCTCTGCTTTCGTAAACCAAGCCTTCCTTCTCTTCTTCTCAAAAAACTGAACAGCCATCAATCCCCTCACCCCGGTGTTGCGCCCACCCATGTCTGAGCTCGTGTCTAACTGTCTCACAAGGGTCGCAGTTCGCTGATCGATCAACGTCTCCAACTCAACATCTTCAACAAGAGGTAGAGTTAGGTCGAGAACATCGCGAGTCTTCGGTCGGATCGAGGGGAAGAATCGGTGGAAAAATATCGTATGTAAGATACCTATGGTCGGGGATGTCAGCACAATCTCCCTATTTCCCCAAGCCCGAAACGAGATACAGACCTCGCACAACATCTTTGACGGAGGACGGATCTGCGAAGACTTCTATAATGTATTCCGGCGCTCGGCGCGGTTCCATTGCCACGAGAGTGTCTAGCATCTGCTGTAGACAGTGTCTTGAACTGTACAGTGTTGATATCGGAATGGCTGTGCTTGGACGGAGTATGTGTAATGGGTCTTGTGAAGAATGGTGGGGTAAATTATGCACGTGGGCCAGCTCGCAAGAGGCAAAAAAGCGGCACTACATTATATCAATGCGCACTGTCCTGGAAATTATAAAAAGCTATATTTTATTTGTATTAATAATTTATTATATTCAAGACATGTCGGGAAAGAAGAGTTCTTGAACGGGGTCTCCTCTAGCAAAGTTGTTGATCTGTTACAACCAGGGGTTGCCACAGTTGATATTGGGATGCCGCCTTTAGAGCCCATACCGAGGCGAGCGAGGCTGGGACGTGTGGCTTATCATATCGCGAAACCCACTCTATTTGTACTGTAACCGTCGGTTTGCCAGGATCAGCCACATCATTGACCTCGGCCTGTCCAGGACCCAGGTTGCCCGTGGAATCTCGTGAGCCGGCCTTTCTCGATCCAATCCCTTCCAAACCGCGACGTATTCGGAGGCATTCCAGCGGAATGCTATCGTTGCGCCAATAATCATATAACCATGATATCTGCTACTCGAGGATGGTTGCGACGGAACAGAACGCCCATCGCGGTTGGAGTTGGGGTGGTTGGAGCTGGCTATGTAGTCAGTCAATACGTGTTGGGGAAGATTTCTGATGCACGAGAGCGCATGAGCGGCGACCGCATAGCGCGGGAGAAGTATGTAGAGCTCATATTGTGCTTGGTATGGCCATTCTCATTAATGCGACTGCAGTCTCCGGCGGCGATTCGAACAAAACCAGGAGGATTGTACTTTTACGGTCCTCGCCCTCCTCCCAACAGTTACAGACAATATCCTCGCAGAAATGGAAACCGAACGAATTACCTTTGAGCTTCAGCAGCAGAAGGCTGCCAAATTGGCGCGCAACGGGGAGCCTCATCCGTCTGAGTTAGGCTCTGGTCCGCCCAGCGTCACAGATGACGATCGAAGCATGGTCAGTTTACAGAGCGAGAGCGGGGTACATGCAAGCCAGATGGGCATTCCGTCTGTCACCTCAGCGGGAGATGGGCCCCAAGACGGAGGGCAACAGGCGCAAAAGGCACGGAAGACGAAGTTGCAATTGTGGAATGATCTCAAAATCAGTGGTAAGGTCCCTCAAACCGCGGTCCTTGAAGGGCGCTAACACAAACGTAGCAATTACTCGGGCTTTCACCCTTATATACACGCTTACCCTACTTACATTGCTTACTCGGATACAACTGAACCTGCTGGGGCGACGAAGCTACCTGTCGAGCGTGGTATCTCTTGCAACTGGTGGTGTGGAACAATCCACAATCAGTCTAGAGAATCATGACGATGATAATCCAGATCAAGCATACGGCAATGATTTTGAGACGAATAGGCAGTATTTGACATTCAGCTGGTGGCTGTTGCATCAGGGGTGGAGAAAAATCATGCTGAAGGTGGAGGAGGCAGTAAAGGAAATATTTGGGCCCCTAAGCCCGAGAGATGATATCAGTATGCAGAAGCTATCTGAGTTGACTCTAGAGGTGCGGAAGAAGGTTGAAGGCGCTACAGAGGAGGACAGACAAGCTAGCAAGTGGCTGGAATACTTACTTCCGCCCCAGGAGCAAGAAGAGCTCGTGCTCAAGGAGTCTGGCATGACTACTGATGCGTCCTCTGCATCTGCTACCACTTCGCCAGCTCTTCGGCGACTTCTGGATGAGACATCGGACCTCATCGATTCGCCGCCATTTGCTCACGTGTTGACTCTGCTGTTAGACGCGGGATTCTCGACCTTGATTGACCAAAAGGTTGCGCAGCAGGCATACAAAGCGCCAGCTGTGCCTGAAGTTCCTGATTTAGATGCACCAAGAATTACTGAGCTCCACGACCCCAAGCCTGTAAAGCTACCAATCGTCCTTGCAATCTTTACCCGCCAAGCACATTCAATTGGAAACGGGGTGCCAAACGAATACCTCCAAGCGGTGGAACAGGTCCGGGACCTCGAGGCCTTCGCAGCGGTGGTATATTCAAGCAATTGGGAGAGCGAAATCAGCCCAATCAAAGATGAAGGCAGTTTCCCAGGAAAAGATAGCCCTAGAGGACCAGAAAGCGTTATAACAGAGTCACCACCACAAGAAGAGGTTGTTGCTGGACAAGACAGTGTTGTGGATGTTGGGACAGCAAGCACGTTTGAGAGTGCCTGGGGTAAAGCAGTGGACACTCCTGAAAAGCCAACGTGACTGCGAGGTTCATAGACATGCAGCTAGGAATATGTATAAGGACATTGATGAATAAAGGTATGGGGAATATTGGGAATGATAAAGTGTTCGACTGGATAGGGACATGTAAGATATTATCGCTCTATAAGTAAAGGTATAGAAGAGTATGGCCTGGTAATAACACCTGAACACCTGCAATGTCATACCCTCAACGCCGTGCAATGCTTCCCCGCCGAATCCAAAGGTTCCACTGTGCGGCCTAACATGTAAGATGTAAATGTGGTAACAGCTAAAGGACTCCCTTGACAAATTGGTCAAGGGCTAATTCAAAAAGCTCGTTCGCAACCCCCTCTCCACCAGGATGTTCCACAGGGGATAACGGGTTCTTAACAACTATCCACATAGTTAGCCCTAAAGCAATAGTGTTATCATACCACGGCTGAAAACTCACCAAACTCCACGTAAAGATTGACATATATCTGGTGCAGTACATTCCGCATGTTGAGTGTTTGTGTATCGGTGAGCATCACGAACTTGATACTAGTAGGAGTCTCGTAGTAGTGAAGCTTATATTGGCCCGTCCGGAAGGAAATGAAACTGTAACCCCAATTAACGTCTGGCAGACCCTTCTAATCGCTAGCGAGGCTATGTACCTGTCTTCTGGCCCACCAAGCTTCCGCACCATATTTCGCAAAGAGAATATTGTCCCGAAAATGAGCTTTGCATCGTCTTGCGCGCTCAGTCGAGCTGGACGAGCCCTCGCAGGACCAAGGTCGGGGGCAATGCCGTTGCTTGCTACGCTGGAGTCCGAGATTGGCCGTGTTGATGTACCTCCCGAGGAGACTGGACGGTCCTGCCTGGCCCAGAGTCGAGAATAGATGCATTCCGCTGAGGAGATATTAGCCTTGAGAGCCGACGTCTGCACTTTGGAAGGCACAACTGTCACTTACTATGCCGATCGAATATGTAAAAGCTATAAACAACCATGATGTGATGTCTGGATAACAGCAGAACGACAGAACGGTGGAACACTGTCACTTCTCACACCCTCAAACGAGCGCGAGACTACAAGCCGAGGAGCGCGAGACCGTCGACCACACTACCCTTTTCGCTTGGCGGAATAAGCTTTCGCCAAGCCCCGGCTACTCAAGTCCCTGGTCACCGCGTTGTTATCAGCCTCACCAAGGCGGTACCCGAGCTGATTCCGACTTTTTAGAACGCCTTATCGATTGTTTAGTTCCCCTCCAACATTTCAGCCTTTACGATCATGCAGAACAGCTTATAACCACGTCAAATATGGTTTCTCTCGCCGGCGACTGCCAAGCACCGGGGCATGCGGGGGATATATCTACAGAAGAAGCAGAGGCGGGCATCCTTCCATCACATGGTAATAACTTCTTGCAAAGACCCCAATACACATTTCCCCGCAGTTTGATAACAATTTCCAAAGGCATTTCTTTGGATATTCAGGGCAATACCGAAGATGGCCGGCCACCGATCATCCACCACCTGTGAGTACCCTCTTATATATTCTCGATCAATAAATCATTCCTGAACGCTTGGGTCTGACCCCTCCTCCAGCTCTGCTCCCGCCTACCAAAGCCCGCTCAGGCACCATTGCCGTCAACCATCCCACCACAGAGAAATTAAGGAGACTTTAGATGCGAGATCAGAGTATACGAACAACGAAGAAGATGGCAGGGCCGAGCACCGTATCAACCAGTACATAATCAAGGATGAGATCGGGCGGGGTTCTTTTGGTGCCGTCCACCTAGCAGTTGATCAATATGGAAAGGAATATGTAAGCAAACCAACCACCTTTCGGCGTAATTGAGCTAGCCGGGGTATGGAATGATATAGAGTCCTAATAACAAGGTATTAGGCAGTTAAAGAGTTCTCAAAATCCCGACTCCGGAAACGAGCACAATCGAATATTCTTCGGAGACCTCAAGGCGTTAGAAGGCCGGGGCATTTATCAGCGGGACTGAGCTTCAATTCTCCTTTGCATCGGCATTCGGCTTCCGATATTCACAATGGGGAAGTGAAAGGCAATCCTCTCTACCTCATCAAGGAAGAAATTGCTATTATGAAGAAGCTTGACCACCCGAACCTAGTCGCGCTCATAGAGGTGTTAGACGACCCAGTAGAAGATTCTCTATACATGGTTCTAGAAATGTGCAAGAAAGGTGTTGTCATGAAGGTCGGGCTCGGTGAAAGGGCAGATCCTTATGACATAGAAAATTGTAGATGTTGGTTCCGAGATCTCATTCTTGGGATCGAATACCGTAAGTTTCCCAGCTCGGCCTAGTAGATAAAATTGCTAAAATTTCATAGTTCATGCGCAAGGTGTTGTGCACCGAGATATTAAGCCCGACAACCTCCTCCTAACTGAAGATGATATTCTCAAGGTGGTGGATTTTGGAGTTTCTGAGATGTTCGAAAAACATTCTGAGATGCTCACTGCTAAATCAGCTGGATCGCCAGCCTTCTTGGCCCCAGAACTGTGCGTTACAAAGCACGGGGATGTTTCGGGCAAGGCGGCTGATATCTGGTCGATGGGGGTCTGTCTTTATTGTCTCAGATTTGGTAGGATCCCTTTCGAAAGCACTCAGGTTCTAGAACTCTACGAATCTATAAAAACCGATGATTTTGAAATAGAGCCGGGGAATGACCCTGAGTTCTGTGATCTGTTGAGGAAACTTTTAGAGAAGGATCCGAAGAAACGGATTACCATGGTGGAGCTAAGAGTAATCATATATCGTCCAACCTTTTCGAACTAGACTAATATATTTAGGAACATCCTTGGGTCACTAAAAACGGAATCGACCCCCTACTGTCTGCGGAGGAGAATACTGCAAATCTAGTGCAACCGCCTAGTGAAACCGAGGTGAACCATGCTATCACCGGGAAAATGAGGAACCTGTTGACCATGGTCAGTTCTGGCATCGTGCTCTACTTCAATTTTCTTCGTACTAATTGAATTCAGATGCAAGCGGTAAAGAAGTTTAAGAGTCTACTAGGAAGATCTAGACGACCGCAAGGTCTATCGGACGCCCTAGGACAAGGCGCTCGTATATTTCCAGCATCAGAACCAGTATTTCATAGAACAAGCAGTTTTGACCTGCATGATCGCAGGGCTGTTGAGACTGCTCTTGCTAGTGAGGGCGTTCATCATGATGTTGTCTCTTCAGATGCCAACACTCCTAAATCCATGGGAAGCCGGATCGATACTTCTGTGGTCGTGATGAATGAGCCCCAAGCAGGTTCTTATGATGGTCATGGGAAGGGTCTGACGCCCAGGCGCATTCCCTCTGACGAAATTCCTGGACCCTCGGGTCCTGATCCCCAGCGAGGCGATTCCTCCGGTGAGAAAGGCCATGCGCATGACCCATTAGACGGAGAACCGTTGTTCCTTGGCGTGGGCGCTGGAGTGAACAACTCTCTGGCAACATCAGAAGAGAATTTCGTCGCAGAATCACCAACTGCAGCGGATTTCAATATCTATGACACTGCATATCAAAAGGAAGTTGAGCGAATTCGTGCAGCTCAAGGTCACGCGGTAAAACTGTATCTGACACGACGGGTGGATGGCCAACTACAATACAAAGATGATAAAAACCTAATCGGTCAGCCCACTAGCCCTCAGGCTTCCGGTACCCACGAGGGTTTTGGAGGCGCCTTTAAGCGTGCTCGAGAGAAAGGCGAAGCGTCTTTTGGCGGTGACGAAATGGTCATTACAAGCAGCACGTTCGCTGATATTGCTTCAAAGGCGATCGAGAATTCGAAGATAGCCGGAAAGACACCTAATGATAAAGGCGAGCTTGCTCTTGACAACCTTATGCAGAGGGTGATGGGGAAGCCGAAATGAGATGACTAACGGAACGGGAGTACGAGGAGTTTCAACAGGTTATTTCAGTTTACGTGGTGGGAGGGACGGATAAGGACTATTACCAAGGTTTCTGCAGATGGTAACGGAGCTGGGGTTCAAGGTTCAAGCAAGCTCAAATAAGATTATGACAGTACTAGATGAGTTTGAGATCAAATTTTCGAGCTCATTCAGTGCTATTGCTATCTGGCTAATGGTTCCTCATCCAGGCAAGAGGCTTCACACCTTGCCTGAAATACCACCAATTCCCACTTGGCCACCCACGAGATATTGTCATTGCTCTATTGCAGGGCATCACCCTTCATCGAGAGCACCAAACGCCCGGTCACTGTAATTTATTTGCTCTCCTCCCGGTCCAACAGAATATCTTCTAACCCTCAAAACGCCCGTAGTGGTATCATCTGTATAACCCAATAATCATCCGTCCCTTTACTCTTTTGGCTTGATATCGTATTTCCTCGTCAACCCATCACTACTAGTCACTTGAAGCACACCCTCTACACCCACAGCTCACACATTCCACATTCTGGCCCTCCTTTATCTGCGCTTTGGGAACGCGGCAAATGCAAGTAGCGTTAAAGTTCGTCTCCTTCGTCTGGACGCATCGTAGACAGCACAACTATAAAATCTCCCGTTAGCAAATATACCCTATGCTGCCACCCTGTCTATCCACAAAACCGGAAAAGGAAGAATGATATTACATACCTTCTCATACCCAGTCTTCTTCCACTTAGCAATCAACATCGCATCCGCATATCCATTCTTCAGTAGCCAGTCATACAGTTCCTTGCTGATAGCCTCCTTCTCGTAGTACAGCTCGTACACATATCTGCTCCGCTGATGCGAGATTTGGAAGATGGGCCAGAGGGCCTGGTGGCGTGGGGTGTTGCTGGATTCTGCGTTTTCCGCATCTTTCATCTTGTTGCTGAAGATTAAGAGGTCATCTTCGATATCGCTGAAGCCATTTGGGGGCGCTTTGCGTTTTGAGGCATGGCGGATTGCTGGCATTTTTTGAAGATTCCCTGCCGAAGGCGAGTAATGGGGACTGTTTAAGGTATTCGTGGTTATGAGGAAATTATTCGTGTCTTTTTGGTGGAGGTTATGTCGAGTATGGAGATAGAGGGAGAGTCGATAGCTTGGATGTGGCGGGGTTCAAGAAAGATGAGCGAGATTTCTCAGCCTCGTACTTAGCGTCACGTGCTCTAGCTCTGTCGACCTCCAGCTCGTCCAACCTCGACCGACCTCACCACCCGAGCTAAAGAACCCCAGGAGAAGGTCACCACAACGATATCCATACAAAATGGTGATCAATCCCACCTTGCTTGCGCAGCGTACGCGGCAGTGTTAGTGCCCTCCCCTTCAAGTCCAAATTGCGTGTGCTAACAGGGTGTCTACAGCCGTCAATTGGAACGATGCGAAACGGAGAGTCTTGAAAAGCTACCGGGAATGGGCTCGTGCTGTATGTGCTTCCCGACCTTACAGTAGATGTTTAGCATGTTTCTGTGTGCAATTGGCCGCCTAGGGGCTTTTACATGATGGACCGAGGCTAACGGATTGGTTCTACATAGGCACCGGAAATCCAGACTATGTACCAGCTCAGCATACCGGTGGCAGAGATACGGACGAAGATAAGGCAGGAGTTTGAGCGGCATCGATATGTTAAACAGCTCTCTGTGGTGGATGTTTTACTATTCCAGAGCCATGCGGAATACCAGGTGGGTTTTTAACTTCTTTGCGGAATTACGTATATCGGACAATGGCGTTACTTGCGTAATGGTTTTGCAATAGCATACTGTTTCGATTATGAGGACGGATACACTGTCTATACAATTTGCTGGGCTGAATTAAAGTGGGAGAATCTATGCTGACACAATTGGTTCGACAGGAAACACTGAACTACTGGAAACAAGTTCCTCACGTCTTAAAGTATTTCCGCGCAAAGGAGGATCTGAACGGGCAACTTCCACAGAATTTCATGCAAGGTTTCTTAGAGGTATGCCATCGTTCATCAGGGAAACCCATCCGGAAACTAACTACCGGCCTAGGGACGCAACTGATTTTCTGGTCCACTTTCCATATCACTGTACATAGCTCAAATAAACTGCGGCCAAACTCCAAATTTTCCATGCCTTTACGCCTTGAAATGCAGATCGAGTGGATCCCATTGCCCAGTCAGTTTCCATTTATGATTCCATCCGTGATACATTTTCCTCTCGGGCTGCCACGAACTTTTCCGCCACCACATCACAGAGATCCATCAAATCATTGAACCCTTTCTCTAATGCTTCGACAGCGGTTGTACCTTCTACGTAAATCTTAGTTGCAAAATCCTTGCCTATTGTTGAGACTTTTTCTACTAACCGTATGTTTGGATTCGAATATTCATGACCTCTTCGGAGGGGTGGGGGATGGAGTATCCACAGAATTCGACTTCCGGGCTGTAAAGACAATACGGTCAGCACCGGGTCTTTGACGATATAGTTCCCAAATGTTAAAGTAGTTCGGGAAACCGTAGCAGGGCGATAGTGAAAGACAAAGCTTCATACTTCTTCATAATGATATACCGCAGCGCATTTCCCAGCGTATGGTCCTCCTTCTGGAATTCAAAAGATGCGGCAGTCGCCAACGATCCAGGAAGCTGCAAAACAAACACTTAGCATGTAGTTCGGAGAGTCTTGAGGCGCTATGGAGCTCACAATTCGAATTCGCTGTTCCTCGAACGCTAACATGGCGGGGTCATTAACGTCTGCGACTGCGACCTCCGTATCAGCGGCGGGCACATCTCCCATAGAGACATCGGCATCAGGTTCCTGGGTTTTCTTTTTCGAAGACATGACTATGGTGTTTGGGGTGTATTGGGGTCTGGCGCATATCGCAATCGAAAGGCGAACAGTCTTCAAAAAAAGATGTCGCTTAGTAATACTCGATATCGACTATCGACAGCACTTTTTCCCACACCAAATCTAGTACGACACACAACCACCCAGTCGCTCCCAAAAGGCACCATCACATATTTTGGATTTCTACGAGTGACGAAAATCTATAATTTCGGGCTTATTGATGATCTTGACGTGAGATGCGGTGTTGGTTCTTAACAATGCCGAGAGCGCTTCGAGAGCGGCTACACCAGGCGTGATCGACGCTGATTTGCTAATTTGCTCCGAGCGAAGGTCACCGATCACTTATCGATTAGGATGATGAATGTTGGGATAGGACGTCATAGGGAAATCCTCCCTCCTTAAATCCCAAAGCGGAAGACGAACGTTACTCAATGTTTCCTACCGCGCGGCAAATGATAGCAGAGACAGATAACATTGGCAGACCAGGAGCACAAAACAAAAAGCACCGTACTATTGTTTTGGATCGATATTGGCAAAAATAACGTCAACCCCGGCGTCGCAATTCTTCGTCTGAAGAAATATGGCTAAGGATGCTGCGACTGGGTACTGCGTCGCAATGCGCGATCAAGTCCGTGTACCGGAATATCTTTGGGCATCGTCCCTACAATTTCGTTTGCGGCTCCTTGCGCTCCTCCGTTTGCCATATGAGACATCCCAAACAACGAACTCGGCTCTGATCTGCCAGAGCGAAACTCTGGTGCTGAACAAACGTGACTCTTCCAGGTCGTCCTTCGCAATTTCTCACGCGTCTGGAGCAGAAGGTGGGTTGATTGGAGGAGTGTGCTGAGCCGCGTTTCACTGAAGGCGGGCTCAAGGCGACCTGGTTGGCTCGACGCTTCTTCCAAACGCGACCAGGGATGCAATGCAAAAGGCGTAACGCAGTCTGAATTTCCCGTCAGGGGGACTTCCTGTCAAGTCAGTGCGGTGGCTCCGGAGTCCGCAAAGGGGCGTGTTCAAAGCGGGCAATAAACGGTTCGAAACACATTATTGCGAGGTTTTGCAGACGACAGGTTTGCCTCTTGAAGCTAAGAGCGCCTCCCAGACCGCAACGTTGGGGCATGTAACGTTCTGGCTTCAGATTCCGACTCGGGCTCAGATGCTTTATTCGATCCGGAAGAAAAGAAAGAGCCCCTCCTCCCCCATTTCTCCTTTCCTCCCTCTATTCCATGCGACCCGGCCGTACTCCCGAGTGGCTTGTGAGACTGCCGGCTGATCGAAGCACCTGATATTGACTGTCCAGCATCAAGTTACAAAATGCTGGTGCCTAAGGATGGGATTGATTGAGATACTGAGATTACGGAGTACATCACCGTTTCCAGTGCGATATAGATTAATCGGGAGGCTTTTAAGGTAGCCTTGTTACCATCTATGCAGGTCAATTAAATGACGGATAATATGGCGGTGCATGTTAGTTACATGGGGCCGGAATATTGAATTCAAAGATCACCCCAGAGAGATCTAGGGCTCGATGGGCCTGTAAGGTCGCTCGGAGGGCCGCTGAAACTCGAGACCCAACAGAACGGAATTGTTCTTGTTTGCCTCTGTGTCCGCACATCGGTTCCACGGGCGCCACAATTAAGGGCGAAGAAAAGGGCGACAGTATCACCCAGACTCTCAAAGCCATGCTCGGAGGTAATCCTCAGTCTTACTGTACGTAGTACACGAAGATGGGAGCAAGGTGCTAGTTGCTGCTCACTACTTGCTGCAGCGCTCCCAATAATCCTGCTCCCAGAGCGCTGTTCAGTGATTGGCATTCGCCCGTTGTCCTTGCACAAGAGCCACAGCGAGGTATCGGTGCTTTGCCTTTGGATCCTGGCAACCCTGAGCAGCCTGGCTCATCGCCCCTCAAGAACAGTGGTACCATCAGTCATACTGGCATACTGGCAAACCGCTCTGTCTTCTGAGAGGAATAGGAGGTGGAGCGCACGAGCAAAAGCAGGCCGTGTTATATAGATAATCCCGACCTTATTAATATCCACAGCCAAAGTCCAAACAAGAGGCCCTGGCCCCCACCAAACCGCCAAAACATCCCAAAACTGTCAAAAAAAGATATCAGACGCATCCATCAATAATCCTCCTGGCGAACCCCTCCCCTATCCACTCGACTCCGCCAGGAAGATGGGAAGGCTAGGGACGGTGGGACGCCGGAACGCTCGCAACCAGGGCAGATTATTACTCGTTCTGTGCTCGTATTATTCTTGTGGCAAAAACGTTACGGAGTACGAAGCACTAGGTACCTGGTACCAGCAGCGCAAGGCGAGTACGGGCTCCAAACTCTATTCCAGGAGGGAACTAGGGGTATTTGGATTATTCTTGACACTGTTTTGCAGGTTTGATTGGCAGATCGGGCCCTGAACCACACAGCTGCCAATGCTGCTGAGCCCGCCCTTCTATTCCCTTATTCCCTCCCCCCAAAACCTCCATTGTCGCGCTACAGAGGCCAGTTCAGGGGCCCCCTGTGCGCGCTCCCTCTTCGCCCTTCTTGATTAATATCAGACTATCAATCTCTGAAACACCTAAAACAACCTCGAAGTTTGATTCATAAAACCTGCATCCCGCCTGTGAAAAGACTGAAAAGCTACCGCCACCTCTTCCCCTCCCCCTCCATCGCCCCCTCTGCAACTCTTGCCTCCTGCTACTCACTCACTGTCGACTACCTCCCGTTGACATCGAAAGAACGAGGAATCTGGTGTTGGCCGTTGGCGTTGATCTCGGCCCTATCAGCTGTTTCAGCTTCCCAACAGACCTCGGGGAACTAACGATTTCCAACACGCCAGCAGCAGTTCGCTCTGATTTGGTGGCAGGTCCCTCGTGAACTTAAGTGGAAGAAAAGGAGGACACAGGCGACGCACGAAGCCGATTTCCACGAACAAAATAACCACATCAGATCACGAGAAACGTGGGAGGAAGCTGGACGCAGGAAGCAGCGCAGTTCGGCACCGTGTATTTGAAGCGCCGGGGCGTTTTTGCAGCGCTATCAATCCCCCACCCACAACACTCGTGCACTCTACCAAGGCACTATGAGTACCGCCATTGCGATGGCACCGTCGCCAGCACCTCACGATAGAGATAGATCCTCTTATGTCGATATTGTTGCTCCAGCACCATCGTCCAAATCCCCGCCAGCGCAGCGGACCTCTGCCTCGGCGACCCCGAATGTGTCAGCGCAGCGGACAGGGAGCACCAGTCCGAAGTCGACTCCTGCATCGAAAGGATCACCAACTGCGTACGTTTCATCCTCTAAACTTGATGGCATATTCGATAGTATTATATACTAACACCGCGATTTCTGCAGATCTCGAAATGGTGTTCCTCCCAAAATAATCGTGAAAAAGGAACCACCCTCCTCGCCCGATCTCCCAACCTCCCGCCATAGACCACGAAAGCTCGATCTGTCCAAAAACACATCCTCTGTCAATCCGGGCACCGCCAGACCTTCTGCAGGCCCATTGACATCAAGAGGAGAGAGTGGAGGACTCGCTATTCAGGACGTGGGATTGGCCTGTCTATCCCCTGGCTTTGTAACGCAGGATCCAACGATGAGGGAGCAACTGCAGCGGAGTATATCAGTCCGAGAGCAACAAAGACACATCATTGAGTCGAGGTTACAACAAACAGCCAAGCCAGGCGATGCGCCGACGGAAAGCGCAAAGGAGAGAGACTTTGGAGGCTTTGCCAAAACACCTGGCACATCGAAAAGAAAGGCGCCTCCAGGACTGAGCATTGTGGCACCATCGCACGAACAATTTGCCCATGAGAGAGTAATCCAATCCGCTCCACTCAATCAGAGTTTCACCGGACGACATCAACCTCATCCTTTGACGCGTCATATTGCGAATCAACCGTCGAATTTGTCCAATACCTCGCATATCCACCATGTCCCTGCAGCGCAAACAACCAACCGCTTGCCGCCCATTACGGATGTTTTCGCGGAGAATGGGCTAGGTCATCATCGTGAAACGTCTGGGAGAGCCTCCAATGTACAGAATAATTCGAGCTCGACCACAAATTCATCGCACTCAAATACGCGTCCCAATTTCCCATCGCCAGGCCATAGTCAACCCCAACCCCCGCATTCAGCGCGGCCCAGAGAATACCGGTCCGCTGAAGATGCACAAGTTGAGCTTGCAGGCGGTCGCCCTGAACTCCTGCCGAAGCTTGTCCACTATGGTGGCCACCAGCCTCCTACACCACCCTCACCGCTTACTGGCAATGCCATGAGACACGCGGAAACCAGCCGAAGCGGTGGTGCCAGGAGACGCACGAGGGCAGAATACGAAGAGGGAGCGAGCCCACCTCTAGGAAATGGACCGGCAACTTCTCGACGAGGACCATTCGGCGAGGGACGTGACAGCCCAATCACTCAACAGAAGAAGAAGGACGAATTTATCCAACTGTGTGCTCGAGCCTGGGATTTATTCCACTCGTGAACAGCCGAATGCGAAATGTTTTCACTAGAGACTCTTAATGCCTACGTGCTAGTTTGAAATTCCTTGGGCAATGGATAACTGAAGCACTTGTACGTATCCTCTTCGACTAGTATACCCATACAGTTCCCGTTATCATTCCCCACGGTTACTGTGTCAATTGACCGATCGCCACTATATCTATTCGATACATCTTATTTTCTTCATAATTTATCATCTGGGTGCCTGCTGGTCATAGGAAACTGGCGTTAATGATATGGAAAGGAAGGGCTCGGGTCGGGGATGAGGAAGATACAAGGAAGATGAGGGATGGGTATACGAAAGAGAAGGAAATGATGGATATGGTCTAATTCTTTGCTGCCTGCTTGCTTGCGCGCGCGCTTTCTCGAGCGCATGAGATCAATAGCTTCGCTATATATACGTGTATATATATGTCGTTGTCTACTTTTTATCTTTGGAAGAAGATAGGTTGGTCATGGTTTTGGAGAGCGATGGATGGACGGACGAATGAATGGGGCGTTGGTTGATATGGAGTGTTGGGTGTTGAGTGTATGTAAGCCTATGTCTAGGACGTAGTAGGTAGGACTTTGTGATCTGGAATCTCGATATACTTTTTTCCCCTATGGCATAGCAACATATACTGTGTGAAAACTGGAAATCCTAAGACTAGCGCCTGGACGCTTTTGGTATTCCCAATTTAGATTGAGATGTCTTTCGCTATCCTCTAATTAATTTATGCCAGTGAAGCGAGGACTTAAAGTTCGGCCCTTTTTGCCGCGAAACAAGCTCTCCCACTTCTAGAAATATCGAAACTTTATCTCAGGAAATATAGCTCATGCTGGGGCCCTTGCTAAGCTTGGACCAATGTAACTAAGCTTCAAGTCCCGGTTACAGAGATACAGGTTGGTTTCTATGGTATCTAAGCCCCCTAACCGAAACACCATACATAATTTCAAATCCATTTTTAGAGGGGTTTTAGATTATAAGAAAGTGTTTTGAGTTAGGGATATCTGAGGAGGCTGGTTTTATAGTTTAAATGGTTCTATATTTCAAGACGAGCCGTGAAGATGAAATAAATGGGTAAAATGTTAACCCGCGCTTAATTGATTTTCGCGTGGATGAAGAAGTATGGGGTATATTCATACATGGGGTTGTTTTAATGTACAGGGGAGGAAGGAGTGGTTCAAGGGGAAGAGGGAAGGATGGTGTGATAAATATACATTTTAAGGGGCGCATTTCATCATGCAATAGGCGAGCGGGGAAAAGGTGACGAGAGAGAAATAAAGGGGTGCACCATTATGCAGGTTCTCATCGAGTATAGGTTTGGAATATTGAATGTAGGTTCGTTATATTCATCTTATTCCACTCATCTTCCTTACTTCCTCTCTTGCTCTCTGTCTGCTTCTCCTTTATTCGAGACACATCATCATCCTCTACATCCCAATTCTCAGGTTTCCCTCTACTTGCATATTCACAAAACGTCCCCCCCTCTTTATGTCCTATGTGACGGAGGTCGATAAAGGCTACCCAGAGCATAACAACCTTAAACCCTCACCCCACCGCTCCTATTCTTAAACGATATCGACGAGTAACAAAATCGACATCTAGCTCCCAGAAAATACAGAATGTCAAGATCAAGCCCTATCCATGCACATATGCATTTCCAGAGCTTTCCTTTGAAACGTAAAATTTTGCACTTGCATTTTCATCCCCCCCTTCAACAGCAACCCCTCATGTGCATGTAAAACAATGCAAAAACAAACATCATGCCTAATTAAAAAGTTCTTAATTCCCAAAGCAATTGCATTCGCAGCTACGTTCTTTTGTAGACGCAGCTATATCTTGCACCCGCCGCGCTTTCCCAGTTTTGCGCCTGCATTGCTTGCTTGCTAAATGTCACTAGGAAAAAAAAGCAATAATCAAACAAACCAGCCGGCATTACTTTATTTGCTTGATGCAGAGATATAAGTAATCAAGCTTTTAACGCCATCTAACTCCTCTTCCGCCGCCGGTTCCGCGCTGGAAAAAATCATGCTAGTAAACTGTCCCTTCCCCCCTGCCAAGCAAGCCATTTGCTATTTCACTCTACTCTAATTCGTTGAGTCGTCAAGGCGTTATCTATGTGTGAGATGGAAATCCGTTGAAGGATGGGGGCAGCTGAGAGAGGTCGAGGTATGTTGGTTATGCCTCGAGCTTATATCTCCCAGCCTACTCGTGCTAGAAACCTTCCTCGCCGGCCTTGCATAGCTTTATCTCGCGGCCCCATTCGGACTTGAGGACTTGCGATGCTGTAATCCGACGACCTGGATTCGGGTCTAATATGGAGTAGATAACATTACGGCAGCGTGCCTGGTATATCAGTTAGCACCCCCAGTTTGTGGGGAAAAGAGGCCATTGAGAGCTTACCCGATGCAACGACTCAATAGGACCATATCCCGCCTCATCCCTCCTCCCTTCCAAGTACCGCTCATAGAACTCATCCTCATCCTTCTTAGCGACGCGCCATAGGTGACGGCCCGTACGCATAGCCATGTAGATGACGCCTGTGGCCCAGACGTCCACAGCTCTTGCATCGAATTCCTTGTCAACGTATTCTTCAGGGGCAATATATGGAGCAGAACCACAGAGTCCAGACACCATGTGTGGGTCAGCCTCCCAAGCCATGCGGAAACACTCGCCATTGCCGAAATCCGTGATCTTAAGAGAGCCGCGGGTGGTGAGAAGGAGGTTCTCGGGTTTTAAGTCCCGATGAGCGACACCCATTTCGTGCATGTATTCAACTCCACGCATTAGCTGCTTGAAGAAGCAGTCTGCTTCAAGGACTTCAAGTTTGCCGGCTGCAAGAACGAGGGTGTAGAGGTCTCCACCAGCGCAGAATTCCATGACTTCACAATAGTCTCCCTTTGAATCCTGGAGTAGATCGAGCGTATGGATGACATTAGGGTGTCGTAGGGAGGACGATATGCAAAATTCGGATGTAAGCCTTTTGCTGTACTTCTTCTCACTTTCGTCGGGCCGGCGACGGAATTCTTTGACGGCATAAAGCTGTTCTCCAACCCCATTCTCACCACGCTTGTGCGATATCCTGACAACACCAAACGCTCCACGACCCACGACCTCCTGGCACTTGCCGTACTTCTCTGCCAGTGTTGCCGTTGTAGTTGGGCCTCCTTTCTTGTCCGAGGCTAAGGTGTCGCGCTCGCTCTTCAGCTGGTCGACCCATGTTGACATGAGGGACAACTGCTGCTCGCCTTCATGGGCCTGATGTTCAGCATTTTTCTGTCGTCCACCAATCACACTTCGCAGCATGTCCGACAACTTCTCCTGCCGCCTGGCGCTCTTAAGATGGTGCTCATGGCCGCCCTGGACATCGGGGTTGAGGACAAAACGCAGCGAGGGAGCATTTGCCCCGGGCTTCTTGTGAGGTGCCGTGGCGGGTTTCTGCGGTTTGGTTTCTGGGTGTGCTGCTCTTTCAGCGGAGGAAGAAGCGTTGCGGGACGGCGGTTTCGGTCTCGAGGCGATTGTCGACGTGGATGGAGCAGGATCGGGCTTTGTTTTTGGCGTCGAGATGCCGGAGGGGACTGCGGACGAATTTATAGACACATCGGATCTCGTCGCATCCTTCGTGGAGAACATTCGAGTGAGGCGCTTTGTCATCGACGTCTTCTCTGATGGAGTCGGGGTTGGCGCAGGGGTTGGCACCTTCTGTGGCTCTGCTGGTGGCGCAGCATGGCCATTTGCGGCGAGCTTGTTGATGCCATTCTGACCGTTGACGTCGGCGTTGACCGGGCGGATTTCTGGGGAGCCGATGGACGAGGAAGCTGAGGACGCGGGCGGCGATGGGCGCGCCTTGTCACTATTCAGCGAGTCCCGCGGGGGGTTGATGGTAGCCATGATGGGAGACAAGAGGGAGCGGGCGAGTTCGAGTTGGAGTTGGAGTGGGTATTGGAGTTGCGCTGGGCCGATCTGGACAAAGCCGGCGAGGGCGAGCACACACACACACACGCACAACTTTGCGCCTGGTAGCTTTTGAGTGGCCTGCGGTGCGGTTGCAGTGCGATTTATACGCCCGCCAAAGCGGTATGGCAATCGCCCAGGAGATCCTCCCGGCTTGAACGAGTTGCAAACCCGCGAGTGGCCTGCTTTTGCAACGCAAAACGCGCTGTCTGGCTGTGTTGAGCTTGGAGGTGGGACAGCAGGTCTGCGGACGGAAAGGCGAGGGCGAGGGCGAAAGGGAAAGTTGTTTATTAAGAGATTTGCTGCGTGTGGTGGGGGGGGGCCGCGGTGGTGGTGGATTTTCCTGGGCTGGGCAGTGGCCACCAGGCTTACTCAGGATGTGGTTTTTGTGCGAGCTAAGTAAGGTTCACCCCTAAGACTTAAGGTTACCTAGGTCACAAGCCCAAGAGGGTCAAGAGGCGAGAGCAACGGGGACGGTGACGGGGACGGTGACGGCGGCGGAGGGCTTGGGAGGAGCCGTCATGGCTGGTGCAGTAGCGGAGATTAGAGGAGAGAGGGAAGAGACGGAGCGTTGAGTTGAGGAGGACGGTAGCTGCGGTAGTTGCCAGTAGTTGCAGTGGTTACAGAGTTGCAGGGTTGAAGGGTTGAAAGAGTTGAAGCATAGCGGGAGGAAGAGATAATAGAGTTACGGAGTAAGGGGCAGTGCAAAGGAGGAGGCCTGGTAGTGCAAGTGAGTTGCCCCTCTCCCTATATGTCTGTCTGTCTATCTCTCTAGGTAAGGTGAAGTATGTATATACCTGTCTATGTGTCTTCTAGGTACCTTATGTAGGTAGGTAAGTATGTGTCTACTATATGTCTTATCTCGGGTTGTGGCTGCTCCGCTATATAGCGAAGTCTGCGAGTGCTTTTGTGCTTGTATGAGGGATTTATTATTATTGACCAATTCCCGGATGCACTTATCTCTTATTGGGCCTCGGTTACATCTGTTCCGCGGGGCAATACGTATTAGCATTGAATGATAAGCTGCAAGCGGAACAAGTACCACCCGCCACAACATTTGCGTCGACGGTACTTCGTACTTATACTTCGGTTGATATTACTGCTATTACTGCAACCACGACAACTACATGTCCATATACATAGGTATACAAATACAAATACAAATACTCATACCCACAGTTGGCCCTCTCTTTATCTTCACGGCTTGCCTCCTTCCATGCAGCCGCTGCCGCTGCCGCTGCCACAAATGCACTCGCAGTGCAGATGCACACCCGGGTATGTCAGCGTTGGAAAGCAGCAGCATCGCCCCACCGTCCTCGAAGTCGCAGTGCCGTAATAAGTCTTTGGTTACAGTGGGAGTGGAAGTTGCACTTGTAGTTGCAGATTGCGACAAGTCGCTTCTCTTCCACAGCACTCACAGCACCCACTGCACTCCCTCGTTAGCATTACACACACCACAACCCGCTGGATGGCATCAAATGACCGTTGCGCAGGCCCGCGACCCTGACGACTGAGAAAAGAAAAGATGCAGGTACTTGGAGTACGAAGTATCAATATCCTCGTGCCCATACGTATCACCAGACCGTTATGGCTCCGGTGTGCGATGTGCTGTGTGCTGTGCCACACATGATATTATGCTTCACTCATGTCTAGCAGCGTTCAACGAGTCCCAGTATCTGATACATCTCTGGGCACTGTACGGACGATTTAGCCACAGACCCGGCGTTGCCGCTGCTGACGCGTAAGTACTCGAGCCAAGCGTTGAATATTTCTCTCAAGACATTTGATCACTTGTACGCCGAGGCTATTATTACATCAAGACATCGAGCGATGCACTGCAAATCCGGGTACGATTGGAAATACCTGGACCTATCCACAATCCATATCCACAAGTATGATGCATGGCGAGTTGGCCCGCAGCCGGATTCGGTAGATTTGGCCCAATAGCACCAAAAAGCCAACGAAACAGCAACCTGGCGGTCTGCCCGATAGGTCTTGAGCATTACATCGTGGCCTTTGAACTTGTCTCAGCGTTCCTTGGCTCCTCCATAAGCAGGAACACGCCCTTCCCAGTTACCTATTAGGCTTTACAGAGTACCCCGCAGTACCAATATGGTGCAAGACAAGAGCAGAAACAGAGCACATATCGAGATATCTTGTTATTGGACCGGCCAACGCTGCTTTTGTTACCATTACTCGTTACCGTGTGCCTGGGAAGGGATGTGATGCCGCGACGGATGTCTTACTTCCAGGGGTGGTTTTCGACATCAAGGGCAAGCCACACAGCTACCCAAGGCATGCAATCCGATTGCTACGCTGCACTTCATCCACTGTTTCCGTAGGCCCAAATTGCTATGGCCCTCCTTATCGTTGATGCTGATGCGTGTGCTTGTGCGGGAACCTGCAGAGTAGTGCAGATGTCCCCACTCGAGACTCGAGAGGAATTCGCGCAAAACGATCATCGGCCTTGATATCCGTTGAAGGGATTGGACCTGTCTATTTCAAGTGGATACGAAAACTCTATACTATAACAAATCTAGTTGCCTGTCACAGCTTGAGGGATGCTATTTTGTGGGACCGCTGGGACGGTCAGTGATCTGGCTCTTTTAGCACCCACGTCGCTCTTGACCCTTAAAGCGCCTGTAAGTGGCCGCTCCGATTTTATTCTGCTCATTATCTTAAAAATCCGAGTTCTTTTTATCCGTGCAATATTCGACCCGCATTACAGAGGAAATATAAGGGATAGAACGGAGCCTAGCGCTCCAAGCACAGTCTGTCCACCCTTATTTCTCGTCTCCGCCGCAAAATAAAAATCAATAGGGGGTACAAGGCTAGCTGAATCTTTTGAGGAGGGTCGTCGAATTTTTCCCGTGGATGGTTGTCAGATCTAGGGTCCATTTATCTTCCACAATCAGCAATTCCAAGACTCCAAGCTTTAATGGCTGCGGGACAAGAAAAAGCTTGTTTGGGCGGTTTGCCCCTCCTTCACGTACTCGTACTGCGCGACGTTTTATAATGATCAAGGAACCATCACAGCACAACACATTCAAAACTGCACACCAAGAAAATAATGATGCCATCATTGCATCACAGCCTGGAATTCCCTTCTTTGTCAGTGGCCGACTGCTATTTCCGAAGCTGCACAGCAGTCTTGGTTTTATGCCGCTTTATAGAAAGCCAAGCGAGGTAGATAGGCATATTGTGAAACTCAATACAGTCACTCCAGTCCTTGCCATGGAAAGGATTTACCATGTACCCTACAGTTGACGTCGCTCGGTTGCACAATTACTAAAATGGGACTGATACAGAACACCACCACGAACGTAAGGCTACCGGGACAAGGCTCAGTACTCAAAACGCCGACATCCATCGAGCGAACGAATAGGCACGTTCTATGTGGGGAGCTTCCCATTCGATATTGGCTTACCATGCCGAGCCTGCCTTGCAGTATCAAACACACCGACTCTTTCCAATATCAAAGGTAATAATACGTAATATCCCTTCTCCCGCCGCCCTGGTAGCCCACCAAACATGCTAATCTTGGACCAGGAAGGCATAATTTCATTGAATGCTACCCCGAGCTCTCTATTTCACATGCCTCCGCAATAACCCGATAACACAACTGCCTCTATAGCGCATCGTTCTCGCCGTTCACTAGCAGGTCCCGAAGAAATCAGGCAGCGGAAGCCCTCCCGCTACCCCGCGCTCTTCAAGCTCTGTCAGCCCTTTCATCCCATGTCCTCGCCATACCGGGAATATCCCATGTCCTATCGCCGGTGATGGGCATATCTCGTGCTACACCACTATCCCTATCTCCAACCCCAGCCTTCTTGCCCATGGGATAAGAGTCACCACTGTGCAACTCCTCGGCCTCAACCTCGAAGTTGTAATCACGCCAAAAGTCTCTCTTGCCCCTACACAAGCGCTTCAGCCAACCAGGCAATAAGCCACCGCGCACTTTATACGTCCAGTAGTCCTTCTGTTCATAATCAGCTGGGATGATCCGTCCGGATGAGGCTTTAGCTAGGATCCAGGCACCGCTATTCAAGATGGCATACGTGATGATTCCCGCGATCAAGCCGTATGCAATGGAATATGTAAAGGGCATGATAATCATAGTGAGGAAGGCCGGTACAGAGTCGCCAATGTAGCGCCAGTTGATATCGGTTGCTGCCCTCGCCATCATACAACCCACGAGAATCAAGGTACAACCTGTCGCCCAGCTGGGAATGCTGGCGTAGATAGGAGCGTTGAAGATGGCAATGAAGAAACAAAGACCTGTCGTACAAGCAGTGATGCCCGTGGCGCCACCTTCGGAAATTCCAGCTCCAGACTCGATGTATGCTGTTACGGGAGGGCTGCCGAAGAGAGATCCGATGGTTATCCCGGAGGCGTCGACGATATATGCCACCGCGCTGCCTTCAAAGTCCTGGGTCTCCTCATCCATGGCGCCACAGAACCGTGCCATTGAGTACAACGTCCCCGTACAGTCAAGAATATCGACATAGAGGAATGTGATCAGGGCCACGGCGAAGTGCTTGAAGTGATCGGCGCTGAAGATATTCCAATCTTGCGCACCGAGGACGTGCGTGATGGGATGAAAATATACGACCTTCTTGAAGTAGTCGAATTTGAAGTCGCCGAGCTCTGTGCGTGGAAAGTAGGTAACGGGCGTGTCTCGCGGCCAGGAGATGATTGATACAAGGAGGATTCCGGCGATAATTGCTCCCTTGATGCGGTACAGCATCAGGAAAGCGGTGAACACTCCTCCGCAGAATATCCCGATCCACATCGTTGGACTTTTCATCCTCCCCGATGTGCAAGTTCCATCGGGCCCTCGAAGCTCTGGAATACAACCGGCAAGCTGTAACGGATCGGCGACGCCTCCAGTTATGGCGCCGATTCCAGCGTTGTAGGTAAGTCCGATGAGAGCCAAGTACAATCCAATCCCCGCTCCAGTGGCAATCTTCAAGCTAGAAGGTATCATCCGTGCAAGCCACTGTCTAAGTCCAAAGATAGACATGATGACAAAGATCAAGCCTTCGAAGAAGATAGCTGTTAGAGAAAGACGGTAGGACACCGAGCCTTGACCATGGAACCCCACTACTTGGTATGTGAAATATGCATTCAAACCCATCCCCGGTGCAAGTGCAATGGGCATGTTGGCAAAAATACCCATGCAGAAACTGGTGAGAGCTGCGATTGCAGCGGTGGCTGTGACTAGGTCGCGGTTGATTTCTTGAACACATTTGTCGTATGCTGCTGTTGACGGATTGTGACTGTCCAGGCAGAAAGGGTCATTGGCGCTTGTGTTTGGTTCACAGACACATGTTCCTCCGCTATCTAGACCTGGCTTAGCACACCCCCCTTTTTAATTAAAGCATCGGAGCATAGGGACGGCTTACCTGCTGTAATAGCAGCATTCACTGATATGATATATGCCATGGCAAAGAAGGTCGCGATGCCAGCTCGGATTTCTGTCAAGAATCTTGAACCCTTTCGCTCTTTTGGGTGGCCTGAGAATTCAAGGCGGAATCGCTTTCCTATTCTGCTTTTGGCTACCGCCATGTTTGTTTTCTCAACCTGATATTTTTATCCAGCGTTAGAAAAGGTGAGGACTGAGGGGTATATGGATAGTATGTACCCAGCCCATGATGCTCTATGATAGACGGGATCTCTCGATTTCTTATTTCAAGGAAGTTCTTAGGTTTGTGCTTTCATCAAGCTGGATTAAGTTGTCCGAATCTGAGGATTTTGGCGTCTTGCCACCCTGAGAGTCTTCCCCCGTAACCATATGTGAGATTTGTTTGACAAACCTCTCTCGAGCACTCGTCTCTTAGCGGAGATGATCTTGGACGTACCCGTTGCAATCTGTTTGTGAGTTTATCGTCCAATGATTCCGACTAAAGGGTTGTTGTCACGTTCCAATGGCTATGTGGTGGGATCGAGAAGGAGAGAAGGAGATCGCGAAGAAACAAATATATCCCTAGCAATACGTGCAAACTGCCCGATAAAAGGAGGCGGTAGAGAGTTTATGGGGGTGGAGTGGGATTGCGTGATAGATAGATTTAAATATTGGGTTGGAAGGAAAATCAGACGAGGATGAAAGGCTGTGAGACACAGGCCTATCTAAACGCTCATAGGAAATAGCAATACCCAGGAACAAATATCTACAGTACCATATCATGGCATAGCCACGCCTACCTCTCAGGCTCTAGGCTCCATCCGTGGGGTATGGGTCCCCCTTCGCCTCCCCCGATACAATATGCAAGTCTGGGGGCTACCGAAGCTGCTGCTGCACCGTTTCTATTGTTCAACGTTGCACGACTTCCCTTTCCCCACTGCCATGGATGGATTTGAGTGGATGGCTATCCGTGTAGGTGTTACGTCTTTGTCGCTAGATATGGAGGGGGTTTGATTTAATATAAAACTCTGGTATTTCTGTGATCCCCGGGTAGCTTCGTTACACTGAAAGGAAAGACCTGGGGGGGAGGGCGGATTACAGGTTTGAGCGGGCATGAATGATATGGGGTGCAGAGCTCCTGCCATGGCATCAGGGGCGTAGCTATAATTCGGGCGCCGCAAAGCCATGTATCGTGCTATGATACCCGTTGTTTCCTATAGTGTTAATATGCATAGCGACCAAATATTGATTTCTTCGATATGAAAGATATTAGCAATGCATGGGTTCTCGCATACTAAGCAAGTAGTACATGTCCTAGGAAAACCATACATTTCCAAAGACGAGACGAAAGACATACCCATACTACCTTACAAGTTACATCTTCCACATGCCTAGATCTAGAATCTATGGAATACTTTTGGTGGGAGGGTCATACAGCTTAGCGGATGTGACCATGGCAACGCACGGAAGTTACCTAGAAGGGTTTTGCAGCAAACATTAGGAAGGAGGAAGGGGGATGGGTGGGCGGATTGTTTGGACTTGTATCGCGTTCTCTTTGTGTGCTCTCTGCCTGTTTCTTATAGTGTTGGTGTGGTCACTACATTGGCTGTTGGTTGCATTGCGGTACGGAGTGTATGGATATATCCACTATGAAGCAGGTATATAGCATGTTGAGATAGAGTGGTGTAGCTGCAGCAGCTGGCCGTTGAAAATGGCTTAATTGAGAAGCTTGGTAATGACAGGTGGAGGTATTTAGAGGCTGTACATAGTACAATATGCATATGTAGTTGTTTAACTGGTTGGTCAGATATCTGGTCAGTGAGATTTGGTACCCAGGAACTTGGGATGATGTCCGTCGAGCACGTTCTTAGATATGCATCCATAGGTGATCACCGACGGCACACGCGTACGGGTATACATACCCCTTAGTGGGAAAATCCAGGGGCGTGGGAAAAGGTAGAGTACGATGTAATCAGATAACATGACAAGAGATCAGAGAAGATTATCAGCGAAGCCGTTCCCCCATCTACATAGGAGTCCGGTACTGTACTACCCTTTAGGTGCCAATGTCCGATGTCCGGTATAAAGGACTGGTCTTATGGTTGGATCTTGGATATTTCCCTTTTTGTGGCCCAAAGGAAAAATAATATAGTGGAGGCTTATTATTTAACTGGTGCGTGTGTTTTTGTGGGGAGTTCTTGAACGAAATGAGGAATGGGAGGAAGAAGGGTGTGGTAATATAGATATAGTATAGAGTGTTAAATAGGCGTATGATGGTGGGATTGGGAGGGTGAGGATAGGGGGGCGTAAATGTGGGAGGTTCGAGATGGAAAATAGTAGATGCAAAATTTGAGGACGAGCTCAGTTTTTTTACAGTGCCTTCACAACAATATTTGGTTTGTTGTACCCAGTCTCAAGATAATAGAGCGCCACATAATACCAGCGAAGTTGGTATCACATATGCTTAGGCACTCTTTGACGACCAAAGGAAAGATTCATGGCTATCGAGCGAACAATGCGATGATTTTCTATCAGTTTTCTTCATCTATCTCTTTAGAAGTGCAAGCATGCATGGTTAACTTGCCATGAGCCTGAACATAAACCACCCCTTTAAAGCTCAACTCCGACAAAAACGCTTAACTCTCACAGGATAAAACGCCGCCGACGCCTTTTCTTATATGCCAGTTTGTTTTCCATACAGTCCCTTAAGCTATTTAAATGTAAACTTTTGCAACGTCAATGGATTCTATCACTCGAGAAATGTAAAGAGATTCGTGTGCAGGATGTTCATAGCCCTCGTCGCTTCGTAGGCGTCGATTACGCAGGATATGTTGATCTCGCTCGCACCTGGGATTGTCAGCACTCGCTCGTTCATTGATATAATGCAGGCCAAATTTATATTATGGTTGAATGGTTAAAGGAAGGGATGGGAAACGCTTACCTTGTGATATCATTTCAATATTTACATGGTTTTCTCCAAGCGTGGAAAACATATGACCAGCAACACCGATCATATTCTTCATTTCTGCGCCCACTAGGGAGAGAATGGCCATATTATTTAGAACGCTGACCTCGCCACACTGCTCAAGATCTGCTTTTGCTTTCTGTAGCTCGCCATCGGGAATATTGGCTGAATGGATTGCCATCGAGACGTGAACTTCACTGGTGGAGATGAGGTCAACTGATAGCTGTCGGCTGTCGAGGATGGAGAAGACTTTGGCGAAGAATCCGTGCGAGATGGACCGCTTGTTTGAGTGGACATTGATAACGGAGATTTTGTCTTTAATGGTAACGGCGGTCGGCCGCTTGGGTGATTTCCTCAGACTCAAAGAGCTTGAACTCCTGGAATGTGAAAGTCGATGGGAGTCCAATTTCGGATCGGGCAAGATGATAGTTCCGTTACCCTGGGGGTTCTTGACGTTCTTGATCCGGATTCGAATGGGTGGTGTTGCGTGGATGGCTTGGTCCATCGTCAGGTGGTGGATGACTTCGGAGCCGTAGAACGTCAGCTCGGCGGCTTCAGACGGAGTAATAGTAGGGAGTAATCTCGCGGTGGGGACCTTTGTCGGATCGGCCGTAAATATGCCATCCACCTCCTTCCAGACCTGCAGCTCCTCGGCTTGGATGCCTACAGCAATGAGAGCAGCACATAGATCGGTGTATCCTCTACCAATTTCGCCATCCATCAAACCGCCTGGCACCGTTCCAAAGTATCCAGTAAGGACTGGCACTCTGTGCCCGCAAGCTAAAACCTTCTCCCTGAGAGTAGCAGCCATGTGCTCGTAAAAATCTTGTCCCAGCCCTTTCCTAGTGGATTTGTAATGAACCACATCAGAGAGATCTACATACTCGGAATCGACGCCCTTTCACATCCGTCAGCATAGTTGCATGATCCTGGATTTTGCACGACTTACCCGGTCCTGTAGTAAGGCTGCAACAAACCGGCAGCTGAGCTTCTCCCCGAAACTGACAATCCGGTCCTTAGATCTGGAGTCGATTTCCAAATGCCATCTTTGTGCCGCTGCTCTATAGTCTACAATTTCCTTGCATTCATCCCGGACCTCCCTTATAAGTCGCAAACGTATGTCTTCGTCCCGAATGTGCAATTCCGCCGCAGCGACATGGTCCTCTGATATGACATAGACTAGTCTCTCATACTCGCTGACCAGGCTCTCGTAATGGACCGATTCGGCATCATTGACGACGTTCACAGATTCAAGGACACCGTAAATCTCCAGTAACCTAAACAATTGACATGAGCCTCGAATTTTATGACACATCGGACGAAATAGCAGATTTGACTCACCGGCTTGTGGTACCTTCGACCTTCTTGCCAGTACTTCGTGCAGAGCAGACGACGGCGATTTTATTATGCTTGAGGCCCGGCCTATAAAAAAAAAAGCAGACCAGTTAGCACCCGATCTATAACATAATTGCTTTATCCAGCTGAGGCCCAGTCAGACACGGGCGGTCCACCATACCGTACAATATCCTCTGCGATCTTCACAGCAAACTTCCCCACGCTCGTCCCGCCAAACTTCTGAACCACCCAGCCCCGGCTGTCGTTACACTGGTTCCCGTTGTTGCTGTTGCTGCTGGTGCTGTTGCCGTTGGTGCCGTTGCCGTTGGTGCTCTCTGGCGCAATTGCAACCGCAGCCGCAAGGGCGTCGGCGTTCGCATTCTCAGCGGCATTGACAATGACATCGACATCGTCTGCCAGTACCGGCACGTGTGCTATCGTGGCAGCATCGTGATGCCCGTTCACAGCTGTGGCAGCACTCATTGTCTCGGAGGTTGTGCAGCAGCTTTGCAATGAGTCAAAGTGGTGGCGGGGCAAGAAGTTCTACAAAGACGCTTACGGGTATTCAGGCACGGGCAAAAGAAGTCCTCGAAATCGATACTGGGCAATATTTTCGCGATAAGGCGGGAAGGGGGGTCGCAAGCGAGATCGGACGAACGGTTTTAACCTGGTCATAACAGGAGCCAAGGCGTTGTTTCAGCCAGTGATCGGGTGTGCAATAAGCAAGTCAAAGTGAGCTAGAAAGTACTAAGCATGTACGGACGAAAGTACAGTACAATAAGCAGCTGGAATTTGGAAAGGGATCCCCGAGTACCGACTCCGTGCAAACCATCAATTGAGGGTTTCCGGTGAATTATAAGGAACTCACTCAACTTGCATAGCAATTCAAGGGTTCCACCGTCTGAAAATCAAGTATAAGCACGTGCTAGCACGCTATATATTTCCCCGGGTTGTCTCTGCTCTTTAATTGGCAGTCTTCTGCTAAAGTCGTGGGGTAATTGCCTGTTCAAAGAGATCCTGATGTGCTTACCTACGGGCATTGGCCTATCGGACTCCTGCAACGCAGCCTCAAGCACTTCAACCTCAGTCCTGCTTGTACGTACGTACATACCCGTGGAGTGATTGTCTCAAGTCAATTCCTAATGATTCTCGAGGTGCAACGCTGTAGTCCCGGGTCTTTTACTCGGAGGGGTTGTGACTATTTGCTGCTGCAAGACCAAGGCTTTTTCTCCTCTTCCTCTTCCTCGGCCTCACCTTCATTACCGCACATGCTGCGGCTGCTCCTTGTGATGGGTTGGTTCCCGGCTGCCTTGTGACAACAACTGGTAAATAGCGAGCGAACATGTAAAGTAAGCTTACCGTAAGCATTGATACCCAGCTAGCTCTTTACTCTTTACCACATATGAGAAGAGCCCTAATTGCAACTTTCGGATAGTCTAGTAGTCTAGCCTTATTAAAACCAAGCTGGTGGTTAGTTATATTGTGTTATATTTAAAAGAAGAGTAGGAGTAGGAGTAGGTTGTTACTGGTTAGTTAGTACCTAGCAAGTACTTTTTGGATATTCCTACTCCACGTAGTTCCTACATAGCAGCCCGATCATGCAATCGGCGCATCAACCCGATGGCCCGACAGCCACTGTCACTCATCCTGGCTGGGGCTTTGCCGACTACCTGAATATCCCGGTGTTCGCTTATCGCCCACTTACTCCCAAAAACAAAAACAAAAAATGAAATGAAAACGGAAAATCAGTTTCAAAGTTTAAATAAAAAGGAAAGAAAAAAAAGTGTTTTTGTCCCTCAGGCGCGAGTCGAACCTGTACAGCTGTTAGCAGCTGACTGAGAGAACATTTTTGTATTTTTGTGCACACGTACGCGCGACATTCCGGTAGACTGAATATATTACAGCCGGACGCTATTGATTGTTAGTTATGATGTCAGATAATCAGGTGCAGACTATCTTACCCATAAACCAACTAGACGACCGAGGGTTGTTTTGGACTTGTTTTTGCCAAAAAACTCTTATTTGGCGTTATTAGGACCACACACTTAAAATTTGCTATTGCCAAATACTCCGCTCCCTACTTTTAAGACCCACTTTGCTTTCTGCCGGGGCTCGGTGCTAATTGCCCAGTCCCGTAAATAGGTGAGGACTGCAATATGTCAGATTAAGAGGCTGACGATATACTCCCGAGTACCTTTCTAGTATTATCAAGAAACGGAAGATGGATAACCTGCGTTGCGTTATACGACCATATATGGCATCCCCTTCACCGTATCACATTCCAATATCTCCCTTAAGCTGGAAATTGTGCAAATCTTTTATATTTCAAGTGCATGCTTCATGATTCGTCGGCGCCACGCGTGTCAATAAATAAGGTCAACCAACGAGCAGGTAATCAGGCCCTCCCTCTGGAGATTGCTTGCTCTTCATAAATACAAGAAGCGTAGACCAATAACAGAGCCCAAGGACTTGCTCCCCCCCCCCCCCCCCCAACAAGCGCCTCAAAATCAGATAAATCAATGCGAAAACAATTAGCGCACAGTACTCCAAACACAAAGGCGCCATAGAGCCGCCCGGTATACATCCAATCTACAACCAGTCATTTCATCATCCCAGTCATAGCCTTTCTCCATCCTAGGCTGTCCCAACCTGTCCCTAGAGCAAGAAAGAAGAGTAATACATCCCAAATCGAAAACTCAAGTATTATAGAGACCTTCGCAACTCCCCAAGAGGTCAAGCCGCCGAGGGCCGTCGTAACGAATGATGACCTAGCTCGGTGGATTCGATCGAAGGATGTGGCTCGCTTCGGCCAAACTCAAACTTGCCCATAGGGAAATCCTCGTCGGGTGTTCGCATTCCAATTCCGCTGTCATCGTGGCCCGCTGCAGCATTCATGGCAGCTTGGCTGGTAATATCCATCGGTTGCGGAGCAGATACGTCGGTGCCAACAAGGCTAGGCTGCCTGACGAGCTCATCACTCCCACTGCTCATCCGGCTTCCCTGATGGCTAGTTGCGCGGCTTCGGCCGCCTTGGTTTTTCTGGGTTTTATGGGCGGTGTGAGTGGTCTTGTATTCCATGAACCCCCCTTGCTCTGCTAAGAAAGCAATCATCTCGTCTATCCAACACTTTGTAACCCACCAGGCACCAAAGCTCTTTCCTTGCGAGATAGTGAGGTCTCTCATGACAGCTGTGCCAATGCTCTGGACACACCAGACAATTTCGGCGTGAGTTGCGTAGGGAAATTTGCCGGGCAAGGAGGCGAGAAAGCTGACCCAACGGTCAAGCACATTTTCGGTGGAGGAGTCGGTGTGAATGCTGGATTGCTGCTGCCGGCCGGTACGTAGTGCCATTTCCCCATATGGAGTCAAGCCTTCTACTTCCCAGGACACCGCGACTGGGTCGAGGAGATCGCGGAGCTCGGTGAGGAGCAGATTTACTACGTCGTCCATGCCTCGCGTCGGTACGCATTCTGCCACTTTTCGAGTGTGCACCATGGTAATCCAGTCCTCGTACATTTGATCTCGATTGGCCGGATTGGACAGCATATTGGCGGCCGCATGGGCGGTCAAATTCACCCTCAATTCGCGGTCCAACAGCCCCGCGAATAAGGTCGCCGGCGCGACTTTTGCATTAATTACATGGATAGGGTCGCCGTGGAAAGAATTCTGGATATGAGGAACTAGTCGTTCCGAGATACTTCGCAAAGTATCTAAGACGGGCTTTGGGGCTACCTGAAGTGTTAATGGTGCCACAACGCGCATCATTTTTTGGTACGTGACAAAGTCGCATTCTTCAATCCAGGGGGCGAGGCTGGGATTAGCAAATAGCTTCTGAACTGGCATGGTCAAAGTGCCATGAAAAGAGGTAAATAGATGGAAGAACGTCTTTTCCCTGCAGAATCGTATACACTCAACCAGGGAAGTACAGTGCGAACGATACAGGGCGGTTAGGGCACTTGCAGCATCTGGATCTGTCCCAACTGGTATAAACGGCTCGATCTTGGGAAGGGTCAGGGCTCCTGGTTCCTGGGTTGACGCTTGTTGACCATGAGGCGCGAATTGAAGACGCTGGGGGATCTTGCTATTTGTCGATTCAAGTTGTGATATTCCAGGGATATTTGGGTGGTTGTACAAACTGTGTGGGCGAACAAACCCTTCAGAGCGTTGCGGTCTTTGCTCGGGTGCCTGGGGAACTTCAGGGGACGGAAACTTTGCTCTATCTAGAGGGTATTGAGGTTGAGATGGCATGCTATGGCTAAATGTCATAAGTATGTATCTCGGAGTGAGTAGGGAAGCTCTTACCTGAAGCTTTGAGAGAAGTTTTGTTGCTCACTGAAGCTCTGGACTGGTTGGTTGTTCTGTGGTTCGGCCGCTTCCAGCTGATCCTCCTTGAGGCTGAAGTTTACATAGTGATATTTCGACTCGCCTCGGACCCCAAGTCGTCGAGTTTTAAGTCCCGGGAAAAGTACACGTACGAGCTTGCCAAAAGATGCAGGATTCAGCACTGTGACCCGCTCGGTGGCGCACCTCGACACGTAGTTTGAATATACCCTGCCCCTAGGGACGGAACCTTTACCTTTGTCGCAAACTTGGCTAATCCTACAATGGCACTGTGATTAGTTTTTGTAGTCTAGTGACTTGAGCCGGAGACAATTACGTACCAGAGCATAGCAAACACTTGTCGCTGTCTTTCGGACTGGGGACCTCTCTCATTTCCATGCAGTTCACAAGCTACTTCTGGTAAAGTACGATGCTTGTTGGTCTGAAAAAGCTGTCTCATTTCCAGTTCGTTGGCCGCGCTCGACTTGGAGGCTTTCTTTGCTGGCCCACCGGCTCCGGCTAGCGAGTCCACATCATCTTGCTCATCGCTCCGACCCTCAAGCAATTGACTATCGCCTTCATTATAACTCATATTAAAGCTTTCCGCAGGCATAGATTGGCGCCCAATTTCCGGCTTGAAATGGGTCTGGCTGGGATACATTAGATCGTGGCTCGCAGCATCTCCAAGCGCCGGATCAATATCGTAGTCGCGGGGGTTCTGGAGCTGTGACGCAGATTGAATCACCATATCCTCGGGCGTCATTTGATGTGTTATATCGGCGAACCTCTGTTGCGCAAGAGCGCTTGGGTCGTACCATTGCTTATGATAATCCGCCGTTCCGTCCGCGGTTTGTTGATCAAGAATCGGTTGAGTGACCCCACTATGAACACTTGTCGTAGACGCTCGCGATAAGGGCCTCTTTCTGCTTTTCATTGACGCCGCCGTGTTAGATCGGGATCGGGCCCTGGCCGGTTTGGGGTCTATCGGTGGTTGGTCTGCAGTGTTTTGATATGATTAGCAAGTGTATTTGTAGAAGAGTTAATAGTTATGCAGTGGTGCGAAAGGTCATGGGTTTGAACTCTTACCCATAACGCTCATGAAATTTGAGAATACTTGTTAGTTGCGTTGCGGGAGGGACTGGTTGCCACGAGAAGCGTGGCGGCTGGGATATTGTTGTTTATCTTCGACTGGTTTTTTGTCGGAAACCGTTCACGCTGAAGATTTCGCAAAATCGCGCTTTGCAAGTAATTGTATCACTAGATACAATATCGTATTCTGCCGCGCGTATCTTGCGCAGTGGTGGTGGTCGCGGTAGTTGGATGTCAAGGTCGTCGAGAATCCAATGTTTACACTCGAGCAGTGTTTGTTGTTGAAAGGACGACGGACGGCGGCACGCTAAGCGAGGACATTCTTTAGGAGAAATTCAGCCGAACCATGACCTAATCCTCTTATTGTGACTCGAATGCTCTATTATTATTCATCTACAATTAAGTTCTCGTTGAAATGGAGCACTAATTTGCAACATCGATAGTCTGGTAGAGTATTTGACCTGCTCCCGTAGGACTTTGCTGCGAAATTCTTATGGCAGACGGAATTTCCCTTACTATAGGTACCTAGGTACCTACCTCGTCAGCTACCGCCGAGAAACAATATCAATGTTTTGATATGCGGTTATCCGAGCAGCGCGCAACTGCGGTAGACCGTCGGGTCATGGAAGGACTTTGAAGCTCAATATTTCAATAGGCATTGCAGTGTCAAGGAGGGGTAACCTGATGAATTTAACAATACATTGGTACTTCTTACGGAGTACATTGCTTCGAGACACGAGTAGCACAGCCTGTCTTCTTCAGCCACACGGGGCTTGAGACGTACTATGTCGCCCGTGTTTATGGCAAGAAAAACAAAGCAATAAGGTTTCTGGGCATAATACGGTAACCACACAAAGATGAACATAACATGAATACCTGACATACTCCGTACATATGAAGTACCATATTATTGCCATCCAAGGGGCAGGGCACGTTTGCAGCAGACCAAGAAACTGCTGAAACCGTCTCCAATCTCATCCCTTTCTCCTCAAACGAAGGGCTAATCACGTGATTTTATCACCATCCCAGCCCAGCCCTGGCGTGCGTGCGTGGCTTGAGCCACACGGAGTACAGTCGGTACATACGTACAGTACTCGAGCACAGAGATTATTAATAATAATAAAGAGGCCACCTGCACAACCAGCTCCAGCAGCCAGCTCCCGAGCCCTTTGCACGTCATTCTCTCCACACATCAGCCATCACCCATCCCACAACAACTTCGCTGCCACAACCGATTCTTGCTACTACACTACATCGCGATCTAAATAGCCCACTCCTCGCTCTTCGCACTTTACTCTCATCATGTCGTTCCAAGACAAAGCACAGGGTTATATCACCCACATTGATAAGGAGGTGAGCTTACCATTCCCACTCCAAACCATTCCGCTGCGCCGATACCGTTCATACAGCCATTACCATTGAGAATGAAAGACTGCTAACCGTCATCGTCCAGCTGTCCAAGTATGCGGTCCTTAACAACCTCGAGAGGCAAACCTCGGTTCCCAAATCCTACGCCTTCCTAGGCGTCATCGCAACCTACTTCTTCTTCATCTTCTTCAACATCGCTGGCCAGCTTCTGACCAACTTTGCTGGATTTGTGATCCCGGGGTATTACTCCTTGCAAGCCCTGTTCAGCCCCGGGTCAGCCGATGATACCCAGTGGCTCACAGTAAGTCGAGTATCTAACTGCACCTCGAACGGTAAAATTAACCTCTTATCTACAGTACTGGGTCGTTTTCGCATTCTTCACGGTCTTTGAAAGTGCCGTGAGCGCCGTCTACTGGTTCCCATTCTACTACACTTTCAAGTTCCTACTTGTCCTTTGGCTTGCTCTTCCATTTACTGGGTACGTACGGCCAGTCCTCCATTCCTGAACTTGCTAACCGACCTTGCAGCGGTGCCCAAATCGTGTTCCGCTCCTTCATCCAGCCTGTTTTTGCCCGTCACTTCACTGGATCTGGTGCAACTGCGGCCAATCTCCAATCCAAGGCTAATCTTGGTGCATCTGACAAGACCTTGTAAATAAAGCATAAGGCAGGGAACACTTCAATCAACATTTTGGCAATCATATTGAGGTTCTTTATCAAGGGAGGATGTATCCAAGGCTGTACGAAATGGGGTTTCTTGGATTCTCGGTGGAGGTTGGTTTTGAGTATTGGTGGAAGTTGTGAACAACGGGGAATGGCATAATGAAATCAGGATTACTGGAACGAATTTCCTTTGGCTGGGATATCGGTCTATTGGGATTGTTATGTAGAGCTACGTGTAAGAATTGATCGAGGAATGACGCGGTGTATGTGCAGATAAACTGGTGTGAGACGTAATGCCAGACGTTGCCGTGGGGTTTCCCCCTTTAGTTTCAGACATCACAAGGGTCGCGGACAGTGAAGTCATTTCGTACTCCAAGTACAGTACAGTAGGAGAAGACATGTAGTTTTTCGCAAATAGGTTTGTTGAAGAGCGCGCAAACCGGGAATCACATGCACGGCCCTTCCAAGGCGTTCTCTCGATCTAAGCTCTTATCCTAATCGAGGCTAGGCCAGGGATCAGCCTAAAAATAGGTTTCAGGTAGCCTTATGCTGATAGGAGTATTCGTATGGACTGTCAGATCAAACGCGAAACTTGCGACGACGACACAAGCACCGAGCAAGTATCTCATAGAAGGTTGCGAACCTTCAGAACGACGAATATGCGATCTCTATGTGCTCAGAAGCAATAGTTCCTCCATATACCGGGTGGACTTGGCATTACGATTACGATTGCGAAAGGACGTGATTGCCAATGCGCTTGCACCTCTCATAAATGCAACAATGCCCCTCCCTAAGCTCAGTCCACTTCAATCGCGGCTTGCGGCCTCTCTTATAGCATCCGTAATGCTCTTGCTATTGTACTTTACGTTCTCATTTCCTCATTTCGCATACGCCGCCGATGTCGATTCAATACAACCAGAAGACCATAACCACGAACGATTACTGGGGGGGCCGGTACTGGACGTTGATCTCGAATCGTTGGAATTGGGAGACATATCGTACCAGTCGGAATTTGTGGGGGTCGATCGAGGCATCATTGGAAGGACACCTACGGCGGATGATCCTACTGGATTGACCAACAATGACCCGGTTACGATCAACATCGAATTGGGGCGCACAGTGTCATATGTGTTCACCAACGTTTCCTTATATGGTGAGAAATCGAAAACCGAGCCATTCCTTCCTGTACCGCGGTACCCAAGACGATCGTTGGTAGATGGGGAAGAAGAACCAGAAGATGTGGACGAGGATGAAGAGGGATTCGCTTCTAATAAGTTGGCCCTGCGGCAGTCGAGCACTGGCGGGAATCGAACATTATACGTTTCCGTTACGGCTTGCGGCCAACCTAAGCCAGTCCAAAATACAACAACGAGCCCTCCGCCGCAGCTTCAGCTTTATATATCCCAGACATCAGATAATAAGAATCCTGGCCCTGGTAAAAGCCCTCAGGTGATGGTCGAGTTGGTGGAGGGATATGGGATGTACGAAATGAATGCCACAGGGGACGTCTTCATCGGGGTTTACGGGAAGAACGATACAGCGTATACTGGGCCATGGAGCGCTCAAATTGCGGCTTCTATCGATGCTCCGTTCCACTACTATCACAACATTTCGGATCCGAACTTGTTACTGGTTGACAGTGATAGCAGCTCTGCGTTTCTGGTCGCGGACAATCCAATGAAGTTTGATAGTTATAGGAATTTTGACAAGTGGTCCAAAATCTCGCCCCCTTATGTCTTGTTTGCCAGTAACGCCCAGGATCAAGCAATCCAGGGACTTCGGCATTCATACTGCGGTCTGGCAAACAGTCCTGGGACGATAGCACCTGATCGGCCTGGGCAGACAAACAACCAAGTACAGTTCTGGTGGGACAAAGAGATGACCAACCCACTGCCCAGGCAGAAATTTTATGTCAGCCAATTGTCTGGGGCAACAAAGTACAATGCCATTCTTGCAGTCAGAGGAAACTCAACCAGTGCGGAACCGGGGGTTGTCGGGGGCGGTGGACAAGTGTTTCGCCAGACCGATTTCAGTACACTATCAGGTACATAGCACTCCCCATTTTTATTGTACCAAGGCTAACTTCGCCCTAAAAAGAAAGCAACTGTGCTCTGGTTTCCAACCTGACATTGTGCAATCAGATTTCATACTCTGTGCCCGCCAACCCCACATTGTTCCCAAACACCAGCGCGTTGGCAGCTTTCTATGAGAACTACACTACTACCTACTGGAAATTCTTCCAAAACGCCATGTCGATGGTTCCGTGCGAAACCACCCCCTCGGCACAATACTCGCTCGCAACCGACTGCACGCGTTGCGAGGCAGCATACAAGGAGTGGTTTTGTGCAGTTAGCGTACCACGCTGCAAAGGGTTCTCGGCAACGTCGTCATGGCTTCAACCGCGTGCAATGGGCCAACCATTCCCCGACGGGACATTCCTCGACGCTGAGCAACTTGCGGTTGCAGGCCAGTCCAAATCGCTGAATAACTCGCGAAATCCCACGATTGACGCGATGATCAAGCCCGGCCCGTACAAAGAAGTACTTCCCTGTGACCGATTGTGCTACAATGTAGTTCAGAATTGTCCTGCTTCGTTGGGATTCAACTGCCCGCTGCCGGGCGATATAGGATTTGCAACGAGTTACTTTGACACGAGCCAACAAGTTGTAGTTCTCGATCCAAATTCGACCCAAACCCAGATGAGATGTAATTATCCGGGGTCGATCGTCGGCCTTGGGGCTGGTGGTCGGGCATTACCACCCCAGGGCTTGGCCGTCTTGCTGTTGGTGGTGCTGGGGCTAATGTTTGTATGAACGAGTTGAGTTGAACTCCTTGGATGCATGGCGGGAACGGGTTTGGGAAGCATTTGGGCGGCGTAATTTGGCGGGTGTTCTTTCTGATTGTATGATTAAAAGGGGGGGCCATTCCACAACTGTAGGTTGGAAGGTTCATGTTGGGATCCTGAATGGGTTGTAGAGGAATGAGACGACCACCGGCTTGTACATTGCATTGGGCATTAGTCAATATATAAAGGTCATGTTCACCACAATGTAAACACCACATGCAAATCCAAGTTACAATCCTCGGATGAAAGCCATTGTATGGAGTTAATAAGCCTTGTGCGGCTGCTACGAGTCTGGAAACTTGGGAACGGGAACTGCTCGGAGCTGCAACGTGGGATGGAATGCATCTACTCTATCTCTGCAGGAACAAGACCTCGTCGAAGCTAAGCCTTACTCCGTATTCTGCAGACCAGGCCAATGTAACTCTCTTATTAAGTGGCTGCATGTGCTTCGTACTTCTTGAGCTCGTAATAGATATATATACCCATCACATGCCTCATGCTTCACTTCGTAGCCCTGTAAATAGAGTACGCACTTGGTCGAGTAGAGCTGCCAGTACTGGGCTAGTCCTGGCTCGGTGGTATTCGCAATCCAGAAGCTGAAAGAGAAAACTCTACTTGCCAATGCTATATCACTTATCAGGTAGTAATAAGGGATAGCAAGGTACTTGCCTGCATCCCTTATGAGTAACGATGGCCGGCTAGCAACTTACTGATAGTGAAATCCCTGCTGATAACGGAACTCAATCAATCAATCAATCAATCAATCAATCAATGCCTATTCGCTGACCTTATGGAGTACCTGAGTGCATGCACCTGGGGGGGTGACGCATCACATGATTGGCTGTTAGCGACGCGTGTCGTGACCGCGAAAAGGTAAACAAGCCCCAACCCAACCCACCACCGACGCGTCCTCTTTCTTCCAAGCGCTCTGAGTCTGCCAACTCCCAAGACCAAGACTCTCTCTCTTCGCCGATTCCCTCTCCTCCAGCCACAGCCCGACACGTCAACACCGCGACGCCGCGATCCCTTCCACTTGCGCGCCCTCGCACCCAATCAATCCCGTTCGATCAATGCAATCCCACGCAAGGAATAGCTTCAGTAGTGTTGCATGAGGTCGGACGCGGTGCTCGTTGAACAGTTGACAGCTCGACGCCGACGCTGCAAGGCGCCGAACTGAAACTGCCAAAGCAACTGCTGTGCTCATCTACTCGATACTACTCGATAACACTGTCCCCTCCCCTCTCTTGCCTTTCTTTTCTTCGCTCCGTTTGCTTTTTTATCCACAACTGCCGTGGGATTTCACCCGTCGAACGTCATTATTTGAGTCAACGCCAAGTGCAGAGCAACGGTTCTCTCTTGCGCCCAAGGCTTTCCAAGGGCCCACAATCCTCCAAGGACCAGGGAACGGCCAGGTCCCGACTAAAAGATTTACTCTGCTCTGCTCACGCTGGAAGGCTGCGGTAGCTACGGAAGGACTCACGCTACGAAAATTCCACTACTACCCAGTAACCCAAGTACAGGCCCGACTCTGTACTTGCAAGCCTGTTTATCCCTTCCTTGTCACGTATCGTCGGCATTGCTCACCCGACGGCCTGCGCATTGATTCTCCAATAGATATAGTCGAAACATTGGCTTTGGCTTTGGCTTCGGCTCTTCCAACTTCCCAGCTTCTCTTCCGAGCTCTGACCTTGACGTCTCCCACGGGCTCCCACGTTCTCACCTCGCTATTGTGCCCCCGTCTCGCTGCTTCACGTCCAATTCTAATTACCACCAACTTCTTCACCACCACCACTTCGCCAATCCACCAACATACTCCAGCTTAAACGGCTCATTCACATTGCTGCTGGCTGTCCCAACCGCTCAAGATCTTTGCCGCCGCCGCCCTTGCTTCGTCGCTCCGTAGGTCTGGAATCCACCGCAATTTCGCTCCACCCCGATCTCCGATCCAGGCAGCGCATACTGCACCCACTTGACCACTGTAGGTAGCCGCTTCCCCCCCCCCCCCC